CTAGCGACTACTATACCGAAGTGCTCCTGGATGGAGAGATTCGTGCCAAAACTGCCGTCAAATACCGTACCACCAATCCGTTCTGGCGAGAAGACTTCACCTTCAACGATGTGCCTCCTGTGCTGTCCCAGGCGTCTATTTTGGTCAAAACAATGCATCCAACGCAGAGAGATTGGACTCTTGTCTCACAGGGAACATACTCGTCCACCCAGGAGGTCAATGCTGTCAACATGCTCGATGATATCCAAATCGCCACCAAGGATGCGATCTTTGGTAAGGTGGATTTACGACTTGATGAACTGGACCCGGGCGTTGACACCGAAAAGTGGTGGCCCATCTTAGACGATCGTGATCAGGCCGTCGGAGAAATCTTCATGAAAGCGCGAATGGAAGAAACGGTCGTCTTGATGTTTGCAGAATACGCACCTATGCAGGAACTCCTTCACTCTTTCACAAATGGCCTCACCATCAATATGGCCCAGTTGATGTCATTTGAATTGACACAGCTATCAGAAATGCTCTTGAATATCTACCAGGTCTCCGGGAAGACAGTCGACTGGATTTCGGCATTGGTCGAAGACGAAATCGACGGCGTCCATAAGGAATCCACAGCCAATCGACTGCGGTATACAACAAGGATACATTCTAATGATACCCGAGAGCCGAGCCACGATCGCGAAATCCTGGTCAGAGATATGGGAAGAACAGCAACTGTGGAAGCAAACCTTCTTTTCCGTGGAAACTCGCTTCTGACAAAAGCACTCGATCTCCACATGCGTCGACTTGGTAAAGAGTATCTGGAGGTGACAATTGGAGAGCGCTTGCGTGAAATTGACGAGAGTGACCCGGAGTGTGAAGTTGACCCGTCGCGTGTAGCACGCACCGAGGATCTTGATCGCAATTGGCGATCCTTGATTTCTCTTACTACTGGGGTCTGGAAGGCCATTGCGAACTCCTACAATAACTGCCCTCCCGAGTTAAGGCGTATCTTCCGGCATGTCAGGGCCTGTGCAGAGGATCGCTATGGTGATTTCCTCCGTACAGTGACCTATAGCAGTGTTTCTGGCTTTCTCTTTTTGCGGTTCTTTTGTCCTGCCATTTTAAATCCTAAGCTTTTTGGGCTTTTAAAGGGTACGGAAATTTCGCTCTACGCACATTAACCCTTGCCTTATGATATGATTAGCTAACCTCGCTCCAGATCACCCTCGCCCTCGAGCCCAACGCACCCTCACTCTTATTGCCAAGGCACTCCAGGGTCTGGCAAACATGACAACATTTGGCAACAAAGAGCCGTGGATGGAGCCCATGAACAAATTCCTAGTTGGCAATCGATCTGATTTCAAGCAATTTGTCGATGATATTTGCAGCATCTCCGCGGACCAACCGGCTCCTATTCCAACACCCTCATACACTACTCCTATACAGATTTTGGGACGGCTGCCATCTACCTCACGTGAAGGTTTCCCGAGTCTCCCGTTTTTGATTGACCACGCTCGATGCTATGCCAACCTAATCCGCGTGTGGCTAGAAGTGGTGCCGGACCGGATTTCTGAGTTAGAAGAGCTGGACGTTAACCTCGCCAAATTCCATGAACTTGCCCATCGTCTGCAGGAACGCACCAAAGAATGCCTCCATGGAGCAGAACAAGCGGAGCGACCGAATGGGGCCCTCGAGGTCAAGTGGGAGGAACTTGTGGACTCTATGGAACGGGCCGTGACGTTCTATGACGAGGCTTCCAGTAAACCAACCACTCCGGCCGCAGATGCACAGGCTGGAGGCACAATCTCATTCCCCCAAGATAAGCGTGGATCAATTGGCTTCTTCGCACCACGTCCTGCCATGCCTCGTCGATCAACAGACTATGCTCCAGAGGAAGACGACACGCCACCTAGTTCATCATCGGCCACTTGGGACCAGAGTCGCATGCCGTTCTCCATACCCCGGTGGTCAGACGCTCGCGACAGCACCGGAAGCTCGAAGAACTCATCCACCTACTCCTTGGAATATTCGGAAAATGCCAAAGCTCGCCGATCCAGTGTTACCAAGGAGACATCCAGCAAATATCGTTTCTTCGACTTCGTCCCAGCTCCGTCCCGACGTAAAGCGAAGGACCGCGATCAATCTCACCACTCCCACGAAGACCTCCGAAACGAGTTCTGATCGATGATCAATGATTTCATTTCCATCTCTGTCCCTCTCTCATTTCTCTCCCTCTACGTGCTCATGAAATCCACGCTCCCCTCCCCCCTTTGCCACTATTCTCCGTTTCCGCTCCTCGTCCCGCCTTCTCACATATTTCTTCTATCCCTTCTCTATATCATGGCAGCATGTGTCACGGTGTTGATACCCTTCCCCCTCTCTATAGTTGTGTTTCAGGTTTCACCAATGTCCTCTCCCATTTGAATACCTCCCCGCCTCTGGCCCGGCTTGGCTTATCTCTTGGAAGAAAGCACACACAGGAGCCACGAGAGCAAAAAAAGGAAGACAAAAGTTCTTTTATATAAGAATTGGTTTTTGCCCCTGGGTCTTAAAATGGAGCTTGATTATTTCTGGTTCTGGATTCTGAGGTTGTTCTCAATTCGCTTTCGCGATTTCCGAGGGACTGGATAGCGAACCTGTATATACACCTTGATATTTTACTCAAATAGACGAAATGGACTCTTTGTTCTCGTTCAGTTGGACATTATCTGAATGCATGTCCGTCGCGTTCTACTAGTAGTTATCATCATGATTATCGTCAACCTTGGATGGATACCTCTCGCGTTGAAATACGTAGGTACCACCTGGGCAATCATTGCAAGGAAAAGTACAGATACAAATAGACTACCAGCACTGGAGTACCAAATTCCAAGGTTATATGGAATTGTTCAGGGATGTACAATGAATATTATATCGTTTGACTACTATGATAGCAGATCTTCCTTCAAGTTCTCAAGCAAAACTCCCGAGGTCCAGATAATCGAAACCTAGCCCTCGAGGCCAGGTCAGCCTGTGTACTACTTCTACAACACCATTTGAAAGCCACCCAGTTTAACTAGCTCGAAGTCCCTATCTAGACATACAAAGATGGAGCGCAGAAAAATTACCCAGGTGGACATTTACATCCAAAGGCAGAGCTTACCGCTAGCGGTGCCTCCAGCAACCCAATTTTTGCTGCGATGGAACACAGCCACTGCAGGGACGGCGGTAATTCCATCGCCGCCCAGCTGAGCCAATTGGTCACCATCACCACTGTAGACATCAACAAATCGGTTCATATTGCCGATACAGAACCTTTGGATATGCGACTGGGGGTTCAGTTGCCATTGAGGGCGGAGGCTACACCAGGTGAACATTAGTATCGTGTTTTCCAGAAGGTGAGAAGTAAAGACAAAGCTGAACAACTTACATAGTAACCCAGCGACCAGTTTGACAATTGTGTCTAACAACAGTATCAGGTTTGAACTCGCCATCCGGCAGGCTGTGACCTTGCTTCCACGATGAAAGGCCCTTGGCTCCAAGGTCGTATAGTTTCAGCGTGTCGTCATAAGAGGAAGTGGCTATTTGACCCGCGGCGTTGAACGCAGCGTGAGAGACGGAGAGTCGACTCTCGTGCATTGCTACGGGAACAGGTTCCTTGTGCGACAGTTTGCGCAGGTCCCATACTCGCATTGTTCGATCGAGACTGGCTGTCGCAAAGTAGTGGGGCTGTGAAGGACAGAGAGTGAAGCCACCGATTTTCTTCTCTGACAATTGCCATTCGGAAACTGTCTTCTCTGAAATAGGAGCTCGAGTATCGTAACGCCCAAAGCCACCTCGGAGGGTGGTAAAATACAATGTATTAGGGTCATCTGCGGCCATGTCAACGCCAGAGAGAGCCTCGTCATCGCTTGTTGACTCAGGCGCATATTTCTCGATACAAGTTGTCTTTTCGAGATCTAGCTCACGGATGGAGCTGTCATAGCTTGCAGTGTACAAATGTGTCGGCTTAGATGGGTGGACCATCATGCTGCAAATAGTTCGAGTGTGCGGCTTCAAAGTAGTGAGGACTGGGTCTGGGTCGTCATCCTCGTCCTCGTCGCTAACTTCGGGCTTCTCTTGCGCTGCATCAAATATACCAAGATGGCCCATCTTGTCGCCGGCGAATATAAGAGGCTTGGTCTCGGAGGGGTGGAAGGTCATGGCGTAGACTCGCTCGGGCGTGATTTTGATTCCTATGGTTTGAAGGATTGTCAGTCAATGGTCACCCGCAAGCTTTTGTAATAACATCATGGATAGATTCATACTTTGCGGGTCCCAGGTCTCATAGATCGACATGCTGTTCATTTCTTCCCGTAGTGATTTCAAGTCCTTGTCCGTGGTCTCCTTGATATCATCGTCACCAAAGGTCCGAAGGTAAGGCTCAGCAACACCTTTGGTAACAACATCAACGCCAATCAGACTGTCGCCAGTGAGTTTCTGGCCAGCGATAAACATATCATTTTGCGTGAAGGAATCCGTCCGGCGCATCTTCTTCGCGCGCTCCGCTTCCTTCGCAGCTTCATAGTCGTCATCCGCCTTGCGCTTCGCAACCTCACTTTCGGCTGCGATTCCGCGAATACGAGAAGATTGACGTCTAGGCCCAGGCGATTCATCTTCCTCCTTCACGCGCTTCGGCGCAGCCTTCTTCTTCGGTCTGGGCGCATTGCTGCCTGGTGTTTTGGGGCCGGCGTAGAAGCCTGCAGATTGCGCCTCCAACTTTAGATTCTTCAACAAGGCATCGCGCTCTGCGATGTTCGCAAGGCGTTGCTTCTCGAAATCCGACAGCTCTTTCGTCATAACGCCGACTGAGATGGAATGAACTGCAGGTGTATCCGTAAAGCACAGCTGAGTAGCACAGCAATCAGCGCGGGTAAAACGCGCCGAGCATAACGCGAGATCACGTGACTATAATTGGTCTCGAACTTTTGAACTTTTTTGTTTGCGCCAACAGATGAAGAAACCAAAAACTCCCAATACACACAGCTAGCCTTTGACCAGCAATGGCGACGAATATTTCCCGGGCATTACTTCTGTCAGCGACTGCCAACACTGCTACTCCGTTCCTTTACCAAACCCGAACTCTCGGACCGGTATTGCGATCATTCCAAAGACCGTGTACTCCCCGTCTCCAACGAACTTACTCCACCAGAACCGATGACCCCGAGGCCAATGACGAGACCGATGCCAGTGTAACCACTGAAAATATTACTGCGAAAGATACCGACAGCCCTCAACCTCGCAAAAGCCACATTCGCAAGCGTGGCTCTTCCGCTCCGCGGCATTCGGCTTCCCCAGACCAGTTCAAATCAGTGACTTCGCGCGAGAAAGCAGCTTTCAATAAACTCTTGGCTCAATTAAATATCGAATCCGATCCCAATTCCGCCGAGAACGACGCGGCAGCTCCGAGCACGACCGGGCAAAATGCAAAGCAAACTGATGTCGCGGATTTGATGAAACTATTCGAGGGAATCGTGAATCTCAACGCGCAGCAGAAAGTCACACCTACAAACCCTTCAGCGTCAGAAAGTGTCGAACAAGACATCCACGATCCCAATGGCATCAATGCCAACGAGCAGCGACTCGAGATACCAATCGAGTCAGACGAGGTCGAGCCAATAAACGAGCCCATGTACACCCGTGAAGAACTCGGTCTGCCACCACCACAGAGTGGAGTTGAACAACAAATCTCCATGAGGCAAGCGGTTTCCCTGGTCGTTCACCAAGAAACGCAGCGGATCGAGCAAGCGTTATTCAAGGCAATTGAAGAGAACAAAGGCGACATAGCACTTTGGGAGGTCTGCAAGACACACATTTTCCCCATGCTTCGCTACATAGAAGGAGATGCCGATCCCGCAAAGACATCGACTACCGCAGCCCCAGACCACAGCGTCGTCATTCCTCCGATGATCCCGGCTGGCCGGGTCATCACTACATTATACCCGCGTGTGCTGTTGATGACATTTCGCCTTCTCAACACGCACTTCCCTGAATCGCTGCTCATCAGTCAATTCCGCGCAAGCATTAAAGCTCAAGGTCGCGCTTCTGCACTACTGGGTACGTCCGCAGAACTCTACCACGAGATCGTTCATTTCTACTGGAATGGTTGCCGGGATCTTCCCGCTGTTATGTCGTTTCTGCGGGACATGGATTTGCACGGGGTTCAGCCTTCGCGAGAGACTCTCGGGTTGATACGGAGTATTGAGCAAGAGGGTAAATCTTACTTGAAGTTGGGGTCGGGTTTGAGTGGAGATTCTTGCGAGAGTGGACGAGGTGGCGGTTCGTTCTGGGGCCTGCCACCTAACCAGAAGGCGCTTGCTGAGCTTGCTGGTAAGGGTGGCTGGCTGGAAGGCTACAAGAAGAAGACTAAAAAGCCGGTGGTTCCTCGGAGTAAAGGGCTATCTTAGACATGGTCTGGGCCTCAAGGAGGGTTCTTATCGTTCTTGTATAGCATTTTGAGAATTTGTAAAGTAATGGCGCAATAGATACCACCCCACTGCATGTGTGCATAGAAATGATTTCCGGAGAAGAAGCTTGCATCAAGTCCCGGTAAACCTAGTCTGAGTTTTAACATACTGAGCATGTCGGCAGCGAGCTTTAAGCAGCGAATCTGTACTTGATCTTTCTTTGGTAGGAGATGAAGCGGTGTCAAGACTCGAATGCTAGTGATGATCCATTGGAAAGTAAAGCTCAGATTGAAGCCAAAGACAGCCACCCAAGTAGAAAAAAGAGCCAGCAAAGAGAAGCCCTCGCTATAACACCAACACTCAACCGCCATGCAAAAACAAAGCAGATAACCCAACTAGCGCCAAAAAGAGAAATCAAGGCCAAAAGGCCCGCAGATACAAACAATTAATTTCGCTCAACTCCACTTCAATAGAATTATCTATCATAAATGCCCCAAAACCGCTCCGCACTGAAGGTATACCGATTATCATCCTTCCAACGATCATCAAACGCAGTAAAATAAACCAGATCATCCTTCCTATGCGCAAAACTGCGTCTCAAACTCTCAATCGCCACCCGCTGATTCTCTTGCGAAGGAACAGCCGCGCCATTCGACTCGCCCGCATGAGGCCAGCCGGACTCGGTGATCATGGTTCGCTTTCCGCCTGCAACATCTGAGACCGCGTGGGCTTGTTCCAGCACGTAGGGTCCTGTATTATGCGGTTGTTGGGTCGCGTCGAAGAAAGCGTGGCAGTTGGCCGCACAGTAATCTGATGCCTCGCAAAGCTCCGGGTGTTTGAGATGCACGGAGAACGTATCGACCGTAACCACTGGTCCTTTATAACCCTTTCCTCGTAAGATAGTGCGGGCTTGTGTAACTGCGCCGGCGACCTTTCCAGGGGCCTCGGTTCCGCCGTTGACGAGCTCGTTGCCGACGGTGATGGTGTGGAAGACGGACCAGTCTTTTTTGCCATCTTTTGTTGTTGCGGCGTCTTCGAATGCGTCGAGGCTGTTGGGGAAGTCGGTGAGGTCGTAGACGCCGGCGAAGACTTGCATTTTGTGGAGGCGAGCTGCTGCTGCTACGGTTTTGGTTTGGTCACAGTCTGTGCCGTAGATGCGAACGAATGAATAGTCGGTTAATCGGTCTAGATCCTTGTTGACTTCGTCTTGGGTCTTGCAGCTTCGGTCCGCTCTGTAAGGGGAATAAGAAATTCCTGAACGGCGCTTCTGGAGATGAGTTTCAGGCTGAAGATGCGGCTTATGGTTATGATGAGGCGCATCGTGGGGTTCCTGTTGGGGATTGGGGGGTAACAGTAGTGGTTCAGATGGCGGCGGCGGAGGAGGAGGTGGTGGTGGCGGAGGCACAGGCGCAGGTGCAGGCACACCAGGTGGATGTGGAGGAAGATGCTCAATGAGTTGAGCATGTAACTTCTTCTCTGCCTTTTCTGTCACGGCAGGCAATTCCTGTGTGATCGTTACGGTACTGGTCTCGGTCTTTGTCGAGAGAACGCGAACCGTCTCTGGTTCATGCGTTGACAATGGGACATGGGAAACTGTCACGGGTGGCTTCACATTTTTGTTTAGCAATGGCTCAACTGAAATGTTCCCCTGTTACTTCATATTACTAACATTGCCTTGCAGCTCGGTGGTTGCAGGAAGCCGGTTGGTCTCCGTCCGAAGAGTATGTCCATCCTCATCCACCCAAACAACGACCTCGGCGGGAGTATGGACCTGAGAAGCGCCATTGAGATCAAGACATTGGTTGGGATCTGGCTTCTCATTAGCCTTGCTCAACCTTGTAGGATTCAAAACAGGAAAAAGACTGTTTGTACATACCCTGTACCTCTGCGTGGATCCCAGAAGCAAGAGCAAACGCCAGCAGCGCCTGCGAAAGACGTTTCATTGCTGTCGTCGTAGCTCAAGTTCGGAATCAACCGAATCGTAGAATTAAACTAAGGTTAGTAAGTCATAACCAGGTCAGCCTCGCTGTCCTCTCCTTCGCACGAGGGAAGAAATGATCAATGCAGATCAGATGGGTTATATCTATGACGCCCTTGAAAGGACAGAGCATCGGCTAGGAGACTCTGGCAAATCAGGATGAAAACAAGGGGTGTGTTCGAGCATAACTTTTCGATATGAGGCGATCTGGGGAATGGAGTCCAGGTCAAGGTCTACAGTGTTCTCTCCCTTGTGGAGGGCTGGCTAGGGAGTGCCCAGAGCTAGGCAGGGTGTGAGCTCCATTTGGGAAGGGATCTTGGGGTGGAAATCGCTGGATGGGTAAAATCTCCGGTTGGAGGATCTGAGAATGTTTCTGGGCCAGGGTAGTCGTGTGGAATGTGGTCTCATTCCGAGAAGTGTCGCTAGGAGACAAGGGCTTTCTTCATGGAGCAGAGGCAGTTCCGAAGTAGAATGCTCCCCTTTCTGGGGGTTAAGGTCACATTTGGATTTAGAAGAGAACGAAAGCCACTTTTCCTACCCAGGGGTCTAATCGATGCTGATGGGCAGTTCTAGACCAAAATTCGACACGGCCAACATGTCAACATTCCAGATCTATGCGCTCGAGCAAGGTATAGTGAGAGATTCTTCCTTCTACTGAGCGGTAACGCTTGGCTAGGTAGGACATGAGCAACTTGAATAATGTTTTACGATTTTGTGGGAGAAAAGCAAGAATTTCAAAGAGCACTTGGTGCAGCTATGGATAGCCAAGTGTGAAAAATAGTATTAAACAATCTAGAGCCATGCACCGGTAACGTCATGAAACCGCCTCCGAAGAAAAAAACAAGTGGGAGGGGTGCAGTGCTGTACAGTATAGCAATAGAGATGCATATCAACAAGCAGCATAACAATACAGAGGATGAAGAGGCATTAGGTACGTAGGATGGTTGCCAAAAGTAAGTTGGCAGAGGTGCCGGGGTCATCAAAGCATGAGGTGTGATTCGATGCCGAGGTCGAATTCAAGCAACAGGTCAAAGAGGCAGACGCATAAGAGGGGCTTTACTTTCTCTTGCTCAAAACCTTTGTAATGGCGTGTCGGATCGTGGTTCCAGCCTTCTCAACTTCTTTCTTGGTCAGGCCGAGGGTGACGCAGATCTTTAGACCGGCGGGCAAAACTTGCTTCGGCTCAAAGTTGTCTTCCAGGGTCTTGAGGCGGGTGATCAGAACGCCATTGGCGAGACACTACACAAACATGTTAATAAAATCATTCCTACAATCATTTCCTCAAACACTCACTTCATCAACGACATCCTGCAGCAGGAATTGCTGGTCTTCGTGGGAAAGCTTCTTCGATGCAACAACATCAGGCTTGAGGACCAAGATGAGAACGGGGTTCTCGACGGCACTGGTGCAATAAACCCAGTCGCTGCGAGGGTCCAACTGAGCACGCATGGTCTTGGTCGATTCCCGAAGCTGCGATACAGTGTCGGGGTTGTGCTGGAGAAGGTTGATAGTCTCACTGGCGGTGGTGGAAAGCAAGGCGGGAAGGGCAGCAGAGAAAGTGTATGAAGCGGCCGAGATACGCTGGTGGTGAACGATCTCCTCGGAACCAGCACAGAAGCCTCCGCCTCCAACGAGAGGACCAGCCAGCGAACCGACAATCATGTCGACCTCAGCAGCATCGACATTCTGATGTTCGGTGATACCACGACCAGTGCGGCCGAGGACGCCGAAAGACCATGTCTCATCCAGAATAAGACGGAACTTGTACTTCAATCGCAGTTCGATCTATCTCAGTTGTTAATAATAGTTCGAGTTCCGTCCTCTTTGGGTAAAACTCACGATCTTGGGCAAATCCACCATATCACCATAGGTCTCGAAAAGGCCTTCGGTAATAATGAACCTGCGAGTCAGCGGCTTCCGAGCCTGTTCTTTGGTGACTTTGGCCAGAACTCGCTCCAGATCCTCCATATCATTATGTTCGTACCAACGAACAATACTGCGCGAGATCTGGATACCCTTCCGAACAGCAAAGCTAACGCCCTTGTCCGCAACAATGATATCACCACGCTTGGAAAACGCAGGAATAACACTGGAAATCGTCGAGAACGCCTGGGAGTACATGATACACGCCGCAGTACCCAGGAACGACGAGATATCGGCCTCGGTCTTCATGTGCACGTCCTGAGAACCGTAGAATCCACGGGGGCCGCAGGGACCCACGCCGTAGTTGCGGAGTGTCTGGATGGCCTTCTCCTTGAGAGCCTCGTTGGTGTTGAAATTGTAGAAATTGAGAGAGCTGAGGTTCGTGACGGTTCGTCCGTTGGCGAGTTTAGATTTGGGTCCGACGGGTCTGTTCAATGACAAAAATAAAGGAAATCGGTTAGCTCAAGATATTCATTCGTAACAGCACCCGACAACTCCGGTTTGGCGCAATCTTACCCAACGATAACAGTGCGCTTGTCAACCTCCATTTCCTCCAGTGTTGTCGGTTTGCCAACCAGGGGCTCTGGAATCCATTCATCCACAAGATCATCGATCTCGTCTTCGGTCAATGGCACAACACCTGGTTTGGTGGAGTACTTCGGGGCGAGGAGATATCGCACGGCAAAGAGAAAGAGAAATAGCTCCACCGCGGATCGGATCGGATCATCTTGGTAACTGGACTTGACATATCGGAGGAAGATGGCGGAGCCGGGGACACGGTGAAAGAGGTTCGCGAGTTCGTGCAGGTACTCTGACAGGAGACGATGTGTCTCCTGGAGGTCCATTATGAGAGATCGTACGGTGCGCCTATGTCACGAGCACACCGGAGAAGAAAATGGTTTCAGCAGCAACAGGGATCGAAGAAGGATTGGGACGATCGAATTCGAGATGATGGCAGACGGATGGTGGTCCGGGGGTCCGCGGGCGGCTTGAAACAGGCACATGGGTCACGTGTTATGTTTTACAGCCGTATACGGACTACACTGTAGAACATAGATTGAGACTACGAGACATACAGAGAAAAGAAATAAGGCTAGTAAAATGGAAGATGTTCTGTTTAATTGGAGTTTATTGAAATGAAGCAATGCATATATTGTATTCCGTTAAAATGTAGGGCAAAGGGGGAAAGAAACAAGCTATGAGTGGCAAACGAAGGTCTAGAGCCCCCTTTGGGCGATGGCGGAAACCACTCAAATGCAAGTCATTCCACACGAACCATTAAAATCAACAAGTGCGCCGGTAATTGAAAAGAATGCAGCGCGTCTGAGTGAATGAAATAAAGTGAAAAATGAAACGACAGAAACTTTGTACAGGCCATTTTCATACACATGGCGAAGAGCCATTAGATCAACTTGAAGTCAACGTAAGTACCAGAGGCAGTGGGGTTGGTAATCGAAGACTCAGCCATAGACGGATCGCCCTTGGGCAAGTTGCTGCCAGTGTAGTAGGTCTCGGTGTCGTTGAGACCACTGTCCATGGGCTGGAGAAGGAACATGGTGTTGGATGTGCTCGACGCCGTGAGGCCGATAGTGCCCCACAGGCTTTTGCTGATTGTCTTGTTCATACCCAATCTCTTGACAATCAAGGGACCCGCGATGAGGACGATGAAAATGACCAACATGACGAAATAGAGAATGGCGAAACGGATGACACGTCTCTTCCGGAGCTTGGACTGCTTAAGGGAGTAGATGGGTGGACGAATTTGACGACTGGATTAGGTTAGCACTGGATCAATCGGGTATATGAGGGGCGGTTTAACATACCTAGGGCGCAGCCAGAACAGAATGACGGAGTGGAACTTATCCACATACGGGATGGCAAGGACCGGCAGCATGAAGAACAGGATGATGTGGCCAAGGACGAAGTCGGCAGCGAAATATCCCAGCTCTGTAATTTTGCAAAGGAATTCACGGCCGGGCTGGGAGAGGGAGTGCCATCCCATGTTGTACCATTTACCAGTCCACCAGGCGATATTGGACTGATCATGCTTGAACTCTCTGGTCAAGGCAAGGGAAATGATGAACTTGTAAAGGAAACGTTGAATGGCCATCATGGCGATGCAGCCAGAGATGGTTCGTGCCCAGTTGAATGACTCCAGGAGGAAAAGCACAACGAAGAAGACGAGAAGAACAATCACCGCGATAGCATGAGCAATGGCGGCAAGAACCGCGCCGAACTTCTTGCAGCACATGCTGAGCAGAGGACCCATACAGCACGCCATACCAAAGAACATTCCAGCAACGCCAGCATTGATGGCAACGGGAGCGAGGGCGACAATGACAATTCTGGCAATGGCATTCGGGGCATACTTGGTGTTGTCACTGAACATGGTGCGGGAATTGATGTAGAGATATGGCACCAGGGTGGCTGCAAGAACAACGAGAGGAGCGACAATCTCGCTGAAGAAGATATTCGTGATACGAGCCCTGGGGATGTCACCCGATCCCTTCTCCGAAGGAACACCAAGGACCTTTCGCTTGTAACCGGTGATCCGGGTACGAGACAAGCGGCAGAAGCCAATCCAGGAAGAGGCGTGAGAGCGAGAGTTGCCACGCGAGAGCCAACGGATGTAGTCACGGTAATCAATGAAGAAATCGTTCCAGGCAAACTGGTGTGGGTTAAACAAGAAGGGCGAGATGATCATAGCCAGCAGTGAAACCCAGAACCAGATAAGGGCAGGCGTCCACACCGTCGACGTGGAGAACAGCAACATCAGAAGGAGACGAGAACCAGTGTAGATTGAAGGACCGGCGAAACGGGAGTAGAGAACACCGAATGGGATGCGGGCGGTTGCGAAACCACGACCAGTACCAATGTAACGGGCACCACCGAAGGACAAGTTCTGGTGAACAGCGTTGGAGTAGATCTGACAAACGAAAACCTCGAACATGAAGGAGAAGGATCCGAAGTGCTTGGCGAGACGGGTAGCCATGCGCCAGACACCACGTTCAGTCAATTCTTGAACGGCAAGAGGCACGAAGGAGATGAAGAAGACGATGAAAATTGAGATAACGCAACGATTGACCCAGTTGATGATGGGTTGAAGATCAGCGCAGTAAGTAGGACGCAGAGGATCGGTGATAGGCAGGTCTGAGTTGTATCTGCAGGTGATGGTCTCGTGCTTCAGAGCACCCAGGTTGATCAGGACAAGCATAAACATTTGCACAGACAACATGATGAACATGTTGTTCAAGTGGAAACCAGGATGGGCATAGTAGAAGGAGAGGAAGCGATCAAGAGGCAGCTGAGTACCCAAGTAATAGTACTCGCGAGAGAGCATCTGCTCACCCATACCAGTACCAATCTTGGTTGTGAAGTTCAGAATAGAACCAAAACCCAAATCACGACCCTTACCACACTGGAAGTACTCGCAGTGCTTGATACGACCACCACGCAGAAGAGCGTTCATACCAGCGTAAATATCCTCGTTCAAGTGAAGACCCTTTTGCGCCTTGGAGACACCACCACGCGTACACATGAAGGTAGCGTTCAGGAAATCGGGGTGACCGTAATGCAGCTTACCGCCGATCTGGGCGAGAGTACGGGCGAACAGAGTACCGAATGTTTGTTCCTTGGAAGCCGCAACATCACCAAGAACACCAATGCTCTCAGAGAAAATGTATTCACGGGCACCAAGAATAGCGACGGGGTGACTGTCGGGAGAAGGAATACCGGGGGTGTAGGGGGAAACGTTGTCGGTGGTCAGCTCCTCGAATTCCGAGAGAACACTGCGAATCTTAAGGCACTCTTCCAAGTAGTTGTCCTGGTTTGCATCAATCAACTGGATGTATTCACCACGGTAGAAGATGATAGAATGGTTCTGATTGTCGGACTTTCCGTCACCGAGAATGGGGTTGCCAGACAGTTGGATGCGGAACTTGGGCTTGCGAGTACCATTCTCGAGAATTTCGCAGTGACCATCGATGAGAGCAGAGTAGAGACGAGGCTCCTCGCCTTCGACAAGGGCAGGCTCTTCATCGAGGTAGGCAATCTGAAGGTCAGGGTAGGCACGAAGGAGAAACTCGGCGTTCTCACGCTCATCCTTGTTGAACTTGGCATAACGCTGCATCGATACACAGATACGGAACTTGCGGCGAGCCATGCGTTCAAGCTCGCGCTCAAGCTTCTCAGAGTTACCACCGAACATTTGGACAACTTCAGGGTTCTCGACACGGTAGAGCAACTTGATAGCTCGGCTGTAGTTCATGAAACCAGATACCGTACGGTACAGGGTCTGAGAACGAAGAGAAGCCCAGATACGGGTACGCAGAGTATACTCGGGAGCAGCAGACTTGAAACCAATGCAGTAGAAGGGCAAGTCGTCAATCTTGCTTTTGGCGGCATCCTTTTCGCCCTTCTCCGAGTAGTCGCCATTCATTTGGGAAGTTTCATCGGCCAAAATCTTGGTGTCCTTGACGAAGCAATCCCACTCGTGGGGGTGGAGCTGCTTCAAGTATTCCAGCAGAGTGACACGAGAGTAGGGCTCATCTTCACGGATGATCTCACGGAGAGAGAGAAGAATCTTCTCACTGTAGTGAGGAATCAGGACACTGAAAGTGGGCATGTTGTCGACGGGGAGAGGCTCGGGCATGGGAGTAGACAGAGACTGAGCGAAGAAAGAGATACGGCGTTCCGCCTCGCTTCCAGCGGGGAAGAACTCGGTCTTAAACGATTGGTCCTCCTGGGAAACGAAGAAAGTTGGGGCACGGAGAGTACGCTTGCCCTCTTGCTCGGATGGCACCTGGTGATAGAGAAGCTTCTGGACGTGGTCGATGGCCAACAGGTGCTCACGATACATGGATATGATGATGGCATTCCACACCTGGGAGATAAGAACCTTCGGCTTGTACTTGATTTCCATGTCGGTGGTAGCCAGGACCTTGGAGTAGATACGCTTCGGCAGACGGGAGAAGATGTTTCGCCACGGAGACCAGATCGACACACCGAGGTAGAAAGAACGAGCCACCGAGAAGATGGTGTTGCAAATAATGTACCAGAGATAACTGTCGAGGAAGAACAAGGTGAGATCCATGAAGAACATCAGACCCAGGAGGATTTGAGGCTGCAAGTGGCAAAGCGTGTTACCAATCCAGTAGACACCAGTGCACTGGTGGATGTGCATCGGGGACAAGATACGGATAGGATCCTTGAAGGACAAAGTCAAGAAGAAATAAGACTCAGCCAGCTTGGCGCCAAAAACACAAACCCAGAGACCGAATGACATCCACATGTCATTGCCGTGGAGTCGGGGAAAGCTGGCAGTGAACGTCTGACTGGCGACATATTGTCGGCCGTGCTTCTTCATGTAATTTCCGAACATCGCACCCAGGGGCATGATGGCAAAGAAAATGGCAGTGAGAAGGGCAATGACGAAGTGAACGATACCCAGGGCCAGACCAATGGGTTTCTGCAGACTCTCAGAGAACTTGTTGAGGAAGCCGAAAATGATGACCCCGGGAACGAGGTTGACAACGAAGACCGCGAGGAGGAACATGAAGCGCTTTCGTAGATGCTGAGCACCAGCCCAACGACGAGGCACATAAAGCCATTCACAGATGGTAGCGAAGATCTGGATGAAGGCAGCGAGAGCACCACCGAAACCAACGGCAGCCAGGTACTTGTAGTTAGGAGGCTTGTTGTCCACCTGCTGTTGGTATGTACCAACATACAGAGAGGGGGAGTTGTAAGCAGTGAAGAACCAGAAGGAGCACAAATGAATGACCCAGATACGGTTGAAGTTGGTGACCATGTGGAACCATGAGCGAACCTCCTTGTAGGTCTTGAAGAAGGCCTTGTCCCAGAGGACATCCTTCAGCTTGGGCCAACGTTCCGCAGGAGGGATATCCACCAGACGGGTCTTGTCTTCGAAATGGATGCGCTCAATACCCTCGGGGTACCAGAACAGCTGGTTCATGTCATCATAACCAATGACAGCGTTGTGATCGCGTTCGCGCCTCACATACTTGCCATCCACGATCTCATAGCCTTGATCGCGACAGTATTGGTAGAGGGGTGTGACAATCTCATTGAGGTAGGTGAACTCTTCGACCGGCTCAACTTTGGCTTGGCACTCGGGTGACGAGTAGTAATCGTCGGCACACTTGAAGATGAAGCAAAGACACTCAGGCAAGAATCGAACCTGGTTGGCCTCGCCCCAAATCAGGAGGTAAAGAGCGATCTGACGCGCACGGTCGTGCTGAGACATGCGGTTCATGCGAGATTTCCAACGGTACTCTGCAGCCTCGAGACTGTTGTCACCTTCCAGAGCATCCAAAGTCTCCTCCTCGTTCTCGGGGTTCTGCTTGGCGGCTTTCTGGGCGGCCTTGCGAGCCTTCCGTGTCTTGCGGTCCGCCTTACCAAGTTTCATGTTGGCGAAACCGACCGCATCATCCAAGTCCAGGTGGGCCGCGAAGTACCAACGACGGTAGTTAGCATTGTGGCCACCAATGTAGTCGGCGTGGAGCGACAGAAGAGCCTGGTTAGGGGTCATGCGAGAAGCCCGAGAGTCGAGGAGAGTCATCATATGGTCGTACATGTTACGCATGCTGTCACGCTGGAAACCAAATTTGTTGACGAGGTCGAGGAAGATGTCCTCGAGCTCCTCCTTGGAAAGAGGAATCTGAGCATCGGTGGTCCAGGCCGGATAGGGCTCCCGCGAACGCTGGCCAGCCGGCAACGCGTTTCCATAGTCCATGCCATATACGGGGGTAGATGCTCCAGAGGAGCGGTTCCCGCCGTAGGAGACCTGGGATGAGGGAGGACGGTAGCCACCGTAGCCGCTACGACCACCATACTGGCTGTCGGCATAGCCGTAGCTGTTGTAACGCTCATCACCTCGGCCATAGTAGTCCATATCGGCAGCGCGGGCGGTTTCGGATCTCATAGTGAAGTCGCTGAAGGTTTCCGAATCCTCCTCTGACTCTCCGCGATGACCTCGGTTCTGAGCTCCTTGGTCGTAGTACTGATCTCCGTAGTACTCATCCTGATGGCCGCCTTCATAGTATCCACCATCGGCGTAGCCCTGGTTTCCATGAGCAGGGGCCTGTTGTCCACCTTCCGCTGGGTAGTGACCACTAAGTGAAAGAAAAAATGTCAGTTGTATTCCGTGATGGGGACGATCCCATTTGATCCATCAGCGGGGGAGTCTTCATACCCTTGGTCGTAGTAGCCATCCTCATAACCTTGATGGTCGTAGTATCCCTGGCCGGCGTGTTCATCCTGGTAATAGGAATCCCCGTGGCCCGCCGGGTGGCCATAGCCATCATCATAGTGGCCTTGTTGGTAGCCAGACATGATGTGGCGGTCGCGATTGAAAACTTGAGTAGAGTTCTGATGCACCAGGTCAGTCCATGCGCTCAGGCGAGGGGTGTAAGACCTTGTGTATGTGTGACAGGACGGAGGGGGGGGGGGACTCACCTCAACAACGACCCATGCACTTTATTACTATTGAAAAGGGTGGGACAATTATTGCAGCATCGACGAGAGTGAGCGAAGGGGTGTCGTGGTCCGTAGTGGGCGTTGAACAGGGGAGAGTCGAGCGCGTGGGTCGGAATTCCGTGAGTCTCAAACTCGATGGGAAATTTAACGAACGGGGGGTGATCGGAGTAGTCCAGCAATTGACGTTAAAACACCGATGGAAGGAGCGAGTGAAATGGGGAAAACACCAAAAAAAAAACAACGCTTTCCCTCCAGACTTCCTTGTCACAAACAAGGAAAAATGGAAATAGCGAAAGTCAAGAAGGAGGGGAAGGGGGGGAGGTTGAAAGAAGCAAGAGGAGAGCGAAGGGAAGGGAGAGAGAGAGGGCTGGATGAGATGGGATTGGGATTAGGAATTAGGAATAGAAATCGAATGGTTATTTTTGGGAATGGAATTACCCAGAGCCAGTTTAATTTACGGTCACCATACACACAACACGTATGCAAACTATGCAGGTACCAGGTACTTCTTCCATGGCTGGTCTCCACTGCCTTCACCGGTGTCACCGTGACTCCGCCTACACTCAGGGGAAGGGACACACTTTCCATGCACAACTCTTCTTTCACTCACCACAGTACAGCTGTACGTATGGAAACAAGTACACAGATCCATACAGGGCACATCTGGATACAATCTCTCCACCAGCCAACAATCATCATCCAATCACAGCATCTTGGTCTGCACCGGAATCCAAGGGAATTACGACGGCCCCTGAGACTCGCTCCACTATGCATGGCAGGTAGCGAATGATATTACCGGATTATCTCCAGCGCAGATACCATCCTGCTCCGCTGTCCTGATTTGTTTGTGCCTTGTTATTGTTACCTGGCATGCAGGGATACGCTTCACATGTTTTTCATTCCTCGTTTCTATGCAGTGTACGGTGTACAGTGTACATTGTACATTGTACCGAGTACCCAGAGACAGAACAGAGAAAGAGGATGTCAGCCTCCGCCACGGAGTAGATTCGTACTCGACTATATAGGACAATCGGAGAAACTCCTATCCACCGACCCCATAATTGGATGGATTCCATGGCTCCCAAGCGACAGAACCACCATCCTTTTCAATCGGATTTGACTGTATTGCAAAGATCGTCGAATCCCTTTGCTTTTCCCGGTCTGACCTTTAGCCATCGTGTTAGGGACTTCGTGGATGGCCATGGATTTTCTACGCTAGCAACTTAATTTGCCACCGCAAGGCCTCGATGTCTCAACATTTGTACTGCCGGCCACTGGTTCCCCGGTGTCTCTCTCCACTCATCGCCCTCCGAGTGGAGTCCCTCAAAACTTGCTGTTCACCTTTGAACTCAATCGCGAGTTGACCGGATTTCGCTTAGGATCGTTTTTAAAAATAGAATACCGTAATTTGGTAGGTTGTGTGCACTAACTTTGGGGTGTACACACATTGACTTGAATGGATTGAAGTTATATAAGTAGTCTTGTACATCTAGGTACTAGTAGTATATATGCCCTGGATGTACACATTTTATGTGCACTACCTAGACATGTGCTAGTAGTAGTACTAGTACTACTTTATTCAGTTCAATTCAATTTATCCATGGATGCAACCCACCGAAGTTTTGGCTTACCTACCTAGGTAGGTAGTGTATATATCTGCTCTTCTCGCTTTTCTACTTCCGACCTCCAGTGAACTTCCAAGGTTGACCAGAAAATACCTAGATATGCCTAGTAGGTATTTTTACGGTCGCTTCAACTAAAATCCACCAAAGTATACTTTACTACTACCTACTAGTACTGGTAGTACTGTACTCCAGGGCTCTGTACTAGTACCAGTAGTATGGATAGTATCGGGAACCTCCTTATCTCCACCATCTCCTCACCTGAAAACCTTGGAATACCCAGTAATCTGTACACAGCCAATACCCGTACCTAGGTAATCGACTAATGGTAATTCGGTACTTCGTACTCCGTACTGTCGCAGCTGATCTCCACCGTTGGACTCTTCTTGTCCCACTCTGTGGATCGTCCGATTGCTTCTATTCTCTGATTTGGAGCCTCGACCGGCCTCCTCCCTCACCCGGGGGTCGTGCGAGTGCCTGCATACGCAACGGCCTGCGCAAACACTGCGTCGACACTGCAAAGAGTACTTACCCGCCTCTGCGGTGTCCACGTATTAGTACTCCGTACTCTAAGGTAACTCCGTACCCTATAATCAAAACATGGCCACTGCCACACGCAGACACCCGAATGGAGTGACTGAGCAATCCTGCAAGATGCAGGAACAGATACATCCACTGCACAAGCACAGATAGGAGGGGCACGGCACTGGCGGATCCTCCACCTGGTAATTCTCATCTACGGAGTAAGCCTGGGGTTCTCGGCCTGCCGGTCATCCCCCTTTTTCGATGGGCTACTCCGTACTCCGTAGTCTTGCCTTGACTCCCGAGCTCTCTCTTCCCCCTGGGGACTCCCCTTTTAAGCCACCAGCAACGGGGAGACAGGCGATCACCCCAAAAATAACCTGTCTTCCATCGACCTTCGAAAGGGTCTAGTCAGCGGTCCGTCTACTCAGTGGACTCGCCCTAGTGTTGCAAGTTTATGGGTATTGACCCGCTTCCTTCAAGTTTCAATACTCGTCGTACGGACACACACACACACACAGTACAGTACAGCAGTCCCCAATCCCCCCTTCGCCAATTCGGGCTTAGATGTGGCTAGAGCCGTATTGATTCATTTCGAGAAGGCTGATCTCCTGCCAACTTTTGGTCCTTGGTGGCTGGACTTGTGGATAGAGCTATGCCTCCGGCCTCGCTGGTGCCGAATTTAAGCACCCACTTCCAAGGCTATGTAGTGCGCCGTACTCCGTGCTCCGTGCTCAACGGTATCGGATCTGTTCGAGATTGCCACCATGATATCTGATATCCTTCCGTACGGCCCCGGGGGCATACGCTCGCCATCACATTGTCAGGGGCTGTGTGGCTCGAACGGACCGCCCGGACACCACATCCACTGTGTTCCTTCAGGCGTGTTAGACCAATGGCTGTACCCTGGTGCCTGTTAGCAACAGCGTTGTATGTACAGAGTACCTGTTGTGTAGTTACAATGGAAAAGAAGGGGTGGTGGAACACCTCACATTTTCTCATGTTCCGCATTCTACGTGTTCTCCCGCACGGCTCGGGAATCGCTTGCAGGCGACACGACACGCTCGAACTGGTAACGTGGCCGAATCTGATCGTGAATCTCTTCACAAGCTTTAAGGTTCGTCCGGGCGCGATGCTGTCAAGCGGTCATAGTATAAATACATACTCCGGATAATCTGAGGAAATACTCTGTACGAACTCCCATTCCCTCTGTTGTGGTCCTACATTTCCCTATCAGGGGAATTCATCGCACGGAGTACGTGTAGTCCAACAGCCACGGTCTCGCCTCTAGACCCCCAGCCTCACTCAATTCTCCGATTAGGTGGTACCCTTGGCAGGCAAGGGATTGATCGTCGTCGTAGGGTGGGTAAACCAGCGGAATGGAGTGGTTGTTGCGAGTAATCGGCAGTGGCGAGGAACGTCGATCCAGGGACTAGGGGGGGGGGCTCTGCCCGCGAAGCTTTTCGCTGCGATTGACATGATTCGGAACTCATTTTCTGTCCATGCGCTCTGCATGGCCCGTCCGGTCGGGACTACTGGATCTGGCGTCTGGTCTGATCTGGTCTTTTCGGTCGCATTTCTTTGGTGTTGGTGCGGGCCCATGCAGCATCCTCGCGTCGGACCTATTCGTTTCGCATTTTCTTTGCATGTGAGGGCTATCCGGGACAACCTGAAGTTCTATTGTGCAGCACGGGAGTGGCCTGAGTCATGGCAGCTGCTTTGACGTGTGTGGCTTGTCAATTTGCTGCAGCTTTAGATTGCGATGCGACGCGGACATGCCGTATATAGTCTGTATTCTGATAAGTCAAGGTAATGCACTTCTTCTGTATGAGATAGTCTAGACCAAGAGCGTTCTGTGGTCTATTTTTTAGTCTCCCTAGTAGGTAGCCATGAATCAAGCTGTATAAATCGTTGCACCAGCGTATGATCATCTCCGGTGAGGTTCGTTTCAGTGTGTGTGGGTCAACTCCATGATTCTTGAACGGGTCGATCTCTTGGAACCTTTGTTGGGCTATCTTTGTAGCATGTCTATGAGAAATCAGTTCGGTTGAGACATTTCTGGAACTGGTCATTCTGTTGATTCTTTTATATATTACTGGGCGGTCTTGTAGCCACTGGAGTTCGCAGCCTGCCACCTAGGCAGAGTGTTGATTGTTAATAGTACTAGATAACTACATACTAACTACCTAGTAGGTCCCTAGGTAGAACATCCAATATGGTGATCTGCCCACCTTCAAGTTCAAGTTGGAAACCACCAACCTTCATGGAAATAAGCATCGTAACCATGATTGTTCCTAGAATCTGACACATCAAATAAATCTTCCAAATTATATATACAGTCAACCACGACTTCCAAGGTTAGAAATACAGCATTTCAACTCGAACCAGCCTTGCAGCTCTTTCCGCTCTTAGTCCGGGAACATCCCAGAGGGCAAGGGTAAGACGGATCATACTGCCACAAGAAATAGGGATCTGTCTCGTTAGCAAGGACATTGGCCATCAATCGAGATGGATACGGAAGATCAAAAGAGGCCTCAAAAATATCAACCGATGGAATGCGAATCTGGCCCCAGCCTTTCTCAATAAGCCTTGCAATCGAGGTTCCATAGATATACTCGCGGAAACCCGCCCATCGAATCGCTGAAGCACACTAAGAGCAGACAGTCAGTATAGGACCGCAATTAAGTAGATTCCGGGGATATTTCTTACCATTGGACAGCTTTCGGCATTTGTATATAAAGAGAGATCGGTAAATGCCGCTGCTACCTCGGTTGCAGTGAGGCGGAACTTTCCATTAGGATCGGTCAGAATATTTGTGCAGTTCGTAATTGCCGCAATTTCTCCTGTTGTAATTTGAGTCTCTATCCATAACACGGTAAATTCAAAGAGTGGCATGCTTACCATGGGATGAAGGGTTGCCTGTCTTGCCATTCTCATTGACACCCATGCAAATAAGCTCTCCCTCATCGGAAGCTGTATGGTTCACTATCACTGTTCCAAACGCCGCAAAGGGACAAGGCGATCCGCTCAACTCGCCCAATGCCTGATTGGCGAGGCGCATCCATCGAGCTCGAGTTTCAAAAGTGACTCCATTAATCATGAGTGTCTCGTCTGCAAGTGGCAGCTGGGTAGTTGCTAGCACCCCGTGTAGATAAGCAGTGGACGCGACGAAGAGATGAGACAGCCGCATTTTGATCTATGGTGACCGGACCGGATAAGAAGAACTTTTCAATCTGATTATTCATAACGAGAAAAGCTTCCTCTTAAAGCGGATTCCACCTAGTAGATCTGTCGTTTTGTGTGACTATGCGGGGAACCCCGATGAGTCCGATCCGATCTTTCAGCAAGATAATGCTGATAGATCGACATCCAGGTCACCCCGGCCGCAGTCGGCCGAGGAATGGGTGGAACTTCCTGATTGATGATAAGGGTCAAAGAAGTCTTGCCAGATGTCAACTCAATCCCGATAGCCAACTTGCATGGCAGATTGTCAAGCAAAGATGGGCCGCAGCCTGGAGCCGTCTTTTCGAATGGCGGTAAGTGGTTCGTGCAGGTATTACCCCGCATAGATTGATCTCTTCTTTGCCCATCAAACTACTGAAATTTGCCCTTTTCTTAATCATCATCAAGGTACTTAAGTAAGTTAATGCGGGAATTAAGAATATAAAGTTTGTGTACACTTCTCAATACCACGAGGGAGGGTTTTGCTTTGTCTTGTATTCAGTCACCTCCCTCCATGAAGAGTTTGTTCCTCTCCAACTTGAACCTATATATTAGATCGTATAGTGGTTCTAGCCAGAAGTGACGGAATACATCAACCTGAATATTGGTGAAGCACAATGCCTACCTACTTCATCACTCGTCTTGGTGTCGGCATTTGCATTTGCATTTGTTGGTGAGGCCAGCTCTCACTTAGTTCTCAGTTTCTACCAACACGGCGAGGGGAAAGTTGAATATGATCTTTATTGCGCCCCTGAGTACTAGTAATACATTATATTCAGAATGCAACTCACCAAAGTTACTTACTAAGGGTTTGTCACTTGAAGTTAAAGACCAACATTGATCGAATTGGAACGGCACTTGGGAATATACATTCCCATGATGTCTATCCTAACTTCAAGTTTTATTTCAGCCAATTCGACAGTCCCACCTGGGCATCTATATATATCTTCATTACCTATATACTAAGATATATTGTGCTAATCGCAGGGCCAATGTGATGTGATAGCTCAGGCGAGTTGGGTATAGTTCAATTTTAGGTAGTGGTTGCCGGGTCAACAACGACCCGCTGACAGTCCACAACAGACCACCGCTTTTCGTCTCCAGCATCAGCGCTCAGAGAGAATTCCGATTATACCGAAAGCAAAGCGATAAACCGACATACACCTGAGGGTGACCGGGCGGCAAACTGTCAGAATCACCAGGGGGACTCATCCTGTCACCTAACAACACCAAAGATGGCCCGTCTCAACACAAATACACCAACCGCTAGCATCGCCCCCGACCGCACAAAGCTACGGTGAATGAACAGTTGGAATTTAATCTCGCGACAAACAAAAATACCCCAGCACTGCCGCGCAAAGATAGCACCACTCGCACCAAAGGTTCCTCACAGAGGTCTAAGATCGGACCGGGTTTCGCCTTCGACATTTTCCCAGACGACGACCAAATACCGGGCGAGCCACCGAGCCAGAGTCCATATACTCCCTCAGGATCAACAACAAAGCAGAAGAAGAAGCGAACATTAAAAACATCACAGGTCAACTCCCTCCTGCTCCCGCTGCAGCAGAGACCACGCCAAAGGCCAAACGTGAAAGTGGAACAAGATGACTACGACAAGGAGAATGATATAACGGGAGATGCAACGGAACCGTATACACCTGAAAGAAGCCCCGTTCCACATCGATCACCAACAACAACGCGAAATACGACACGCACTCCCGCGAGAAATCGAGAACTCAATAGGTCTTTGAGCCACAGAGAGCATATAAACAAAGATGAAGACAGCTGTGGGGACAATGGCTTTGAATCACTGGACGAATTTGTAGTCAGTGACAATGATGAAATCAGCTACCATGAGACATCCGACCCTGAAACAGAGGAGGAAAAAGCCCCAACGCCAGTCGCGCCACCAAAATCTGCACGGAAGAAACTCATGAGAGGAAGAAGGCCAAACACTAAAGCAGAAGAGGAATCTGTGAAGATTCTAGAGCCCGAATCTGAACTCAAGCCAAAACCGAAAATCTTGGGGACAATAAAACCTTCGCCCGCAAAGTCTAGACACAACACTCAGACTCAGAAACTGTCTCACGACGACTTTGATCTATCAACGCATTTTAAAACACTTGACCTTGATGAGGACAATGGGCCCGCCTCTCAGCTAGAGACCGATCTTACACAGTGAGTTGCTATATATTCCGCTTCCCCATACCACGTTATCCATACTCATTATATTCTATAGATCTGTCATTGAAATGAGTCCTCCACCAGAAGACATGTATAGAGTGAAGAAGAAAACCCACATACCACCCTCTACTTCATCACAAACCCTTCTGCGCACCCCCACGAAACAGAAAAACCGCATCCCACCAACACCACATAGGGAGAGTGTTGATGCCTTTTGGAGTCAAGAGGAGACCGTCGCCTGGATCGATCAGCATTCACCAGAGAAGCCTCTAGGCCAAACAGTGATCGAGCTGCTTCAGGATTTTGATGATTCCGACACCGATGGCACCGGTCGTGACTCTACCTCCAGCGCTGAGCCGGGATCAACACCGCCAGTGATGCAAAAGCAGCCCAAGACCCCCAGCAAGACGGCCCTTAAAAAGGCAGAGGTAGAGAAGAATAAAGCCGCAAAGGCTCGCCGTCTGTCATTCAATAACAAGAAGGACGACTTCGCCCAGGCTTTCCTGACTGTCCTTGACGATGCAGTTGCGGAGGGCAAGGTCTGTCAACTGGCCGTGGCTACTGGCGGTGTGAAAATCACTTGGTCGAAGACACTCCAGAAGACCGCAGGTCGGGCTCAATGGAAGGGTGAGCGATTTCGCGACAGGGAAGGCCGTGTCAACACCAAACACCATGCCTCTATCGAACTGGCCGAGCGCATCATCGACGACGAATATCGCCTGATCAATACCCTTGCCCACGAATACTGCCACCTTGCCAACTACATGATCTCCAATGTCCGTGACCAACCCCACGGCGCAAGCTTCAAGCAATGGGGACTCAGATGCAAAGAAGCCTTGAAAGATCACCCAGTCTATGGTGGACGGATCAACGTTACAACAAAGCATACTTACAAGATCGACTACAAGTATGTTTGGTCCTGCGTGGGATGTAGCCAGACATATGGTCGCCATTCGAAAAGTATCGACCCCAATCGAAGCCGATGTGGCAACCCGAGCTGCAATGGTCGATTGGAGCAGATCAAACCGAAGCCTCGGAATTTATCGCCGAAGAAGAACGCTGCTACGCCGGCGACGCAACGGAACGTGATGGACAATGTTGCGAAGGAGCTTGGGGGGATTTACTTTGTAACCGTGCCATCATTTTGATGCAGTTAGTGTGAAAATATAGAGCCGAGATGGTGTACATGTACTGGACAGCGCTGGAGCACCATAGCATTTCAAAATTTTATGCATAGCAGGTGTTAGTGAGCTTAGTTTGAACTGCATATTCAATTTCTTTCATATAATTCGTCTACCTAATATTCTACCTAAGCTATCTACAATATCTATCTAGTCCGAGCAATTTCCAATACCCAATGCCCAATGCCCATATCCTGACCTACCTTATGCATTTGTAGACTCCGTATTCCCCTTCCAACCATATCGAAAACATCACGCTCCGCCCAAGATAACTATCAGAATTTAAACAAACAGGCCCCAATCCCGGATTTCCAAACCCTCCACCAACGCGGCAACAGTCTCTTCCGCAATAGCCTCCTCCCTAGACAGCCCCTGCGCATCCCCAGCCTTGTCAAACTCCTCATGAGGCACATTGAAGAAAACCAAAAGATCCGTCTCCTGCGCCGCCAAACGAACAAGTAGATAGTGGCACGTCAACTGCGTCATCGCACCGGCACCATTCGTAGTCGCGCCCGCAACGGCCGCAGATGTCCCATTTGTAGCGGGGGCTTGGCCCCGCCGTCTAGGCGCATTTTGAAACTGGACAACGCCCTTGTAGGCACTGACGGATGACCCGGCCGGCGCGGTGGCGGTTAAGCGGGGGAGGTTGGCCCGCTGCGGCGGAGCAATCACTTGCAAGGCATCGCCCTCGTCGCAGATATCGTTCAGGTGGTACAGAGCAGCGGCTTGGTCGATGGTTTCCTGTGAAGCGCTGGCTGTGCTGGCGCTTCCTGCTGCTAGGGTGGGGTTCTGGTGGGCGAGGGTGGCGAATGTGCTGAGTGCGTCTTCTTGGGAGACGCGCTGGTTGATCTCGATGATTAGGGTGGAGAGAGTCTCTGGTGAAAGGAAGAGTTCCTGGTGATCTGGGATTTCGCGGAGGTTGCTGTTTGGTCTGTTAGCTTGTGGTGAAGTTTTGGGGTGGCGTTTTATATTTGGGTGCGGGGTATGGGCTTTGGTGGATGGAGGTGAGATGTATGGTTTCTTTCCAAATTCGGATCTCGGGATGTGATGTTTTCAAGTTGGAGGGAGGGAAGGAGTGTGTGATATTAGATTTATATCAAGAGGGGTTGCTCACCTTGCGTCCATCCAGCGTTGCGGGATGACTCCGCGGATTGCCCCGCCGAAGAAATCTTGCTCGGTTGTTGGTGCCATGATAGATCTAATCTCTTGCTGCATGGGAGATCTAGCTGTATAAGACTTGTCGAAGCAGATGTCGTACGACTTCAAATGTTGTTCTCAGGGAGCTTTGGGGAAGAGAGCTCTGAGTCGGATGCAGACTTTGCGTCGATGCTTGTTGTCCACTTTTTTTTTGTTTCCTTTTCCAAAGAACTCTTCTTCTTGTCAAAATTTCACTGGCAGTCAAAGGATAGACTCAGGTAATCCAAGTAGAGGAGAAATGCGTGGATGTGGGACAGGTCACCGGTGGTTGGACTTGGTTTTATGCATTTAAAGTTGCGGAGGCAGCAATGGGCGGGTGCTTGTCCTCCGTCACGTCTGCCTCACCCAAATGCGGCTACTTTGGCCGAATCCACCAGCCGCATCACTTCTTTTTGAAGTAGAAATATCTCTTCGTATACTTCTTTTTCTAAAAATATCGGTGATATTTTTTTATCAGTATGCCTTAGGTGGCATTCGCTTTCTTGTTTTCCCCACCCGGAGATTTTAGTAGGGACTAATCCGCGCGGAGAACAGAGCTATCACTCCAACACACCCACATCGTACTAATTAGCTTCCTTGTCGAGCTCTTCTCACTTATACGCTCTTATCCTACCAACGCTGGCATTAATTCTCTACGTAAGGGGGGGGGGGAGACGTTCGGCTACATCAATTTGAGTTGAAATGATCTCGAGGTTTACTTCCCTTCCTATTTAGGTGACTATTAAGACAGTCGTACAGGGCCAGAATTCTACTGTCTAGGCAAAATCAGAAACTTAGGTGAGCAGACGGCCATACGGACTCTCGGTCCGAGGGCTAGAAACATTCCATGGTTATAGACGAAATAGAAGGATCATAGCTATCGTTATCTACCTGATGAGCTCGAGTACCCTACTCGAACAGTTCCTCCACATATGAATCGAGTTCAACCAACTGAAAGCTATCTCGCCACTTGTCTCGGAATTCTTTCTTCCGATACGAATAGCTGGTGACCTGCGAAAAGCTCACCAATTCCACACTCCACCCGCGCTGTAGCGCACGTTCAACCATACGCATGAAGCCCTCAGAATACTCTGCCGCTGCAGCATCTCCAGTGGCTAAAACGATAGTTGCCGGTTCATCCGTGTCCAGCAGGCTCTCGAGGATTTTCAGGTGCAGAATTTCGTCCACGCCCTGCTCGACCCATCGCTCGTTGGAGGCGTTGACCATTTCAGGTCCGCCATTTCCCTGATGGGCTGTGTTCCCGGGAGCCTTGCGGAACTTGGAGTGCCGAGGTGCGGCGTGCTTAGCTTTGTGTACACGCTCTAGGATATTGGCTTCGTATCCAAGGGTTTTGGCTTCGTCGATTGAAGGAAGTTGGTCTGACCCAACAAGAACTCTCTTCACGGCGGGACGGCCTCGTTCCATGATTAAAGAGAAGTTGGCGAAAGACATGTGGAGGCGGCGGATGCGAGTTGATACCGGAATATTCCGCGAAACTTTCACCGAATCGTGGAATCCGACCATGATCTGTGGCGTGTTAGTTTGTCTGAAGGAGGAGATAAGGCCATATATCAAAACTTACATTCGACATATCGACGAAGACATGAATCGGACGTGACTGGGTATCTTCCTGAGATGGCTCTGCAGAGCGTCCGACTCGTGATACGAGCTGGGCGTATCCAGGAAAGTCCTTGAGGAGCTTGGTCATTAACCCGATTCTGCGCTCTGTCGCGGTTTTGTAGTCGACAGGCAGCACACGTATTCCCGCAGAAGTTGTAATGAATTTTTTCACAGTTTCTGACTTCAAGGTTGACTCTTTCTCGTCGAAAGATGATGGAGGTGTCTCATAGCGGCCAGGTCGGGCGTCTGGCGTGCCCACTTGGCCTGGTGTAAACGGTAGGTGGTTGGGCCTCTGAGAAAAAGGTCGGTCAAAGACAGTAGGGTGTGAATCGGAATCAACTTCGGCGCTGCCTTCGGAAGAGATTGTTTCGAGTGTATCTTTGAGCTTGCTACCTCCGGACACATTGAACCCTCTGGTCTTGGGAGTCCTAGGCGCTTTCTGTATGCCATTCACCTCTTCCAGAGAGGTCTCTCGGGTAGCTTGTGGCTTAGTATCATGACTTGTCATCGTATTCGAAGATTGCTTTGAACCATTAAAGGCGGGATCGCGAGACGAGGGAAAGAAGAGGCTCCGGTGGCAGCCATTGGAGTATGATTGTATTTCGAGGTGCCGGGAACAGGTATGGGTGCAGATGAGGTGGAGGAAGTGCGGGATTTATTGGAATCGGTATGGCCACGCTTGAGAATTGTTATGGCCGGGCGAAGCTGAACATGTGGTTGATGGCCAGTAGGGACGGGAATTGTCGTATCTCTCGACTCTAAAGCCCGGAAAGAGTTTGAGTCCCGGTTGATGATGTCCCATAGCGACCCAAAGTCCCCGAGTCCACTGGATAGACCAGGTAAGTTCTGTGAGGAAGTCTGAACATCGGGCCGCTGACGACTCTCTGCTTGTGAGGATACGGCGTCAGAGTCACTACGCCGATGGCCACCAGAGCTTCCATTGTGAGTGGAAGAGCGGAGAAGGTCGAAAACCGGGGCGAAGTCCCAATTCGAGGCCGGCTCTGTGGGATCTGTAACGAGCATTGACAAGGTCGTAACTTAGATCAGGTATAGAGAGAGAAAGATGAGGATAGGGTGGTGCAAAGTAAAGTGTAGGGCGCAATAAACTGCAGAACGAGATCGACGTAATGACGAGTCACAGGACATGTCGTGAGAGTTCGTGAAGAGACTTGATGAACATGATGAGAGTGAGTCAGGTACACATGGGGCATCAAAGGTCCGGAGGCGGAGGCGGAAGTGGAGGTGAATGGTGGCAAAGTAGGGCGGTGAGGATCTGCCCAGGCAGATCGCCCTGTGACTCCATACTAGTCTATATTTGGAAAGTGGGCCCCACGTTGATATCGGAGTATAGGAAGCCAGGTTGGTATTCACTATAGGAGCTTGGTAGTATGATCGAACTTGAATAAGCTAGGATTCCAACTTTCCAAGTTACACGTATTATGTTTTTGCATTGGTTTTGTCTTTTGGGGGGTCAGCTCAACTTACTGTCGATTAGCATGAATCGACCTCTTGAATCAATTTGTGGACCGTAATGTATTAGTAGAGATCGTGATATAGTTCTTGTCTTGAACATGAAAATCCGAATAGACTACTAAGTCAATAAACCGTCTATTCTATTTCTTACTAGTACTAGTACTTTCTCCAAGTTCCTCCGACAATTCTTGCCAAATATCGATATTTTCGAGCTCATATAATGTACTAGGTCGCGCCGCCAACTGCATCCCCGTTGGATTTGATACGGACTGACCATACAATCGCTTGCTTAAGCCGATACTGGTAGATGATCGATGAATGAGTGGGCGTATAGAAGGCAAACACGAGGCAAATATTGCGACTGATGCTTCAACCAAGCTCCAAACTAAGGCTGTGGATATTGTATCCAACAGATCTCTATATCCACCAGAAGAGCCTGGATTGTCAGAGTCTTTTTTCATATTTCGATACTCGGAAGTGACCTACCATAAGTGAAAAACAATATCACCACCATCCTCACAATGGCAACCGCAGTTGACAATGATCCAAGTAAAAATACCAATAGAACACTGATTTTTTTAGACAGAGTAAGCTGCAGCTTCCATACCAGTGGCACTGGGAAAAGAAGCAGGACAAAATCCGTAACGACGTCTGCGATAGCATAACCAGACCAAGATATTTCCGCCTGGATGCAGTGGCGTTGATGTGACCACGATTGGTATTGTAGACTCCAATTTCGTACCCTGCATTGAAAAGCGGATGTGATAAGAAATGCAAGCGCAAGCACCGTACAAACAATGATCATGCCTAGAGACACGGCATTGAAGATTTTGCCCCGAAATATCCTCCGATATGCTAGTAGCACGCTTGTTTTGATGACGCCAAATGTGATTTTCTCGACAATGCTGTAGCCAAGGACAATCTGCGATTATTCGGCATTAATATGAATGAATATTTGGGGTTTCCTGATCTGGGCCGACGTACCCGCTCCGCAATATCATCCGCCCGACCTCGAGATATTGTGTTGTGGTGTGGCGCGTTGGGAGCAGCTGGCTTCGAATGAGCCCCTAGTGACCCAAGCGCGGCGCCTTTTAAGTCTCAAATTAGAATTGATCTGAGTGGCGTGTAGGTAGCCAGGGAGAGAAAAAAGCTTAATAGATACCAGCAATAATAGTGATTCCAAGGCCCCATACTAGGATAGCAGAGACAAGAACTACCCAGTCGTCTTCTCTTAGCGGAATCCTAAGTCTGCTTCGAGTGAGAAATCTTAGTGTGACGGCGGCCGATGCAATTGTCGGAAGTACAACACCCACAGCAATCACGCTATGGGGCTGCAAATTTAGCAACATTATTAAAAGATAGTTGCCATCGCCAAGTTGGAGATGGAGGAAAATGAAGTAGCCCTTTTTTCTGTTCGATCCATCTTAATGAACAGTTTTTCAGTCTACGGTTCTGAGACGGAATTCCTCTCGTAGCCACCGTTCTTCGTGTGTGGCATGCTGAGCACCTGCAGGATATTGGGGGCGCAAATGTACTTGGCAGACTCCCTTTGAAGTATCTCCGGCCCTAGCTTGCACGAATCCCAGTCATGCTTGACTGAGCACTGGCCGGAGACCAGATGAGACCTATCGCAGCTCTTTCCCATCTTGGTGTTGGCCACCTATCAAACAATAGCTAAGCCTGCACGAAGGATCGAAAGTGGAGCCAGTCGTGCGCAAGGGCATGCTAGTCTGCGGGGTTTGGACATGTCCGAGAGTAGTAACTGGATATCTCCTTGCTCAGTACTACATGGTCATGCTCGGGGGCCGCCCCAATCCCATCTGCGAGGATGCAAGACCTGCCGGTTTTAATTCGCACGTAGCCCCTCAAATCATGAAAGGACAATTCTTTCGTAGTCACCCAGTACCCTGCGCATTCTTCCATTGTGACACTTCAACTTGGACTCACTGCAAAAAGAGAGAAAAGAAGGGAAAATGCTCACGTCACTTCTTCTACCCCTTGCTCTAGCTACTGCAGGTATTGCCCAGTCCTTAGGCTGTGGCAGAGAAATCCCGTCCAAGTTTCCATCCCCGGAAAGAGCACAACACTGCATCTTCCAGGGACTGATCGTGAGTATCGACTTTACATCCCACTCACATACGACAAAAACCAACCCACTCCACTATACTTTTCCTTCCATGGAGCTACTCGGGACATGAACGAGGAAGAGGAATTATCCCAATTCTCAAATCCTTTTTTCAACAAAGATGGAATTGCCATCTACCCAAACAGCAAAAATGGTTATTGGCTTTCCAATCCCAACGCCAATACTTCCTTGCCGAACGACCTTGATTTCACCAATGACCTCCTAACGCATATGGAGGATTTACTCTGCATCGACTCAAGTCGAGTCTACTCAGCTGGCAAGTCAAATGGGGGCGGTTTCACCGCTGTCGTTGCCTGCAATGCCACAGTTGGCAGCCGGTTCGCTGCGTTCGCATCAGTCAGTGGCGCTTACTATGACACAAACAACATCCCCGGCGTCGGGCCTTGCAAACCTGCTAAGCGCGAGGAGGGTTACCCTTTTATCGAATTTCATGGCACTGGAGATACAACAGCACCCATTGATGGCAATACGAAAAGCAACCCAAAGCTACCTGTGATCGATTTCCTCAAAGGCTGGGCCGAACGAAATGGGTGTGGGAAGAATGCCAAGTGGACAAGGAATGTGACTGTCATAGAGGACCCGCTACTCAGGCATGCGAGCTGGGACTGTGCCGGCAAACGTGGTATTGTTCAGCATTACCGCGAGAGTGGAAATGGCCACTGTTGGCCTAGTACGGTGGGTAATGATGACTATGAGGATCATCCTTTACAATGCCCTGCCGGCAAATCTGCATTTAATGCCACTGAGTATATATTCGAATTTTTTAGAGGGTATCGTTTAAAAGTCTAGGATACATACTTGAATTCAGCAATATACCTAGGTACTGGTACTACCATTCTCAGTTTTATCCCAATCCGTTCATTTACAATACTCCTGACATAGATTATGATACGGTTGATAGTTGACCGATGAGCCTTTGAAACCTTGGAATCTCATAATAACCGACAATTATCAGCCTCAAAAAAACAAGACAGCAGAAGTTCGAGAACATCTTTCGTGATAACTACCCTTTGAGACGAAATGATGAATAATTTTGTATCTCGAGTCCAATTAATTGGGACTGGGTGGCGGTTTCCCAACGCGGCCTCCAGAAATCAAATCATTCTCGATTAGGGTTGATCTAGATCTTTATATCATCAAATAGATCATACCATCCTAGTGACTACAAAATTTTCGAAATTCAGGTAGACCGACATCACCTGTTTCTTCGTTGTTCATCTTCAAGCTGGAGATAATATCATTCACAATCCCCCAGCATATCGTAAGTGTATCGTAATTATGACGAGCTGGTAGAGCTCTGCGTTTTTGAGAGTATGGGAATCTCTAGCATAAATAGAACGATCTCTTTACTTCTTTCGTGTATCAGAATTTGAAGCAATCCAAAGTACACCACCATATCCCCAGAAAACACACATTCAAACCTCAAGACCAGCCATTAAAAATGTCTGCCCAGGAGCCTATCGAGGCTGTCGACGATGCCGAGGGGTTCGAAAAAGTCGATGATGAGTTTGCCAATTCCAACCAACAACCGGGTACGTACTCTTTCCGCAGGTTGCGTAATTAGACACTCGGTTCTATCAGCTCAAGACGAAGATGAAGCCATCGACTGATCAAATATCATGAATGATCGGACTCGTCACGCACAACCGCAGACTTCGAATAGGTCCAACGAGCCAAGCGAGGATGATCTACCCGAGGAAGCGTTGTGAAGATACTGTGGCTGTGACGCCTTGGTATAATCCTAGAGGAGGAAGGATACATGGCCATTCACGGCGCATGTATGACTGAGACGATTGTCTTGAACTGGACTTTAATTTTTCTTCCCCGTACACGAACTCCTCAATTATCTACAGGAATATTTTATTCGTAATGTGAATCCTAGATCTAGACTCGCAAAGCGGTGTCTGAAACATCCAGTCCTCTTGAAGATAGGACAAGTAGTATTAAAACTAGCTCAATAACACCCGGATCTCCCCTGTAGTCCGGGGGAACAATGGACGCAAACTCCATTGCCCCTTGCCCTCTCCATCCGCATCTCCGTCGGTGTCCCCATCGGTGCCAGGCTTGCGTCCCGATCTACCGCTTCGGCCGCTAATGACACTTCCTCCGGTTCCCAGGGTCGCCTGTGTCATTCCCCTAGCTTCATCTGCTGCAATGATCATACCCTCGACGAACTCAAAGTCACGACAGAATGCTTCCACAGCATCTTCAGTGACGCTGTGGACAAGAGAGGCGCTTTGTACACGCTTGAGATTGTCAGTGGCATCCATGAGAGCGGATGGAAGGAAGTCATCTAGTTGCTGGCTGGATGTAACCAGCGACGACGGCTGGAAAGCAGGAAGACTCGCGAGCTCTGTGAGATGAGGCTTTTCAGAGTTCTCATTGGATTCTGCGTCAGGCTCAGATTCTTTGCCGGACTTGGAGAACGGCTCCAGGGCATCCAAAAGACCCTGAAGTCCGGATGTCTCGAGAAGGAATTGATGCTGCACATCCAAGAGATTTGTGCGAAGTGTAGATAAAGCGGTGGATAAGGGGGCCAGATGCGTAGCACTGGCAAACTCAAATGGGGAGATAGTTGCTCGCGCTGCGAGAAGGATATTTGTACGGTAGATGGTCTGCGCGGTTATATCCTTCACCTCATTGGATGATGCTCGTGCCAGTGTCAAGAAAGGGTCAAATGCAGCATGTAGCACAGGGGTGAATCGATTTTCGTTCGATTCTGCGGACGAATCATCTGGTCCAACCGAGCCATCGTGCGTTTTCATGAGCGATGTTAGACCTTCCAGTGCATCTAGCAAGAATTCAGGAGGTGACAAGTCCTCTGGCGGGATGAGAACAGCAGGGTCAGCTGAGAGGGTGCTCACTTCCTCGCGCATCAAACCCGTGAAGTGATTTAGAGTAAACTTCTCGAGAACCTGCATTAGATCCACGAGGTTCGATTGGGTTCCCAGGAGCTTGGAGAACGTGGTACGGTAAAATGACAACAGGTTCACCACCTTGTAGCAGGTAACAGGGTCGTCGTGGCCCTGAATAACTAGTTCAACTCTCTGTCGCAGGGAGCGAGAAACGCCTGTGAGATCCCGATTGACCAGATCACTGAGGGCCCGGTGGCCATCAAAACTGACTTCTTGGTCTTCATCAAGTCGCGACCAAGGCTCGCTGCTCAGCCCGGCTTGAATGCCCCGGGCAAGCTCCTCGCCGTCGGCAACGAAAAGCGCTTCTAGGGCTTCTCGCTCGGAGACTGTCGTGGAGTGCACCCATGCGAGCATGTCTCCTATATATCGAAGGGGATCATGGGCAGAGAATTCGATCGGTTTCACTGTACGATCTGCTCCAGCACCACCTCCATTACCACCAGAAATAGCATCAGTGAGGGCATAGTGGAAGGCATCCGATAAAACATAGTCTCGAGCTTCCGCAAAATAGTCCAAGCAGCTGTGAAACAAGGTTGGCCGCTCGGCCAGGACCCGTAGAGCACGACGGATCGAGCTGCTGATGCGAGGGTCTTCCAAGTTCAATGACTGGAACTCCTTTTGGATCCACCGGTATAGCTTCTGGTATGCAGAGTTGAGATTTCGAGTGCTCATTTCCATGATCTCGAGACCCAATCGCTGGTTCTCGCCGCCGAGCAGAACCTCACAATCATGGTGTACTTGCTTCACGCGGGCAAGAATATCAAAAAAGCGATCGTCAACAGGTTCTTCCACTGAGGTCAATATAAGCAAGTCCTCCTCCGGTACGAGGAAATGTTTCGAAAAGGCATCTAGTAACTGCTGTTTTGTTTCGGTTTCCTTCCTCTGGGCCATGAGGGCCCCGGCTTCCTCCAGCACAGGTGTAGTATCTTGCTTCGCCTGGCCGATATGCTTACGCATTTCATCACATGTCTGATTCAAGGTCGATATGACAGACCCGATTCGTTGTAATTGCTGCATGGAAAGCGATTATTAGCTTTATTCTTTCTCGCTGGTTCGAAGTAGCTCTGTCGTACCTCTGCCACTTTGCCAAAGTCTCGCACAATTTCCGCGTTGGAATCCACCACTTCTTTTTGTACATCGAGTCGTATTTGTCGTCGTATCCCTGCAGTATTGTGGATTCCGCGTAAGCTCAGGGTTTCGAGCGAATCTCGAATGTCGGAGTCGGCGTAGGACGCCGACAGAACAGAGGTTAGGCGATTGGATAGAGCAGTCGAGCGCTGCGAGGCTGGCGGCGATAGCGGCGACGAGGCAGGGGAGGGCCCATTGCCATTGCTGGCACCAGCGGGGAAATAGCTGGTCATTGTTGGCGTGGAGTAGCCAGCGAAGCGATGGCGGGGAGGAAGGGAAACCTAGGCCACCTCCGTACACTCCACTTCTTCCACGTTGCGAGCAGACCGCCTTCCCCGAGCTCCGCGTATCTCTTCTTATCGCGTCAACATTCCATTCTATGGGAATGGAACGAATTCCAATAACTACGGATCCATGGATGGGTTGGTTTTAACGAACCCCCCCGAATTGATCCTTTCCATATACAAGACCACTCGGATTATTAGCAGTTGCTCGTTCATACAATGGATGCCTTCGATGGCAGCCCACTCGTCTCGCCTACCAAAGCACGACAGGCTGCCATTCAAGCCAAGGACTGGGCATATGTGAACTCCTGGCTCGGCCGACAATATGCTCCAAAGCCTGTACCGCAATTTGAGCGCAACGAAGATACTTTACGCGTTCTCTTGACTATGGCGACATCCAACGAGGCCGCAGACGAGGAAGCATCGCTACAACATCGTGCGCGCGAAGAAGCAGTCCGTGCCTTCAAAACAAGAGAAGAAACTCAGCGCAAAGATCCACATGAACTCCAAAAGAAAGAGATACTAGACGAAGTGGAGATTTGTCTAGACGAACAGGGAAAGCGAGACTTGGATGACCTTGCCGACTCAGCGGTTGTCCTGGGAAACACGTTGAATCCCGAGCCCGAAGATCTCAGTCTATCTATTGTCGAGCTCACCGCCGAAGAATTCGACACCCAAGATCAACTGGATAAGGTTGAAACGCTGCATCGTTATCTCCAGGGAGAGCTTTCGCGGCTACAGGCTGATCTGGAGGAGCTCAAAACCAACAAGGCATACGAAACGCCGGCGGACACGCAAAGCTTAACGGCAGAGTGGACACGGGGGACGAAAACGCTTACTACGAAAGTTGGAGAATACCAGGATCGCATTGCATCACTCGAAAGGAATCAGCCTCGTGGTCCTACCATTGAAGAGCTTATGACGGAAGAAAAAAACGTGGTCCTGTTACAGGAAACGGTCAAAGCTCTTGAGAGGCGTGCCAAAGCTTTCCATGACCTGCCTAGGGATGTCCCGAAAGCACGAGCCAAATACAAAGAGCTTGAGCGTGAACTGGACCAACTCACGCGGCAGCGAGAAACTATGTTTGGGAGCCTTGTAGATAGACGATGAATTTACTTTCTTATTACAGGGGAAATAGCCATTCTTATTCACGACTGTGAGATCGGTATTGTGTTGAGCCGGGAGCTAGCTAAAGCTAGAAACAAATGGTATCATTGACGCGTTACTGAATCATCATGGCGGTCACATCTTCAGAAGATCGTAGCCACGGCTGGGTATGTGTCACAAGGAACGAAGTGCCTAGTTGTTCATGCCGAGAGCGTTCTTGACCTTGTCGCCGCTGTGAAGAAATGATCAGCATCTATACTTTGGTGTTGACGTTTGATTTAGAGAGGGGCTGTCTTACATGGAGTTGCTGGCACCGCCGTGGACATTGTTGTCGCTGGCACGCTGGGCCTTGTCGAAGGTCTCCTGGGCACCACCCTTGCTGTCATCGGTCTGGAAGCCGCGGGCAACACGGTCAGTGGTGTCGGTGACAGTCTCCTTGACCTTGTCCTGGGTGGACTTGGTGGAGTCAGGAGTGATCTCCTCCTTGGCCTCTGTGAGAGAGGGGTTGTTAGCATGGGCCAATATGATAGGAATGCTGCATCGAGAGTGAATAATAGGTAGATACATATCACATACTGGTAGAGAAATCCTTGCGACCGGTGTCAGACATATTGATTGATGGTGGATTGATGGGTTTGAGAAAAGTAGTAAAGATTTATTGGAGTGAGTGAGGATGAGGAAACAGTGCAGTGAGTTGGTGTCCAGGCAGGGTCATTATATAGACCAGGATGATCCAGTGATGCTTCAGGTGAATGACGTCGTCTATTGTTCGCCCAGGTTTCTAGGCAAACTACACAAACTATTTACAGCTACAAATAATTATCTGTATGTACTACTCTGCCAACTATCTTCAGACCATGGTTAAACCTGGTAACATCCCAGTGGTCCGCAAATCAGCGTACTGTAAAACGCGGGGATATTCTTCCCTGATGACGTCGGGACTGTTAGCACGCCACACTTAAAGCAATGACGCTTAGATGACTTCAATGCCAAGATGAGGCTGTGGTGGCTGGTCCCGATTCGGCCTAGCGCTACTGCATTTCCTCATATCTGACTATACTTGTTGACTTGAATTCTATTCTATAGTGGAAGTAATCAATTTTCTTTGGAAGCCTCAGGCGTGTTCAACTCAATTCTGTCGACTCTTTTTTTCAATCCATTCCTCTGCCATCTTTCCTATGCCAGCATGGCACAAGTTAGATCTCGAAATCGCCAGAAGGACGAGGCTCAAGTCCCGCTTTCTCATATGTCCTATCAATAGTCTCCATCTGCGCAATACTCTCTTCTCCATCGATCCAGACCGCTGACCCCTGGCGACCCTTTATCTTGTTTATGAATTCCTCCAACTGGCACCGATATGTAGACCACCAGTCCTTGTATACTGCAGCACGCCTGTCTCCACCGGGCCAATTGTAGGCCTTTTGATAGCTGGTTTCGTTCCAGGATTTGATGACCTCTTCACCGCGTAGAAGCGTATGCTGGTCCGATGTATCGATTCGGTGATAGATGAAAGGAAAAATATGGTTCCAGATCGTGACACTTCGCTTGGATAGGTGTTGAAGTGGAACACCATCTTCCTGCGCTATAGACTCAACCAGCACCGGCTCGAACACGGCCTTGCTCGTAGGCCATCGCAGGGTTGGTAAAACCTTTGCCCAGGAAGCGGGTAAGAAAGAGGACAAGCCTCCTGCAGAGGCTAGGTCTCCCTGGATTCGAACGGCTTTGGAGTCTGGCGTGAGAAATGTTGCTGTCACGCCTTCATCGATTTGTGGTTCTTCTGCCGAGCTATTGCGCGATATCGACAAAGGACGATAATAAACCTCGACTGGGGTCAATCTGATTTGACGTCCCAGTATTTGACGTACACTAGACACGCAGTAAGTTGCGACATCCATCAAACAACCCCCCGCAAGCGAGTATTTGAAGCGAATATCGTCTTTCCCCAACGCTAGACGGGGCAGGTAGAACTGAGACGAAACACTTTCGATGGACCCAGGGGATTGATGTACTTGGGACAAGAAAGTTTGCCATGCAGGGTGGAACTGATAGTGAAATGCTTCTAAAAGGACCGGTGCATTCGGAGCGGTTATTAGTCGATGTTTGAATAGCTTCTTAGCTTCGGTGGCATTGGCGCAGGACGGCTTTTCTAGTAGGACATGTTTGCCGGCCTGTATTGAGCGGAGTGACCATTCGTAGTGGTGGCTATTTGGCAATGCAATGTAAACAGCATCGATGGATGGGTCTTCGAGTAGGGCTGGAAGCATAGCAGATCAACACAGGGCAATCTATGTATCAGGGGCAGTGAAATACTAGTACCTAGGTAACTTACCCTGGTAGGTAGAGTGAGCAACTGGAATGCCGTACCTCCGAGCATATGCTTCAGCACGTTTTATATCGCGCGCAGCCACGGCGGCAACAATGACATCGGGGTGTGATTTTGCTGGTGTGATAACTGAGAACGGTCTGAAACATGACGATGAGTTAGCAAGGTAAGCCAATACTAATTAAAGGGGAATTTAGCGAGAAAACGACACACATACGCTATGTTACTTGCCCCAATGAGGCCGATGCGTATAGCATCGTCCCTCTTTCTCGGTGTTATGGGCGGGCTGATAACACTATTATAGACTCTCAAAATAGAATCGAATAACAGCATTGCGAGGAATGACCGATGGTAGGTTTCAAAATCCAAGAGTGGAGAAGGGAAAGAAAATAGAGTCACCACTGAAGTTTCCGCTCAAACGCTGCCGTGTATTAGCACTCAGACTGACGTGACGCGGTAGGAAGCGGAGTGATGACGTGAGGCCTTGCGGACGGGCTCACAAGCTGAGATAACACGCGGCAGCCGAAAAGACATGGCAATTCAAACTAGATCTTTTAGAGATGCTTGTCATAACTAATTTTCGAAGTGTCTTTTGTTTTATTTACTGAATTGCTTTGTTGGACCGCCTAGAATATCAAATGGCTAAGTACTAATGCAATGCACCGTATTTATTTCAAATCGAGATGCTTCTCTGAGCCTCTTCAGCTGCTTCGGAGAAAGAGTCTCCTTTGATTAGGTTCTTGGTTCTTTTGCCGGGATGGGAATCCCGCATTGTTTAGGAGTCACCAGGCGTTTGATCATTCAAGTTATTCAATATCACACTAAACTCCATGCTCATAAACTAGTACCACCAAGCCTTCCGAAGTAATCAAGGATCTCTAAAAGAGCTTACCAAGAATTCCCATGCACCATGGCCCACCAAGCCGAACTCAACCTGGTATCAAATGCCCAACAGTGAGACACCACATTCCGAGAAAGAAAAAGAAACATGAAATGGAAACACCAGAACAAAGCATAAACGTGACCAGAATCGGACCGGCCGAGTGTTGTGTAGAATATCGCGTGTGCCACAAGAAAACAGAGAAACGTAACGTCATAATTACCGATTCCAAACCTTGGCTTTCATTCTGCAAATTCCAAAAATGTCTCTGCAAGAGACGAGATTGGAGTTGAAATGAAAGACCAGTAATGGTAAGGGCTGACTAGCCGCCCCTCTCGCCGAATTCTTTAGCCCAGTCCTCGTACTTACGGAGCCCCTCAGATGAGACACTAGGTCGAATGGAGTACAGGCTAGATTCAAAGTCCTGGAACTTGATTGGGCGGATCTGGTCCATAGGCGTGTGGAGGAGAGCCTCACCGAGGTTGCGAAGAGGGCCCATGGCGGCATCTTTGGCAAGTGCTGTTATATCTGAGCCGGAGAAGCCTGTCGAAATCAAATTAGAGAGAGATTTCTAGAATTAATCAAGGATTTAGTGGGAACGAGTTTACCTTCTGTTACATGGACTAGAACCTGGATATCCTCGGCGCTCAGCTCATGGTGTTGATGACTGAGTAGGGTGCCTAGTTGTTGTTCGCGGACATGGTGTTCAGGTAATGGGATATACTGTCGACGGACAAAGCGGCGACGCGCTGCTTCGTCGATGTCCCAGGGCATATTGGTGGCTGCCAATACAAGTACCCGACTGGCGTCACCTTCTTTCTTGTCCCGGGCCGATTGTTCGCGGCCAGCAGCGGCACGCTGCAGGTCTGACCATTGAACCAAAAATTCAGTCTTGGACCGGCGTGAGGCTTCGTGTTCAGAGCCCGATGACCGCGCAGATAGAAGAGAGTCAATCTCGTCGACGAAGATGATAGATGGCGCCAGAGCCTTAGCCAGTCCAAACAGAGCGCGTACAAGCTTTTCACTTTCGCCGTGCCATTTGGATGTCAGGCTTGATGCAGATACAGAGAAGAAGGTTGATTTTGATTCCGTAGCCACTGCTCTTGCAAGCATGGTCTTGCCAGTACCTGGAGGACCGAAAAGAAGCATGCCACGAGCTGGTTCTCGTAGACCGGAAAATAGATCTGGCCGGAGGAACGGATAGACAACGGCTTCTTTGAGAGCTTTCTTGGCCGGCTCCAGTCCCGCAATATCCTCCCAATGTACCTCGTCGCCGCGAACGACGATATCATTGAGGATTTGACGGGCTGACTGGGGATCAACACCCTTGGGCAATTTGTTCATAATCGCCACAATATCTTGGGCTTCTTGATCTTCGTCTTCATCGGCGTCGTCTTCGGACGAGTGCCGTCCCCAGGATTCTTGGTCGCTTGATGGCGGTGTCTCACGGCGCTTGGCAGGCGGTGGCTTTCGTTGAACTGTACTGTTGCTGTTACCGTTCGCCCCCGAGATTGCCATTCGGTTCATTCCACGCCGAAGATCATCACTGCCGGACGATGGTGATATATAGGATGATTGTCCACTTTGTGTTGTCCTCGGCGCAGACTTTGTCCGTGGCTTGCTGCTCGGAGTAGTTGCCTCGGAGTCCTTTCGAGGAGTTACTGACCGGGAATTGCCCTCTGACTTAGTCATTTGCGTCACGCGTGGTGGGGGCTGGAGTGACGACCTCAGCGCCACAGGCTTGGGTTTGATAGATGGTTTTGAGCCGGGCGATGACGGGGTTGCGTAAGCTTTCGGGTCGGGCATTACGACTGGTGCCGATGCCGAAGGCTGGGACCGACGAGGTTCAGAGTCCGCTTGGAATTGGCGCGGGATTGTTTGAGAAGTTGGCCGGGGCGAAGATCGTGGAACAGGCGCATTTTTAGGCTCCCGCCAATTTGCAGGTGGGATCCGATCCGTGGAAGTATTCATTTGCAGCGGACGTGGCCGCGCCAATGAAGGTTCTTCCCCAGAGCTTGATTTTGGATCAGCATCTCGGCGAGCGCTGGCATCATTGGCAAGACTTCGAGATGAAGCCACCGCCGCATCCTTCGAAGGCTTATCGATCGACGATGAACGGTAGAGGTTGCCCCATGCGAGACCAGCAGCTTTTGAGGCGGCCGGCCGGGTTTCCTTGCGCTTAGAACTCGACTTGGTCGTTTTGTCTTTCTTCTTCCCATCCTTGTTGCGCAGCGTCGTCAGCATCATCTTTCGTCGCTCAGGGCTGGACCCGCGGGATTTAGTCTTGTCGGAGGAGTTGGAGTTCATTCGTAGCGCAGGGGAACCGGCCGGCGACAAGCCAGATGGAAGGGAGTCATCGTAGGGTTGTAGAGTATCAGAACTGTGTCTCCCCATCGATGGAAGGGGAGGTCTCCCCGGTATGGCGGCTGGTTTCGAGAGATCTGTATAGCCAACTGCTGGGATGGTGCCGTCCCCGATCCAGCCAGGAAGGCTGGAAGATGATGGAGCGGGCATAGTTGCTGGAGACTTCCCTTTGGTAAGAGTTGTTGGTTCCTTTGCCCCGTTGGCGTCAGCGCTTTCTTTCCGACTCTCACGCAGGGCCGATAGCAAATCGACCCGCTCGCGGCATTGGGCCTCTAGTGCACGAATGGAATCTTGGAGGGCTTTTTCCGTTTCGGATTTAGGGGTATAATTCGATGGGACCCGGCGAGCATTGTGATGGTAAATCGTCTCGAGAGCGGACCGCCAGGATCTCAATGCTTCCTCTTCGTTGTTCTGATGTCATGAGCAATTGAAGCAGCGGGGAGGTCACGGGGCACCTACCTGGCCTTCAAAGTAGACCGCAGTTGAACAGAGCAAATAGCATTCATCGTACGTCTTCTGTAGGGAAGACGCGGGCCGTGGGCGCATCATTGGGAAAACGAAGGCCCGAACCCATGTCACTGCAAGTTGTTGGCGGGGAGAAAGGGCAGCGGTGATCTCCCGGAGCGGAGGAGTTTTCGCGTGACGTCGTCGGTCCGCCGAATTGCTGCATGCGGACACAGCCGACACTATGACTGTACTTATATACTAAACTGCTACTAGCAGTAGGGAGATTTCACTAGAATCGAATACAATAAGATTGAAACAAAGCAATAAACATCTGATCACATCTAGATTCCTCGTGGTGGCACGTCTATGGGTACATGCAAGAAAAATAACGGAAAACAAAGAACCAGTCACTAAAACACATATTGATGCAACAGAACCCAGCCCGCATAAGATAATCAAACCCGAGGTTCCACATTCTAACGCCGGTAAGGATAGAGGATACATCGGACGAGGGGGAGATATGGAGAGGGGGAGGGTTAAGAGAGATGAAGAAAAGAGATCCGTTACCCCAGGCCGGCTTACTGATGCCGTTCCAAACCCCTTTGGTTCCAAACTATACAGTGCTAGAATCGCTTTTTGGTCAACAGAAGCTCCAAACATGCAAGAAGATCGAGTCGGGCTCTTCAGGCCCAAGATGCAACACCCCCAGGGTATGGCAGGCTCTGCCTGCATCCCAAGGACCTGGCCAGATGCCGAAAAAAAAGACTCGTGTCGCCTCAAGATATCAGAGAAATAAAAGAGATAGGAAAATGGAGTAAGAAAAATTGAAGATGGGGTCGCGTGGTGTATGCGCGACACCCGAAGTGAGAAGCGAGTCGAGGCGATTTACCGAACTGGGAGATGGCATTTGAATCGACAGGCGCTGACCAGGTCGAGAATTATTCTAGTCGAGGCCTTGCTCCTTGAAGTACGCCTTGGCCATCTCATAAGATGTCCAGCAAATGGCGGTACTAGGCATGGTGGAGATAATGCGGGGGCGCATGCCACGCAGGAACCCGGCCCATCCGAAGCGATTCTTGATGATGGAGGCCGCGTTCCATAGGCCGCGTGCCGAGCGAATTTCTTCACTTTCGGCCAGACCACGAGTCTGGAGAAGGGTCTTCACCACGTCGAGAGGAGTGGTGATACCGGCCGCGAAGGCACCGGCAAGACCACCCGCCATGCAGTGAGTGAAGGGATCGTAGTCTCCCTTGGGGTTCATTATCTTTGAGATCGACTCGTAGGCAACGAATTGGGTCGCAGTGAAGGGCACGGTCATGCAGAGGGTTGTAGGGTAGGAGAGGTAGAAGGCTTGGAGACCCTCAGTTCGGTAGAGGGTTTTGGCACATTGCACCATAGACTTGTGAACGGAGCCGTGGACTTGCATTCGCTGCTTGATGACTGTTTTTCAAGGGATTAGTTCCAGCGCTCTGTGGATGTCTGTAACAGTTAATCACTCACCATCGAATGGGTTCATCAACGCATCGCTTGCGATCGTGGCCGAGGCACCACTCAGTGCTATTCAGAGCCCATTTGTCAGTCATGCTTATCCCGGTATAACCCAAGAACCAGTCCACCTACCAGCTGCTAGTGGGTGATGTCCATCGTCGACGTTTCCGCCCGCTAATTCCTTCACAATTTCATATGTGCCGAAGTAAACCGCGTGTGCCGGACCTGTAGTCGCCAAGAATTATTAGTTACCAATGCCTACTCGGTCATCAGAAGCCCGGAAATCGAATAAACGTACCAGCGCCGACAATCACACTTGAAACACCCTTCCAAAGTGTTCGCCAGCCCTCAATGCGGTAAATTGTCGAGACCGCGTTTGTCAAACCGGTGTACAAGCCACCAGCAGAGGGGTTCAGGATTTGCATGCGAGTCTAAGTGTGGCAAAAATTTGCGTCAGCGTCCATCCGAACTCTGCATTATGGATTCAAGGATCCTGCGACGCAGGACTCACCTTCAGCAGGTCAACCGGGTACATCACCGAGTGTTCCTTGAAAGAGATTGTCAGCTCCAAGAATATCACCGCCCGCGTTCCAATTTTTCTTTTTACCAACATACCGCGATTCCCGCGAAGGCACCCGCGAGCATATTCCGGCCTAGGCCATAGTTGGAGGGAAGAGCTTCGTAGCTATTGAGGAATCCAATTAGCTTCCATCAAAAGACCCAAGGAGAAGGGAAAGGGAAGAGAATCGCAGTAGCCACGAAAAGCCGAGGCTACTGAGCGGACAAAGCCAGCAAGCAGACAATAACATTAAATGACGGGTCGGATGGTCAATTCGTAGAGAGGAATCCGACCGTCACAGTTGTGATCCACGATGCCATCGCAAAGCCGCCCGAGGAAATTTCATGGAGAAGCACCTACTCAAACTCGGGATCGGTGATCTGGTCGGTGGCCGCCATGAAGCTCCGCTAGCTCAAAGCGCAGCTGGCGCAAATCGGGAGAAGGATGTGTCGGAGGGGGGAGAGGATCGTAGGGATGGCGAGAGAGGAGGGTTGAGGGTGCGCAGGGAGGTGAAGTTGAGAAGTGTGAAGGATGATGAGGTAAACGGGTTCTCCGTGGAGCAAAACAGGCCCGGGATGCCCACAACGGGAGGAACCAGGGGGGAACAGAACAAGCAATTCAACACCACAACTTGAGTGAGATTAATGATTAGGGTCGCAACTTGTTGAACGTGATCGTTTGCTTCTTTGATAATTCTCAAGGAAAATTGGAAGATCCACGGAGAAGAAAGGGAAGGAAATTCTTTAGATCCAAGTTAGACCCCCAGACACTAGTAATCTAAGTCACTACGGAGTAACGGAGTCAAGAAAAATAAATTATTTTAAGGCCGACCTTCGCCGGATTCCACTGGCTCCGAGGCCCCATTTCCCAATATCCCGATCTCCGAGTTACTCTTACTACGCACCTGGGCACTACCAGTAACTCCCAGGCTTGCCTCCTGGCGATGATGACAAAGTAGATGGTTGGAATATATTTCATACGGACCTTCCGTGCGATCCCGTGTATTTTCCCCCTTGATTATGATCTCTGCTTGTCCATGTAGGTTGATGGATTATTCAGAAATGCCAGGCTAGACCCCGTGATTATTCCAGAGTATCCCAAGATCCGATGACGGAGCTTAGGTAAGGTGTATTGGTAATATTGGTATCGGCAGTACCTTCCCACTCCCGCATCGGTACCGACCGGTACCTTTTTGCACTATGACGGACCCACACATTGGCTAAGTACCTCTCCGATGGTCTCCGTAACGACACTGGTCACTTTTATCAATCTGATAAGACGCCCCCTTCATTTAATTCTGTCTGCGATCTCCTAGGCTGGGACTAGTGTGCTGAGCATGGAGAAACTAGTCGGTCCTCTCCCTTTTCAAGTGGATCAAGGCACCCAACAATTTCATCAACATCTACTCATGGAACCAGCGATCGCTTCGAGAAGGCCGTTGGAAATCTTGTTAAAGTGGAGAGACAGAAAGACACACACAATGGTTCCCAGGGTGCCCAGGATTCCCTTTTGGGAAAGCAACACCCTGAAAAGATTCTTATCTGATGGTAAGATCCCTCATTCCTTTCCTATTCCATCACCCGCCTCTCTCTAGTATGTCCTGGTACATTTTTGGAGAAAATCGCCCGAGCCAAGAAATGGAATGTGGTGAATCTTTTCACTGTCTCATCAACGAAATACGAGGTCATCTTCAACCAGGGGCTGTGCCCGACCACGCGACTTTGCCGGTCGGCCTGCCGAGGTCCGGCGTAAGCCCGTGTGGACTGAACTAACCCCTGCTGGTCGCATTCGTACGTAAGATTGCACCTGGGAACAACTTCCATGTCCCACCTGACTATAATTCCGGTAAGGGAAAATGTAAAGTTCCAATTTGGGCAGAGACAAGCCCCCTGAGTACTCACCCAAGTGATATCTATGGTTGCCCAAGCTACCAACCAGATGCTCCAGGAAGAGATAGACCCTGCAAAAGGCACTGCCCTGGCTATTTGTGCCTAACGTGAAACGATCGCATTGCCCTTCTTACATGACAGGAGATAAATCCCCGTCTACCTCCGGTACGGAGCCTCTAGTAGTTCCTGCCATAGCGATCTACTGCAGTTAGCGTTTATTTTGTGACGAAGGTTATCATTGTCAAGAATCCGTACGTAGCCCTGCTGGAATAAGCAATATCTAAACTAGGCCCTACGGCAATAATCCATTCTAGAGCCTTGGGATTTTACCGCAATCGGGTGAAACCCACAATATTAGGATTTGTCTACGCAACGGGATGAACAGGTTGTTACATGCTTGATTAATATATAAATGAGGGCTTCGTGATCAGATATTGTCGACCGTCAACTAATTAGACTAGGTCAAAAGCCTTACTTCAAGTTAGTGCTTGGGTGCATACAAATTCGTGTAGTACCGAAATAAACAATACAAATTATTAGGTCTTCATTACTCAGTTCGTGCGTCTAATTCCGGGGTTTTATTAGAAGACATCTCGAGAGGTATACTAGTATGCTCCACCCAGTGACGGTGTCTCAAAATGATATGTACTGGCACGAATTGAGAACAAAGACTCCTTATTTTATCTTTACTTCCTTGGAGATTGCTTTCTCTTCGTCATACAGGGTCTTCTAGGTTATCATACACATATCTCTGATTAAACCTTTGACGACACCGGAAACGCCACCATAGACATCATCTCCCACAATGACCAGTCGAATGCTGGGCACATAGAGTACGGTCGTGTTATACGCATCTGTATTTCCGACTTCGGTGGCGCGAAAATCGTGGTGTTCAAGACTGAATATTAAAGAGTCAACTACCTCAGTTCAGCTAGCTCCAGAGCGGCCAGGATCTGTCCTCCCGGAAACAGGGTATGCCATGTTCCTTCCAGTATCCCAGGCTTGATCTGCTCATTCATGTGCTCGACCGTGCCCGAGATAGCAATGGCACGCAGATTAGGCCAGTGCTTGTGGAGGACAAAAATTCGAAACTAGTGGTCTCCGTGTCCGTGGGCGATGTATACGTAGCGTAGATTGTTCCCTGGTGCGACTTTCTTGATCCAAGTGGCTAGGTCTTCGGTCTGGGAAATTGACCTAGGCGTGTCAACCAGGACGGCTTCAGAGTCGCCGTGGATTAGTGTGCAGGATATTGGAGAGGAGTAACTTGTTCCTCCCATGCGCTTTATTGCTATCGGGAGGCCCGAAGAGACGTGAACGTCAGCTGGAAGCCACTACCACCGGCAATTGTTGGGGATTTGGTCTTAGGCACCACCCTGGGCAGTCATTTTACCTTCCGGGCCTTCTCTCTCTCCTCGATAGCGCATGCATGCACTATTTTCCTGGTTTCCATCCTCTGACAGCAATTGACACACGTAGGTGAAGACGCTGGGTATCGAGGATTGGACGATGGGTGGCAGTAATGAGAGGCTGTTATCTGATGAATCAAAATACGCCTGGGAACAGAATTGAGGAAGGAACCAGGGCATATCGACTTGGCGATATGGCCGCTGTTGCGGGGAAGTGAGTGGTGGAGTGACGGTGGAGTGGTGGAGTGGCGGACTGGTGGAGCTCATTTTCAACATCCTTCAAGTTCCAATTAATTTGATTGGATCTAGTGACTTGGAATGGATACTAGTATGGATGTAAGGAAGGGATATTTAGTACGAATAAGCACTCATTTCCCGAGCTTGTTGACAGGAAGAAATTGGGTAATTTCACCACTTCGCCATCAAAACATTCTAATTAACCAAACCTACGACCACAATGGCTCCTAAACCAAAGGTTGCCTTCATCGGATTGGGTGCCATGGGGTTGGGGATGGCCATACATCTGATAGAAGACGGTTTCGCTGTGACCGGGTTCGATGTCAATCCCATGGCCCTTGAGAAACTGCTCGCCATGGGTGGTACCTCTGCCACCAGTCCAAATGAATGCGTCCAAGGTGCATCATTCGTTATCTGCATGGTTGCGAATTCTACGCAGACCGAGGATGCATTTTTCGCCAACTCAACGGGCGCAGTATTTGGCCTGACACAAAACGCGATTGTCATATTGTGCTCAACAGTTGCTCCAGGGTTTCCAGTGGAGATTCTGGGTCGTATCCGCCAGACCTTCCAAAGGCCAGACATTCAATTGTTGGATTGTCCTGTGTCTGGTGGAACGATACGAGCCGCTCGAGGATTGCTGACCATTCTGTCATCGGGACCAACGAACATTCTGAATACCGCTCAGCCAATCTTGAAGTCAATGAGCGACAATTTATATGAGATTGAGGGCGGACTAGGTGCCGCGAACAAGGTCAAACTTATCAATCAGCACCTTGCTGGTGTTCATATTGCGGTTTCTGCAGAGGCAATGGGAATAGCTGCAACATTGGGATTAAACACAAAAGAATTCTATGAAACAGTTCTCAAAAGCCCAGCGTGTAGTTGGATGTTTGAAAACCGAGTACCTCACATGCTCTCCAATGATTGGACGCCTCACTCTGCTATCAGTATCTTTGTTAAGGATATGGTATGCTTTCTGTCCCTACCTAATCGAAACACCGTAGGTGAAACATTGAAAGATATCCAGCTGACATCTGCATCAGCGAATTGTGACCTCGGAAGGTCTCCTTCAGGATTTCCCTCTTTATATTGCATCTGCAACGGAACGACTTTATCAATATGCCGCGCGCATGGGATACGAAAAAGATGACGATGCCAGTCTTGTTCGGATTTTTCTAGCACAAAACCCAGCTCTGGTTTCAGAAGCAACACATATCCAGACTCGCTCCAATAGTTCGCGCTCATCTGAGCTGATATGCTGGTTATTGGAGACTGTCCACACCTTAGCAGCGGTTGAAGCTCTGGCCCTCGGACATAAACTCGGCATTTCGACCAGCACCCTCACATCAATCATTTCAAACGCCGCTGGTGCCAGTGAGTCCTTCAAAAGGCTTGCACCGAGGATTGTGGCTGGCGATATTTTATCTGGGTATACCATCATACAGACCCGAGACAAGCTGGTATGTCCATCCTCTTCAAAGCTGAAATTGACGTGACTAACCAAATCGACAGAAAGAAGTAATGACCCTTGCTCAAAAGCACAACTACCCTTTACAACTCGCGGCTACTATATTCCAACTTTTACAGCAGGCGGTGATTTATGGACTGGGCGGGGAAGGTCAAGCAGCGCTCCTCAAGCTATGGACAACATCAGATCTTTCCACCGAGCCCTCGCATGCCACCAAATATGACCCATGCACCCTCCCTAAACTAGGCTCAAAGACGCCTGAATCCGAGAACAACGCTGAAAACCTAGCCCTCTGATATCATATATGATATACAGGATGCTTCGTCACTCACCGGCATTGCAAGAAATTGTGACCTGTGCGTCTGAAGAGCTACAACATGGCAAGAATGTACTGGGAGGTGACCAGTCATGACGTTGTGTCACTGGAAGGCAATGCTTCGGTTATGATTGGGAAAGAGTCCATCCTGTCATGTAGCTCCGAATGGTCTAGGGGTCTTGGCCCTACCCGTTTGGGGGAAAGAGTGGTTAGGTTGATTAATGAAACGCTAGTAGCTGCCTTGAACCACATTTTTGCCATATTTGTTTTTTGTACCAGGTCAGAAGATCGATTTCAGGACTCGGCGTCTTTCTTTCTTTTTGTTTTGTTTGTTGGTTGTTGTTGCCTTCGGTACTTTCAAGTGAATCGTGCCTTCCACTTCTGTACCCTGCCTTTATCTGTTTGCTGTCCCCGCACTAAATGGGCCAATGGGAGAGGTCCATTCCCGCCATGTCCATAGTATGATTGAGTAAGGACTCGGACTACAATAGGACTTTTATCAAAGTCACAGAATCATGGCATTATGTCCCTTGTATCCTGTCAGTCTTTTGGCATCTGAAAGCTCAGACAATCACAACTTGGACATCAACAAACTAGCCGCGAATGCTCTGGTACGAACCAGATTCAACCGGCTCGATCGACAAAAGAGAGTAGAAATACACTCTCCTCGTCCCCGACAGAAATAGTTATAGAAAGACATCCATGGATATAGTACTGGAGGTGAGCAGGGAGACAGCCAGACCCGTGGCAAGGTCCCAAGGTTTGCGACTCTTGATTTGTCTGAATTCTTCCATTTGCAAAGCTAGTAATATCCACATGTCCGTATCGACTAGTATTCAAACTATGTCTCATTTGCCTGTTTCCGAGTTTGCTAGACCATGAAGGCCTCAAAGTCCTCATCGGGAAGATGTGCCTCTTCATTTCCATCAATCGTACCTAGATACCACGACAGGTCGCTTCCATCAAACTCGCGTGCGGCAAAGCCGTTACCAAGATAGCCAAACCGGTTGGAGGTTGTAAAATTGAGATTGTAATCTTCCCAACGGGGCTGCTTCATGGTCTCAAAGAAATGAATTCTCGAACCCGGCCACATCATCACCTCGCCATCGATCGTTCCCTGCTTGAACCAGGAACGACAGGGAGATGTCCAAGCGGTTCGAGGCATGAAGTTTCGGTGGTGTTCAAAGAAATCCGCTACCGCCTCCACCTTGGGCTCAAAAGATGTCACACCTTCGGATGACATTTTCTCAAGCATTTGGAGGAAGTGTCTTGATATGGTCTCCGTAATTGGGAGAAAACTTCCGTGGCCGTAGGGCCCAAAAGGTCCGTTGAAAACTTTTCGGTCAGAATTAGCATCCTGGCAATTGGGGGCTGAGGATGCGGAGAGGCTCACTGAGGTAATTGGGGAAATGTGGAACTGTGATGGAAAGATAAGTTCTTGGGATATTTTCCCATTCCTCACTCAGACTGCGAGACTCTCGGCCAATTGTCGGGTACGATGGCCGCCAACTGACATCAAATCCGGTAGCACACACGATAACATCAACCTCGTGCTCAACACCATCTGCAGTCATGATGCCTTTGGGGGTAACCTCCTCAATTGATTGACTGAAAACCTCGGTGTTCTCGCTGCAAAGCGCCTCGAGGTATCCGTTTCCGGGTGTAGGTCTTCGGCAGCCCACTGCAAAGTCCTTTGGAACAATCGAGTCTGCGATTTCCGGACGATCGGCAAGCTTTGTGCGCATATCCTTCTCTGCGTACTAAAAAAAGTTCATTGTCAGATACCTGTTAAGGACAAGCAGTGTACTGGGTTGAAACGAGAGTCTTACAGCTCGCGCATTGGCTTGTTCCTCGGATCCATTGAGAATGAATCGGAAACGAGAGTTGAGTTCAGACTCGATCTTCTTGCGATATGCCAGGTATTTCTGAGGGTCGTTCTGCAGTATTTCCTTTTGCTTCTCATTATCTGCTCTTGTCAGTATTCCGGACTGAGGTTTGATGAGGCCGGCCTAGTGGAAGCTTTACATTTGAAATTGGATCCTCCTTTTCCTGCGAATCGTTGACCAAATCCGGCAGTCACCCACGAGGCACTGCGAATGAAGCATTTGAGAGATGAAACCTCTGTGTTGATCATCAGTATACTTCTCGCGCTTTGGACTGGCGAAATTTACTTGGTTGAATGCTCGGAACGATTTGCACCGCAGATGAGCCTGACCCAATAACAGCCACACGCTTCCCCTGTAATTGAACACTGTCGTCCCAATTTGCACTATGAAGTCTGGGACCCTGAAAGGATTCCAGGCCCTTGATTGCGGGCCATTTCCATTTGCTGGAGTGCGTCAGCCTCGCTATTTCACCGCTGTAGAAGAAAAAGGTACTCACTTCAGCACGCCACTTGCGTTGATCAATATGTGACCTTGGTCCTCAAAAAAATCTTCGGGGTTATCTCCTCTCTGGACTTTGACATGCCACTGTTGATCTTGATCATCCCAAAATGCGCCTACCACCTTGTGCTCCAGGCGAATGTATTTTCGAAGCCCGTACTTGTCGGCAACGCTCTTGAAATATTTCAAGATTTCAGGTGCACCCGAATAACTTTCAATGGTAAGTTCGATGCCCACTTGTCTTTTCTGATAATACAAGTACTGGATTGCACTTACAAGGAGGTCCAGTCAGGGGAGGGAGCCCATGAGAACTGATAGTTGACGGAAGGTATGTCGCATCCACATCCAGGGTAGCGATTTTCATACCAAGTGCCACCAATCTCTGGGTTTTTCTCGTAAAGCACCAGCTCGGTATCTAACGGGCTTGTGTCGACATCATGGGCAAAGTTCAACGCACTCGCGCCGGCTCCGATCACGATGATACGGATTTTGCGACGATATCGGCTGGGCTGCTCCACGACTTTATAAGGCTTGACTCCATTTCCAACTCCATTGCCTGCCTTGAGCTCATGATAGTTACCGATAGATCCCATTTTGGGTAAGGGAAACAGTGTTGAAAATGTTGAAAAATGATCAAAGTGCTTCGCCTATCAAACCACGGAGACTCAGAGGCGCGGAATCGGTGAATTTATGAGGGTCATCCTCATTAGCGTATATTCCACCCCATATTTCCTCTGCATCTTTGGCTTTCGCTTCCAGAATAGAGGGTGGACAATCCGTTGTGTCGTGCTCACCCAAACTGCGGCTCACCCTGGTCTCGGTGGAGTGGTGGAGCTCCACCGCACGCCTTATCATCGCGTTCCTCCCTTGCTCCTCCTTCCCCTCTCGACCAGCTCCACCACGGAGAGATGCGCGAAGCGGGGCAGGATGGGGCGGATGATTGTCAAGGTACGAGTCTGTCCAGTGCTTATAGCTATCATGTCATACTTTTCAACCACGATAAGCCATCCAAGGCCTCAAATAGATACGCTTACCCCGTTCTGCCTCAGTGTTGATCGTCTAGCCAATTTATCTATATTCTACTGATCTTCTTGTCATATCCAATATGCCTGAAGGTGCCAAGAAGAAACCTTTGCGCATTTCTATTGGTGAGTGTCGAACTTCTAAGTATGATCGACTGGTGCATTGCATTGACTAAATGGTGTGACTAGATCGCGGAGGAACCTTCACCGATTGCATTTGCAAAGTCATCAATGGGGAAGATATTCTGGTGAAGATCTTGTCCGTCGACCCAAAGAACTATGCCGATGCACCGACCGAGGCAATTCGACGCGTTTTGGAGATACACTATAAAATTGCACTTCCTCGAGGCTCCGAACTAGACCTGAAGGACGTTGGTAGGAGCCGTCATCTAGAATTATCATGAGCGTCTTGGCTAACTAAACAGAATGGATCCGCATGGGTACAACGGTTGCAACCAACGCCCTACTCGAACGCAAAGGCGAGCGCACGGCTTTGCTTGTCACTGAAGGCTTCAAAGATATCTTGTATATTGGAAACCAAAGCCGACCGTACATGTTTGATCTCTCAATCCGCCGATCGAAGCCTCTATACTCAGATGTTTTTGAAGTCAAAGAGCGCGTGACAGTCGGGGCATGCAGCGATTCAAATCTCCGCACCGTGGAGCTGCCATCTCCAGAACCAGTCGAGTCGATCGTTGCTACTAGCACCTCTGGCGAGGTTGTCCAAGTGCTTCAGTCTATTGACTTGGCAAGTACTCGAGTTTATCTGCAAGATATCTATAACAAGGGCTTCCGGTCCTTGGCGATTTGCCTTATGCATTCCTATATCTTTCCAACTCATGAGTTGCAGATCGGTGAATTGGCATCAGAGATTGGATTCGAATACATCTCTCTTTCACATCAAACCTCTCCACGACCAAAGCTTGTTCCCCGCGGAAATTCCACGGTAGTTGACGCATACCTGACTCCGAACATCAAACAATACCTAGAGCAATTCTCGAAAAATTTCCCCAATATCGACCAGTCCGAGTCCGGGACGCGATTGGAGTTCATGCAGTCAGATGGAGGATTAGTGCCCTCCTCAAAACTCTCGGGGTTGCACTCAATTCTCTCTGGGCCGGCAGGAGGTGTTATTGGATTCTCGCAAACATGCTTCGACACAAAAGAGCAGACTCCTGTGATTGGATTTGACATGGGAGGTACTAGTACCGACGTCAGCCGATATAACGGCGAACTTGATCATATCTTTGAAACAACGACTGCCGGGATCGCGATTCAAGCCCCACAACTTAATGTGAATACCATCGCAGCCGGCGGAGGAAGCATACTGACTTGGAAGGATGGACTCATGGCTGTCGGTCCCGAAAGTGCCACCTCCAATCCTGGACCAGCCTGTTACCGCAAAGGAGGTCCTCTGACTGTGACTGATGCCAATCTAGCTCTAGGACGGTTGCTTCCAGAGGAATTTCCCTCAGTCTTTGGTGTTAATGAAGACGAACCATTGGATAGAGAGGTTGTTCTTGCCAAGTTCAAGGATCTTACTCAAAGTATCAACGCCGAGACAGGCAAATCATTGACGTGGGCTGAGGTTGCAGATGGGTGAGTCAAACTAAGCAATACAAATATCAGATTTGGCCACTAATATTTTCCTTGAAGTTTCATCCAGGTCGCCAACTCTGCAATGTGTGGGCCCATTCGAAGTTTAACCGAGGCCAAAGGTCATGATGTTGCAAAGCACCACCTTGCGTCATTTGGTGGTGCAGGGGGTCAACATGCCAGCGCTATCGCTGAAGCCTTGGGTATCAAGAAAGTCTTGATCCACAAGTACTCATCTATCCTCTCTGCCTATGGAATCGGATTGGCGGACCTTGTGCACGAGGAGGAGCGGGTATGCGCAAAAGCCTTTGACCAAACTACGTCTCAAAAGATATACGATGATATAGAACTTCTTGCAGATGTTGTTCGAGGCAATGAGTCTATGCAACCATTCAAAAATGTTCAGGTCCGCCGTTTCCTGAATATGAGATATGATGGCAGCGAGACTGCAATCATGGTTTCCCTGGGTACCTCCGAAGTTGACGACCCTCGGGAAGACTTTATTAAAGCCCACCATCAGCAGTTTGGATTCACTCCTACCAACCGGGCAGTTTATGTTGACACTATTCGCGCTAGAGCAATTGGCTCCAGTGTATTCTCCGAGCCTTCGGCCGCACCTTTGAATCCCCATCCCAAGTTGGCCTCTAGATCAGTGGCTCCAGTTCCCGAATCATGGACATCCACTTACTTCAATTCAATGGGCTGGGTAAACACACCAGTATACCATTTTGATAACTTGAAAGATGGGCATCAGATCTCAGGACCGGCCATAGTGATTGACAAAACCCAGACAATCGTGGTCAGCCCGAACTCAAAGGCGAGATTGACACAAGATGTACTCGTCCTGGACGTGGGCTCCTCAGGCCCCCAAGTGGCAAGCACAGATGCCATCGACCCAGTTCAGCTTTCAATTTTCCGCCATCGGTTTATGGGCGTTGCGGAGCAAATGGGACGTGTTTTACAAAATGTCAGCATCAGTGCCAATATCAAAGAGCGGTTGGATTTCACGTGTGCAATATTCACACCCGAAGGAGACCTTGTCGCCAATGCACCCCATGTACCCGCTATGATTGGAAGTATGGCCTTTGCAGTCAGATCTCAGATTGCCGAGTGGCAAGGCAAGTTGCAGGATGGTGATGTTTTGCTCTCCAACACACCTGGTAAGTACCTCGAATCAACCTTTCGAGTGGTTTCGGCAGCTGACACATTATAATAAGCATTTGGAGGTGTCCACCTTCCCGACCTCACGGTCATTACACCTGTCTTTGACTCTGATGGGAAAGATATAATATTTTGGGCTGCTTCTCGCGGTCACCACGCCGACGTAAGTTATCTTTATACTCAGAGAGATGGGCCCATTGATTAACACGATACGGTCCGTAGGTCGGGGGCATACTTCCAGGCTCAATGCCACCCTTGTCAAAACTTTTGTCTGAAGAGGGTGCAGTCTTTGATTCGTACTTGCTGGTGCACGCTGGCCATTTCGACGAGGAAGAGCTCCACCGCATGCTGTGCGTGGAGCCTGCCCGTTTTGCTGGATCTAGTGGATCCCGATGCTTCCAGGATAATGTCACAGATCTGAAAGCGCAGGTTGCTGCAAACCACTGTGGTATCCGGCTTGTGCGGCAGCTGATCGAGGAATATTCTATGGATGTAGTTCAGGTAAATACTTTGACGATGCAAGGAGAAATCGAACCATCGGACTAACTGAATCAGATGTACATGCGCGGAATTCAAGACTCGGCCGAGCTCGCTGTGCGGAATTTCCTGAAGCATATTTCCCAAGATAATAATGGAGAAGAAATATCTGCGGTCGACTACATGGACGACGGAACCCCGATCATGCTCAAAGTAACCATTGACCCATTAGATGGCTCCGCCATTTTCGACTTCACAGGAACCGGCTCGGAGGTTTATGGTACGTCGACATTGATAACTTACCTCAGAGATACAAACAGCTGATTGGAAATAGGAAATTGGAATGCCCCAATTGCGATTTGCAATTCGGCGGTCATCTTCGCTTTACGCTGTATGGTCGACTCTGATATTCCCCTTAATCAGGGTTGCATCAAACCTGTGCAGCTTATTATCCCCGACGGGTCACTGTTACGGCCGAGCTTCGAAGCCGCAGTCTGCGCCGGTAATGTATTGACTTCGCAACGGATCGTCGACGTTATTTTCAAGAGCTTCAAGATCTGTGCTGCTAGTCAAGGGTGCATGAATAATTTCACCTTCGGTAATGACGGTGAGAATGGATTCGGATACTATGAAACCATCGCTGGCGGGAGTGGCGGAGGCCCCAGCTGGACTGGGACAAGCGGCGTACATACCAACATGACCAATACTCGCATCACCGACCCCGAATCACTAGAACGCCGCTATCCAGTCATTTTGCGTCGTTTTTGTCTTCGTGATGGGAGTGGCGGCGCCGGGATGTATCCTGGAGGAGAAGGTGTCATCCGAGATGTTGAGCTGCGGCTACCGATGTCTGTGTCCATTCTTTCTGAGCGACGCAGTTTCGCACCTTACGGTATGGCAGGCGGCGCGGATGGCAAGCGTGGGAAAAACACATGGATCACCAAGGCTGGGCGACAGATCTCCGTTGGTGGCAAGAATTCGATCCGTGTTCAACCTGGGGACAGGTTCGTCATTGAGACTCCAGGTGGTGGTGGATATGGAGCCCCTTCGGAGGCGAATAATCCAAACGTGGATCAGTCAACGGTCATGCCGTCGTTTGTTCCTATCGCCAATGGCAGTGTCGCCGCTAATCGAAGCTTGGCAGAGGAGGTATAGGAGCATGTGTTGTTTGTAAAGGCAGAAATACAGACGTCCAGAGCTAAACATGTGCGTGCGCACTTGTTGCCCGAATGGAACTTTTACGGAATTCACCTGGGCATCTTCTGTTATATCATTGTTTGAGATATTCTACCTTTTTATAACATCCGCGAAAACAATATGCGATACGACTAGAAAGAGCTGGATTCCAGCTTACCAAAACCTGAGAGTTCAGTGTTGCACCATCTGAGATGCCCCCGAAATAGTGACTGCGAAGCAACAAAGCTTCTGAAAAGCGAGGCAGATTATCTCTACTAGAATCAAATGCAAAGAACTAAGAAGTCGGCATCTAGTCAGTTGACAGCTACCAGTAGCGAAATAGTAACTACTATCTAGTATGTACGTGCAACATGGCGCCGCGCGAAGCCGGGCAAATTGACTTGTCACAAGGTACGAGAACACCTGGGCAGGTATTTTGTATGATACCTGAGCATGTGTTCCGCACCCATACCTACCTAGGTAGCGTTCGAGCTGGAGAGGATGTTGGCAACCCTGGAAGGTAGCTGAAAATTTGTAAGTGTGCTTGCTTCCAGGGTTTCTTGACAGCTTGTGCTTCGACGTGATTACAAGAACTATGAATATTTCAAACAAGAGCTGCGCTGATTTCAGTTTCTACTATCTCAGTGATATCCTATAAATTCAAATACTAGTACGGTATACTTTGGCAAATAGAATATTCCACCTTGGATACCCAAGCTCAGCCAGCAAAAGCTTGAATGAAGGCAACCAACTTGAAGACCACGAATCCCGTTCAAGCGTAGAAAATCAGAGCACATAGCGAAATGCTGGCTGCTCGAAATCTGTCAAGTCCAAGAATTCAGACCCAGGAGTAGCATGTGCAGTGTCAGGCTCCTCGATCGCCTTACAGTCGCGCCTCTTGTTCTCTATGATGTTGATCACCCGAATTGCCACCAGAGTGACCGCTGCCATAGCGTACATGATTGCGACCATCAGCTTGCCATCAAAATATTCAGGTGCTTGGGTTGAGCGGAATGTCTGAGGACCGATCCAGTTTCCGGCTGCGTAGGCCACGATCTGGAGGCCATTCACTGTTGCTTTCTTGGTGTATCCTAGGGTGTTGTTGGAGATCATCACCATCACAAGACACCATGCAGTTCCGGCGGCACCGATGAAGTAGTATCCAATGAGCAAGCCAGCTTTGGCTTCAACTGGGATCACAATCATCATGATACCGCCGATCATGGGAATCAGAATAGCGATTATGGCAAAGAGGGTGCGATCAAAGAACCGATCGGAGAGATAAGTCAATCCAAGTTTGCAAGTAATATCCACAATGCCCATTGGCATGTTCAAAATCAGGGACATGCGATTGGAAAATCCAAAGGAGCTGATGATGATAGAGCCAAAAGTGGTGATTCCCCCGTTTGGTATGTTCATCAGTAGCGAGAATAGTACGTAAAGATAGGTACGTGGATCGCGGAATGCTTCGAAGAATTGGGACCACTTCCATACTTGATTACCGATTCCCTGAAAGTTGCCCCGAATGCGATCAATGGCAATAAGCTTCTCGCGGTGATTCAAGAACCGGGCTTGGACTTGGTTGTCGGGCATGTACCAGAGGTATAGTACACCTGTTAGGATGGTGGGTAGGCCCAGTACCAAAAAGAGAATTTTCCACACAGCGATAGTGGTTCCTTGTACACCGGCTAGGCCGTAGGCGATGGGCCCAATAAGTAACTGGGCCAGTCCGTTACAGCTCAGCCATAGGCCCATGCGTTTGGCCTGCTCCTCTTGTTTATACCAGCAAGAAGTGAATAAGACAAAGGCCGGTGTCACTGTGGCTTCAAATGCGCCTAAGAAGAAGCGGACACACAGTAGGCTCGCATAGTTATGGGCGGTGGCATGGCAGACGAGTGCAATCCCCCAGACCAGGATATTGACCGAGGTGTATTTGCCTAGAGGTAGACGGCGAAGCAGATAAGTGGTGGGGAATCTAAGGTCATGCATTAGAATCTGGAAGGTAATTGCAATAGGAGAAGATACTAAGTACTCCCAAAATATGTATCCAGCATAGAAAATGCTCGAGACCCAGCTGTACTGCTGCGAGTTGGGGTCCAAATGGGTGTCTTCCCGAATTCCCATAAGTGAAGCATAGTTCAATGATGTTTTATCCGCAAACTGAATCAAATAGACCCAACAGAGCAAGGGCATGAGAACTCGATCGATCTTGGACAAAACATATTGAGCCTCGTCGGGGGTATACTCAGTCTCCTCTGCGTTCATGAATTGGAGAGCAGGATCAAGGTCTCGTATCTCGTGCTGCTTCAGGTCTCCATCCTGGACGTCCGTTATCGCTTGCTCTGTATCACGCTTTGATGGAACCTCAGACAGCTTCATATCGTTTGGCCCGGTGGTCATGTTGTCTCGGTTGATGCACCTTTGTACAACTGCGCTTCGAATACCAGAAACATCTAGCCATGGCTTCCTCTTTAAATCTCCCGTCTGATATTAGGTTATCGGAAGGGTTGTGAGACAGCCTTTGGGGAAGGTGGCCAAGCTCCAAGCTTTACCCCAGAATTTGTGGAGGTGGACTTCTTCCGGTGGAGCTCCATTTTGACCCTCAGGCGAGTGGACAGGCTTATCAGCTTTATCAGGCAAACGCTCTTAGCTGCTAACTAGTGCTGTACCGAACCGGTTTTTACGCGACGAGACAAATTAGGAAGAGCTGAGCGAATCTGAGATACCCCTTGGAAACTTTCTATTAGATCAAGACCAAGATAATCAATTTCCCTGCCGACTCTTTTCGCTCCAAAAAGGTAGACCCGCCTCCATTCGCCCTGTTCCATAAATGGCTGAACTATCCAAACACTCACCAGCATATTCCCGCGCTGATGTAAGACGACTTGATGCAATTTCGAGGGTTGGAAGACGAGTTGCATGACTGGCAGCAATGGAGAGAGCATGTTTCATATCTTTACTTGCAAGAGCCGCTGCAAACCCGGGAGGTGTGTCCAGCGGCGGTGCATACGCCCCAGTAGTGATACGCTTTGAGTAGCTTTCGAGTACAGGACCAAACATATTACCAATGAAATCCTCCAGCTGCTGATTGCCAATCCCTGTAACTTCGGCAAATACCTGCGCTTCGGCAATCGCTTCCATGAAGCTGATTACAAGAATGTTTCTAGAAATGGGTAGGTTAGCTCAATGTCGATGGCCATTGAGGTCCAAATGTCGTGTGAGTGCTTACCCAGATATTTTGAGAAGGCTTGATTTTCGCACGTCTTCCCCCATGCCGATTATACTACATCCCATGACGTCCTTGATAAATGGTCTGGTTGTTTCAACCGCCTTAGCAGGCCCGGAAACCGCGAATATCAGCTTCCCAGAGGCTGCCACGGGACTAGCGCCGAAAACTGGAGCTGCTATAAATGCTGCGCCATGTTCACTGAGGCGCGATGCGGCCCATTCCGACGTATCTGGATGAATAGTAGAAGTGTCTACAAAGATTTTTCCCTTCAATGCGTCGCCCGCGACCAACGCCTTGTTTAATAGTTCGATTAGGACGTCGTCCATGGAGATCTTTTTTCCTTAGTTAATGCATCGCACACCATGTCACAACCAGGGTTCTGACCTACCATTGTGAAAATAACGTCCGAATTTTGGACGAGATCTTCGAACTTCTCTTCGGGTACGGCTCCTTCATCTTGGAGCAGATCACCCTTTGACAAGGTGCGGTTGCTGTAAAGAAGAGGGGGTAGATTGTTGCTCTTGAGATATTTTTGGAGATTCAGCGACATTCCTAGCCCCATCGATCCGAGGCCATACTATCCAATTAGTAGATGGGCAGTCAATCTATGGAAGTATAACATACCCAGCCAACTCTCATTGTGGATGATGTCATTCTGGCTCTTTGAATTGCAGTCAATTTGAAAAATTGTTCAAAGCTTTGACCGCTATAGGTAGTTTGCCGTTCGTTGTTTGCTGTTTCGCGAGTTTATAACGATAAGGAGCCCGAACCGGACGTGTGGAGCTCCACTCGCCGTCCACTTTCTACCCCGGGGCCGTGGCTACTCGTCCACTCACTTGATAAGGTTCAATACCCTGTCGTCCACTCTCATGATGACAACCTTGGCACCCCACAGTTCATTCAGCTCCAGTACCGGGAATTTCGCCCAACACAGCCAGCATTGATGGTCCAATTCCCCACAAGGATCTCCGCTGACAGAATGCCTTGATCAAATTGACGAACAGTGACTCGCCTTCATCGAGCAGACTAACGAAAGCCTCTCGGTCCATGGTCCACAAGCGGGGGTCTCGTGCCGCCCGGTCATTCTCGGTCGGAGAATGGAAAAGGGCCGACTCCATGAGGGTGTTGAAGATCAACATGCAGGATTCCGAGGTTATTGGAAGTTCGTTGAAGGTGTCCAAGTGGTGGCGGATATCACTGCTTGCGCGTCTAAGCGCTCCCCATATACATAATAAAACACCGTAACTGGCCACGGTAACCCAAGGAGCTTCACGTGCCACTTGATCCTGCTCCTCTCCGGATATGCTGGCCAATGCCACCGATAAGTCTTTCAGAAGAGCCACGATTCCCTCGTCGCCGCCGACATGATGAGGCACAAGAGGTGTTGATCGCCGAATCGCGACCAGATTCCCTTGGGTTAGGTGAGTGGATGCAGCCATCCCGGCTATCAGACTGTTATCCACAATGCCTGCTATCAAGAGTTGATCCGGGCGACATAAGCTGATATTGATAGAAGAGAGAAAGAGCTCATTCGTCCTCCATAGGAGAAACTGGGGGCTGTCGCCAGTGTAAGCCTGCTTCTTGACAATCTTCGCGATTGCTTCTATCGCGGTGTGTACTTGTTTGTTCTGAGCCTGGGTAAGTATATGAAACGGATTCGGATCAGACGGACTTGGTGGCATTTGATAGTAACATCGCGTAAAGTCTCGCACCAGAGCACCGATATTCGTCAAAACGCAAAATGCGGCAAAGGGGGATGCTTCTAGTGCTGATAGCAATTCCGAGTCCGGTGTTTGGGTCATGAGTTGCTGAGTAGCAATGGTCAGAGAGGCCGTCCCCAGGCCGCGTGGCCCGTGCAACAAACTGTTGGCTATTGAAAAGGTCGAAGGTCCGAAGTTCTCATTGAATCTCAGAAGCCATATATGAGAGTTTTTGGCTTCCCATAGACTGATAGGGAAGGGAAGTTCCCAGCCAAGCTCCATCGGTGACATCAAGGGTCGAGAATTGCAAGGCGAAAAAGTGTGTGAATCCAAGAAGACGAGGGTATATAGCGACAGTCTCATCGATTCAGTGGTGATATAGGACATCCATCGTGTGTAGAGAGTTTGCGACTCATCTCTGGGTGAATTGAAATCAGGTTGGTATATCCAAAACTGGGCGTCTGGCATAGCGATGCCCTGTTGGAACAGGCCAATTTCGTGCACGGCCTATATCAAAGGTAAGCCTACTAGCCCAAGGGAGGAAATGAATTTGCAGAAGACGATACAAACATCGATAAGTTGCCGAAGCCTCTTTCTCGCGGTTTGGAATTGGCCTGCTTCGCTTGCGTATACGCCATAGATTATATAGAGAAGCCACGCTTGCATGACCCAAGGCTGTCTGATTTCACTGCAATTCGAGGACACCTGTTACAATTTTGATCAGATAATCGCTCTCAAGACAGAATAGTAGGGTTTCACCATGTACCATTTGCTGGAGCTCTTCCTGTCCAATTTGCCATACATCTTGACGCCAGTGTGCGAGAGCTCGGGTTTCCTCATGATCGTACAAGTTGGGAGAGAATAAGCTCCCAATGACAGTCACGGCCGTCAGCAGTAATTTTGGTGTCGAGGACACTGTGAATGTAGGTCGATGTAACAGAGGGAAAGACGGGTGGAAATGCTCAAAATATTGTTTTACGTATGTTTCTTCGCCATTGGCGTGGTTACTGTGGGTTAGTTTTCGATTGTCAGACAAGTAATTTCAATCGATGAGCCAGCCCCCTTGGCATCGGGGGCGATGAAAACAGATCGGGTTCAGGCGAGCATACCTCGGCGAGGAAGAGGAGTAACTCTGGGGTATATCAGTAGCAAATGTACCATGATCCTCCCAAAAGGTTTCGTCGATCAGAACACGTTCGGCTGGGTTGCGACTGGTGGTCGATGGTGACGGTATGCCCTCCCTTGCCGCGGGGGTATGCATACCTGGCATGGCCTCCCACGACACCTGCGGCTGAGGTATCTGATCGACAGATGTGAGTCCTGTCGCGTGACAACGATCACCATGTCGTTTATAAACGTCACTACAAAATTTTCAGTGTTATTGCAATGTGCGGGAGAATGGAAACAACGCAAGACCTTCGAGAGAATCGGGCATGACATCTATTACACTGGAAGCTCTTGCGCGAGGCACCGCCGTGACCTTGTGAATATTAGTGATTGGTGTCCATAAAGGAAAATTCATGCAGACTTGCGTGCGCGCTTATGCCGTTGGAGGTTTTCCTGCATATCCGCGTTAGAGCTCCGCAAAGAAGATAGATAGGAATCTGTTACTTGCACTCCGCGTAAATAACTTTGAGCATTGATCACAGGGAAAAGGACGATGCTGGTCAATTCCATTGCTTCTCGTGGCTGAGGTACTAGTGGCTTGACTCATTTCTTCCATTTTATCCATGGACATGGATGGGGGAATGAGTTACATATTACAAAGGCCCGGGGGTTCGGGGAAGGCGGTCTTGCCCCAGGACAGGGACTACAAACGGGTGCACGTGCCACCATCTCCGCCTCTGCATATCAAAGGCTCTTCGGGGCTTACATAGGCAACCCAAGTTTTGATGATCTGAAATGAGGGGTGTAACTAGGATCGGAATAGAAAGGGGAAGTATAGAGACAGTCGAGGAAGGCACGGCACTAACTTGCTACCAGGGAGCTAGGCGCTCCCCGGACCCCTAGCCTTTCTGCGTTCGCACCCATCAAGGTGATAAAAGACAGTAAGTGAGCAAAATTGCTCACACCTGATGTTTGATACCGTGACAGGCACGGATTGCGGTTCGATTCAAAGGTAAAGATAAGGAATCAGCGACTGGGGTGAATTGGAGGAATTGATGATGCGAGGTAAATCCCTAAGAAGTAACAGAACTGTAGAATTCGGTTTAATTTGAGAGATATTACTCTAAGCTGATCGACCGATGTTGTATACTAGTAGTCAGTAGATAGCGGCTAGGATAAGAAGAGGAAAGTAGAATACTAGAAAATACATAGGTATGTAGGTACTACTCTAGAACTTCTAAAGATAGGTATAGAAGCTGGGTTGCTTAGGCTGGGACAGTATCTCTGTATACCGCCTACTTAGGTACAGTGATGGAATACTTGGTGTAAGGTTCCTTCTAGTGACTATTAGTAATTATTACTACTTACGAGGCCTTGTAGTTTAGCACAGTCAATACTACCATTCATACCCCGGATTTTGTGTTCCTCAAAGCTACTATGTTCGGGATTGCAATTGCACAACACAATTCACCTTTCAAACCTTGGAACACACTTTCTTGCTTGAAGTTACAGTGAAGGCTACCCTAATATTTTATTATAGAAGATCTTCCAGGTAGTATGCCAAAGAAAATAATAGTTTCAAAAAGAAAATCGCTGCCTCGTCATAAGAAGAATATAGAGAAAACTGCTTAATGGCCATGGTAATTCCTACAAAAAATGTCTCAACACCCCGGCGCCGCAGTCTCGAGAAACAATCAATGGGTGGGAACACAAAAACATCTGTCAGAACATGCTGGGTCGTTTCAATGGTTTTCAGGAAGAAATAAGAGGGGTTCAATGCGCTCTTTGCCCAAATTGCGCGACTCCTTGGGGGCTTATGCGTCATGTGGGTAGAATTAAAAGATGCGAAGGTTGGTGGGAGGGGTGGTGTTGAAAAGCGGAGATGTCTGTCTACATACATGAGTAGGTAGGTGAGTATGTAGGTAGGGAAGTGGTGGTACGAGTGGGGGAAGAAAGGGCAGAGTCGAAAGGAAGTTCGTTCATGTCGTCAAATTCTCATCTGAGATCGTCTATATCTGGATTGGAGGGTATCGCTACCACTCGACATTGAACGACCATTCTCCTGTGGAATATTAGCGCAAAGTTCTTCCATGACCATGGAGAGATATGATTGGGACGTGTATGACTTACCATTTTTCAAGTTCTCGGCGGTGTCGCTCAACAAGATGACCCGGCGCTTATTGCAGTATGCGGTTTTATCCAGAATATCCACCTTAAGGTCAGCGAGTTCCGAGACTGGTTTCTCGAACATCTCGCTGAGGTTCTCCACGGCCATCTCCAGGTCAGCCTGGTTATCCTCGAAGATTGTCGCGAGGTTGTTCCGCGAGAGGTAGAACGCAAAAGCGTATGTCCACTTCAAGGTCTGACGGCACTGTTGCAGTGCTTGCGATGCTGTGTCGAGGAACTGAACCTCGATCCAGGATAGTCCGGATTGTGATTGCAGGCTAGTCATCTTCTTCTCGGTCTTGAGGTAAAGGTCCTTATCCAGCTTTGCCGATTGCTCGTGGTTGGCATAGCGGTTATAGTAATGCAAATAGCGCTCCAAAGACGCGCGCGACTTAGCTTGGGCACTGCGAGCATCATGTCCAGACTTTTCTTCAAAGCGGTTGCAGTTGTACCAACTGGTGCCATGTTCGGACCAGAGACCCATGCACATCCAGCAGAATTCGTGTTTGCACTTACGGCAGGTCATATGATTACAACCGCCATTCTTTTCAATCGTAGATACGCATCTGGGGCACTCTTTGGTGTTGGCGGATATCCAGTTGGCAGTCTCGGAGTCGTCCTCGCATTTTTGGAGCCACATCTTGACCAGTGTACACGGGGTGGGCTGATGATCGGCAACAGAACAGCCGAAACAGAATTCATGTTTACATCTGCACCGAACGGTTGGGACTATGCGTCGCAGGTCGCGGGCTTTTACTGCACAGTCAACAGCATACTCGCAGTTTGGTGCCGGGCACCATCGTAGATTATCTTTATCGTCGACGTAGGTTCGTGTGAGTAGTGTGCGATACCTATTGATGAGATGTATGTTAGTCAACCATGACTCTATTCGAAATGGGAGGGTGTGACTCTTACCGGTCCTTGAGCTCGTCCGTAACAAGCAGATCAAGTGACCTCGAATCGACGATGCGATGACATTTGTTTCCGGGACATTGAATCCGGGCGGCTTCTCCTTCTTCCTTAATCTTTTGTCCGAGATAGTGCCGGTAGCAGTCGACGCAAAACCGGTGCCCGCAGCGCATCGCATACGACTCGACGTCATCGCCATCCTCACAACAAATCTCACAGCTGAAACCCGGAACGACCTCCGTTTTCGCGGTGCCTTCAAAGTTGTTTCCCAACCCAGCTTCTTCTAATGTCTCCTCCGGGCGCTCCATGTACCCCTCAATCAGTTTCTCCTGCTTCCATCGACCAAACCGCATGAGGATTGCAGCCGACTCTGGGGGGAGGCCAAGGATAGCGGAAACTTCGTTAATTTGTACAAGCTGCTCGCGTTCGATTTCTGGGGGGGTCGAGGACTTTGAATTCGACCTCGTAGGGCTTCCGTTTCTGTTTGAGCAGGTCCTTGTCATCGGAGAAGCCGGTATCTAAATCTCCAAAGTCTATTGTTGGAAGAAACTAGGTTAGTTGATGACATGATATCGAGATGGGTGGGATCAGGATGGAAACAGGGTGAAATCCCTCTTAGATCGAGGGGAAGTTCCTCAGACCAGTCTCAGTCAGATACGTACCTTCGCCTAGACTCTCATCATCACTCCCCTGCATGTCCAAGAAGTCGTCCTGACTAGAGACATCGCTCATGAAATCGTCGTCCGAGTCCATACTGGCTTCAGTGGTCGCGGGGGTAGCGAGCTCCCTCTTCTTCAAACCGGTGGAACTCGTAGAATTGCCCGACTCGGTGGACTGGGGGCAGGTGGTCGCGGGACCCGTCGAGGCGGGCTTGGGCTTGGGCTTGGGCTTGCGCGAGCGACCGACAAGGGGGGGGTCTCCGTGGGCAGCCTTGGTGGCGGATTCGGTGTGAGGCTGGTCGTCCGTAATCGCCGCCTCGGCTGCCTTTCTCTTCCGCGTAGAAGGAGGCGTGATGGAAATGGGTGGCAGGAAGCCGGGGTGAAGGGGTTTGAAAAGAGGGTGAGCCACAACGTCACCGGGAAAATTGAGCGGTTCGAGTGGTGGTTCGGAGGGGGAGTGGGGAACTTTGAAGAAGGGGGGAAGGGAAAAAGGCCGAATGACTCGTTGTTTGGGGGCGATTAAATGAAAAATGAAATAATAGGCAGAAGTATCTCTCAGCAGAGTGAAGCCTGGTAGTATTCTGACTCACTGGTTCACTGACATGGCACAGGTGGATCGGTCTCAGTCTTCATAGGATATTTGCTAGAGCCCAGTCCTGGAGGTGTTGCTTCCAAAGTGATCCGCCAGTGCGGGAGATCCCGTTGGATGCCTGAGACATCACCATCACACCTACACATAACTACACCTGAGCACTAGCAGAACCACCAATATTATTATACTTAGTACAATACACGGCACCATCATTTTGCACTCATAATCATGGAATTCGTTGTCAACTGAAATCTTTTGGGTGGTCTAACGCGAGATTGTGCCGTGGTATAAAAAGTGGCAATCGATCGGAGAATACCAGTAGCACATGACTACTCATCGTCGCTCTCTTCCTCATCCCCATCCTCATCCTCATCCTCATCATCTTCCTCACTACTTTCTTCCTCCTCCGCATCGGCTAACCACTGCACAAACTGCTGTGCCTGACTGCGCACCTTCTTCATCTCCTCGCTCCCGCTGGACCGTTCATCATTCCACCACTGCTCGTATGCCTCTTCGTCTACCAGCTCGAGTTCATACAGCTCCTTCGCCGTAAACAGAAGAACTGTATCACCCTTCTCCCGGCTGACCAAGTCCTGCTGGAGCTGAAGAAGTAGATCAACCTGATCTTTCTTTTCATCCTTATTCCGATCGAACAAAGTTCGGTCCACAACCTCGGAGTACTGCGAGAAGACCTGGTGGATGGCTTGACTGGCACCCTTGCCCTTGGCCATGAGCTCCTCGATGTATTGCATGAATGATGTGACAATCGACCGGCGAACCTGAGTGTCCGAGGCATTGGCAGTCATACGCAAACTAACAAGCTCGAGCTGCACCACGTCGGCAGAGACACCCTCACGCAGACTCTCCAGGACGCTGCCTGTTGCATCGGCATTGAAATTGTCTTGCTCGGCGCTGTCAGAGAAACTGCTTCGGGCAGAGCGTCCCCAGGAGCCCTCTGACATTTCGGATGACAATGTAGAGATTGAGGCAGAGGAGAGCGAAAGTCCCGGCATGCGATACACTAGGGAATTGTTAGCACCGTCTCTATAGCTGTAACTACAGCCGTCTGGGAAGAATTCGAACATACCGAGTCCAGAGGATGCGACACTAATATCATCCTCGTCTTCATCTTCATCCTCGCCTTGGATGAACTCATATCCCTCTCCGCCTTCACCGACCACCTCCACGTCAGTGGGAGCTGCGCTACCATCACGCTTGGATTTGGAGATGCGCTTGCCAGATTCCACCTTGATGCCATCGGCGATTTTCACGCCGTATGAGAGAAGAGCGCCGGACTCGATGGTACAATTCTTGCCAATGACGACACCATCTGCGATGATCGCGCCACGAATATCAGAACCGTCTCCGACAACGACGTTGTCCCAGATATAGGCTCCCTCCAGCTTAACATTTTTTCCGATCTTACAGTTGCGGCCCAGGGTAGTAGAGTGGACTGTTGTTCGGTCGCCGATGCTAGTACCGCGTCCAATTACCGTGCGACGGCCAATAACGCAGGATCGGGCAAGAAAAACGCCCTGCTCTTGGTACAAACTGCCCTTGCGCAGATCATAGGTGTGTCCGGGGAGTAAGTTGGTGTCGGGGCACAGAGGATAAGTCCATCGGGAGACAATGTCCTTGCTGATAGAATCATATGCTTTCAAGTTGCGGACTCGACCAGCATAAGCGTCCTTGATGATGTGTGTGTGGATTGTTTTGCCGTTCAGTTCGTAGTCCTTCAACACACCGAACAGGTAATGCTTCCGCGGACTTTGGTAGTCGAAACTATCAGACCAGAGGCCCAGAACGTCTGGTGTGCAGATATCGATGCTGCAGTCGATCAAGTCTTGCCGGATATCAAGCTCGGCATGTGTCAGAAGAATTTCGGCATCGATGTTCAAGCGAGCATGGCTCTCCTCGGAGTTGTGATCAATCTCTTCGTAGTGAAGGCAGCGGTCTTTGGTAGGGTCGATCACGAAAACCGGAGAGATTGAGGTGGATTTGGTGCGGTGGTTTCGGCCAGCTTCCCGTAGAACCATAGTCATGATCGCGTTTTTGTCAGCTTCGCGGCGGGCCCGGTGCTTCTTCAGAGCGGCTTCGATGGGCAGGTTGCTGATGACATCGCCGCTGACAACGAGGAAATCTCCTGTGATGAGGTGCTTGGAATCCAAGTCTCGCATTACTTCTCCAACACTGCTACTAACGGATTTGAGGAAGGTCAATTGCTTGAAGGGCGAGGACGAGGCTTTCCATTTGGAGGCACTAGAATCATATAGTTAGTCTCTTTCTTTAAGCTTTGATCTAAACTCGAGTGATCGTACTTGATGTATTTCTCTAATTGATCGGAATGAGCACCTGCGTATAGAAAGACATCCTCGACGCCGGCGTTGGCCAGGAATTCCAGCGTATATTCGATTAAGGGTGTGTTTGCCAGCGGTAGGAGACACTATATAAAACTTCGTCAGCGCTTGTGATTTCAATATGTTGCAGACAAGGGCCTACATACCCGGGGCTTGTCAAGAGTAAAGGGCTCGAATCTAGTTTCGAAGGTATCCGCGAGGACCTATCCAACCATAATCTGTTAGCAACCATATATTTTTCGGTCGGGCGCAAGTACGAAGGCAGCAAACAGGTAGCTAGCCTCCCACCTTGCCCAGCGAGAAGACCTTACCACAGCCTGCAGGGTCTCTTCCACCTCCTCTGTCGCATTACCCCGCGACTTGGAGCCGCCTCCCTTTTGTTTGGGACCCATTTTTTTCAAAAATCCTGGAGCTAGTCAGTGGATGCGATCTCAGCAGCAGCGAAAGAGGTCGCGATGAAGACGTACAAGTAATGCTGTCGCTAACAAAGAAGGGCACAAAAAACCCCCGCCAGCCGCGGAATGACTCCCACTCGCTGTTGATGTGTTTGTATGGTTTGCACTGATTTTATTCTAGGTCACGGGACCTGGCCGCCTCAGCACAAGCTACAAGTCGCGATGATAGACCAACTTGACTGATGACCCATAAAATTGAAATTTCTTAAAAGGACCGAGTAAGAGACGGAGAAGAGAGTTCTGAATGAGATTGGAATTACTTCACAGGTCTCGGTATATCTACCTTGTTTTGCAGTCTTTGACTTGATCACGGTAACCCTGTATTGTTACCGCTCTATGGTAAGGCACTGTATAGTATGACTGTATCATCTACACAAGTCTCGTGTCTGAGTAAGAAAATAATCGTCCAAGTTATTGGTCTAATTTGATTTATGGGCCATGATTCCAACAAAAACACGGAGTACTGTCTCACTACCTCCTCCCTGACCAACTCACTAAAATAAGCCTGGCATTTGTGATACATAGGGCGAGGCTTGCATTCCAGCAAATAGGGATAGCGCGAATTCATTACATGCATGCGTACATACTTAGGGTAGGCCGATCATCCCCAAGCCGATCAGGCTAAAGGACAATCCATGCCTATAACATAGCTGCTAAGAATATTAACTTGCCGCAGGTTAAAGGGATGTGGGGGGTCGACGCGGTCTAGACCCGAGCCGATGCGCAGGGGAGCATTCGGATCCTTCAGAGAATCAAGAACCTGAATCAAGCAATGAACTAACTGGCTCTACATGAAATTGGGTTGGCGGTTTCTAATTTTATAATTTAGTGGCTCCATGATCCCTAGACAAGGAAGAACATAATTGGATATTCTGACTACTTGACTCCTTTGTTTATCCAAGGAGACGACGCGACCAGGTATTCGCGGAAAGCTGCCGGCGTATCAACCTGAAGGTTTCGATCAATGGTCTAGACCATCGGTTGAGAGTCCCACGCTAAAATTAATGATATACAGATGGGACGATCCGCGGGTTTGTCCGCTGTTCGGTTCTAGTGGGGTCTCCCATTCACTGTATTACGATTGAGACGCGAAAGTGTTGGATTTGTTCAAAGTGATGATGAGTACATCCACACAATTCCCTGTCCTGACCCCCATTCTACCCAAGGAACGGGAGCAAAAAATATCGATGCAATTTGGCCCCCAAGGACATGGCCCAAAGTGGCAAAAACAAGAAAGAAGAAGATGGTTGTAGAAAATATGTACCTGACAAAACAATTTCGCCCATAAGGTATATCAAAGAGCTGACACGTGAAAACGCACAAAATTCGCCACCCACTCTGCCAGCAACTCAATAAGGGAAAACAAAGAAACGCCATGACCTGTAAGGGGAGGAAGACCGTAACCAAGACAATACAGCCAAAAAAAAGTGAGGGTGGGAGATATACGATTGAGATCTCGTTATAGACAGTGGGAATCGTGAGGTAATAGACAGGCGGAGGAGATGTGAGGTGCGGGAAGGATATGAGAAACAATTGTGTCTTAACCAGGCCGTCCGGCTTGCACGGCCATCATAGGTTGCTGCGGTGGGGCGTACATGCGTTGGCGCTTAGCCATGTTTTGGCTGTCGGTGGCACTAGACATGTCGGACATTTGTCTTCGATGGGGTGGGCGAGTTGGAGGGCCAGATGAAGGCACCGCAACTGCAGGTGCAGGGTATTGGACTCCGTTTTGATCAACAGTATATGCGGCGGCAGGTGGCGCAGCGCCAGCTGCAGCCACATACTGCCCTTGCACCGTCGGCATGGTTGGTGGAACGGTCTGCATGCCCTGGAATTGTCCGGGTGATTGCCAGTTGTTTATAGAGCCGGCAGGGGATTGACCAGGGGAGCTATCCTCCTTGATTGACTGGGTCGCGGAAGGTTGGGGAGCCATGGTAACCGGGGGAGGCTGGGGAGCCTCAACTCCCTGGGACATGGTCTTGAGATGCACGAGATGCTTCTCGAGCATACCGAGCAAGCTCTTTCGAGTGAATGGTTTCGGTAGAACATCATCCATGCCTGTAATAAACCGTTGTTAGAAACAAGGGTACGAATGAGAGGAAAAGCATTAATAAACTTACCGTGTTGGAAGTAAAGCTGGATATCATCACTTCGGATATTAGAGGTCATGGCGATAATAGGAGTCCTGTCGAATTGTCGGATAAGGTGGCAAGCAGAGACACCATCCAAATTGGGCATGATGATATCCATAAGGATGAGATCGTACTTCTGGCCATCTTGGATCTTGTTCACGGCCTCCAAACCATCCAACTGCTTGCTATTAGTTCCAAAATCCATGGCTGGGAGTATTATAATCTTAACATACCGCGGTGTCAATAACACAATTGAAAGAGAAAAGAAACTTTCCACCAATTTGCCGGCAAGTCGCATCATCTTCAACCAAAAGAATCTGTGGACTACGAACCCAGCCAGGATCGACGTTGGTGCTTTTCTTTCGGTTATCGGGGGGGATATTGCCGGCGGACTTCGGTTTCCTCGGCTTTGGTTGTCGGCATTGGATATGGCACATTGTTGACATGTTCACTATACATAGGGTCGATTCCATTTGTTGCACCAACAGGATAAACGACCTGCTCCAGATCACCAGAAATCTTATTTTGGTATACCATCGGGGTAGGAGCGCCGGTGGTGGGTGGGCGAACAGCTCCATTGCGAGCAACATCCATTGCCGGGGTGGCCACTGGGGCGACACCGGCGGCGGCGGCAGCAGCGGCAGCGGCAGCGGCCTTCTGGGGGTCATTCGCATCCACGCCAGAAAGGTTGAATTGGATCTCCGCATTCATATCACTCAAGAGTTTCGAGGCCTGTTGGAGAGGCGATGAGGGCTCGTCGTCCACAGCACCAACTTGAGACGGACTCATTGTTGAACCCTGCGCTTGGAATGTAACAGCCTTGCTATCCCGTCTTTGACGCGCATCCACCGTAAGCAAGTAGTTCATCACTTGGTGGATCACGTTCTCGTGGTTCAACACTGTTTTCTGTACCCGCATGACCTCCTGTAGCATCAGTTGATGGTCCACCGTAAGCTGCGCATAACGATCCGAGAGGTGTTGGATCTGTTGTTGCTGTGCGAGAATCTGTTGGTTGAGTAGGTCGATCTGTTGAGTCGGGGCGGAGTCGTCATTGTTCTGGGTTTGCTTGCGAGGAGCCGGGGCTTTACGACGGATGTTGTCGAGAGAGTCCTTGCTGTTGGCACGAAACTCGGGGTGTTTGAATTCCCAGGCCTAGGAGAGAAAAGTGTGTGAGCCAAAGTAAAAATCGCTTTGAGGCGAGCGGGCCGGAGAAGTGCCCAAGGCGCGAAAGATCTTGAGGGGACGCCATACATTTTGGCCGTACGGTGACTGGCCGTTCTCTTCGTTATTTTGGCGAACTTTGTGAAAATCGTATTTGTTCAGTTGGCGCACAAAGCTGGCGAAGTTGCTATGCTTGAAGTGTTTGGGCAGGATGGTCTTGGTGAATTTCTCGCACTGGATGCCCAAGTCAGTTCAACCGCTGCGACCGTCCAACAAGATAGGCGCATTACCTCCAAGACGACAAAACTGTCCCCCTCATCACCCCAGCGTACGATCGACGCGTAGGAAGGATCCTCCAACATTCTATATGAATAGTCAACATCTGGTCGAGATCTCGACGGTCGCGGTGGAGGGGAGAGAGAGAGAGAGAGAGAGAGAGAGGACGCGCGGATGAAAAGTCGGCGAGTGAGGCGAATAGCGGACTTACTTGTATAGCTTGCGCACCTAGACATACTGTTAGCCTGAACGACAGGGTTAGGGATCTTGAGACTCACAAAGTCGGAGGAGTTCCCACTCGCTGGGGGCTGAGGCTGTTGACCCTCCATGGCCTAGAAGGGTCGATTGAACGAAAGTCGGCAGGCCGGGCAAAGCAGGTCAGGCAGAACCCGGGGGGGGCCGGGCTGCTATGCAAAGGTGCGATTCGACGGGAGAGAGACGACCGGGATCGAAGCAAAAAAAAGGAAAGAAAAACAGCAGGTCGCTGGGGTAAGGTGGGCTGAGAAGAAGAGTTTCTCTATGTAAAAGAGAATTGGGGGAAGTGGGAGGGGGGGCGGTCGACTCGAGTACAGCGGGTGTACCAAAGTTACCTACTAGTGGGAATGGCCCTGCGCGGTATAGGGAGGTACCTTGGATTTGAATAGTCTTCACTGTATCATTATTGATTATTATAATTATTATTGATTAATCTTTATTTTTTGGGATACTTATTTATACCTAGGTATTTATTTCATCCGTGGTGGACTGCTTCTATTATACCACATTATATCATCTTCTCCTCTCCACCTCCACTCCTCTCTACTTGCATGCTGAATGCAGGGCTGGACTCCTACATTCCCCCAGATACGCATACGCAGATACTCTGCAGTCTGCACCATAATCATCAAAGAAACTTCAGACGTGCTTAATTTAACATGTCAGTGCGCACCGAGGTGGAGGGGTGGAGGGGGGGGAAGAGGAGGGAAGCCTGCATGGCTAGCTCTCGGATTCGCATGTACTTCGTAGGTGTGGAAAAGGGAAAAAAAATGTTACTCGCCAAGAGAAGCGTTAAGACATGGTTTGAGGGGAGCACAACGGGCTCCACCGCGCTGGGATCGGTGGGCCTTCCTCGTGGGTGTGCGTTTACCATCCGGCGTGTTCAGGTCCACTGGCTGAGTTGGCAGTTAGCGGTGGGAAAGAATCTTGAACGGTATGGTCAGAAACTATCGTCTCGATAATCAGCATGGTCATGATCAACATGATCATCGTCCCCCATTCAGTCACACATCAGGTGGGTGATAAATAGGAACCCGTTGGTATCCCTGAGGAATTCGAGCCATCGGGAGTGTCTCGGTCTTTTTTTTTTCAGCTGACTCCATAAGTGAGAACGGTCTTGGTAGATACGGGTTACACGATCAGGGAGGTTCCATTGATTTGGTGAAAGAACCAAAAGACCGAAAATAAATCATAATTTGAAGGAATCTGGAGATCTCTGGGGGATCCTCTGGGGTTTGTGGAAGAAAGAAAGATGGAAAGCCGAAAGGGACCCTCCACGGTAAATGACGATCGTCGCGCCTTCCGCCCATGACGAAATTGCTAGAGAGCTCAATTCAACCTCACAGCTCCAACCTCACTTCTTTACTCTTGACTTCCTCTTCCCTCCTTCACTCTACACCCTTTTACCTTTTTCTTAATTGACTCAATTTCGCCGTCATGTTCGCCGCTCGTCGTCTCGCTACTCGTGTCCCTCGCGCCGGTGTCGCGCCCTTCCACAGCACCGCGCCCGCCTTCGTCCAAAAGGGCGACGCTATCCCCAACATTGACCTGGTCGAGAACTCCCCCGGTAACAAGGTCAACCTCGCCAAGGAGCTTTCAGGCAAGGGTGTCATCGTCGGCGTTCCGGCAGCATTCAGTAGGTCACACCGGAATTGAAACGAACCACTCCGTTTGGAAAGCTTGGGACATCATGTTAACCACCTTCGCGCAACCAGGCCCCGCCTGCTCGGCCAGCCACATCCCCGGCTACATCAATCACCCCAAGCTCAAGGAGGCCGGCCCGGTCTTTGTCGTGGCCGTGAATGACCCCTTTGTGTAAGTACCGGAGACGCGCCGCGCTGCGTCGGATAACATTCCCCGCGGATGGCACACTAATTCGCAAACTCTATTAGGACCAAGGCGTGGGCCGACTCCCTTGATCCCCAGGCCAAGTCTGGTGTATGTGATAATTTCCCTTCCATTCGGTGCCTAAGCATTATCGCTCACTAGCATTCTTCTAGGTCCGCTTCCTGGGTGACCCGTCCGGCCAGTTCACCGAGGCTCTTGACCTGAGCTTTGACAGCGCCGCTATCTTCGGTAACAACCGCAGCAAGCGTTATGCATTGCTGGTGGAGAACGGCAAGGTGAAGGAGGCTTTTGTGGAACCTGACAACATCGGTCTGAACGGTAGGGATCTTTCACTCCGATTTAGAAGCTTGTCGCTAACAAGATTTAGTCTCCGCCGCCGAGAAGGTGCTCGCTTAGAGCAATGAGATTACAAGGGCCACGGTCTAAAATGCTTAACTACTACGGAACTGCCTGTCCTCGGCGTATTCGTATCGTAGAGTAAAGGACCTTGTTGGTACTGAGATCCAGCCGGTCGAACAAGTATAGTATACTATCCGTTGCATTCGAAGTATATACAGAGGAGATATACCACTAGTACTTCAGGGCTAGTACTACTATCCCATAAAATGATATCAGCCTGTCTATTAGGTATCTAGTAACTTAGGCTTCGACCTTAGCTGTTTTAAATGTAGCTCTGAACGAACTCCTGACTGCCAGGTGTCTTGCTATACAAACAAATAATCCCAAGAAAATTTCGCGGCTGCCTATGAGTCTGACGCGGCCCATCGCCACAGCTGTGGCGGTGGTCTTGGGTTCGAGAAGACCGTGACCCTTTTAGATATGTACAATGCTAGCATGTCCATGTCAGCGAGCTAGTACTTTTCGGGTTATTCCAATGCAAAGTTTTCAAGTTGTTTTTACTACTAGGTAAACTCCCGTTAGTATGGTTTCGACTATGTATTGTGACAGCCGGAAAACCCGGGCATGGACAGATAGAATCGTGAATACCATGACGAATATCCTTAAAATCGACCATAATTCGTCTCATTTAAGAACATTGTATCATCCGGTCTACCTTAAAGCTCTGGAGTGTATGTCCTTAGTATTAACTACCTAGCCCTGTGCTGTGTGCTGCATGTTTCCTGTTGGACCCTCAGATCGGCGCTCACCCGCCTCGTCATTGCCAAGGCTATGTTCCCCCGTTCCAGCCACAGTCCCCTCTCCTCGACTCTCCTCATCTCTCTTTTGCCATTTCCACCCAAGCGCCCAATTCTTTCATCTTCCCCTCGCAGTGGCTGGTCCGCCGACTCATAATTCCTACAGAATATACTCTCTGTCTGTGCAGACACGTTCCACGACTACAGCGTTGGGCCGCCATCCGGAGTAAGGTGACAGAGTGGGCTGTACGAGCTTGGCAATCAAGGGCCCTCCCAGTTAAAGCCCCCCCGGAACCATCTGATCGGCTCTCCTATCGCGATTCCGACCCCTCCCTCCCCTTACCTTTTGCGAAAATCGCGACTATCCCGCCACCATGTCGAAGGTAGTACGCAGTGTCAAAAACGTTACAAAGGGCTATTCATCAGTCCAGGTGAAGGTCCGAAATGGTACGTTTGGTTCCTTTCTGCTTGAGATCAGAAGTCAAGAAAACATCGCAGCCGGTGTCGCGTTGACAGTCGCCTCTTGTCGCTGTGATCTGACTGGGCTAGCGGCGACCGATGACCATGTCATGGGCCGATGACAATGGCTGCGCAACGCGCAATCGCAACAGATAAGCTAACAACAATGGTCTTCTAGCAACCAGCAATGATCCATGGGGCCCGACGGGTACCGACATGTCCGAGATTGCGGCCATGACCTTTGGGAGGTAAGAATCGACTCACAATCTGTTCCAGGGGTACAGTGTCTAACACGGCTTGCATCTAGCCCGAACGAGTTCTACGAGATTATGGACATGATCGACAAACGTCTCAACGATAAAGGCAAGAACTGGCGTCACGTCCTCAAATCGTTGAAGGTCTTGGACTATTGTCTACACGAGGGCTCGGAGTTGGTGGTTACCTGGGCGCGCAAGAACGTGTACATCATCAAGACACTGCGCGAGTTCCAATATGTTGACGAGGAGGGACGTGACGTGGGTCAGAACGGTGAGTAATACCGCTCAAATCAAGCTATAGGGTTGAATGCTAATTGAACAAAAGTCCGTGTCGCGGCAAAGGAACTCACTGCGTTGGTTCTGGACGAAGACCGACTGCGTAGCGAACGATCCGATCGCAAGCTCTGGAAAACCCGGGTCAGTGGGCTCGATGAACAGGGAGGAAGCGGTGGAGGATTTGGTAACGAGCCGCCGCGCCGGGAGCGACGGAGACGTAACCCCGATGATGAGGACGATACTGAATACCGACTTGCGATTGAGGCCAGTAAGGCGGAGGCCGAGGACGAGCGGAGGCGACGCGCCAAGGAATCTGGTATCGACAATGATGAAGACCTCGCCAAGGCCATCAAGCTCAGTCAAGAAGAAGAGGAATTGAGGAAGCGCGAATTGGAGGAGAATAACGCGCATGCGCTCTTTGACGATACTCCTGCTCAGGTGCAGCCGACTGGCTTCAACCAAGGCTATCAGCAGCAGAGTGCCGTGGACTGGTTCGGCAACCCCATCAACGCTCAGCAGCCTATGACAACCGGTTTCCTCAACAATCAATATGCGCAGCCGACTGGATTCCAGAATCAGCCTACAGGCATGAACCCTTACGGCAATGGCTACCAACAACCCACCGGCTTCGATCAGAACCAGTACGGACAACCCCAGAACAACTTTTTGCAACCCCAGGCAACCCTCCAGCCCCAGCATACGGCGTTCAACACCAACAACCCGTATGGTGGACCGGGAGATATGTTCTCGCAACAGCAGCAGCAACAGCCACAACAACCTCAGGAGAACTACCTGTCAGCCGGCAGCAACAACCCATGGTCTGCTAATCAACCAGCTGATACCCTTAAGCCTATGGCGACGGGCTCCAACAATCCTTTTGCCATGCGCACACAGCAACCTCAGCAATCCCAGTTCAATAAGCCGCAACAGGCTGGACCTCCATCTCTCAACTCTTTGGCGGAAGACCGGGCAACAAACCAGTACAACCAGTACAGTCAATTCAACCAAACAAGCAGCTCACTTATGCAGCAGCCCACCCAACCCAACCCCATCGCCAACTTCCAAGCCCCGCAGCCCCCAAAGAGCACTCCACCTCAGTCATCAGACCCTCATCACGCTCGTTTGAACGCTCTTCTCTCCACTGGCGAGGGCCAGGATACCTTTGGCAACGTGGGAGAACTTCGTATTCCGGCACAGCATACTGCACCTGGTACATTTGTCAATTCTGCCGGTCAAGGTCTGGACCGCCTGCACGCGAACCAAACCGGCACCAACCCTTTCTTTGGGCAGCAGTTTACCGGCATGCCTCAGCAGACAGGCTATATGGCACAGCAGCAGCCTAACAGTAACCCGTGGGGTGCCCCTCAGCCGCAACAGCCGCAACAACAGCAGCAGCATGGCGGTAGCTTGATCGACCTGTAAATCTGCGATCTGGCACACCATGTGTTTATTTTCATTGATTTATTACGGGGCATGAATGGTCCGGAAACCTGCACATCGGTTTCCTGTGGCTTAGCCTCCCAATAATCTTGCCCTTGCCCCAATCCCTTCATTCTGTCTTCTCTCTGCATTCGCTCGAGATAGTTCATCCTGTTAGTTGCATTGGGAAGCCAAACCAAGACCATTACCCTCTCACACCCCTCTTTGCTTTTCCTTTTTCTCCTCCACCCTTGGTCCAGCGCCTTACATTTGGACTTCTTGAACCTTCCTTGTCTACCCCCACCCCCCCTTGTCAATCTCTTTCCCCCTTCTCCCCGCTTTCTCTTCTCATTTGTCTACGTGTTCTTGTCATTAGGATATCCTTCTCACTTCTCCAATGGTCTTTTAAGATGTTCATTTTCATGTGAAGATATTGTAGGAATTGACCTTGTGGTGACCACTGTGGGCTCATTGTAAAGCTGCTTGGGCGAGCAAAACTGGTAAACAGAGCTCCAATCCCCCAGTTATCCATTGACCTCGTACTCGTACTCCGCACGGCATTGGATATCCTATCTGATTATGATTGATATGTAGAGTGGACCCCGGAACACATAGTCACGTTACCCCAAATCCACCACGGCAGTGCGTCACACGTGCCCACCAGCCACAGCCGAGCCCTGAATTTGTAATGCGCCGCGATGGGCAACCTCTTTGAGAAACCGCCCGGGACCCAGTCAAACCTCTTCCTCCCCCGAACACCCCACCGTACCTTCATGTTTCCCCGCGCCTCCTCCCTCACTGTCCTAAGTAGAGGCACCCGATACCTCTTCCGCCCAACCCATACGGCTATCCGGCCATCCTCGCTCTCCGCACGCGCATTTTCCGCCGTCCACGCCGCAATGGCCGATACCTCGGGCATTACCGCAGAGTCGTTGCAGGCGAAGCTGGTCTCCGAGCTGCAGGCCGACCACGTCGAGATTGAGGATTTGTCTGGTAAGAAAAGTCTATCTCTGGATCCAGAATTGCTGGTGAAGGAGTAGTCATAATCTCGCCTGCGAGAGAGCGAAGGGAAAGCAAACTAACTGGGGTACAATTTAATAGGTGGCTGCGGCCAGGCATTCCAGGCCGTAATTGTTTCGCAGAAGTTCGCCGGAAAGACAATGCTCGCCCGTCACCGTCTTGTAAACGCAACGCTGAAGGAGGAAATCGCTGCCATCCACGCATGGACTCCCAAATGCTATACCCCCGAGCAGTGGCAGGCGACCCAGCAGTAAATGCTGCATGAACATACGATGACGCTGGAGGGAAATTGAATGCATAATACGGTGGTAGCTCTTATTTGGTTAGTTTGTACGATAGATTTACTGGTAGAAATGAATTCCCTTTCAAAGATCTAGTTCGTATCATGTTTTTCTTTTGAGGGGGCCTATGTATCTACAAATTCTATCTATGCATTGGTGTATCTCTCGCTTCGCCTTCTCACTTCTTCGTAGCAAAAGATGGGATATTAGGTGCGCCCATCTGGCTGGCGGCTTCGTCTTGAGATGAGCTGATGATGCCGTTGATCTCCCCGGCCACCGTTCCGGCCAGAACTCCTACGCCAATGATGCCGCCATCATTGGCTTCCCTGAGGAAGATGCTTTTCCCTCCACTTTGAGGCCCGGCGCTGATCAAAAGGCGATCGATATATCGTTGTATTGTCTCCTTGTAGTGTGGATAATGTCGAATCACACCCCCAGAGACGGCCACGACCAATTCCTCGGGTCCATTCTTCCAACCCGGTATGGCAGTGCCGTTCTCAGGGATCTTGGTGGCATTGAAAGCTGATTCTTGCTCTTCATCTGAATCAGCCTTTGCCGGTGGGTCTAGCTGTTCCGTATTTTGTAATCGAATCTCTCGCGTGCAGGACAGAAGTCCAAGAGTCGCCGCCGCTACTAGGGCAGCTGAGCGGTCCTGCACTGCCGCGGCCACTGAGCGAATATGACCTGCATACTCGGGTGTCCATGCCCAATCACTGGACTCAGGAGGCGGGATTCGCTCTGATAGTTCCCTCGCCAGCTTAACGTCGGAGTAGCTTGTTGCCACGACGAGGGAGAGGAAGTCGGTCGTAAGCTTAAACCTCTCGACGAGCTGCAATGGCAAGGACTCCCGTGGCACCGCTTTAGTTTTATGAAACCATTCGAAGCAAATTATCCGCACGAGCTCGCCCATGTACCGCCCTCCAATAAGGTACTCTAGTGGCTGAAACCCCGGGCGATCGGAATGAACGTCTAACTCTTTATCCCAGTCGGTCACGATCCCAAGTTCTTCCAATGGGGCAGATGCACCCCGAAGAGTCCATTCAGTTGAGACAACTGTATCAACTGCGTCGGGGGCCTTTCCCCGAATATGTTGGGTCTTTTCTTCCTGTAGGTCCGCTAGCTTCATGGGTACGGCGGAGTTGCAGCCTGCACCGCAAATTAAGCCCATAACCACCCGCGTATTCGGCAACGCGCGGATGGAATAAGCCAGCGATGCAAGTGTCGCGATGGTATCGTTAGTCATGACGGTGATTTTCAATTTCGGCAGACAGTATTTTTTCTGTCGTTTGGCAGGCATCTCAGCAGGGTCCTCGTCCGAGCGCCGTGTGTGGCACTCGTAGCCATCTAATAGGGCCTGCTGTAGATTGAGAGAGGCGCCGAGCGCAAAGCCCTTCCCAGTCGGCAGGAGGATGGCTTCATTGTGGAATTTTTGTCTAGTGGATGGTTAATACATGATGACATGTGCTATTGCGGGGCAAATGGACGCGATACTTAATGGGAAAACAGAAGGAGATGCCCATGGCGACCTCGGACGGCGCATCGACTTTGGAATTCGCCAGGTCATCGTGGATCACCTCCGCGATGCAATCGCCAATCCATGCAAAGAGCGACGTAGCCTGGTCCCGGCGCAGACGGTCTTCAATGGGCCAGGCCTTCTCGAGCGTGCGGCGTACATGTGAGTGTTTTCCCACTTGCTCTTCACCGAGTAGTTCGATAAAGGCCACCCGCAGATAATGCAGCCCCAGATAGACAGCGAGATAACGACCTTTTTCACGGCCAGTGGGCAGGCGTGTTGTGGCTGTCGGTGAGAAGAGCTCCGAGGAACTTGCGGCTAACTCGCGATAGGTGAGTGAGAGACGTGAGGATAGACTGTATAGTCGTTCGATGTCGTTCTTCAGAGGCCTAAGGAAAGCCTGTAGCGCTGGATCGGTCACGGTCCTTGCCATTGTAGCCCCGACACCCGTTCGACACAGGTGGTCGACTCTGATGGACTTTTTGATCGGCCCGGCTAGCGGGGCTTACTAGCTGGCGGGAGGTTACATCTAGATGTAACAGTAACAACAATTATACTACAAGTCAACATCAACATTCCAAATTTGTTTATGCTTAAATACTAGGTTTGAAATTCTAGATAGATACTCAATACCTCATTTTAGCGACTATACACATGGAATTGGTGTAACTACAGTGATGTCATTATTCATGGTATTTCTGTTCGCACTAGCAGATCTACTATACTAGTACCTATCAGCGTGGCCGATCAGCAAAAAGAGTATCTTTGCAATCATAATATAGCTTCTGTGTGGCCAGGGATAACGTGAAGCTTAATATAAACAAGAGTTTGTAACTAAATACACCAAATATGAACTGGGTGTTTCAACTCTTAGAGCCGAACCCGCGACGACCGTTAAACCAGCATTGAGATCACTGCGGCGGCCAGACAGAATCTTCCCACGGTTTCCCATTTGTGCTCTCGGCTAAATCAGTAAGAGTGGTCCATTCCCATAGCAATTGCTGAGGATTGACCAGCTCATTGTCGTCACCGAGACCCGCATCCGTATGGTCGATTTTATCCTCTCCCGCCAGGAACCGCAAGTAATCCGCAGGGTCAGAAGAAAGCTTGGCCGTCTTTTCCTTTTTGTATTCGTCAAGTGGTATTTCTGTCACTTCAATATTTCCAGCACCTGCAGCTCCCATGATGGAAGCAATCTCCGAGATAGAGCGCGTGTCTCCACCGACATGGATCGTGCTCGGAGCTAGGTCGCTGGGGAGTGTAGCCAACGCAGCGACTGCTTTTCCGACATCACCAAGCGAGGTAAATGAGATAAGACGATCCGCTGGCCCAATGCTTTCGTACTTGCCATTTTTGGTGTCGAATCCGAACCAAGGGCCGATGCTGTCTTCTAAAAAGAGGCCGCAGAAGAGACGGCAGACCTTCAGGTCCGGGATCAATTGTTGGCACATAGCAAAATGTTTCTTTTTCTGGTCCCATTCTAGATGTGGGAAGTCATGGACATAATGATCGACTCCGAATTCAGAGGGGAAATAGATTTGCACCTCTGACTGCGGTAATGCTTGCAGAAGCTTCTCCTTGAAGGAATGTCCAGACGGTCCGACCGTGTTGACGAGGACCTGGACACCTTCTAGAGCCTTGGCAAGATTGTCTTCGTCGTATTTGCGAACAGTATAGTTCGTAGTTGATTCAAACCCATCGATACTGGAAGCTTCCTTCCGAGAGAGAAGAATGATGTCGGAGAACTTGCTGCGAAAGAAAGGAGAGAGAAAGGCAGTGGCGACATGTCTTCCCAGATGCCCAGTAGCTCCTGCAATGGCGACGACCGGTCGAGAAATAGGCATGTTTCGTGTTGTAGAGGGGGTTATAATATGTGATTCAAGTTTGAAATTGAACAAATAGAATATGAGGAGCTGTGATGTGGAATCAAATGCTCACCTAGGTAGCTATGCCCGTATGGCAGCGGGGATGAAATACTAGACCGCCTACGCCGCCGTCTCCTAGATCTATTTGAACTCCTTCACTCTCTCTAACTAATAGAGTTCTCTATTCATCACTACTTATGCTGCTTGAACTCCCTGACGACTACTTCAATTCTTGTACTAGTGGCGTAGTTGTAATTTTTCTAAGTTTATATACTACTGTTCATAGTCTACTATAGATAGTACATTAACTTCAAGTTAGTAGTTAGTACCTACCTAGGTAGGTAGCAGGGCTCACCGTGACCCAATCAATTTTCTATATTTAATCTTGAAAAAGGTACCTAGGTAGTACTTATTTAGTGATTATTACATACGCGTACCTATCTAGATAGTAGCTAGTATTATCAGATCAATATCTCACCTAGGTCATGCATAAATAGATCCAGGATTCTGCCCGGCCACTATCGGCGCGGAGGCTTTCCGTCCTCTGTCATCGCCCAAACACTGCGAGCTTTTGATTGGTCATGAGGGGGCTGTTTGTCCAAGTTGCAATTTTCGACAAACATACTATTGGCCAATCACCGTCCAGATAGCAAGAAAGCATCATGTTTGCAAGTGTGTATTAGTAGTCTAGGCCACGCCATATAAATAGACTGGGACTGGTCACAATATGGGGTTCTCTTACATGCTAGAATAATATCTTTATTCAGAATCAGATCAATCATGACCACCGAACCCGCATCGATAAAGCTGAAAAGAGCTCTGCTTCATCTCACCTCGATCCAAAAAGAAGAGGACACTGCTTGCAGTCATTGCCAGTGTGCACACTCACCCAACCGACGAGGGGAACATCTTCTTAGTTCAGATACTTGGGACCAGCTTGACGCTCTCTGTCGGCTATTATGCGAACTTAACCCAGATATCGAGATTCCATCTGGAATAGACGAGGATATTGATGAGGTGATCGCCTATCGGAACAGCCACACTCTGCTCACGTCCACGGCCTCTATTACCCCAAAAATCACTCTCCAACATCCAGTCATTGAGAATGCGAATCCACTCAGACTATCTTCCTGGAATGGAGATATCACCACTCTATCAGATGTCACAGCTATCGTCAACGCAGCGAATTCTGGACTCCTGGGGTGCTTCATCCCCGAGCACCGCTGTATTGACAATGTGATTCATTCAGCTGCTGGTCCACACCTTCGCCAGGCCTGTCGCCTTATCATGGACTGTCAGACAGACCCCGAGCCTGTAGGGCAAGCTAGAGCTACACCGGGATTCCATCTTCCAGCATCCGGAGTTCTTCATACTGTTGGACCTCAACTGCGTCCCCGCGAGACGCCTCAGCCGCACCACGAGGATCAGCTAGCCTCGTGCTATCGTTCTTGCTTGGATGCTGCAGAAACACTGCAGCCTCTTTCAGATCAACGCAAGGTGATCGCATTCTGCTGTATCTCCACCGGACTATTCGCTTTCCCTTCTGACATAGCAGCACGCATTGCTGTGGATACCGTCAGGAAATGGCACCTTGAGCACCCGGTGACCAGCATAACAGATGTCATATTCAACACTTATTTGGCGAAAGACCACAAGATTTACCAGGACCTGTTGCAATCGCTGCAAAATACTCAAATTGACGAGGAAAATGGCTCTCTGAACTCCGCTTCAATGTCAACATCAACTTCAACTTCAATTTCGATCTCAACGCCAATGCCAATACTAGCACGTTTACCATCACTACCCACAACCAAAACTAGAAAAGCTCGCACTTGGATAGAAGAAGCCGATGCCTTAATCATCTCAGCAGGAGCCGGACTCTCAGCCGCAGCCGGACTAGACTACACCTCTCACGCCCTCTTCACAGAACACTTCCCCGCATTCCGCGCAAAGGGTCTACGCCGATTATACGACGTGATCGGATACAGCGGCTGGAGTAGTGAGGCCGAGAAATGGGGCTACTTCTTCCTACACCTAGACATGGTGCGCAAATGGCCCGTCTCGCCAATCTATGAAAAGCTTCGTGGTCTGGCGGCGCGATTTCCGAACAAGCATTTCATACGCACGTCGAATGCGGATGGGCTTTTTGTGAAAAATGGGTTTGATGGGGATTTTGTTGCGACGCCGCAGGGTCAATATCAGTTTTTGCAGTGCTTTTATAAGTGTCGGGCTGATGCTTATGTTCTTTCCGATCCGCTTGTTGAGGATGCGTTGCCGTTTATTGATCCCGTATCTCAGGTTTTGATGGATGAATCTAAGATTCCGACGTGTCGATTTTGTGGTGGGGAGATGACGCTTTGTGTTCGTGGAGGGAATTATTTCAACTCTCGGCCTTTTCAAGATCGAGAGCGGGCATGGAAGAAGTTTTTGCGGGGCTTGGAGGAGGGAGACGAGAAGCATGAGAAGCACGAAAAGGCCAAAGCATCACGTCTACCTAAAAAGGTAGTTGTGCTTGAACTTGGCGTTGGCCTAAATACACCTGGTGTACTGCGATGGCCAAATGAGAATCTAGTCTCCGGGTCTGCAAGCAAAACATTTCGGTTGATCCGGGTTGGAAAGGAGGCATCTGGGTGTGCACCTTGGGAATTGGAGGAGGAGAATCTAGCTGTTGGAGTTTCTGGCGATATTGCAGCTGCTTTGGATCTGATTATTCCTTAGGCGGTTTGTCTCCTATTCTATGCATTTCGAGATCCCGATAGATTGCTGGATAGAGGGTGGTCAGGCTGTTTTTGTTACTGTTGATTGCTGATTTATCTACTCATGTCCGAGGCCGTCGGCCAAAACATCAATTGAAAAAAGAATACGTGGATCGTCAAAAATGGTTGACCATAACATCATGCTAGAATGCCCGAAAGTGTGCCTGAAATCTAGTAATAAATTGTACCATAGGATTCCCCTTGCCCAAATGCTCACTGGCTACCCTCCATGCTCAGATACTTTTCTTCAGCACCCTTGATACAAGCAATGTTGGCGCCGAGCTTGTTGATCGTCTCGATATACTCGTCATAAGGGTCCGAGTCAAAGACAATACCACCACCAGCCTGGAGATAAGCAACGCCGTCCTTAACCATCATAGTCCGGAGTGCAATGCAAGTATCCATCGCACCGGGTTCCTCACTCGAGCCATCGGTGCTGGAAATGTTGTATCCGAAGTATCCGACAGCACCGGCGTAGACGCCGCGCTTCTCGCCTTCCAGCTCGGCAATGAGTTGCATGGCGCGCACCTTGGGCGCACCGGAGACTGTACCAGCGGGGAAGATGGATCGGAAGGCGTCGAAACGGGTCTTCTCTGGTCGCAGGACGCCGGATACCTGCGACACGAGATGCTGGACGTGGGAGAACTTCTCGACAACCATCAGTCGGTCCACTTGTGTGGTGTTTGGGTCGCAGACTCGGTTTACGTCGTTGCGGGCTAGATCAACAAGCATGACGTGCTCGGCACGATCCTTCAGACTGCTACGCAGCTCGTTGGCCAAAGCTGTGTCCTCTTCCATGGTCTTGCCGCGCTTCACTGTGCCCGCAATTGGGTGAGTGATGATGCGACCTCGCTCTTCCTTGACAAGCAGCTCGGGGCTGGCGCCTACGAGCTGGAAATCTTGGCAGTCGATGTAGAAAAGGTAAGGGGAGGGATTGACGGTGCGGAGGTGGCGGAAGAGGTTGTAAGGGTGCAGTGTTGTGGGCCGGGATAGCCGTTGTGAGGGAACGGTCTGGAAGATATCGCCCTTGCCGATGTGCTCCTTCAACTTCTTGACGTGGTTCTCGTAGCCCTCTTGGCCAATGTTGGATGTGTATTCCTGGTTCTGCTTGATAGGGCCCTGTGGGGGCAAGGGTGTGCGGTCCTGCAACAGGGTTTCGATGGTCTTCTGGATGGCCGCCTGACCCTTGCGATATTCGGCCTCGACATCGGCGTCGTTGGCGGGGATGGGGACATAGCTGACAACCTTGACGGTCTGGAAGAAATGATCAAAGGCAACAATGGTGTCGAACAGCATAAAGAATGACTCTGGCACTCCCAGAACATCCTTCATGGGCCGGGCGGTTTTCGGCTCAAAGTATCGGACACAGTCGTAGCCCACATATCCAATGGCACCACCGGTCAAAGGCGGAAGTACCAGACCGGGAACCGATGCAACACGGTATTGGGAGAGTTCCTCCTCGAGGTAGGGGAGAGGGTCGGCCTCGTGGCCATGGCCGGGACCAGTCTTGAGTACCTTTCTGGGGTCTGCAGAAACGTTGAGTGAGTCAATGTTAATGTGTACAAGCCAAAGAATGATTTGCGCGAGAGATCACCCACCAGCGCCGATAAAGCTGTATCGTCCAATCGTCTCAGTAGTAGCCGCACTCTCGTATAAGAATGATAGTCGCGAACTGTATCACCTCGTTAATTGATCGTAGCCCAGGATTTCCCCGCGGCTCCCCGCAGGTGGGCGCAAGGGACTGTCACCACTCACTTCTCCGCAATCTTCAGGTACGCCAAAGTGGGGGTCAAAAGATCCGCCGGGATAGAGGCGGTAATGGGCAGTAGGTTCGGGGGAAATTGTGAGTTTCTCGACTTCAAGATGACCTCTTGCGCCGTCTGGAGCGACGGGACATTGGCAATCTGAGTCATATGGGTGCGCATTAGCCAATTTGTCCCGAAATGACCCCAGCGAAAGTCGTAGTGGGAGACTAGGTCTTACCGGAGGTGCCATGATCAGCTGTAATCCCTGTGTAGTGACTGGAGGAGCAGATAGAGCCGCGTGACAGAGGGAATTGGCGGTGGGAAAATGAAGATGGAATGAGTCCAATGAGTGTGGGGCTCTGGCGCCGGGTGCCGCTGAGGGAGGGATTGTCAACTCCAATGCTGACCAGGCGTTAGTAGGTCGTATGTACAAGTAGTACTCCGTAATAGTAATAAAAAAAACTACCATCAATGAAAGACACAACATACCAAGCAAGCTTTGGACTTTTCTCTGTCTCTTTCCTCTAAGAAAAGACTCGAAAGACAGCAACTAGCATATATAAGTACCGAAATGGGCTAGCGCGGGACGATGTTATCGCAGAATCGCTTATCGATAGCCCTGCTTGGCTGAGCTGACCTAAAGGCTAGCTGAATGAAAACCATACATACTACCATCCTCACCTCCGGTTCTCATCAATTTCATAGGAATGGGGTGTGGTGGTGGTAATATGATCTGCACATATAAAAGCTCCTCCTCCAACACAAAATGATCTCCTACAGCCAAAGAGCCATCCATCGCGATACCGACCGCCATGAAAATCAAACCGCACTGCTCAATGCGCTCGATGACCACGATCAATCAGGGCTAGAAACTGCAGCCCATGACAACGAGCGGACCGAGCTCCGTTCCACAACAGAGACTCTACAGATTCCATGGCCAAAGCGCCTTGAGGAACTCGCGCGCCGCACATGCACGTCATCACCTTCCTGCCTGGACGAGGAAAGCGCGCAAAGTATACACCACCATCTCGACGCGCTGGAACGCCTTCTCGGGGATTCACTGCAGGGGACGATGCAGGAGCCAATGCAGGAGATCGTGCGCAGTCGCAGTCAAAGCCAAAATGAGCTTTCGGCATCGGTCGCATCTGATATCATAACCCAGGCGGAAGAATCAATACCACCTGCGCCGGATCAGAATCATGGTATAAATAAGGAAGAATTACTGTCCCAATTGCAGGGACTTATGAGCGAGGTCACTGCCTTGAACGAGGAGGTAAATAAGCGGCGCAAGGAATCTAGCGAAATCAGAGATCTCTTTGAAGAGAGGTGTCGCGGGTTGACGCGCTCAGTGGCAGAATTGGAAGATGAGGTTCTAGAATTGTGAGTGTCATTTATATTGCCATATAAAGGAACGAGTGCTGATGCCCATACTTTCTCTCAGACAAAGTGATCTGGTAGAAGATTCGATCGAGCTAGAAGGAATACAAGGCACTGTGCGCGGACTTCAAGACTGGATCGACCGGTTGCGCGAAACGCAAAAGATGAGTCGCATAACGCGTGACCAGACACGGCAAGAGGCCCGGCGACGATGGGCGATACGGGGAATTAGACAAGACGTTGGCACGGAAACTGATGGAGAGGTTGTTTTGGACGGCCTCACAGCCTGGATGCGCGGTTGGCGGGATGTTGAAGAGGGATTCCAAGTTCGATCGCAGGCACGACAAATGAGGAGGGAAAAAAGACAGGAGCAGCACTTGCGGCCGAGAGAAAAGCAGGAGGAAATGTCTCGGAGATCCTGGGCCAGTTGATTCTGGGACTGTTTTATATATACTAGTACTTACTGTTATGACGTTACGAGAGACAAGAAATAAAAGACATGATCCAATCAAGTTCATAATGCATTTTTGAGCTTCAAAATTCACGAGAAACAGTGAGATTCAATCCACAAACCCAACCTCCCAAGAATAACAAGAAAAAAAAATACCACACATCGCCAGAAACCCGTATCGTTCGCCGTACCCAAGCCTATTCCCAAACAATGCATGCCATAATGCATTTTCTAAATTCACGAATGTATGTCCAGAGAAAGTATGTAAGAAAGGTGAAGAAGGAACCCCATTAAAGCTTCGGTATGATATGAGGGGATTGGAAGACTCTGCCAAGGAGTCAAACAGAATTCTGTTGGCCCCTGTCGAGTGATTCGCCCGCAGCCACCTTGGTGTAAAAGATATGGCGGAAAATCCCGTATCAGCACCGCTGGAGGATTGGAGGTAATTTATCAATTAGTTCGGTTTTATGGCCCTTGACCACACCCAGAAGAACAAAGAAATAGCAACATATTGCTGCTGGTAAAGGAGGGAATGGAACGGCTTGAAATTTGTATTGTAGCACATGGTCAACCGTTTAAATGGGAGAGCCAGCTACCCTAGTCACCGCTGAAGATTGATGATGGCCATCTAGAAGAGTTAGCTTCGGCATAATTTGCCTAGGGGAAGTGCGTATTACCTGATCGCCGAAGCCATACGCAAGCTTTTTGCCGTCGTGATCCCAAGATAGATCTCGATTGGGGGCCGTTGCTGCGTGACCATTCTGTCCATTCGTGGGGTGATCGGGGTCTTCCTTGACTTGTTCTGGGCCGGGGGCCATCCATATAGCCATGGGCTCCCCGCCGCGCTCGGCATTCCAAATGAGGAGCTTCTGTTCACTGACTGCACAGAGAGCATATCCGTCCGGCGAGAAGCTGCCAGCTAAAGCAGGGGTTGATGACCCTAGGCGTAGGCGATGGATGCGTTTATGTTGTTTCGAGTCAAGGTCCACTTCCCAGACATGGACAAAGTTATCGGTTGAAAAAGAGGCGATTGTGATTGTGGAATTTTGTTGTGAATGGTGTTCAGCAGGTCGAATATCAATTGCAGTGATTGCATCTTGGTGGGGATTTTCGATCAAAATATCATGTGTCGGAATCCAAATCGAGCAATTCGTAGAGCTTGCGGCAACTGCAACAGAGTATGATGATGTATGAACGGAACGAACAAAAGTCCAAGCGGTGTCGGTGTCCCGAGAATTGTAGGTTTTTGTCAGGCGGATGTTATCGTCCACCTCACATTGGTAGACAGCCCCATCTCCGCATGCGAAAACCAGATTGCGTCCGCACCAGGCCAATTCGTAGACGTGACTGTCGATGGCCTGTGGTGGAGGGTACACATCCGGCCGGCGGCTGTCATCCCAAAGAGCCAATTCCGAGGATCGTTCATCGGACGCCACAACGACCAACTGTGGACTATCTTTTGACCAATGCAGACCATTGATCAAACGGGGGAGATCAGGCAGGAGATCCACAACATTACCTTCGGGATTATACATGGTAATCGCCCCCTTCTCCGTATCGCGGATAGTGGCCACGGCTAATTTGGAGCCGAGGGCATCCCAGGCCACGCCGGATACATAGGCATTGGTACCTTTCAGGTCTAGAAAACGATTCTGTTCCGGGGGCGAGGATAATGATAGCTTCCATAAGCTACAAAAGGTATCGCCAGCAGCGACAAGTAGGGTCGAATCCCGGGGGCGCCAGCGAGTGGTGAGCACGTGATCCTGGGCATGCAGGAGGGCGGTGTCGGGCGCCAAATCGGCGGCCTTGGCGGGGGAGATCTGGACGCCGGCGCTGCTGCCGGTTGAAAGGGTGGGTTCCGGGGCCTGTTCCTCGGCCCCCCATGCTCACATCTCCGTCGCCATCCACCGAGCCTTTGCTCTCATCGTCGACTTCCATAGACTCATCGCCATTCGTCTCCTTGCGCGACCTGGAATCAAGTGAGTGTCCATTGGTTGTGCGGTCACGCGCGGGCTCCGCCGGATGGTCTGTGCCATCGTCATCCCGGCGCTTCAAGGCACTGGCCTCGAACGGCTCCGGCCCGAAAAAATACTCAGTGGGTGTAAATTTAATGGGGTTTCCCTCCTGTAGAAATCCAATTAGGTCTGTGTAATTGATAGAGCCGCCTGAATATGCGGGGGGAAAAGACGAAGTCGAAGCAGACAAGGTGGTGGCTCCAAAGTGTTGTGTCGCGCGCACATACCTTGTCAAGCGAGGATTCCAGTTCGTGGTACTGCAGGCCCTTTTGGACCAGCGAGACGAGAGCATGGGTCTTGATGTGGCGCGCAAAGGGAAGACTCTGCGGATCCGGGAACCATGCGCGCTGCAGTGAGACAGCAGCATCACCATGACCTGTTTGAAAGAAGGGAGATTTGGTTAGAAATGCAATGGGATGGGATGATGGTGGCGGTGGTGGTGGTGGTGGTGGTGATCCCAGGGTGAGCGCGCTACGAACCTGATTCTTGAAGATACCTACGGGGAAGCGGGTTAGATCTGCGGGAGGCGCATCGGAGGAATCGGAGAATCGGGGGATGGAGGAAGGGAAGACATACCGCCATATTAAGTAGTTGACGTGATGGGAGGTAAGGTCGGGTTGTGCCATGACTACATGTGCGACCATTCAAAGCGCCGACATGCCAGGGGCGAAGGAAAGCTGGAAGGTCAAACGCCTGGGAAAATCGAAAGTGGAGGCGTGGAGATGAGCTTCAGGAACGCGGGCGGAAGCCGAGTCCGGCAGAAAAGGGGGGCGTGGTTGGAGTGGAGGGAGTTGGAAGAGAGAAAGAAATGAAGGAGAGGGAAGTGGTGAATGTTGGCAGGAGATAAAAAAAATTAGGGAGATCGGGGTTAGGGATGGAGATGGAGATCGTGGAACATGAACATCAGAATTACCTTAGGTACCTAGGTAGAGAAGGGAAGAAAGGGAAGAAGGGTTGGACATTCAAGTTCCAAGTGACAAGAGCTTAAGCGCACCAGCCACGAACCAGACCACTAAGAGACCAACTCTGGAGACCACCCTAGACCTGCCAGAGGCAAATCTCGCAGAATCACTCGCTTGGCTCAGCCGCAGTGGCTCGTTAGTAATATGTGTGTGGCTGTTAGTGGGGCTGCCGATCGAGCTTAGCGTGAGTAACGGAGTACGAAGTACGGAGTAGCCTAATATACGGAGGTTTATATGGCATGTCCGGGTACTTGCTCGTGTCTGCAGCCTTCTGCAGGGCAAATCTGGTGGTCAGGGCGCCTAGGCTTGGTTCCACTAAGATAGTAGTATATTACCTAGGTATAGCTTGGTAGTAGGGAGTATATGATATGCTATCTATCTAGGTAGGTAGTATGCCATATACCTAGGTACTTAGTAGGTATATAGATATATACCTACCTAGGTAAGTATGTCCACTATTTACTACTACTACTAGTAATATACTAGTATAGTCACTACTCGTATGCTGAAGACTAACCCAGTAGTTTTCCCCTTTCTCTAGGCCTCAATTAGCTTAGTTATTAGTAGTACTAGTAGTACTAAATCACCACAATCTCAGCCATAATATGATACATATAAGTCAAGTCTATTAAATCAATATTATGGTATCCTCTCTTTGCGTGTTATCTATAATTCTAATTTACCCATCTATCTAGGTAGGTAGGTACTCTACTTTGTGCATCCCGAGGTCCCATACAGTGACTTAGCACCACCACCCACCACCACGTATACTTCTGACCGCCTCAGCTGAACCCCCAGCAACGATTCCCCCGATCACACAAAGCGCCCAGGTGTACTGGTTCTCATCCCCCCGCGGTCGCCGCGTCTCAACATGCCGCTCCGAGTCAATATCCCCCCCGGCTACGCGCGTCTGCCTCGTCAGCCTGCTCACCCTCTCCCTCCTCTACAACATCGCCCGATGGCGCCAACTTGACACTTCCGCCGGCAGCCTCCAAACTACACCAATCATTCCTTACCTCACGCTGGTCCCTTCTCTCTTCTTCTACTACCCCTGGACTCTCATAACCTCCACCTTCGTCGAACAGAATATTTTCACCGTTCTCCTCAATGCCGCGACCATCTTCTACGGAGGGAAATACCTCGAGCGCGCATGGGGCTCCCGCGAGTTCAGCAAGTTTGTCGCCGCTGTTACGCTGATTCCGAATGCCGTGATAATCCCCATCTATCTGTTATGGGGTGCTGCCGGAGGTTCCTCCAGCCGATCGTTCGTTCCGTCCCAGAATCCATATCCATATGCTCCCCGATCTGAGATCCTAACTCCCTCGGCGACAGTTTGACCCAGATCTGCGGTGGCGTCTCCATTCAAGGCGCCTTCCTCGTCGCTTTCAAGCAACTCGTCCCTGAACACACCGTCGCAATCCTCAAAGGCATGGTTAGAATGCGTGTGAAGCATTTTCCGGCCTTGTTCCTGCTCCTCAATACCCTGAGTGGTTTCATTATCGGAACCGACACCGCTGCCGTTTTGGCTTGGCTCGGCCTCCTTACCAGCTGGACATACTTGCGATTCTACAAACGCCAGCCTGATCTAACTGGCATGTCGACCACCGGCCTCGGTATCAAAGGCGATGCTAGCGAGACCTTTGCCTTCGCCTGTCTCTTCCCCGATATTATGCAACCCCCGATCGCCTTTGTCGCCGATCAGATCTATGCAGTGTTGGTAGCGGTTAAGGTTCTCCGACCATTCTCCGACGATGATATCGCTTCGGGTAATCAGCAAGTGTTGGCAAGAGGCGAAGCCGGTCTACCATCTCTTATGAGCAACCAGCGCGCAGCATCGAGGGGTGCAGGCAAGCGTGAAGAGGCGGAGCGCCGAAGGGCTTTGGCCCTTAAGGCTCTGGACCAAAGATTACAAGCAGCCACGGGAGGTCACTCCCAAGCAGGACCATCAACACTCACTGAACCCGGAGGTCGAGCGAACTCGATATCGCCCACCCCTTCTGCGACCAATGGTGGCATGCTGGGAGAGACCAGCTACAACCCCGATAATGCATAGAAACCATGTCGGGTTCTTTTCTTATTTTTTTTTTCAAGCGCCTTGCATTAAGCCACTTCATTTGGGGTGGCTCTACGACTCGCGACGGTTGCTCTTTGTCTTATTACTGCGGTGTATATAAGACTATCTCGCCAATTCTTGAACAATGTCCTTTGAGATTGGATATGTACTACTTCTACTCTGTGATTTTATAAAGACCTCCACTTACCAGCAAGCTGGGGAAATGAACCGGCCAGCATCATGTTTATGGTCGAGTTGTCCAAGTCGCTGTATGAGCACTGCACCTTTCTGAGTCTAACTTGATACCACTTATAAACGAAAGTTTTGCAAAACCAATTTTACAATCCGCATCTATCCTAGACACGAGAATAATTATTCCCAAAAATAGTACATAGTCATAAGGAAAACAACGATGCTATGCTACAAGTGGTCTCCTCTCCCCACCCTCAACGGGTACCAGGGCATTGGAAAGAAAAGGAGGACCAGAAAGATTCACAACCAACTCCGAATCAGGGCCAACGATAACAAGAAGCGACGCTGCACCCCTTAAGCAGTCTGCGACTTCTCAACCTCGCCACGGGCCTCAGCAAGCATACGCTCCTGATCCTTCTTCGCTTGCCGCTTAGCCCGTATCCGCTCCCGATCGTGAACAGCCTTCTCCTCGATAGCCGCGAACTTCTTCGCCTCGGCGATATCCTCCTCTGAGGCCGGGACCTCGCTGGCGTTTGTGGAAGTCTGCACGCGGTTCCAGATCTCCTGGTAGGTGAGATCCTTCACGTTGACGGTGGCCATCTTCTCGCCGGCGCCGGGGGCCGGCGCATGCTTGTCGGTGATCTGCTGTGAGCCTGCGATGGCTGTCGCGGTGCTGCCGACCCGGTCGGCGAAGTAGATTGAGAGTGTGGCGGGAATGTCTTGGTCCGTTGTCTGTTTTACTGTCATGGCAACGCCCGGGTTGTAGTACTTCAATCGGGGGAGGCAGTTGCGCCAGAAATGCCGCGCGCCTTGGTGGCCGCCGTAGATCTTTTGCGCGTATGTGAGGTGTAGCCGGGTGACTGCTGGGAAATCTTTGGAGGCATTGGCGACGCTGGGGAAGATGGCGGCGCCGGTTCCGACTCGGATATCGAGAATCTATGTGGGATTTGGGTTAGAATTGCTTCTTTACTAGTTGTGGTGCCTTGGCTGGTGGTTCGGTCCGATGGGCTGGGTTGGATATCGGAATTCAAGATTCGGAGAAATAGGTTAAAAGGGGATGTGGGGGGTATTTACCCTCTGTGATTAGAAGAAAAGAGTTAGCCACTTGTACGTCGATATCATTTTGCACTGAAAGCAATTGATTGCAGAAGGTTGTTGTCAGTTGCACTTACAGTCTTCAGCTTCCGCATACGCTTGAATAGGTTGACCATGATGGCGAATGTGGCGCAAAGGGATTGATCCCCGGTGCGAGGAGGATTTCGGGATTGGCGGGTATTAAAGAGAGTGTCGATAGGCAGACCGCTATGATTATGGGCCTGGGAGGAGCTGGTAACGCTTGTCGGAGATCTGGGGAAATTTGTTGCGGAAACTCTGGCGCCGCGAAGTTGCTCCGGCATAACCATCACGTGATGTAATTGGCAAGTAAAGCCGTACGGGAGGTTTCTTTGACAGCAATTGGACTTTTTGGAGATTCCAAGGATTTAAAGTTATCAAATTGGAAAGAAATATATTTAGTTTTATCTTTAAATCCATAATTTCTATACCTTCCCTTCGTTTATCTTGCTTTTGTACTAGTATTGCATACGGCACGTACCTCTGATTACCGCTGGAGTGTTACAATACGGCCGCCTTACCGTCCTGAGTCACAATCGATTTTATATCAGTGGACCCCGCGATATTTGTTCCCTGCCCCTCAGGACTCTTGCAATTAGGGCATTTCCTGCTGAATTACAATCATGGCGGCCGCTGCTGCATCCGCTGAGCTCGACCCGAGCAACAGCTCGAAGAACACCCTCAAGCTCGAAAATGTTGACTTGCCCCTCCCCCTCCATTGCATGCACCCGCTTTTTTTTGGTTCATGACCGTTGCTAACCTAAGATGACTCTAGACCGAGAAGCGTGACAACCTGATCGCAATTGAGAAGAAGTACCAGGCGCAATGGAAGGCCAACAAGGTTTTCGAAGTCGACGCCCCCTCCTTCGATGAGGTCCCCCAAGGCTCCATGACCCCCGCCGAGATGCGCGAGAAGCACCCCAAGTTTTTCGGAACAATGGCTTATCCTTACATGAATGGAACTCTCCACGCCGGTCACGCCTTCACTGCCAGTAAGGTCGAGTTCATGACTGGCTTTGCCCGCATGGAGGGCAAGCGTGCCCTGTTCCCTCTTGGATTCCACTGCACTGGTATGCCCATCAAGGCTTGTGCTGATAAGCTGCGCGACGAGGTCAAGCTCTTTGGACAGAACTTCGAAGGATACAGCGAGGAGGAGGCTGCTGCTCCCTCTGCTCCCACCCAGGAGTCTAAGCCCGAGGCTAAGGAGCAAGCCGAGAAGTTCTCCGGCAAGAAGAGCAAGGCCGCTGCCAAGACCGTCAAGATGAAGTACCAGTTCCAGATCATGCTGGCCATTGGTGTTCCTCTTGAGGATATTCACAAGTTTGCCGATGCCAACCACTGGCTGCAACACTTTCCTCCCCTCGCCATCCGTGATCTCGACAGCATGGGTGCCCGCGTCGACTGGCGCCGTCAATTCGTTACTACCGATGCCAACCCGTACTACGACGCTTTCGTGAGATGGCAGATGAACCGCCTGCACGAGCTCAACAAGATCATGTACGGCCAAAGATACACCATCTACTCTCCCAAGGATGGCCAGCCTTGTATGGACCACGATCGAACTGAGGGTGAGGGTATTGGTCCCCAGGAATACACTGCCCTGAAGCTCCAGGTCAAGGAGTGGTCCCCCCAAGCTGGCTGAACTTGTCAAGACTAGCAACATCGAAGATGACGCCAAGGTGTACTTTGTACCTGCAACCCTTCGACCTGAGACTATGTATGGTCAGACCAATTGCTTTGTTGGTCCTAAGGTTACTTACGGTCTGTTTAAACTGAAGGAGAAGGAATACATCGTCGTGACTAAGCGTGCTGCTTGGAACATGGCTTTCCAGGGCCACTTCTTCAGCGAGTTCCCCAAGTCACAGGATGATCTGCCTCTTGTCTTCGAGACGGTCGGTAGTGACTTTGTCGGTACTCTGATCAATGCTCCTCTGTCGTTCCACACTGAGGGTGTCTACATTCTGCCCATGGATGGCGTCTCTGCTACCAAGGGTACTGGTGTTGTGACTTCCGTTCCCTCAGACAGCCCTGACGATTATGCCACTCTCATGGACTTGATCAAGAAGGCTGAGTTCTACGGCATCAAGAAGGAATGGGCCGAGAAGGAGATCCACCCCGTTATTGAGACTCCTACCTACGGTAACCTGACCGCCCCTGCTCTCGTTAAGCAGCTAAAGATCAACTCCCCCAAGGATGTTAACCAGCTGGCCCAGGCCAAGGAGCTTGCATACATGGAGGGTTTCTATAAGGGAACCATGCTCGTGGGCGAGTTTAAGGGTGAGCCTGTCAGCGCTGTCAAGGACAAGATCCGCGCGGCTCTCATTGAGAGCGGCGATGCTTTCCCCTTTGCCGACCCTATGGGCAAGGTTGTCAGTCGCAGTGGTGACGACTGTGTTGTTGCCTACCTCGGCCAGTGGTTCCTGAACTATGGTGAGAACGATCCTGAGTGGCAGAAGGAGACATTAAACCACGTCCTGAACGGCTTGAACACCTACTCCAACGAGACCAAGAACGGGTTCGAGAAGAACCTTTCGTGGCTGAACCGCTGGGCCTGTGCCCGAACTTACGGTCTTGGTTCCAAGCTGCCTTGGGATCAACAGTTCCTGGTCGAGAGTTTGAGTGATAGTACCGTCTACATGGCTTACTACACTATCGCTCAGCTTCTGCACGGCGACCGTTATGGTAAAACCACTGGTCCTCTGGGCGTTACCGCCGACCAGATGATCGACGAGGTATGGGACTATATCTTTACTCGCCGTGAGATCAGCGACGAGCTCATCTCCAAATGTGGCATCTCCAAGGAGGCTCTGCAAAAGATGCGCCGCGAATTCGAGTACTGGTACCCTCTTGACGTCCGTGTCTCTGGAAAGGATCTTATCCAAAACCACTTGACCTTCTTCCTATACATTCACGTTGCTCTATTCCCACCCGAGTACTGGCCCAAGGGCGTGCGCGCTAACGGACACTTGCTCCTCAACGGAGAGAAGATGAGTAAGAGTACTGGTAACTTCCTGACTCTGAAGGATTCAGTAGACAAATATGGTAGCTCAGCCACGCGTGTTGCCTTCGCTGACGCCGGAGACTCCATCGAGGATGCCAACTTCGAGGAGAGTGTTGCCAACAGCAACATTCTGCGTCTGCACACTCTGAAGGAATGGATCCTGGAGGTTTCCAAGGATGAGTCCCTGCGTACCGGCCCGGCCGATGCCTTCGCTGACAAGTTGTTCGACAATGAGCTGAACAGCCTGGTCCGTGAGACACAGAAGCACTACCAAAAGTAAGCTTTTCTTCTAAATCCCCAATGGGCTCCGCCGCTAACCTATCTACCAGCACTGATTTTAAGCTCGCCCTGAAGTCTGGTCTGTATGACTTTACCAGCGCTCGTGACACCTACCGTGAGTCTGCCATCGCCGCTGGTGTTGGTATGAACAAGGATGTTGTCCTGCGCTACATTGAGCTGCAGGCTCTCATGTTGGCTCCTATCGCTCCTCACTGGTCTGAGTACATCTGGCTCGAGATTCTCAAGAAGGTCAGTCATATCGTCTCACCCATACCCCTCAGAGACCCTCAATACTAATTCAATAACAGCCCGAGACCATTCACTTTGCCAGGTTCCCTGTTGTGCCCGAGCCCTCTCACGAGCTGTCCGCCGCTCAGGCTTACGTTCGCGGTACTGCCTCCAACATCCTGTCCTCTGAGGGTAGCTTCGCCAAGAAGCTGTCCAAGGGCAAGACGTCAGCATTCGACCCCCGCAAGCCCAAGCAGCTCACAATCTTCGCTGCCAAGAAGTATCCCGTCTGGCAAGAGAAGTACATTGACCTCGTCCGCGATGCCTTTGACGCTCTGAACATTTCCTTCAACGACAAGGAGCTCAACGCCAAGGTCGGCAAGCTTGGTGAGATGAAGAAGGCTATGCCTTTCGTTCAAACCTTGAAGCGTCGCCTGGTGAATGGCCGCGAGTCCCCCGAGAACGTCTTTGAGCGCAAGCTACCCTTCGACGAATTCGCCGTCCTTGCTGAGATGGTTGACGGCCTCAAGCGTACCTCGGGATTCAAGCTGATTGAGGTCATTGCTGTTGATGAGGGTGGTAAGACTGGTGAGGTTGTTGGTACAGGCGAGAAGCGCGAGGGTCTCCAGGCTGAGAATGCCGTCCCTGGCCAGCCTACCTTCACCTTCGCCAACGTTGAGTAGAAATGCTTTTGTTCAGGTTGGGATATAAATGTTCTTGTCCGTCTAAAGAGTCATGTTTTATGAGCTTATGCTAAAAAATTCAAAATAAATGCATTTCATGGTTCTAGATTTATCAAAGGGCAAATTTAAATTGTATCACACCTGCCCAGGTGGAGAGGGCTATCTCTCAGAATAACCTTGTTGTAGGAAGATGAATGATCAATAATTCTGATTCTCAGTGACGCGCTGTAATTCATTTTGACACTTGCCGCGCTTCCAGGTGCAAAAAATGGCCTTGATATTCTATCGATCCGGAACGTGCCGACACATGGGATTTATCTGACTGGCGTTGTGAGTTCAAGTTCGCTCAGCGCTACAGGATCACCGGGGCAGCATAGAGGATTTGATACTAGTAGTTAGTACAGTGTACGGAGTACATAGCTAGCAGTTGACCACTCCCGTCCATTTATCTTCTTTCCGCATGCCACACGGCATCGAAGATAAGGGCTGAAACAAATGTTTACTTTGCATTGAACCTGTTTATGCGACCCTGAGAGACATCGCTAACCGATTTCAGCACTAGGCCTCGCCTTTGAACCAAGTTGGTCTCTGCCAGTGCAAAACCGGTAGCGAGGCACGTGGAGGAGATTGCACGTGTATTTTTCAAGGAAGTCAAAGACTGTTTCTTGAGGAGCGTAAAATCTCCTCTTCATGATCCGACTTGTATGTAGTCTCATGGTTCAGAACAGGAAGGAGGTGCATCCTTTCAAGGTTGGAGGGGGACTCGGAGGGGCTATCTAGGTACTAGTATACCTTTGATCTATCGATTCAGCTGCGCCGATGATGTGGCATGTTCTACATGGCCCGGGGGATAATACAGAAGACATTGTGATTGGGCCACAGTCTAACTGAATATCCATGTTTCGCAAATTGTGGAGATGACTTCAGGAACCTGAGTTGAATGTTCCGCAGCGAGCAGCTCCGCGAGTACCTAACGTTCAAGTTGTAATTTAAATATGCCTCTCTGGCCTTTGTTCTAAGTAATCTTAACTTCTGCAATATTTTCACCTTGAGAAAGAATAACTCTTACAAGAATGCAAGCCCACCTGGACAAACTTGAACCTGAAAGTGTCGCTCAGAAAAAGACAGCAGTTCCAGTATTTGCTGTAGCCGCTGATAATGCATGTGGTATAACTGAGACGCTTCGAGTTAAGACTTGAGCGGAGTTTACGACCAAGCGGGGATTTCAAAGCCACAGATACACTTCACGTTGCTATGCGAAGCTACTTCAACAATGGAGGATCTTTTTGCTATCTTATTCCCACCACCGAATGGCTCACAGAAGTCCCGATGCTATTCGACGCTGACTTGCTAGTCGCAGCCGGGCAGAAATTCCTGCACCTGTCAATGTGCATGTTTCGTACGTTTTAAGGGGCGAGCCACAGTTGTATGGGGGAACAGGACCTTAGCGAATGTAGACTGTGACTTTCTTCACATTAATGTCCGCCGAACGATTGATGCCATCGAGCGATCTATTCAATCCGCGCTTCCGATATTTCTTTTTCCATCCGAACAATTCGTCTACCTGGCAGTCTCTGAAAGCAAGGTTCACCAATTACCTTTATGAGATCTGGAAGAAAGGAGCCCTGGTGGGCGAAACACCCGAGGAGGCATTTTTTGTTCGAGTTGAGGAAGATGATACTATGACACCCGATGAAGTCAAGCAGGGATTCATGCGGCTCAAAGTTGGAGTTGCAGTTGTGCGTCCCGCAAATTTTATTTCCATGGAGTTCACTCAACAAACTCAGAAATGAGACGTCGGATTTTGATATTTATAAGTTCCTAAGATTAAAATTTATTTGCATAACTATGCATTGAGTGCGACAGATTTCCCAGACTGCCATTAGAGGTCAGATGTGGATTATTAGACTGCTTTCAAGTCGTGACGGCAAGGAAATACTCAACGGATTTCCTGTACTGTACCACCAATCTGCTATCTCTAGGATTTCTCGGGATTTTGATTCTGCCTATTTTGGCAGGATTGTAATCATCTGGGCGTAAGTCACCTCGTGCTTCCTCGTCGACGAGTATGTAAAATTTCATAGCGAACGCCAGATGCATAGGTGGATAACGGAGTTGGATTGGGCGAAGCGAGAATAATGCGGGATAATTGGATCCTGATCATGCAAGAAGATGGAGACCTTGATTCAAAGGCTGCTACATTTTCGTTCAAGACTGCGCAAGTACAAAAGCCTGTTCACAGGCTTCCTCCACCCCGGCCCAGTACCCCCTCCATCTGGACCACAGAGACATCATTGAACGTCTTTGTTGGAACTGATATAATGTTATAGAAAAATCTGGGCAGCTGATTATGACGTGGAACCTTGGAAGAGGCACTCGAAGTTATGGTCAAATTTAAATTCTTGAAATAACACTTTTAGTACTGTTGCACGTGCTAATTGTGTTACGATACAAATGAATTATTGCCTTTAAAACTGTATAATTGAAAGTTATAGGATCCTAAAACTAGAAGAGACTACGAGATAATGATTGTATTAGAGCTTCGAATTTTGTTCAAGCGGTTTCCTTCTGAGCAATAACCCTCATCAGCTTCAGCGGCGGGGAGTTTCCATTCCCACAAAGGTGTCGATAGTTCTTGATCAGTTCTCCAGCCTGCTTTGATGCTGCCAGCTCATCATCCACCTGCCCGGACCGCAACAAAAGGCTTGCATACAACGTTTCAAAAATTGCAACAAATCTTGCTTCGGTATCAGGGCGCAGGTTACTATCCCAGTCTGAACTGTAGGCTAGCCGCTCGACGTTCAAGTAACCAGCTGCCATGCACTCTTCAAAAACCTTTGCTGATGCCCGGAAACATTTCCCTTCCGCCTTGAACGAAGAGTCAAAGCATCGCCAAATTTCCTCAAAGACGGTGTTGTTTTCGAGCTTGTACGTGACTTCGTCGATTTCCTCCCATTGGAGGAACCCACCAGGTTCTACCTAGATCAGCGACCATGCAGAATAGTAAGATGTGACGAAGCATGAGATATGCTTACGAACTGCTTACTTAGAATTTGATGAATGTTGGTGATCGCGGCTTTGTATTCGTCTTCGTCAATAGCGGCAATCAACAATCGTACATGGACCAAGTCGTAGCGATTCCAATGCTCCTCTGGGAACGGAGCTGTTATATTGTGAACAGAAAACTCGATATTGCCCTTATCATCAGGGAACTGATCAGGCGATATATCGAACCCATGATAGTAACGTTGGGTGGTATCGAATTTTCCTAAGAGCTTTGAAGTATCTCGGAGCCACACTCTTCTTAGAATTAGCAAGGGGCCGACATCTGTGGTAGGGATACCTAGGTAGAGGACTCACCCGGTCCCAGTTGCTATATCCGCAACTGAGATGATATTTTCTTTCGGAAACGATGGGTGAATCAAAGTGTTTTTTGTTGCCTTCACCAGCAGATTGTGCTGTGAATCGAGACTAAATATTGGTTCCCTCCATTAGGTGTGAACTTGACTTGGCAGGGTTTGATTCGCCTATGATACCGTTGTGATTCTTTTTTACTTCTACCGAAGACGTATTTCTCGTTGGTATTCGACATTGAGGCGAGATAGATGAACTGATATAAAGATGAGGGAGAATAGAGTATCAAAATAACTCGAGTGATTGAAGAACTAGGCCGTTGCAGTGAGAAGATTGAAAAGCTCGTCGGGAATCAATGCTACTTATACCCCGTTGAGCCACCCACTCCCATATCCTAAGCGATTCCCAACGGAGCGCTAAATATTATCTAGATCAAAATATAGTGAGTGGCTCAGCTGAAGTATGGTGGCGACTCAGAAATGCAGCAAAATTCACTTGGTGATCAGACTCACACTGAGTTGAATGGCGCAGATAACCATCTTTTTTACTCAAAACTTTCCATTTACGGTTAATTTTGCATGTTTAATACAGCTTTGAATGGGCTTCAAATTTTCAATCTGCAGGCTTGGGGCCATTTTCTATTCACTCAAGGTTCTGTTTCTTCAGGTCGTGGTGTCGTTCAGCCAGCCACATACACACACACATAAGGTGATTCAAGCCGAGGCATGAATTCCCTTGCGAAGAGATGCCATTGTCCCGACCGATTTCCTACACATATATTCCACAAAAAATTCCTTCTTATAATTTTTAGAAGCTGCAATAAAAACCTTGGAATGTATACAATCCCAGAGTCACCTAGTATCGGAACCCTCCTTGGGTGGATAACTGACGCGTGTTCCTTATAGTTCCTGGATTTTCCTGCAGATGCCATGACTCAAGTATTTTCTTAGCCTAAGAGCAAGAGAAAGAAAAACAAATTTCTCGTAAATAATACTAGTATGTAATCTGTTTAGCTGCATTGGCCTCTTCATGCAATCGAAATTTGAGCGCGCCACCCCCGCAGCATGCATCAACCGGCGGAGGAAAGCCGAAATAATACATAGGCAAACACCGAAGGATTTGAGTCTCCCAAGATATGCGGGGATAGGAAAGAGGGGCTAATTATCATCCTGTGACCTGTTGGTATTTTGGGGTTTCAAAATGAGGAGACCGCCATTCATCTTGTAAAGAACATAGTACTTTCTCTGGCCACTCACGAGAGCATCCAAAATGACTGCTCAAAATGTCGTGTATTCTGAGGGCTCACTACATGGGCTGCCTAGCTTTCCGGATGAGTCGAATTTCACAAATTTGACTGCGCTGGTGACTGGAGCCAACGGAATTTCAGGATACCACCTGGTCCGTGTTCTGGTGGCTAATCCTAAGCGATGGAGCCAAATCTACTGCCTATCAAGACGACCTCCGCCTGATAATTTCTTTGAGGATTTGGGCGAGGGTGCGACACGTGTCAAGCACATCGCAGTCGATTTTCTTTCCGAGCCAGCGCAGATTGCAGACCGATTGAAAGTAAATATACAGAAAATGCAAGTACGATCACAGTTTCTTAAGACAATGACACCCTTTAACAGGATCTATACAGTGATCATGTGTTCTTCTTCTCTTATATGCAGACCCAGCAAAAGGGCAGTGTTTTGGAGATGTGGTCAGACGCTAGTGCATTGGCCGAAGTCAACTGTATGTTGCAAAAAATGATTTATCCTATGACTACGAGAAGTGTTTACTAACTCGATCCATGGGTGCTAAGCCAATCTTTTGAGAAATTTCCTCAATGGCCTTAGACTGACAAGCCTCCAGCCTAGACGGTTCCTGCTTCAGACAGGAGCTAAAAATTATGGTTTTCATATGGGTCCAGCCACCAACCCTTCGTTTGAGTCCGATCCACGAATTACCCTGGAAGATAATTTCTATTATCCACAGGAAGATGCCTTGGTAAAGTACTGTGAAGAGACTGGCGCTGCATGGAATGTAGTCCGCCCTTCATATATTATCGGAGCTGTTCGTGATGGTGCATTGAATTTTATGATTGGGCTCGCTATATATGGGGCCATCCAAAGCTACTTGAAAAAGCCTCTGGATTTTCCTGGTGACTATGCTGCCTGGGATCGTGAATTTTGTCAAAGCACCGCCTTGCTAAATGCCCATTTTGAAGAATGGGCCGTCTTGACTGATAAAGCAGCTAACGAGGCATTCAACATACAAGATGGACAGTCCTTCACTTGGGGGCGCTTCTGGCCATACCTTGCTAGTTGGTTTAACATTCCGTGGAATCCCCCTGAGGCAGATCCCTCAAAATACAGGGTGACTACATGTCGACATGTGGATACTCCCAGAGGGTATGTGATTTTATAAACCGGCTTTGGCCACTTGTCTGACATTTTGGTAGCTATGGACCCACTGGGACAACTCGTTCGACCTTCAGTCTTCTAGAATGGTCCGAAAAGACAGAAGTTCAAGAGGCATGGAAAAAGTTGTCAGAAGATCATGGACTTGTCATCGACCCGTTTGACGAGCAAAAGCGTGCTCAAATATTTGGAATGTCGGATTCGGCTCTTCTCGGGGACTGGCCACTTTCCTTGAGCATGCGAAAGGCCAGAAAACTGGGCTTTTTTGGAACTGCAGATTCATTTGAAACTGCTTTTGAGGCAATAAAGGATTTGTCACGACTGAAACTGGTGATACCAACTGTTATGAAGGAATATAGCGAGTAGATAGAATCTGATGTATTCAAATCTATGTAAACACGAGGATCTTGAAATAACTCAAATGCCATTCATTATTTGAAGAAGCTTCAAGATACTACATCATTGGAATCACGATTACTCAAAAAACTTCTTCTCGCCTAGAAGCTTGAGAGTTGTTGGCTTGTCATGGCCATATATGAGCCTAGCCTTGTACAATCTCTGTAGCCGTCGAGTCATATTAAGGCTGCGGTACCATGCGTTGTGATCCCTTGCTAGACCACCATGAGGGTGACCGAGCTCATAATTGTCCGAAACATGAAACTGATCGGTAGTCCAAATGAAAGTACCGTCATTGTCGAGGTTGACTTGCATCATACAGAGTCCAGGCGCGTGACCTGGTGCATGAAGAAGAGTGATGCCCTGGAAAAGTTCCAGTTCGGACTCAGTGAAAGTTTCCCATTTCAGTTTTTCCAAATGCATATAATGTCCTTGGTAGACACCATGATCAGCCTGGGTCGCAATAGCCCAACAGGCATGTTTGAACTCTTCCTCGTGAACATAGATTGGCACATCGGTGTCAACAAAATGCTCAAGTCCACCCGCATGATCGAGATGAAGGTGACTTATAATCACTGCTTTCACATCTTTTATATCATTACCGGTGGCCTTAATTGCGTTGGGAAGCCTTTGCGCTTCAGAGTACTGGGTTCGTGGGAAAACATCGGTTAAAGGAGCCGGCCACGCCTAAGAATCTTATTAGTAGCTTTCCGGAAATTTCTAGAAGAAAGCTATCAAATACCACTTCAAGATCCTCTGCGCAACCTGCGTCATAAAGAATAAGACCGACATCGGGGTGCTCGATAAGAGCTGAAAGCAGCACTAGCTCACGGCGCTTGTTCGTTGGGTTAAGGTCACTCAACTTGCTGGTATTTGCACCGCGGAGGATCCTAACAGCATCGTAAGAATCTGCAGCGGCCCATATTCAATTTTAGCTAACCATGATTCATCTGCTTCCAGCATACCCAGATCCAAAATATGCATCTTGGTTCCTTTTGGGCATTTGAAGGCCGGAACCGCAGCCGATGCTAGTAAATTCGACATGGTAGACATTTTTTGAAGTAAAGCGATCTTGATGAACGAATGGTTATGATTTTGTATTTGTAATGGGCACTGGGTGATAATGAGGGGTAACCAAGATTAACGAGGTACTTTGGTCTTAAGTGATACAAGCTTGGCAAATTTGCATGAAATATCTTTACACAGATTATGACAATACACTGTCCAGTTTGATCTCCAAAACATTGATTGGTTTATCTTTATTTGGATCCCCGATGATTACCTCGGGAATTCGTCACCAATAGCCGAGAATGAAAACTTGAAACCAACGCCGAAAGCCTGGTGTGATAAGCAGCTTGGTCTATTACAACATTGCAATTGAAGGAAGCTGCCTGCCAGAAAGACTGGACCGATCGCCGTTAACTATTGAGCTCCGTACTCATATCTACTCTATGGAATAAGGTCGTATTTGGCCAGTCTCAATAGATCCCCAGACCTTCCTTTATCGCCCCTCCTTAAACCAGTATGGCCTCCATGTATCTGCACAAACAACCATAAAGCCTATAAATTCAAAGCACGCAACATCCTACATGGCAGGGTCAGCCAAGGCCTTGAATGACAGTGCAAAATGCAGAAATGTATGATAAATCTTACCTCCTCAGCCCTTCCTTCAGAGCTAGTTCGTCATTGGAAAATACCAACCTAAACCACCCCGCATCCTTAGAGTGCTCCTCCCCAGGATGTAAGAAAATACCTTCATCAAGAAGCTGCTGTGCTAGAGCAAATTCGCGTTCTTGAACCGAGCAGTCAATATCGGGGAGGAAAGGGGACAAGTCGACATAAACAAAGAATCCGGCGTTGCTAGTTTGTGAAAATTAGAACCGACACAAAGATTTTGATAAATGTGAAAAGATACTTACCCTCCTTTCATGTAGTTAATACCTGCTTCGCGAAGTGTAGAAGTCACTAGGCGATAGCCTGCTGCAAGGCTAGCCTGAGATTTAGCTAGGAAGCTCTTTACAAAGTCTTGATCTTCTAAGATAGCAGTCCCGATCGTAATTGCAGCCTGGGAAGCACCATGAAGCCGCCTAAAAGTGCGAGACTTATATTAGCATTTCTTGATCAATCGTTGAAGGTGCTGATCATTTTGAAAATGTTCGTCCTGAGATCCTGAAACTTACAGAACCATTTTGCATGCCTTGCGAAGTTGCTCATTTGCAGTTACCAAGAAGCCAAGATGCAGACCCCCAGAAGCAAAGTCCTAATTTATAATAAATCTCAACAGAGCCCCGGAGGCTTATGAAATTCTTTTATTGGAATCCGACTCACCTTGCTAAATCCATATAGAACGTGGACAAGATTTGGGTCGATCAAGCCCTGCAGATCTAACGATAAAATAGAAGTGAATGGCACCGCATCAGGATCACCTGAGTCAAAGACGCAGGATGCATATACCTCATCGCTAATAAGATGAAGACTCTTTCTGTCACAAAACCTTGCAATATGTCTCAGGGTGTCAGAGGGATAGCAACGACCTGATTCGATTTCGATTAATCTATCGAAACCCTCAAAATTCAATGATTGGTGATAGAATGAACGTACCGACAGGATTGTGTGGGTTGACTAGGAGTACCGCACGGATTTTGATGCCTCGCTGCTCGGCTTCAATTAAAGCTTGCTCGTACTTAGCCACAGAGTTCGGCGTAAAAGCCTCATCGGTTGTGGTATCGGCATAGACAATTTCAACGCCCGCCTCGACACCATAGTCCAGCTCAAAGCGGCCGTATACGGGGCGATTAACGATAATGCCTTCTCCCCGCTCTGCGAGGTTGAAACCGAGCATGTTGCCCAGAGACGTCGGGGAATCCGCGACGAAAACATGATCCGGATTAATTGGTGAATGTGTGCCCAAGACCTTGTCTAAGTGAGCTGCAGCAATTCCCGGAAGACGAGCATTTATAGTGGCGCTCGAGCGGTAGCTGACTGAGTCAAGTGTGAACGTAACCTAGAAGTATGTAAGATCCCCGGACTTGGTCATGGAAGCAATGATGTGTTCCGGAAAGACAGATATTTACTTTGTCGTTAATGTATTTCACAATTTCAGACCTCATTGGTCTCTGATAAATGGTCAGTGGAGTAACTCTATTGCTTCATTTGATAAGCACACTCACATTCTCTGCCATGCCAAATGAAATAAGACCTTGAGGATTGGTCTCAGGGTTATAATCCGGAGTTGGAGTAAAACGGAAGGGACGTTCCAGTTGCTCAACATTCTGAAGAGCACGAGAAGATAACATCTTGCGTGTAGAGATATCCCTTTCTGTTTTCCCCCTTCTCCTGGTTAAAAAGTACGTGTCGGAAGAGGCGGTGACGCAACTTGCTTGTTGAATTTGGTGTTTCTGGCTCATTAAAAGTCGCAGATTAAAGAGAGTCCGACATCAGGAGTTGCATTCTTACCTATGTTACCTAGATCAAAGAGAAGATCTCAAATTGGAGCTTCTTCACAAGGGCCGGATCGTCGAGAGTGGAAGAAGCAAAGAGCTTTGGCAGTCAGGAGAACCATTGAAATGTCTCCACAGCAGTGGGGACCCCCAGGCTGCAGCACCCTGAGGCAGTCCAATACATTGGGGATACGAGAGAACATTTCAGACATTGACAGAAAATCGACGATGACAGAGATTGATGTATAATTACAGTATCTATAGACAATAAAACACCAGTGGCTATGCTAGTTTGTAGTGTACATTTTTGTGGGTCGCCGATCAGGTTCAACTATAACGGTACCTCATACGCGGTCTCTTCCGTTTGTCTGCTTTGAGCTTCTCAGCGATAAAATTCCAACATTCCATTGGTTCACGAGACCCGATGTGTTTGCCGTTCGGGGTGAATACCTCAACTCGAGGATAAATGGGCGGCTCTTCGGGGTTGTGTTTGGCGCGAATTTGCACACTGACTTCAATCCATCCGCAGCCCTCCACAAGAATATCGGCAGACATAACCTGGTATGGCAGCTGGGGAATAGGGATTTTGCGATCCTTTACTGCCTTGGCAATAGATGTGGGTAGATTTGAGCGTGTAGTATCCCATTTCAAATCGAATTTCCCGGCGGATTTCATGGTGCTACCAGTCCCTTCACTCATCAGAACTGTGCCAGGGTATGCTCGTTGCTCGGTTTGGATTTCAATGGCTTTCTCGGTTTTCGTAAGATGAGTTTCAATGGGAATGAAACAAGCAGCAAGAAGCGTGTGCTCCGGGTTCACGGGAGTGAGCCGTACGAGTCCACCGCCAAGAAGAAGTGATTGACCGGGTTTGATGGTACATCGTTGAGGTTTTATTCGCTTGGTCATGATCAGATCCCGTTTATGTTCGTCTCGAACGAAGTCCTCGAGCTGGCCACGCTCCATGCCTGGCAGGTCAATAACCTCGCCTTTGCCACGACCGAAAGGAATGCGAATAGGCGAGACCGTTGTTCCTGGCATGGAAGACACGACCGGAAGGACAGGGAATTGGTCTTCGTGAGGTGCAGGGGGTAAAATGCTGTTTGGATCGTGTAGATATGCCTGTCGTTGGTTCGGGACTTCAGCTTTCTCTCGTTGCTCTTCAATCCATTGGGCCATGTTTTCGATGGTTCGCTGGTCCTTAGGAAAACAAGCTTCGATAAAGCTGCTCTTTCCCACATTTGCCTTTCCAACAACCCATATACCACCGCCATGTTGTCGAATTTCTTCCTTAACCTGCTTTGTCCACCATCCGCGATGCGCACTAACCATATGGACATTGCCTAATCGAACATCCCTCCCTGCTCTTCCAAGAGCAGCACGAAGCTGATTGCGGACATACTCCATCTTCGAGTCCACCTGCTCTTTAGTTGCTGCTAGCAAGTCCGAGCGTGTGATTATAAAACTGAGACTAGGCAGTTTCTGGCCGCCATAGTACTTTTCATGTGAAGCACGTCGGTTTAATGACCGCTGGCCCTTGACTGACAGTGCATCATGAATTCGTGGAACGAGGGACATGGGAAAATCGGCAGCATCGATGACATGGTAGACACGGTTGTCCTTGTAGGGAGATTCCTTCAAGTAATCTCGTATCGCAAGAGTATCTGGTTTGGGCGCGGCAATCGCTTTATTATGATGGATGAGATCATGGCATCGATCGCAGACATGGGTAGTTCGGGTCGGCGATTCAATAGAGGGCGTGTCCGGATTCTCTGCCTCATCCAATAGAGCACCTTCTTTAATTTTGGATTAGCGTAGGGACATTTGAGGGTGGTGTTGACTTTATCGAATACCTTGGATAGGCCGAGGGGCCACCATCTCCCCCTTCCCATGAGAGTCATCCACCGAGAGCTCATCTTGCAAGGTCGGTATTCCTTCGGATCCTAGCTCTGTATTTCGTTCTTCGATTGCTTTCTGCCTGGAGACGAGGAGTTTCCGAGTTTGCTTCCGGCTCGCGCCATAGTAACCCGGTTCATCTGGCTCAACTGTTTGCGAAAAAGCGCCACACCCTGGGCAGCAGACGGGTAGAACATCCGTCAGCCCCTCGATGGTAGCTTGTTGCTGAAAGCGCGTAGTAGAGAATAGACGAGTTGCGTGTAGGCCGTGGCGCGTGATGGAGTTTGCGGTTAGGAGTGTACTGCGAAACGAGGGTGTTGAGAGTGCTAGTTGACGAGGATACCTCGGCATCAATCGCAGAACATCAAGTCGTAGGGTCTTAGACAGCGCGCCCCAGAGCAGGCCAACATGATGGATGTTGTCGCAAGAGGAAGTTTGCGCGGTGCCACGCTTTTTCCAGTTTCTGCCGGAGAAAAATGTTATCGATAAGACCTCCGCACGGCGACCTTGGGATCCACTAAACTTTAGAAAGACGGGGCTACCTTACCTGTAGACATGGAGACATGATTTACTCTGGTAATTCTTTAATTGCACGAGAATCCCCAATTAGGTTTAATCATATTCACGAGCTTATAGCACATTTACCTTCTACAAAGGCTTCAATTACTGAGAATAATATGTGTGGCGCGAGCAATCAATTGGCTGTTTGATTATTGCTCCAAGATCGCGACTGTAGGACTAACTATTGACATGGAAACCCGCTATAAACCCCAAAGCCCCAAAGAATACATAAACGCCGTCGTAACCCATAACCCAAATGCTGCTTTTATGAATTTAAGCGCGAGCCTTACCCTTGCCTTTGCCTTCAGGCTCTGCCTCTTTTTCCTCCTCGGAGTCGCTCATAAATTCGTCATCGTCATCGAAACCAATGAAACGTCGAGCAGCAGCAGGCTTCGGGGCAGAGGGACCTGCAGAACTGGATGATGGACCTTGCTCTTCTTCTTCGTCTGAGCTAGAGGAAGTAGCATGCTCGCTGCCTTCACTGGCACTTGTGCTAGAGCCACCAAGAATCACATCTCGGAGGTTGTCGGTCCATGCGCCATCCTTCATGGCTTGTAAAACCGCCTCATGGGCCTTCTCAATGGATTCTTCCTTGTCTTCCATCCACTGCCCGTCAACCTTTTGCTTCCCATCACCATTCTTGATTTCATCCTGTCGCTTCTCGGACATATCCACAACTGCTTGCCATCGTCGTCGTCTTTCTTCCTTCTCCTTCTTATCCATCTCAGGCTTGACGGCGAGATATTCAGCGAGGGCCTTGGCCTCATTCACGGTACGCAGGCGGCGGCCGTCGAGGTTGCGACTGGAGCTGTTGCTATCGCCTTGATTGCGCTTGCGTTTGCTTGACATACGACCGCCGGCAGCACGAAGCTGAGAGCCGAATCCACCTTTACCACCGCATAGGGGAACGGACAGGCGAACTGGAAGGATAGCGGAGGGGGCCGAGGTGGTGCCATCATGAGTGCAAAAGAGATATCGCAGGGGATCGGACGAGGGAGTGATTTGTTTGTTGTTGGTCGTCGTAAGAATAAGTGACTGTAGAGAAAGCGAAGACGGGAGATATGAGGCGACCTTGTCGGTTAGATCTGAGATTGTCGAGGTCGATGCCAACGAAAACGAGACGGTCGCTGGTAGCGAAAGTCCAGGGAATGACGATAGCAGAACGTTAACATTTGACGATGCCATCTTGAAGTGTGGTAGAAAGATCTCTTCGACCGAACGCGCGAGCTGAGAATATGTTTGGGATGATCTGCGACCAGGTGTGATGGCGATAAGATGGAGGTCACGGGGTAAGGCTGCCAGCCACAGTCATGTGATACAGTCAATCGGTCAGCAATATAGAGTCATGTGACTTGTCCAAACTCCATCGAGGTAACGTGACTTACAAGAGCCCCAACCCTAGAGAACCCGAAGAGGAATATCATATTCGCACTTCGCGCGGGCTCCACTCCTCTTGATTCTTTAAATCACCCATCAATTTTCTGGATTGTCAAAGCGATTCCCCGAATTGCACCAGGAACTCGCGACAATGTAAGATTGCCTGTTTTATCACTCGCACTCATGCCGATTTACTGACAATGCGCCAGGCTTATCCCCAAGGACGACCGCAAGAAGATCCACGAGTACCTCTTCCGCGGTATGTAACCACGACCCTCGCCGACGCTACGATGTCCCTCGGTTCGACACGCCGCAATTGCGCTGATGCAGACCAAGATGGATATGGCTATGAGATCAATTAACTGACTGTATTTGCAGAGGGTGTGCTCGTGGCCAAGAAGGACTTCAACCTTCCCAAGCACGGTGACATTGATACCAAGAACCTCTATGTCATCAAGGCTTGCCAGTCTCTGACCTCCCGTGGTTTCCTCAAGACCCAATTCTCGTGGCAGGTGAGTCTTTTGTTCCATTCTCATCGTGACAATTGCATGTCCAGGTTGCTAATATGAACTAGTACTACTACTACACCCTCACCCCCGAGGGTCTTGACTACCTGCGCGAGTGGCTCCACCTCCCCGCTGAGGTTGTCCCCGCCACCCACATCAAGCAGCAGCGCTCCCACAACCCTCCCCGCGGCATGATGGGCGGTGAGGACCGTGAGCAGCGTCGTCCCCGCGCTCCCCGTGAGGGTGGCTACCGCCGCCGCGAGGAGGGTGGCAAGGAGGGCGGTGCCCCCGGCGAGTTCGCTCCCTCTTTCCGTGGTGGCTTCGGCCGTGGCCGCGGTGCTGCCGCTCCCCAGTAAGGGATGAGGCCTTGGTCATCCTGTCATCCACTGCTCGGTCATCCTGGGGAATGATGTTGTCTGAGGGCTTGGTCCGGATTAGGGTTCCAGAAATGGTGGCTTCGAAACAGGCTGGTTCTCGACACATCACTAAACGGCCCCTCGTTTCTGATACTTGCGGGTACGGGAAAAAATCAAAAAAGTTGAAACGATGTCACTGGCTTTAATGATGTAGCTAGTTTAATGGCAAATTCATGATCAGTGCACCAATTGCTCACATTGTAGACTGTTTAGATTTTACTGATGATTCAACTTGATTATATCTCTACTGATATTCGATTCGATGTAAATCTAGGGTCAGATTTAATATACTGCCCGTATCTCCATCAACCCTATGTGAATCTCTTCCGATCGTACCGCACAACCGCTTGCAAAATAACGGATGCTCCGGTCGCGCAGTCGTCTGCTGAGCAGAATTCCTCCGGATGATGGCTGAGGCCATCTTTACAAGGCACAAATATCATGCTCGTCGGAACACGCTTCGATGTGAAGACACTATCATGGCCAGCGCCACTCATGATGGGCCGAACCAGTGACTTGGTATCTGCAACCGAGGCATCAGCTACAACAGCGTGGGCCGATTGCTGCACGCATTCTATGCAGTTGTCGTGGAATTTAACGGCAGGAGAATCAAAGTCGAGCGTCCACTCGACCCGACAAGGCTTGCCGATCCCAGCACCCTCCGCCGCGGCGATTTCATCAAAATCACGGCGAAGCTCTTCCTCAACCTCAGCAACCAGTTCCGTCTCTGGTCCACGGATATCCAAGCTGAAGCTGACCTCTCCTGGGACGGTGTTAACACTGCCTGGCTTCGCTTCGATAATTCCAACGCTAGCAAGGCATCCTCTTCCTGCGGCGACTTCTCTTGCTCGAACCATCATACGCGCAAAGGCATATAGAGCGTCGGCACGGTGTTCGAAAGCGGTTGTACCTGTGTGTGTATCTCGCCCGATGATATTCAATCGGAACCAACGATAGGCCTGTACTGCCGTGACCACCCCGACCCGTTGGCCCGCAGAAACGAGATGGGGACCTTGCTCGATGTGGAGCTCAAAGTGTGCTGCCATTGGAGTGGACTTGTATGAGCAAGGCACGCTGCCCAGGTAGCCAATCTTCTTCAATGCTGACTTCATTGTCTCTGGGGCTGAGGCTGCCGTGGGCAGTGATGCTACTGTTGGCACTTCTTTGAGATCGTGTGCCTTGGATAGTGGAATGCACTCCGCCCATACGCCAGACGATATCATGCTCACCGGGAATCTAGCCCCTTCCTCGCTGGAAGATGATAGTCAGCAAGAGTTAGAGAGAAAATGTAAGTATAGCCTCTTACTTGGTCCAATTTACCACACCCACGCCTCCCTCTGTCTCAAGCCCCATCTCATCCATCCGCTTCAGGGCTTCAACTCCAGAAAGAACACCTAAAATACCATCATATCGTCCTCCAGTCGGCTGTGTATCAAGATGGCTGCCGATGAAAGTAGCGGGTGCGTCCCTTCTTCTACCTGGGCGAACCGCGAAGATGTTGCCCATTTCATCCACCGTAATGTCGCACTTGAGGTCTTTCATGGTTTGAATAAACCAATTTCGAACGCTCTTATCTTCTTCTGATAACGCAAGGCGCTGCATTCCAGTATCTGTCGATTCACTACGCGAAAGACACACCATAATCAGCCTCTCCCGCTCCTGAAAGTTCGTTCAGATTGATACCTACTCGCCCCATCGAATGCCAGACCCCCACTGACATGAATGATGAAGATCTTCTGCCAGTCTTTCTTTATCTACTCGCAGAGCCGAGACTTCGGCTTCGGATAATTCACTTGTCAGCATGTTGCGATGGATTGTAGTTGAGAAAGATTTTCGAAGGCCTTGATAAGTGGTTGATCCCCGGCAAGGAAGTAGTTTCAAGGATGGCCTAGCCCAATTCGCACGAAGTAAAGATGCAGTGGCCATGGTGAAATCAGGTTACTCTTATACGATGGAATTCTCGGTGTTCTTACCCATTCATGAAAGATACTGGGCCAATTGATAAGAGCGAGCGGGGAACGGTGAGCGGCACAAAGTCCGCACTGTGCGACTGCCGATATACTGCAGCCCCCGCATCTGTTCCAGCAGATAAGTTGGGGTAGATGGAGTGCTCTCCTCTCCATATTTGGCGCTTGGGCCTCGTTGCTCTCGTTCAAGTTGGATCTCTCCGACAAAATGATCTACACTCTGCACGGAAAATGCATCGAAGGGGGAGAGGGGGAAGTTGTAACCTTAGGGACTCGAGGATTATCTAGGCTCTATATTGCACTCTTCGAAGTCTTAGTGGTTAAGGATGATATGTGATATCTCTTTGAACTGTTCTTCTACAACATCAGATCAGAAACATTTGCCCCCTTGTCCAGCTCATCGGCCTCTCGTCGTAGCACATCAGCTCGGAATCTTCGAAAGGCGGTCTCGATTCTCTTTCGTCTTTCGGGCTCAGTAGAGATGCTGCTGCTCGCACTAGCCGCTCCAGCAGCAAAGCCTGATTCATCCATGTCAGAGCCTAGGAATCATCGTTTGGTTCCATTCATCAATTGAAAGTGCTTACCGAGTTCTCCGCCTAGAAATAGACCGCCGGCTGAAGCGAAGAAATACGTCGCAAAGTCACCAAGGGTGGTCGGTTTAAGCAAAGGTGTAAGATCGGGAATTGGCTCTAGAAATCCATACATTAGCAAACATAGGTTTCAATCATAGTCGAATTTTCCGTAAAATATATACCAGTACGCCCATCCGCAAAAACGACCTTGGTCGGTCTCTCTTGCGCTCGAACAGCAGCGAAGAACGCTTTGCGGGTGCTTCTCAAGCGAACTGCCGCATAGAGTCCAAGCCCAATACCTACAGCAGATCCAACTGTTGTCCACAGAGAGACAGTGGAGGCTGCAGATTTGAGAGCGTCGCGATCTTCGGGTTGCAAATCATGCTGCATATGCTGATCGGCGAGCTTGGAGAGATCATCCGTGCGCTGACGGCGGAGGAGCGCGAAAGATTGAGACATAGTGTGATATGTTATTAAAGTAAGGTTTAATGGGCGACAAGGAGAAAAATAGAGTGATACAGGAACTTAAAGACCACGAAACTTGGCTTCCGTGGCCAAGGACAGCGGGCTGAGTATTGACGTCATACGGAATGAGCTACTAATTAGTACTATTTAGGTATCTAGAAGAAGGATCCACATCATGATTGCGATACCCAGTCCTCTTTGTTGTATACGCATTGGAGTACTGAATACGGAATTTGCGATCAATCAAGATATGATATTGTATGCATTAAATTGAATACATACTACTCTTTTAAGGCCATGTTAATACGAGACCCTTCGATACCTAGTGCTGGGTATGATGGACCTATAGATGGAAAAAAAAGCCTGAGCCCAGGATTAAACCGCCGAGAAATTCCAATCTCTGGGAAATTGGCCATACTGAATGTCTTGCTGGCCCCGGTATATGTCATCATAATGCGCGATCACCGTCTCCGGGTCTTCCGATTGCTCATAGTACTTATCCGCCAGTCCTCGAAAGACGGGATCGTTCCACATTTGAGCCATCCAGATGAGAGCATCTTCGCTCGCGGTATCCAAGGGAAGATCATACGTCCGAAAGCGCTACCGTCCATCAGCATCTCAACTTATAATGTCGCGTTGTTCCGCATGTGCTTACCCAAAGTACTGGCCAGAAAAACGCATCGGCAATACTGAACCCCCCCAAACAAAAATCCTTCGTCGGCCTCACCCAGGGCTAGGAGGCGCTCTTTAGTCGTTTTACGAGCCTCACCCCAAATGGATAGAATGCGCTGTACGTCCTTTCGCGCATCCGCCGAGACTGGGACATTTCCTGTATACCTAGCGATGAAGTTGGCATGGAACGTGCCCCGGAGAGCAGAGAATCCAGAGTGCATCTGCGACGCAACACTCCGAGCAAGAGCTCTAAGCTGACGATCCCGAGGCCATAGTGGGAGTTCAGGGTGAGATTCAGCGAGGAATTCGCAGATTGCAAGTGAATCGCCGATGGGGGTGGAGCCTAGAGAACGACACTCGAGGACAGGGACAAATCCCGTTGGAGACACAGCTTTGATCTGGTTAGACCTCGTCATTACATGTTAGTAAAATGTCATAGTATATTATTATATCTCGTAGAGGTGCACTGTACATCAGGAATCTTCACAAAAACTGGGTTGTATGGAATTTGAAAGTACTCCAGGACAGCTTCGACCCGCGACGTCCAGCCTAGATGGGTTAGCTATGCTATGTCATTGTGAATGTATCACTGACTGGAGTATCGGGTATGAAGTCCAATAAGCTGGTATTCAGGTTCTTCTGTAGCCATGGTGATTTTCAGGGTTTCAATTGAAGCGGGGAAATTTGCTGGGGTTCAAGTTGCGGGACTTAAACGAGGAGATTAAACGAGGTCACCGTGACTCACCAATACGACCTTACGCATCGCTGCTACTGAGCTTAAAAAATACATCAAGCTTCTCGTTGGATTGGTCTCGAATATCAGTCACCCGCCTTGTATACCATTTAAGATAGAATGAAATTGGAGATACATTTCCAATTGGAAACTTCAAGCATTTTTTTATGGTTATCCCTACTATTATTCTTTACGAAACTCTAAGCTCTAACCTCATCAGGCATCCGGACGTCCGAGTCTGCACGTAAACCAGAACCGGGCTGAGATAGATAAGCATGAAACTCTTTGTTGCTGACACCTGGCTGGACGCCTTAATTTCACGTGGCACCCGTGGACATCCCCAAGAACTGAACAGGTTATTTTCAATTTTCTCTCCTACCCCAACCCCAATATTACCTGAAAGGTTTCATATTTACAATGGTCCGTTTCGTCACCGATTCGCGTGCTCGACAGACAAAAAGGGCACCTTTGCTTGTCATCGGGGCTGGTCTACCCCGAACGGCAACATCATCGTTGCAAGCAGCTCTCGAGGAACTGGGATTTGATCCATGTCTCCATATGGCACAAATTATTCCACATCCAGACAGAATGGAAACCCTTATCGAGGCCGCCACAGAAAGTGACAACCAGCGACGTCAAAAGCTCATTCGCCAACTTGTCGACGGCTACGAAACTGTCTGTGACATGCCTGCTGTATTCTTTCTCCCTGAACTACTGGAAATTTACCCGGAGGCGAAGATAATCCTCACCACTCGCCCAGATGCTGTGGCATGGGCAAAAAGCTGCTATGCTAGCTTGGGCTTTTTCTTCACTCGACCGTTCTACTTGATCGGCTTTTTGTGGAAGTCAGATCGGTTGTGGTACCGCATGAATATGCATATTCTAGATTGGTCCAAAGAGAAATATGGGATGAGCGATCCTTTCAATGCAACTAGTTACGAAAGGCATAATGATATGGTGAGGACGGTTGCCAAGGAGCGAGGCCGTGAGATTTTGGAATTTAAGGCAGAGGATGGATGGAAGCCTCTTTGCGAATTTTTGAACAAGGCCGTTCCTGATTCAGAATTCCCTAAGGTGAACGAAAAAAAGACTTTCAGAATTATTAAAGCGATTTTAATTGCCAAGGGTCTTCTTGGGTGGTCTGCACTTGGGGGTGTTGCCTGGTTGGGGTGGAAGTTTATTCCCAGATTCTTCTGAAAAGAAACTTGAAGTGAACACTCCGGGGCTGATTTCTTGATATTGAGGCAGGTGTATAATTCACAAATATCTAATACACCTATATTCCTACGACATCTTAGAGAACGCTTTAAAGCTAAGTAATCGAGCAATTCTATTCTCTGACTCCGAAACCCTCGCAAATGGAATGTTTGTTAATCATACATTTCAACGGGACTGATGCAGGCCCTATTTTTCCTGACATTATCTTTTCATATATGATACAGCGGTTTTCACAGCAATTTCCAGGTCACCCTGACTGTCACAAGCCGCGAAAATGAATCTGTCCGGGCGCAGTAGAACAAACTTCATACCTTCCAAGTGTTTTCCTATAATGAATGGGTCATAGAACTCGGGACTCGGGCGTTTCTCGCATAGAGGCGACTTTGCGAACTCTTCCCCAGTTGCTACTCGAAAAATATGCGGTGCATTCTCATGAGTGTCACATGCGGTATCCTCAACTAACAGTGTTGTCTCGTGAAGATGTATCTCTCCGTTCGATATTTCGCCAATGTTGGCCACATCGTCCAGAGATGAGAATGCCTCCTTGACACTTTTGGCAAGAATCAAAAGCTGAAATAGGCCCTTTTTCTCTTGCGAAAAGATCACATCATCCGTGAAAGAAATGCCATTTCCGTCACTTCCAATTGATTTGCAGTAGACTTGCGGAAGACACAGCCCGCCTTTGAACTCCGGAAGGAATGGCATACCTTCAGAATAGTTATACCGCACCATTCCTTCTTTGCGACGCCCAAGTCGAAGCTCATGGCGCCAGGATGGTATCAATTGAATAAGCCACAGGTAGATCCCTCGAAGCATAATTTTGAGAGGATTGCTTTCATTGACAAATTCGCCATTTTCAATAGTTGATGCTAAGGACTTCTCCAGCTGCTGCTTGCGTTCTTCGTACCATGCTTGGAGAACCTTTCCGTCGGAGCCGAGGTGACTTGGTTGATTGCGACAGAGAATTGCAAGACGCCATGCTAAAGAAACAGCGTCTCGGAACCCAGACGCGATACCCTGACCACCAACTAACACCAAGCAGGTTAGCATTTATTGGGTTTTTATTCCCTGGAAATTTCACACATACATGGAGGAAATACATGAGCAGCATCACCGCATAGGATGACACGGCCATCGGACCATCTGTTGCAGCTGCGAGCCGAAAATCGAAAAGGCCGGCAGCGGAGAACCTTGATACAATCTTCAGGGAATGCGACATCTTGTAGTAAACTGTCTTTGTTAGCTGGAACATAAATTAAACTAATCTAAAGAGTTGAATTACTCACCCGTACCGACTACCTGAGTGGGTAATATAAGGATAGACGACCTTTTGGATCATTTCAGGCTTCGACATCTCATTTCCATCTTCGTCTTTCATGACGACGAATTCAAATCTCCAGAGTCGGTCCAATGGTAGGCCAAAGCGCCCACAGACAGAGGGTCTATTTGGGTTACAAACAAACCGGAAATTGACAGGAAAGAAAAGATCATAGACCTGTTCCGGCGTATAGCCTAATTTCCACAGTGGAAAATCGGGATGCGTCTTCTCATTAGGAAGATCAATTCGCCAGTTCAATGCCACCCAAGTTTCCTCATAAAATGCCCTATTTTTGAATTATTAGCTCCTGTTACATACGGAAAGGTTAGTGCGGCATACTGGTGAGCCTGCTCCATGACGATGCCTCTGGACTCAAGGTATTGCTTTCGCGTGAATCCAGTTTTTCCATCAGCCCCTACAAAGAAGCGCGACTTGATCTTTCGCTCTTTACCTTGTGAATCACGATAGACGCACAAGGTTCCATCTTTGTCTTCGGATAAGGCCGTGACTTCACAGCCAGAGCGTAGTTCGCATGCGTCCAATGCTGCCATTCTTTCTCGTAACTTCTTCTCCAACGTCGGTTGTTTGTGGCAGATAAATCCAACATGACCGGTACCACCCTCAGTCTATATAGTGTAAGAAACTCATATTTTCTCTTGCACAGATGCATGGGTGGATTTCTTACTGTTGCATAGTCCATCTCGATGAAAGCAGGTTTATCCAATATCGGTTTCGTTCCTCCGATAAACTTGAAGATATTCATACCTAGAGTCATATAAGTCTTTCAAGTTGGTTTATCTGGCTGATTGAAACTGGCCATTTTGCTTGCGCAGTCAAATATTGACTTACAGGTTCCGATTTCGGTATATATCGACTCATATAGACCAAGACCTTGTAAGAGCCGAATACCGTCTTCGTCGAGAGCAATCCCACGAGGATCAGTTGTGATCTCTGTTCCTCGTTCCAGTACGATGTTCCGGATGTTCATTTGGCCTAGATATGCCGACAACATAGCCCCGGTTGGGCCACAGCCGCAAATCACCACATCGGTTGCTTCACAATCGACTTCCGACATGACGATAAAAGACACAACTTTGCTTTAGGTATTTTCTAGGGCAATTCAAATTTGGCAACAGGTTTTAAAGACTATTCATTTTAGGTCGGTCTGTTGCGCCTCTCCGCGATTTGGAAGTGGTAAGGTCCCGCATCCCCGGGGTCCCACATTGCGGTCGGCTGGGGAAGAGACGATCGACCAGCAATGCCGCAGCTAGAATCTAGAAGGGGAAAGAGGGGGCGGGACGTTGTCAACTTCTCTCCGAGTCGTTATGTGATTGGACATGTTCTCGCTCTTTCTGGGAATTCTTAGTACCCGTGTTCTATACCCGTTCGAAATGCCGGGGGCCTCGTATATCCGAGATGCCAGTGGGGAAGGTTTCAGTCCCACCGTACCCCATACTTCCCCGAGGTCGGCCCGGGTGGAGGGGTTTAACACCCCAATATATAGTATGCGACTGCCATATCCTGTTACTCTTGCGATTTCGATCAATCCGGAGCCAACTTGTTCGAGACTCTGCAAAATGCCTTCCTGGACACATCTCATTCGGTTCATTGCTGTGGAGGACAGTCAGGTCCACCTCGGGCAGTTGGTCGATACTTCTCGCGATATCGGTAAGGATAGTACAAATGGAGTCCAGATTGCAGCATATTTGATCCAGGGAACTATTTATGATGGTCGTGTTACTGGAGAAATCATGCACGTTCAGCAGGTAAGTACCTGAACTCCCCTACGATCAAGGCGACGTTAACATAATCAAAGTTGCTTTCGCCAATTACTCGAGAAGAATGCAATTACATTCGCTGTCTTGGACTGAACTATCTGGATCATGCAAATGTTCGTATTTAACAATCCGGTGAGAATCAATCACTAAAAGCTCCCAGGAAGCCAAGATGGCACTTCCTAAAGCACCCATCCTTTTCACCAAACCTCGAAGTGCACTGATAGGGCCATACCCCGCGACGATCAACATTCCCAAATGTGCGCAAGATGAGACAAGTGATTATGAAGCGGAGCTCTGCCTGGTGATTGGAAAAACAGGACGCGATATCCCAGAGGAGGAAGCACTTGATTATGTTTTGGGATACACTGCATCCAACGACGTCTCTGCTCGTGCCATGCAGATGATTACCGCTCAGTGGTCATTTTCTAAGGGACTTGATGGAAGCTGCCCCATTGGTAAGCTGCCGACTCGAACAGAAACTTTCATTTCAACTTGCTAATAAGAACGTCGTTTCAAGGACCTGTCCTTGTTGCTCCCTCTGTGATTCAAGATCCACAGATTCTATCTATTAAGGCCATTCACAACGGAAATACTGTTCAAGATGGACACACCAAGGATATGATCTTCTCCATCAAGAAGCAGATATCTTATCTGTCTCAAGGCACTACCTTGGAGGCAGGCACAATCTTTCTGACTGGTACACCAGCTGGTATTGGCTATTTCCGTGATCCCCGGGTCGTTCTCAGAGATGGCGATGAGATTTCGGTCCAGATAGAGCAGATCGGAACATTGGTCAACCGAGTGCGCTATGAGAGCCACTGAGCCTAGTTACTTAGTATTTCAGATGCTTCATTGGTTTTCTAGAATAAATTCAAAAGACTTTAGATTGCATTGCACTTTTCTCTGAACCTAAGACACTACTTAAAAATCATGTACACAGCATTGTCGAGAAAGCTTGCAGTAATAATTGCCTTTTAGTCTTGCAGACTGACTCTTTTACGGAAAACTAGTCGCAGCTTGTAGCTCAAGGATAACGAATTCCTTTTCTCAAAATCTTCATCGTACATTGCATTAACCCATATTTGATAGCTCCATGATTTGGGTATCTGGCCCTCAAAATGTTCAAAGTTGGGCACTCCCGGAGTCAGCTAAGCGTTATTTGTTGGACAATTAAAATTTAACAGGGAAATTTTACAAGCTCAAGGCTCCTGTTGATAAAAATGTAAGATTTAAAAGCAAGTAAATGAGAATGCAAAATTTGCACTTTAAGTTACATTCGAATGTGAAATCTATTTCAAAAACCAGGCAGGTACTTCAGGGCCCCACACTGCCAACGACTCGTCTCCTGCGGGACCATAACCGATGGGAGTCTGATTATTCACAAGATCTCCATCGGCATAGTGCTCAATCATGTTTCCAGTGGTGTCCCACCAGTAATCAAAGATTTGCGATCCAAGAATGTGGCGACCGACACCCCACACAGATTTGTACTTCTTGTTGGCAAGCCACTGATGTCCAAGCTTCTGGGTATCAAAGTCATGGACTTCGAATGAACAGTGATGAACATGAGTTGTGGCATTGGTGCTTATGAAAAAGCTGTGGTGGTCCACGTAGTCGGCTCCGCGGTCAATATGGGCAAACATCGCGACATTGAGCTTCTTTCCTTCCTTTTCGACATATAGAAAGTCTGTTGGGACGATGTTGAATGTTGTGGTATAGAAATCGACCATCTTCTCAAAGTCCTGGGTACATAGACCAAAGTGTCCCAGCTAGTAGTTGATAAATTCAATAACTTAGTACTAAACTAGACAATTCCGGAATGACCTAGGGGGGCTACTCACCTTGTGCACGGCTGCTGGGCCTGGTTCGAAACGCTGAAATTTGCGAATGCGAGGCTTGTCTTTCTCGTAGTTGATAGTAAGTTTCTCCGGATACTCCCCTTTCTCTGCTGGAGCTTGCCCATACATCAAATTGACTGGGAATCCCTCGGGGTCTGTTAACTTGACGATGAAGCCACCGCCGGGAGAGTCAGACAGTTTCTCGATACTACTAGCTGATGGTAGCTTTGAGGCCCTGGGCTTTTGTTAGATTGAAACGAATTCGAACATTAATATCAACATACTTCTCCAAATCCTCGTAGGACTCAACAGTGAAAACGCCCCCGAGAAATTCCTTTGGACCCTTTCGAGCATAATAGACATATTGATCGTCACCATATCCACGATACCAGATTTCTTGATCTGTCTTCTTGGCCACAGTCATCCCAAAGTCTGTAAGGTGCCAGGTGGTCAGCTGTTTAAATCACAAAAATGAATATAATCAGCCCTGGAGACGTACCTTGGAGAAACGTCGTGATTTGATCCAAGTCTGGATGTTGGTACCGCATATGGGCTAATTTCACCAGGCGTATCTGTGAACTTGGATCGATATTGCATTTTTTTTCTCCATTCGTCTACATTCTCTTGCTCGCTGCCAATAGCAATAAGGTCTGGAACTGATGCCCCATGATTTGCGACAGCCATTTTGTCTTAGCTGCAGATGAATGGAAAACCGACCGAGACAGAATTGCAAGTGCCTGGGAATATTTATCTGATGTTTTAATATGTCTGCCCAGTTTTATGAAGTTTGATGAGCCTTCTAAGGTTGGTCCGAGATCTTCCCCGTACCCCACAAATAAAAATAGGTCCCACAACTTGGGGTTGTCCCGCACGAGCGTTACTTATATCCGACTCCCGAGGGCGGGAAGCAAGAAATATCGTACCTGAGCACCAGAGTAGTGATAGCTGGCTATTTCTCTTGGGAAGGCCCCACCCAGAAGGCACCTGGGCAGGCAGAAGTGAGCATAACGGGACTCGGAATCCGGATTTGTTCCAAGCCTACTCCGTAGTCCGTGAAAGCAGGATGCAAGAGGGACGGAATGTAGTCCCCGCTTAGGAAAATGCCCCCTACAGTTCTACAACTCCTTACATGTTCACAAATGCGCAGTTAAACCATGTTCGGTCACTAGGGTATTTCAATAGTCCAACGCTCTCTTGTGGGGCTGTTTCGTTGACTTGATATGTACGTAAACCCCCGGGGCCCCGGATTGCTCTAGGTGCGATTTTACGGAATTGTTGTTCGTTACTCTGATTAGATCAGCGAGTTCCCTCGATTTAAAATATCTCGATTGCGACTCTAAATAATACTAGGAGTAGTAGTCATTCAGTAGATGCCACTGGGTAATTGTATACCAGCATGTTGGAGCACATTTCAGAGTCCAGACCGCCCTGGGCCCATCTTCTCGGCCCCAACTTGAAGGACACAACAACATGTCCCCCTTATGCTCAACCAATAAAGTCCTTCAAAGCCACGCGCCCAAGACTTGTTAGTACTTGTTCATCGATAACCTGGCGCCAGAGCCCCGAGATCTCACAGAAAACGTTGCCACACCATGGCCGATTCTAGTGGAGTGCGGATGTCGAAGGCCTGTAGAGCGTGCGCCAAGGCAAAGGTACGGTGCGACCGAGAAAACGATGAGACATGTAAACGGTGAGTTGCTTAAAATGGATAATGCCTGTCATCATTCCAAAATTAGCTAAAGATCTTCAGATGCCATCGCTTAGGCAAGGAATGTGGGGGACAGGCTCCTGGGGCACATCGACGCCAAAAGCCAACTAAAAACAGCGTGTTAGTAGTCACTCCACATGGGCCTCGAGGGATCTTGATTAACAACAAAGCAGTCAAGTCTCTGCCCTCGAGGCAAAGTTGGACCGAATGGTCGCTTTGATGGCGGCCTCGAATCCATCGCCTACGCAATCATCCGACCTTAATTCATTGCTTACACAGTCGCCGACCACTTTGCTTGATAAAGACCCAGGGATTCCAAACGAAGGAGAGGGCGAAATTCTCTTGGCGCGTTTTACCACGAAAATGGTTCATTTATTCCCCTTTGTGGTGATTCCAGCCAATGTTACAGCAAAGCAATTAAGCCAAGAAAAGCCGTTTCTCTTCCTCAACCTCTCAATGGCCGCATGCCAGAGTGCATCGCGTCAGCGAGATTTCTCGAATACTGTGAAAGAGTATGCAGCCGAACACATTATTTTACGGAATGAGCGAAGTCTCGATCTTCTACAAGGTCTTCTCGTTTTCTTGGCATGGTTCATTGGGCATTCTCCTGTTCCTGCACAGACTGGAGAAATACCAGAAATGGCCTCACAGCAGACCACTCAGGGCCCCGTACAACTAGATGCTTTTATGCAATTAGCCTTGGCGCAGCTAATCAGCTTACATCTAGGCGTTGATTTGAGCTCCCCTAATAGATTGTTCAAGCCAATCGGCTATGTAAAGAAAATGGATGCCTTGGTTGACTCGAAGCCTTTACGGACGCTAGAAGAGCGACGCACCTATTTGGGATGCTACTATTTGACCGTAATGTACAACGATTATACAGGACTTTTCTTGGAAGGCGAGCAAAGCGTTGACCAAATTACAGGTTGTCCTCCTGTGTGAGAGATATGGAACCACTTCGCTTCACGAAATATACGGATGAATGCTGCAAGGTCATAGAGGCGGAGTCAGAATCTCCTACCGATGCCGTTCTTGTTCATTTAGTTCGTGCTATGCATCTTGCCGATAGGATTGTTCACACAATCTGCTTCGATGATTTCGATGACCTCGGATCACTTTCGGGTCCGCTGGGCTTGAGTATACGGGGGTTTGAATCTGACCTCAGAAAGTTGAAAGCCTCATTCTTCTGCGAATCGCCATATTCAAGTAAGACTTCCAATCCAGTTTTGACTCGGGGATCGCTTTATTTATTCAATGCAGAAATCCTAAATCTCCATTACGATACATTGGAAATACTATTGTATCAAGTTGCTCTCAGCGAGCAACTTTCTGATGCTCAATGCAGTGGCTATACTCTCACACGTTTGGACATTCTGTTCCGCTGCCTCCAAGCGACAAAGTCCCTTTTCGATGATTTCGATTCCTTCCCGTCTTATTATTTGACTTATATGCCTTTTACTTTTTGGTGCCAATTTGGTCACGCAGTTGTCGCCCTTTCTCGTTTAAGTCTATTTCAGAGCGAAACTGGGTGGGACCTTGAATATGTGCAGAACACTGTTGACTTTGACCAAACGATCGATCGACTAATGCAAAAACTTGAGGAAGCTCGACAACTCATCGAGCGAGAAACTGGCCCACGTCCCACAGCTCAATTACCCGAGGTTTTTCGAAGACTTCCACATAGGATGCGCCTCATGAAAGAATGCCATCGCCATAGGAAGGAGGCCTTGGACAAATCCCGGTCCCAAGAAGTACAAGACCCGGCTGGTTTTGACTTTTTGTTCAATATGTCATTCGATACATATTCTTCATTTGACGATTTTCTGGCGCTCGGCGGAGGGATGTAAATCCCAAAGAATCTGTGGAAGGAAGCGCTCAAAGTATACTTGTAATAGAAGGATCACACGGAGTAGGCGACCCCAGAATCAAGCGGGAGCGCACCACCAAAAAGGATTTCAAGTGGTATTGTGCTCATTTGCAAGATGAAACTGCATTCCAAAAAACTACTAGTCACGGGATGTCCCACGAGGCGGATCCGAAAAAAGCGGATGTAATTTGGTTGACTGGAAACTGGAACTCTTTGAGCTTTTCTGAATATTCATAGCCGTGATTTGAATTATTTATAGACTGAGTCTGTCTATGGAAAATACTCTGTACTTTGGAATCGTCTGTATACCTATTGAACACCAATACATGCAAAGGTATGCTGTAGATTACAATGCCATTCCACCCATGACAGCAGCAGCAATGACCATAATACCTCCCACATTGACGGACAATGCTCCGGCAGCATTTCCTGTCTTGGTTGAGGTTGCGGCGGAGGAGGTGGCGTTTCCAGATTTCGAGATAGACGAGGTCGCAGTAGTCATAGAAACGACAGGGGAAGAAGTCGGCGCAGGGGTGACCATAGAGTCGGTTGTAGTGGTAGCAGACTCGGTTGAGTCACCGGTTGTCTTGTCCTCGGAGGAAGAGGAAGAGGAAGAGGAAGAAGAAGAGGTGGTTTGGGCAACTGTTGTAGTCGACGCGGCGATCTTGCCATTGGGGCCCCATCCAGGCATGTAGTTGGGGGTGAGTGTCGCAGTACCGGAGTAAAGAGGGCAACCAGGCTGGGTAGTCTTAGGAGGAGCGCGACCACCACCACAGTCGACAAACTCGCAAATTTCGCCGCTCTCGGGCACCCACCAGATCATGCTGGCTTCGTGCCACTGGTTGGTGGTTTGCGACGAGGTGCAGCCAGCGAGATCAGTGCGGGCCAATGCGATGCCGGCAAGGCCAAAGAGGAGGGTTGCGGTAAATGTCTTCATGTTGTGAGATATTAGGTAGAGACCGTTCGAGTGGTTTAAAAGAGTGTATTGCCAGGGATTTAACGAAAGACAGATGGCAGTAAGATCGAAGGTGCGGAACTCTATGCCGAGTCCCAGACGTTGCTTATATGCCAAAGCAATCCTCCGGGCGTGTACTCCCCATTGGCGCTAGCATCAAACTTTCGTCCGGAGGGACCGGTCAAATCTGAGGGAAAGGATGCATCTAGTCCCTGAAAACCGAACAAAAGGCACAACTGGTCCCTGCCAAGAGCCGAGTGGCGCTGGTTCTGGGATACGATTGGATCGCTAGCTGGCAATCAAGCCTCCAAAGTGAACTATTCGCAGTCCGTTCTCTCCAGAGGCTCAGTCCCATCCTGGAGAGCTGTGATTCGACTCGTGGGCAGCCCCAATTTCAAGGGAAATTTTGGGGGTTTGGGGCTGTTTGCCCCTAAGTAGTAAATGCCGACCTCCGACCTTGAGGCTATTTTTGGAGCCTTCCACTGTGTGTGCTAATGCAGAATGATCATAGGATAACTTGAAAAAGCCTTGGAAGTTCAAGTTGCTACGCCAAAATTTTACTCCGTGCTCAAATCAGGCCCCAAGCAAATATTGAAAATACTCCGTACTAGCCAGCATAAACTAAGATTCTTGATTTTATTTTATTTACAAAGGGTCCTCGAGTGGGCCCTTGAGAGACCCACTCCGAGGAGGCTCCTAGGGAATGACTTCAAAGTTGGATAGTATGGGTTCATTCTCTTAATAACATGATTTATTCAAGATCCCAGGGATGTTTCAATTAGTTGGAAATTCTCGTTTGTTCATGCCACGGCTACTAGCATCCAGTCTCCGGTTTCAGGAGCGCTGGGCACGAGCAATGAACACCGTCACGCTGTGCGTCTTCTCGCCCTTATTAAAAACCAGTTGCTCGGGAATTACCTCATACTTGAATCCATGATCCAGTCCAGCTCCTTCAAACAGTTTCTGCATATCCTCTCGGGAGAATCCGTGGGTCTTGACCGTATGGGCGGCTTCACCGAAGTTATGACCATGCTGTCCCTCGCCGTGGCCGTGACCGTGGCCGTGACTGTGACCGTGATCATGACCACCGCCGTGCCCATGATCATGTCCAGAGCGAGATAGGATATCGATTATCATACACACACCACCCTTCTTCAGTCGGCTTCCTAGTCGCTGGAGAGCCATTTGTGGATATTCAAAGTGGTGCAAGGCCATGCTGACTGCCACCATGTCGAACTCTGTATATTCCGGCCCCGAAAACTCGTCCGGAACAGAGTCGCTTAGTAAATCCGCTTTATATCCAACCATCTTATCGTCTATGCCAATCATTTTGGCGTTGCGGTTGAATTCCTCAATCATGTTATCGGATACGTCGATGCCGACGACCTTTGACAGATATGGAGCAAGCGTCTGCCATAAATAAAGTCAAGTATTAGTTTGATGGCCTCCTGGGTATAGAAATTCTTTCTCTCTGAAGAAAAAAAAATCCACAAATATTCGACATCAACAACTGAACTTACCATTGAGATCACACCTGGTCCACAGGCATATTCAAGCATTTTAACATCGTTGTCTTTGCCAGTCTCAGTATCTGCCCATCGATCACTCAGCCAAAGCCGATGGTTCAGTGTCTCCTCGGACAGGGTCTTCATCGCATTGGCAAATGTATCCTTGTATTCGGTCGCCATTTTGCTATAAAAGGGTCAATCAGCTGTCTGCAAATTGGATGTGGTTCAGGGTAGTATCTTACTCGAAGTACTTGCGATTTGCCTCGGTGAAGTCAGTCATGGTGAAGGTGATTTCAATGAACTTCTTAAGAAATTATCAGGATGAGAAGATGAGAAACTTCTAAATTCTCTGAAGAAAGACTTGAAGATTTATAAAAAGTAGAGGGAATGTTGTAAAGAGGGGAACCTTCCGTAGCGGGCAGGTCTATCCAAAGTATTTAAGGCCCACTCGGAGACATTCAAACATTCTCGGAAACTTCCACCTTCACGACCTCACGTCAGTCCACCACAATGAGAGGGGCCCCGGAGAGATCTTGGGATCAGTGGAAAGGCTAAATGTGTCCGAGATTCGAATTTAGGATATTATTAATATAGTTAGGGTGGATTTATGATTTGCACGGTCTGGACTTGGATTCTCTTCAGACACTATTCCACTTTATATCGATTACGAACATAATGGATTCAAAATATAACTCTTTCAATCTATTTAATACCTAGGTATCGTAAATTGAAAGGACAGAATGTACTCATTTGACATTTCTGCATGGTTAAAGCTATCTTGTAAACTGGATGTATACAGCTTGCGTAGCCCACTCGTAGCTGCTGACCGCCCGCAAGCTCCAAAATGGAAAGACATCATCAGCTCCGGCCGGCGTCTCCCTCCAATCCCCACATCTCTTAACGACTCTCCTCCTTCAGACCATCTTCATTGTCCATCATCGCGATCTCTTTCTCCGAGTGATCCCATCTACGACCCCCCATCACTCACTCTCCCGCTTGCCGCCATGGAGTCCAAGATCCCCGATTTCCTGGCCGAGCAGCAAGCAAACGGCACCCCCGAGACCCAGACCTATCTCCTCACTTTCGAAGACTTCTGGGAGCGCAAGCTATGGCATCAGTTGACAGACGCACTGGTCGAGTTCTTCAAACTGCCAGAGAGTGCCCCGCAGCGTTTAGCCTTCTTCAAGACCTTCGTCCTTAGCTTCGCCGATCGGATCAACCAGCTCAAGTTCGTTGCGCTGGGTTTGATGGCCGCGACGGAGTGTGCCGGTAAGCTGAAACCCATAAGGCCTCTTTGGGGCTGCCCTGATACCTTGTGCATGGCTACATGAACAATTGCTTATTCACGAGACACAATAGATGATAAAGAACGCCTCGCTTTCCTCACATCCCTCGCCGACAAGGTCGACAAACCCGAATCACAAGATGCACACGTCTATGCGCTTTCCGATGTCGCCAATGTCAAGCTGAAGCTTGAGGACCTGGAGGGGGCACAGAAGGACCTGGCATCCTGCCAAAAGGCACTGGACTCGTTCGACTCAGTCGAGACCGTGGTGCATGCGTCATTCTACAGAGTGAACGCGGATTACTACCACGTAAGTTTCTCGTTCTGTCAAACACCCGATATTCCCAGTCTGGGGGAAGCAGAAAGGGTACTTAATATACTAACAAACCCGATTCCAGGCTAAGCAAGAATTCGCCTCTTTCTACAAAAACGCCCTTCTCTACCTGGCCTGTATCGACCTCGAAGACCTTTCCGAAACGGAGCGCGTCTCGCGCGCCTATAACCTCAGCGTCGCCGCTCTGGTCTCCGACTCCATCTACAACTTCGGCGAGCTTCTCCTGCACCCGATTCTGGACACTCTGACCCCAACACCGCACAACTGGCTGCGTGAGCTGCTCTTCGCTTTCAACCGCGGCGACCTGGGCGCTTACGACGTGCTCGCCGGAAATATCAGCAAGAACAAGCTACTCGAGTCGCACCGGGTCTTCCTTTACCAGAAGATTTCCCTCTCCGCGCTGACGGAGATGGTCTTCCACCGCCCGCCCCACGACCGTTCCCTTTCCTTCGATGCTATTGCCTCCGAGACGAAGGTGCAGCCCGATGAGATCGAGCACCTGGTTATGAAGGCCCTGTCTCTGGGCTTGTTGAAGGGTTCGATTGACCAGGTGGCGCAGGTGGCACAAATCCATTGGGTCCAGCCCAAGGTACTGGATCTCAAGCAGATTGATGGCATGCGGAACCGGTTGAAAGACTGGGATGCCGGTGTTAATCAACTTGGTCACTGGATTGAGGGCGTTGGCAAGGATGTCTGGGCTGCATAGATGGTTTTACATGTCCCTAGACACTTTCTATCTATAATGAATAAGATGGTTCTGCTTATATGAATCGTGGTTTGTTCATTTGTAACAAGAATTCTAGATTACTATATAGCCGTGGCCATATGTGCGACCCCAGAGGGTGGTAAGAGTGTATATTAAAAGATTGATGAGCCCAGTTGGACGCATCCAATCAGCCAGGCTGGCCACCATACGCACCACACCACAACCTGAGTCCACATGCCCCATACATCCCAGCCGAACGCAGCTTGGGTTAGCACTGACTCCACAGAAACGCCGGTATACCAACACACGCCCAGAAGGACCATTGGCGGAGAAAGAAGATTCAGTAGCACTAGTCCCAGGCTAGAAACACCATACCGGAGGGCGGCAGGGCCTTGAAGGCGGCCGATGAAGCTGAGCGGTGCGCAGAGCAGGCCGATCATGAAAGAGAGAGAGAAGTTGAGGGTCGCGAGCGTGGAAAGCGCAAGGCCGAGTAGCAGGAGAGCAAAGGACTTGATCAAGAGGTATTGCTGTGGTATGATGGGTTTCGAGACGCCTAGGCCGTTGGAGAGAAGTGCAGCCAAAAATAATGGCAAAACAATATCCACAACGACGAAGATGTATGTCGCAGTTGTAAAATACTAGCATTCTATTAGCATTGAAAGTATTGATGTTAGATTGTATCAATGAATCTCACCTGGTGGAAAATATTGTTAAAGGTCCAGAGGGGGACCAGACCGAGTAGGTGCAGACCAGTGACAAGGGTCAAAGGCAAAGCCATGAGACGCTCTGGGAGAGCAGTTTCATTCATTTTGGTTTCCTTTTCGATCTTCTTGGCTCCCGTCTTTGTCGGCTTTTCACTCTTAGACTTTTCGCCAGTTGGGGTGTCCGGCTTTGATTCCGGATAATAGCCAGTGCGCATCCACAATGCGATGGCCATGATTGTGAAGTTTCCGGCAATAAGCATAGCACTGGGAAGATAAGTTCCGATGCTGACGAAGCGGTTGCTATGCATGAGCAGATAAAAGAAGAAGCTCTGGTGCAAGTGCTCCAACAGGTTGTTCAAACTGCGGCACATACTCTCGATGGTCCGACCCAACGCCATTTCGTCTTCCCATCCTTCGCCCTTAGGCTGCAGAGTGATGGCATCAATGTGATACGGCATGAAGCTGCTATGGGCTCCAGTAGCATATCCGAGGCCTTGCTTCGTCATTCCACGCATCATCGTCTGAAGGCGTGCTTCATAGCTATCGTTGTGCTCCCACATCTCCTGGAGATTAGCTCCAATGCCCATCTGGCCGCCTGCGATGGCCACGGCCGTGTTGAACAGGTCCAAGTTAGGCAACTGGCCGTTGACACCATCGTAGACGATGTGAAGTTTCTGGAAGTGATGCTCGAAGGGATACTCAATGACCACGGCACCTTGCAAAGCTCCGCTCTTCAATGGCAGAGGCTGAACGGATTCTGGATGCAGGTCATGGTAGGCGTCGACCCAAGCTTGCGTTCCTGTTTTGCTGTCCGGTGTGAACAAAAAGATGATGTCCTTGGACCAGAGGGACCAGCGTTTGAAGTATCTAGCAAGGGTGAGAGCTAGCGTGACACCTTTCAGGTTGAGCTCATCATCTGCTGTCTTCCATGCCGCCACCAATACAATTGCCTCCGTTGCGTCGCCCCGCGGTGCGTGGATGATGCCGTAAATGTTCTCGCCTTGGTGAGTGATACCGGCTGAGGTGTACTCGTATTTCTGCGTTGCGACTTTAAGTCCTGCGGCTTGTAGGATTGAGTGAACTTTGTTCGAGGCCCTGGTAGATCGTTAGGGCGTGTCCTGCTTGTATTTGTCCAGTTGTATTCATGCCACTTACGCCGGAGTCACCTCTACCTCAGTTTCCTGGTTCTCGGTCTCGCGACCCTCGTTCAATAACGCTTGCAGTTCCTGCTTATAGCCACGAAATATGTTCTGCTCACTGCCAGTGAAATAGGCGTGGACCTGGCCGGGCAGGAGCGCATTCTCGGAGATGTATGTCCGTCGCGAATTGTCATCTAGGGGTAGAAGAAGTAACCAAGCGACACCGACGACGATGCAGAGAAACGATAATATATTCGGAAGGCGAGTGAAGAGGAAGCGAGGGTTTTCCCGCAGATTGCGGATTGCGGCTGTCATTTGAAAGTTGTCAGGGTCTCGTTGTCCCCAGGTGTCTGGGGAGGGAGGGGACAAAGAAGGGAGAGATGCGCCCGGGGTAGCTGGCGTTCAAACACTCACATTTCAGGGCCATTTCGAGGTAACCATGAGGAAATATCTCCCCACTTGGCAACAAGAGTCCCGTCAATTGAATCGAGTTGGTAGACGATTGTCGCGGAGGCCAACGGTGTAGTTGCGGAGCTCGGAGTTGTTTACGGGAATTTACGTCACACGAGTAGAACCAAATGCGCAGAATTATTATAGATGCACTCGCTATGCTAATGGCCTAATGCCTCCTTTACACCCTCGTCAACGTAATAAAACACTATGTCAAACTATACACACGAATATTAAGGTAAATAGTGGTCGTTCCCTCTTTTTCTCTCCTATCATTCATGCACCAAGACGCTGGTTGGTGCCCAGGAAGCTCATGGGGGTGCCGTTGTTGCCATTGGCCGCGTTGTTAGACGAGGGGAGAACACCATAGCGTCCAAAGGTCTTTTGGTCGACAGAGATATAGTGCGGCAGTCGGCCGAGGAGGTTCAGCTTACCCTCGATCCATCGCAGGATCTTCTCGGGTGGCACCAGGAACTTTAAGTATCCGAGACCAACTGGGAAAATTAGTCTATGGCCCGTAAACGGGGGCTTTCAAGCAGAAACTTACAGAGATATCCGATGAGAATGGCGCAGAGATGGCCAAGGAAGCTCACGTTGGATACTAAAATGGAAAGAACCACACATGCAAACAAAGGCGAAGTCCAAGTAGGGATCTTGTATGGGCCGAGGCTGGATGAAACGGTCAGCAACAATATTATAGAAATCAATACTCTAGCATAGCTTGCACATACCTGAAGTGGGGGTTCGATTTATAGGTTCGGATGGCTTCGGATCCGAGGAGCAAGAACACCCAGATGCTAGTAACGATATGAGCATATGGTCAACCAACAATCTTCGGGGAAGTTACGCACCTTGATCCAACCACAGACGTGTTGCTGTGCAGGATAAGCTTCTCGATCAGGAGGTAGATACCGGCGGGGAAGGTGGAGAGTGCTGGGAAGATATCTCGTCAGCAAGAAGTTCCAATAATTGAGATCATCTCATCCATTTTAAACTTCAGAAGTGCGGTGTGATACTTACGACCGACAAACAAGGCAATGGATGTCAGCGTGCCATGTTCCGCTTCAAACCGCTCCAAAAGTGGCGTCAGGGCCAGGGCATTCAACAACGCGTGGAAAAAACCAGTGTGGATCAAAGGAAACGTATTCAGACGATACACTAAATTTCGAGAATCAGCAAGGCTCCCCAGATCCAGTTCCAACCAAGATAGGTAAGTGGTAAGTTGGGGCGACGACTTACTCGTTCCAAGGTTAATTTCGTCCGGGATCAGCGCTCCCCATTGTACGACACTCCACATTGTTTGCAATTCCAACAACCAGAAAGCGAAGATCACCAAGAGCACAAGGCGGGTAAAAAGCGGCAGCCGCACCAAGTATGATCGGACCCGGGAGGGATTGAAAGGCAAGGGGGAAGTGCAGCTGGGGTCGCCATATTTATTTCTTATGCGGCGGATATGCTCAGATAGAGAGATAGTCGTCTCAACCGTTTTAACACGCCAAACCAGACAATTTCAGCTCCGAAGATAGTATGGAGGCGGCGTTGGATTCAATAGTCCACTAGGTCTCGAGTCGATACGTCGATGGAGTAAGTGGGACAGGCTGGCTTTTTGGGACGCGACAAGCAGGTACTTGGCGTAGGCTGGGCTATTCCACGGATTACCGAAGAATCGGAAGAATTACAACAAGGCAGTCGTCTAAGACAGAAAAATTGTTAGCATCATCGAGGCTTCGCGGATCATGAGGGATTCAAACTTCGTATTCGTTCCAGGGATAACTCACGGGCGCACGCGATCGATTCGGTCGGAGTATGGGCGATAGACGATACTATGATGAGTTTCAGAGGAGAAGGCGATAGTATTTGTCGACAAAGCGAGAGACTCGCGCAACGACAGTGCCAAGGAGAGTGATGAAGAGGTGTTCGCGCGGAGTGTCGGCCGTTCGGGCGTCGACGCTTTGAAGGCGATCGCCGCTAGTCCGTCTTGGGATTAGGGCAGGGCATTTGCCCAAAATCTAATACCTGCTGTATTACATAGTGTACACATCAAATTATATGTTAGTAGTTACTACTCCTTGTTACTTATACCCGTCTGGGCAAGATAAATAAATTGAGTAACAGCAGAAGACCAATTTTTTGAAAAAAAAAGAAGAAGAAGAAAAGGCAAGCAATTTGAAAGCGTCAGAGTTTCCTCCGGTTTGCCTTCGCTTAGTACGAGAAATGAAGTCTCATCATCAACCTTGAACTTCTTTTTGCCAAATTTTAAACATTAGAAGGGGGCAATAGAGATGAATTGCGCATCATGATGTTCAAGGACTTCCTCCAGAGCCCCCAGGTGGATGGGAAGCTGGTGCCGTTGGATTTGGGACAAACTGCGATCTTTTAGATGCTCCTGTTCTTGCAGATGCTGTTAGTTCTGTTTCTGCTACTGCTGGATTCGTCGCTGGAAGAGCATCTCTGAATCTGGGGTCGTGAATTCACCTGGAATTGTCGACTTAGGTACATTTTTGAAATCGTCCTTTGTATCAAGCAAATACTTACTAGTATGTTGTCCAACGGGGGAAGTTGCCGTACTAGCCAAGGAGAAAGAACCTTGGAAGTCTATTGCGTGAAGCTCCTGGTGATATATTTTTGACACGGCAGAATAGTGCTATCTTCCAAGGTTGATATAACGTTGGAACCTTGGAAGGCATGCGAATTTGGGCCGGGTCAGCGGGGTGGGGGAGGGTGATCATTAATTCGATCAGTAGCTTTATTGCTCCAGAATACAAGGCAGTAGGCTCCGGAGCTATATCAGTAAAGCTACTGATAACTTAACGCTGACACCGGTCCCTGCTTTATATCCTGCTACTGTTGCTTTTTCTCCACTCTAAGCTTCTATCTCGTCTAGGTCACGCTGGTCGATGATTTTAATGAAGGCTCCACTGGCAGTATCACCCATGAATTGGGTTGCAAGTGGCTTATCAGTGCCAGGTAGGCCAATGATACAGGGTACCTGAAGAGCCTTTAGGAAACTATAAGTAATTCAGTCAGAAGGGCTTTAGAGTTTGAGTTTAACCTCAGCTTTCAGGAATGAGGCTCTCTTCAAATCGATTATCTCTGCTTTTCCCCGTTTACGGGCAGGCTCCGAGAGACCCGAACTAGCAGTCGCAGTCCCCGCCTTTCTCTTGTGTGGTGGTGTTATTCAGAAAGTATTTGGAGATAGAACTTGAACTTGGAGAAGGATAGGCCAGACGACAATTGCGATCAGCCTAGATGGAAGTTGCAAGCGGAGTGAATAGCCATCTCGCCGCATATACGAGATATTTATGTGGTTGGGGTAGATTCAACGTGAAAGAAAGCAAAGACCTGTATAGTCCTGCTGAATATCTCGATGTCATGGGGACTGTGTCAAAGCGGGCGCAAGATGCTGCCAAGGTTCAAGTTCAAGTTCTTCCAAGTTTACTACTTCAAGCCTACCGGCGAATGTTCCGATGGTTCGATCATCTCTCTGGTGGTTATTTTTATCCTCGAAGTATGAGCACGAACTTTGAAAGTCTGTGTAGCCAGTTCTCCTTTCTCTTTGTAGTTCTTCATTCCGAGCTGAGGAAAGCCCTCGGCGGTCAATAGAAATCACTTCGACTAATATCTAAGTCTTAGACCTCAGAGGAGTTGAGTTGAGCAAATTCGCATATTTTTAATCATCTTCATATTGTGAACCTGTAATGAACATGGGGATTGAATCAGTGGGTATATTAATGACAGATCTAGGAGGGTATTTGCAGACCTCAGCACATAACAGATAGCTCCTTTGAAAAACAACGCCCAGTCCCCATAAAAAGAACAAGAAAAAGAACAAGAACAGACAATAATAGTCACAACGCCAAGATGTGCAGTTCATAGATACAGTGCTAAAATGTCATCCAGGCCAAAGTCTTTCGACCAGTTCCTTCAAACGCGGCCTCGAGCGAAGCGTCAACGCCACGCATCCGCTCGATACCCTCTCGTCCTTTGGTAGGCAATAATGTCTCACAGTCAAGGTTCCCCGAGTTCGAGCAACCCCAAATCTTTGTTCATAGTTCTCTCGTATTCGAGACCAGGGAATATTGCGATCACGCTGAAACGCGAGAAAACTAGCATCGTGTAATTTTTCGTCCTGGGTTCTATAGGTGAATCCCCGGGCGTCCGTAGGGTTGATTACTGACTGTTGGTCGGTTGAAGAATTTGACAATGGGGTTCCTTGCGCCTGATCCAGATTTGAGTTTGGGGTTAATCGAATTGATGTTTGAGTGCCTGTTCTTGACTGGTGGGATGTGGTGATTTGTTGGGAGCAATCATCAGAATCAATAACGATCACAGAATTTGTGGGTGATGGTTCTCGGGACCACCGAGGAACAGCTCTGTCGTTCAACACTGAAGGCTCAGGCGGTTCATGTGGTTTGTGAATCGGCAGTGTGTCCGGTAGACGTCCAGCCAAAATGTTCGTAGGCTCTGATGAAGTATTGTGCGGAGACGATGTCGATCTCAACGAAGCTGCCCACGTTTCTTGTAATTCGCGCAGTTGGTAATCACGTTCCCTCAGAAGATCATCCAACTTCTCTTCAAATTTAGCCGCTGTTCAGGTTAATCTTCATCTGAATAAATATTGTCTTTCCAGGAGACCTACCCTCTTCTCGATCTTTTTTACAGTCCACAATCAAAGTGCGGAGCTCAGAAATGGTATCTCTCTCGATACAAACATGTTTTTGTTCCGGTATTTGATGCACAAGTGAGATGGAGTGGTAACGGCAAACTTGTTTGCGATCCTCAGCGGTCATTTTAAATCTGTGATTGCGAACACAACACGAAAACACTCCTTTGTCGACCTGGGTGAAGGAAGCTTCGTTGGTTTCTCTGATAAGATCGGTCCAACTCAAGCCAGGGTTCTCCAAGCTGTCAAGAGCACGTGGCTGTAAAGTGCTGAAATTCTTTCTGATGTTTGCTTCTAGCTCGTCTGCATATCGATCATTGTTCAAGTGGAGCACGAGACTGAAACCTTCGTTCATGACAGCCATGTATCGCTGTGCAGCCAGCATTTTAGTGTGCCAGTAAACACGCATATCCTCGAGACTTGGTAGTTTTAAGTCTTCCCGACAGGCCGTAAAGTCCAAGTTCGAGGGCAATACCCAATTCCTCTCCATCTTGGTGGGTGGAACTCATGTAGCTGATCATGGGGAATGAGTGGAATGAAAATGGATGGATCATAACATTGCTAGTTAGCGCCCACGCTTTTGGTGTCATTTCTTTCCCACTTTCCCCCAACGGGTTAGGGTGATCCACAGCGACCATTTACGTCGGATGACATAATCATTGGTGACCGCTCATGATTGGCCAGGGTTGAGCAGTATAAACGGATTTCGTTTGATTCTTCTGGTTTGATTGTGATTCTACCTGGATTTGTTATGTTAAAATTGAAAATCGAATCGTTGGCCCCATGGGCTGGTTTTTCCAGGCCTGAAGATATGAGGCAGATGCCAAACTTGAGATAAAATGTAATCTATATCATATCATGATGAACTATTAGTTAAGTTAACTACTAGTAACTACTAGCACATCCATACTAAGATGTTCCAAAGTTGAAGATGAGTCTATCTATATTCTTTTCATAATTCATATGGAATTCAATTTGCTCATTGGCTATGCTTTATCACAACTTTACTTAGAGCTAGGGTTTTCATTCCTCATAACTTAGCTGCCTGTGTATCGTCACGAACTCTACACACGATCAGCAATGTATTAATCATGAGCGAGCCATGTGCCGTTCATTTCAGCTTTGCTCCGGTGTTCACCCCTTCTTACAGGTGCTGGTTGAACCAAACAACAGCTTGGCAGAAAGCCTGCTCCTTGGCCCACTTCTGGGTCTTGTTGTTCAGGTCACCGCGGACGGCGAAGCCGTGAGAAACGCCGCTGAACAGGTTGATCTGCCAAGGCTGGCCAGCCTTGATGAGAGTCTCCTCGGACTCGTGGCGGAGCTGAGTGGTGAAGATGCTGTCGGTCTCTGTTTTGTGTTAGAGAATTCTAAATTCCGAAGCTGTGTAGAATAGGTAGGGGTGGTGTTACATACCGGCGGCGGCGATGGAGAAAGGTCCCTTGATCGCACCCAGCTCCTCGTGGGTGACGAAAGAAGGGTGCGCGCTGTAGCCAACATCGATCTGGCCGGGCTTGAGGTAACGAGTGACGTACTTTCCACCGAAGCAGTAGCCGACGGCGGCGATCTTCTTCACGTTAAGTGTCTCACGCATGTACTTGATGGTCTTCTCGACGACGGGGTCAACGTTGCCGGGCTGGTGCTTGGGGAGCCAAGCGGGGAGGTCGGCCTTGCCCGATTCCATATCCGCGACGGAGATCTGGTCACCCTGGAACAGATCGGGGATAACGGTCAGGAAGCCATTGTTGGCAAACTCGTCAGCCAGGAGCTGGGCGTTGGGGAAGATTCCGAAGATGTCGGTAAGGAAGAGGACAGCCTTGTCAGTGCTCTTGTCCTTGGGGTAGGTGATGTAGGTGTCAACTGGGGTAAATTGATTGGTTAGGTAGGCACTACCATGATGCAGTATCTAGCTTTCACTCACTTCCGTCGACGTTCTTGGTCTCTCCGAGAGGGGTACCCTCGTGCTTGAAGCCAGAGGCACAGCAGGCAGCGGGGGGGGTTGGAAGCCATTGTGTTTAAAGGAAGGGAGTAAGGGAAAGGGTATCGAGAATAGGATAGGGAGGTAGAAAGAGAGAAACCGAAGGAGGGTGGGATTGCAAAGAAAAGTATCCGAGGGGAGGTCTGATTAAATCATAGCCCCTCCTTCCATTCGTGACGGGTACGAAGCCCCATCGGACCCATTCCCACATCCCACACCCACCTCCAACTCTCCAACTCTTCATATTTGGCCCAATCAACAACCAGATGTCCCGCTAAGCTCGCACAAAGTCGAGCTCATGGGCATCCATCATTGACCCACTCTACCATTACCCCTCGTGGTCGCAGTCTATTCGATTATTAATGCTACTGTTTCTCAACGTTTCTGTACCTACGGTAGCTTGAGTATTTGTACCGCGGGGTCATTCGCAAAGACACAATTCAGTTTGCAAGATATCTTAGGTATTTACAATCTCTCAAGTCATATATCGAAATCACTTCACCTTGTGATGACCCCAGGGAAGCACAAGACAGCGCAACTGCCGACTCGGTACTCGGCACGGCAAGGCCCGGCGTTAATCCTGTTATCCCCGAACCGGCTAAAGGCTTAGAGAAAGGGGCGGTTTTAAGGTTAAAATAGAGTACTACTATATCCTACAGGATGAACAGCTTCCATTCGTGGATTTCGACATATAAAAATGTAGACGACCAGATATTCTGTTTCTGAAAAATCATGGATGATCATCTACACGTAAAATTAATACCACTTCAATCCGTTACTCATTCCGAATTTTCGGAAATGTCGGAAGTACTATTTAACATTACACATTTTCATGTCCCCAGGTTCTGCGGAGCGGAGATTAGCGTCCTTGGCAACAGTTTTGACTAGCATCAACATTGCACGGACGGAAAAGAAAGAGATAAATAAAAATAGACAAATTCAAATGACCGCAGGAAGACAAAAAAAGTCACATAATTGTAAGGGGTATCGTTGTCAAACAAAAACAAAATATGAAAAATGACTTATGGGAACCGGTATTTTGGCTCTCGGGGCTGCTCACGCTTCACAGCCCATGCCTTGAGTGCAATGGCCAGAATCTCCAGGGCCATGATGAATGCCGTGAAACCCAAGCCAACGGTGAAGGTGAACATCGCATCGACATCGTAATATTCCATGGCCTCGATGACGTTACGAGTCTGCCTCAGGTTAGTATATTTATTATCTCGCTAGGGGTTTCACTTATGAACGTAGTGTTTACTTACGCTCATCATAAAGATAAGACCTCCAGACATGAGGCAGAAGGCAGCAACGATCTCGGTCGGTGGCCGAGCGGGCAGGTATGAGGTGGGCGGGCGAATGTATAATAAGACATAGGTCATGCCGCGAGCCAGTGCAAACCCAACCAACATGTTACCCCATTGCTTGTGTACCATTGTCGACGTCATGCTAACTTGGTGGTGTGAGCCCATCATCATACCAAGGAGTAGAATGACCAAAGCTGGCATGGGGTTTAGAGACACATTCTGTGATCTCGGAAGCTGCCATCCCTCGTCGCGAGTTCCGTGTCCTGGGTACTGGAGAATGGTGTTGTTGAGAGCGTCACGGATACGCGAAGATTCAAAGAGCATGCCGGCTAGGCCACCACCGAAGAAGAGGACTGTGATGGAGACATGTTCCAAATCCGTTGACGACCATTCCTTGCCCGAATTCGCAAGGTGTTCCAGGAAGACGTTAGTGATGCCATAGAAAAAGATGACAAAAGACTCGGTCCATTCTCCCGATGGGACCTTGGACTTCCAGTTGCCGACGATGGAAGCGGAGGGCTTCTTGTTCCAAGCCCAGCCCAGATCCGCCCAGCAGCCGATATAGCGACCGAGGGTGAGCACACCGTACCAGAAGAAGATTCCGCCTTTGATAAAGTGCGCCAGGCCATTGAAGATATCTCTTCCACGCATTATACCGCCGTATGTGACCGCACCAGTGGCCATAGCGATGAAGCCGAAAGGAAGGATTATCCGGTCAATCACCTTATATACGACGTAGAAAACACGCAAAACGCGGTTGGAAACCATGCCAGGCACGAGTCTCGACAGGAACCGATCCACAAAGGTGCTCTTTATCCAACGGCGAGGTCCAGTGGTCTCGTTCGGAACATCGTCCTCAGGTTTCTCGAATCCGTCGTATTCCGGAGGCTCGAAAGATGGAGACGCAGGGCAGTGGCTGGGTGAGTTAGGTTCGGTGCCCTGTCCACTGTCCCGGGACCAGCGATGTTCGTGCATTGGGGTAGTAGGGAAGATGTGGACATGCTCATGGTCATCGGTTGCGACGGGGAGGAACGTAGCGCGCTCGAAAGATCTAGACTTAGTCTTCGACTCGCCTCGGCCGGCATAGACAAAGATCAAGCTCAAGATGAGCTGAGTGCTGACCACCCAGGTGATAACCCATCCGATCTTGTGGTGTGCATTATTCTCGTAGAGGTCGGGTGTCTGCTCATTATAAATAATGCCGAGAAGCAAGCCGAAGGCATTGCACAGCATAAACACGAATTGCGACGGCAGGGCAAATCGTGATCGCGCGATGCTGAGCATGACCGCTTAAACGACCAGTTAGTTTTGATTCCTTTCCGCGTTCATCCGGCCTATCCGTGTTGACACTTACATGTAGGGAGCAAAAGGCACCAGGCCGCGATCATCAAACTGATATGCGCCAGAATGGCGCCCCTGTGTTTGTCATAGGCGAAATAGCTCATCGGTCCTTCGCTGTTGGGGTGTGCAGGTTCCGCCGATGCCGGCTTGTTCATGCTCGTGTTCATATCCATATCCATGTCCATGTTCGTATTCGTATTTGTCGATTCATCACCATGCGCGAGCACCGAGGCCGCCAGGAATACTGCCACGAGGGCGGCGCGAGTAGCTGTTTGCCGCATGAGCATCAAGTCGTTCGATCGTAAAGCTGAGGTATAACTATTGTGAGGAGCGGACTCCAGGTACGAAAGGAGAAAGAGAGAAAAATCGGAGAAGGTAAGAGCTTCAATCAGGCGCGAGATTGAAGCTCTGTCGAATCGTGACGTAACGATGCTTCCAGGCTCTTCAGTGAATGCAAGCTTCCTTATTTTTATGGTTCTTCCAGTTTCATTTGTTTTGCCAGAAACCGGTCTGAACTAAATGACTCATCAATCGAGTGAATTTGAGAAACCACGCGACGAGTCTAGAGCGGGCTGGGGGAGGAGGATAGGGGACTCGGAGAGATGGGATCAAGTAGGGCTGAAAGGGAAGTATGGGGAGGCAGACTCAGTATATAAAAGGAGGTCAGTGGGGCAGAGAATTAATAATGGAGTAAGGTGCCGATTTCCTTGAATGTGAAGAAAGTAACAATAATAATTAATGTTCCTTTTTTTTTGGAATTTCTGTCTGGAAAAAGAATCGATGATTTCCAATACTCCGAGGGCGGGGATAGAATGGGGTGCGTGGTAATAAAACCAGCGCTTCCGGGTGCCGTTCTATCGTTTTTTTCCCTTTCTTGCTTTTTTTTCTCTTTTTTTTTTTCTAGCTGGCCCGAATTGCCGTTTCAGTCCGTGCATCATCTAGACCTTTTTACACCTGCTTGTGGTAGGGATGGGTAATATTCCATTGGGTCGGTGTGTCCTCCCCTCCTATGCAGATGCACACCAGATTGTCCTACCTATTAGAGCTTCTTTGGTTTGCACCACGTCCAGAGTTCAATTATTATCAATATTAAAAAGACATTCGTCGACAGGCTCCAGCCTTGGCAACAGTTCTCGCGTTTGAATGAAACTATCCAATTAGGAAATTTTAATTTTCTGTTATTTTCTCTCGGAAGAGCCGGGAGGCCGAAATCGAGATTGAGCTCGGGTTTGAAGGCAAGTGACCTCACCTACCCAGAAATTGGGCTTGCCAAGAACCAAGGTCCCTTGTTCGGCATCTGCAGCTGCGGATTTTGGCGGTATACACCCAGTGGCATTCTTTGTACTTACCAGCATTTTCCTGTAGTAATGCTGCAAGCGCGTTCCTCATGATGTAGTCGATCTTTGCCTGGTTAGGAGATGGATACACCGCCAGGAGATTCAAAGATCCTGCCTAGCCCTAGCACATCTGCACTTGCATTTGCATTTGCATTTGGCCGTTCTTTTGCTTCTGTTGGGTACATAGAGAATTTCGGGAGCTCCATAATTCAGCCCTGTAGCGGTCGGTCATCATAGTGGACACAAGCCTCCCCCGTCTAGCCCCAATTACTATTTCCTACTAGTAGCAGGATAAGATATCTAGATTGACCATATAGCCCAGAAGATCCCTGTCCTGCTTTGAAGAATACTAGTACGGAGTATGTACATGTCATTGAAATATCATAACCTAATATTTTCCATACTACGGGAGAGTCCGAGGACAGTGCCACTAAAAGTGCCCACAACCGTACACGCACAGATCCACTCGGTCAGCTTCGGACCCCCGGCATCCTATCCTTCCTTTCGTATCCCTCTCGGCCTCGCTGATTGCGAGCTTCCGAGCCGCACTACATATTTTGAGTTGTTCGTTTGGCGGGGTCTGATCCCCCCTCGGTCGCCCTGCCGCTGATCTATCAGACCTCCACTCAAAACCTCCCTCTGGGCTCCCTTGGTGCTTTCCTATATTTTCTTGTCTGAGGCCATCATGATTCCATGGCATGACTGGGGCGACTCGTGGTCCAACCATGTGGAGTATGTACATAAGACCTTGATCTGGCCCCCAGCCACCCCGTCAAAATACATTTCACGACCGGATCCACACCGGGTTGTGACAAGGCGTGAATCATCCTGGCGTGCAGATGCAGGATGATGTTATCCCCGAGCTAATAATCCTAGCTCCGTCCTGGCCCCGAATGATTACCCTGGCTAAAGGCGCTCGGCCTTCTTGGGCCGAGCATCATGGGTTTTTAAGAGTCGGTGCAAGGACCACACCGCGACCGATGTTTTGCTCATGAACTATCATAGGCCGGTTACGAACCGCTGTGCCACTCCGCGTCCATCTATATCCGTACTCCGTATAGCCGCCAAGGGTGTTCGATGAACGTTGACCCCCATTCGGAGTTAACTCAGTGTCCCGATGATTTGCCTTTGTGAGAACACTCGAAGAGGAACTTGAAATCACGAAACTTGGGTACTAATCATACGTGTGATTTGTAAATGATGAATAAAGAAATATCTACTGCGTAAGCAAGATCGGGTACCGTTTAAGGTTTAGAATGATTAGAAATATACTTGTGGGTTGAACCTGTAATCTTGGAAAACGGTGATCCCCCTCCTTCTGTGACGAGCCATGCAGCATGACTGATAACTTGAAGCGGTCACGAATGTAACCAAACCACGTACGGAAAGTGCACAAAATTCTTGGTAAAAAATTCGTTTCTTCTGATCGAATAATTATGGGAGTCGCCTCAAGTCCATCAGTTCTGTTGGGCACTCCTGCTGAGTAAGATTTACTAGCAATGGCCTAATTTGGAACCGTTCTCCCTCTATCCATCCATGTCAACTCCAATCCTGTGCATACAGCTTACTGTAGCTAAGAGATATAGTTTCATGAGCAAACAAAGCCATGCTCAATACCCAGGCTTGGGTGCATCTCATAAGGGTGCTAAGGACCTCTCACGAGGGCCCGCTGTACTTTTGTAGTTTGAGCAAAATGCCAAGTAGGATGAGATTTGTTGTGTTAAATGCGACGAAAAAAGCTATTTTGTACGTATACGGTGCTCGAGCACAGGCCGAAGGTATGACTATTTGAGCCCCTCACATCGAACAGATCTGTCCCACTGTGGTACAGCCACCCAATCATCTTCCCTATCTCCTTACCACAGCTTCGATGAAAGTCGGATTTCTCGATTGCGGGGGTACTCAATATAGGCTGCTGGGAAGGAATCATCCTGCAGGTCTGCCGAAGCAAGCCCGCGGTCTGGGATGCGGCAATGGCCGGAAGCTCATCTTATGAAGAGCCGCCACGGGGACCACTAGGCTATGGTTCATTTCGGATGAATTAAACCAGAAAATCAAGCTCACTTCAAATTTACACTCAAACAACTCGAAGGTCTTGATATTCTCTATCACTAGCTCGGAGTGCCGTGCAGACTCGGATTCAACTTCAAGTTGAACTTGAACTTCGAAGGTACAAGATATACTACCTAGGTAGTAGTACTAGTAGTAGTCACGGCATATACCCCTATAGCCCTATCACATGCACATCGTTTATCTGCATTGATTGAACTTGAACTCTAGTACAGGGTCATACGATGGTGTCAACTTGGCAAGCTATGCCAGCAACCTCTGAAGGTGTGAAAATGATACTAGCTAATAGTACTCTGTCATGTTCACGAACTGAGGGAAGGCCAGTCCACTCGGCCTTCCTCGAACAAATAACTGTAATGTTATATCAGACCGGGAACAGTTGCATACGTCAGAGTCGGATAGTACCCTTCGAAATTAGCATCTCCGGCATCCCACAAATCAGCACAAAGATTGACGTTGGGTACGGCACGAAATGTTCTCATCCGTCAGCTGGCTCTGTGTTTGTGTTATGAAAGCGACCATTCAAGTTGCTCATCACTAAATTTGCTCAAATATCCTTCGCTAGATGAGACCTTTCTATCTGAAGGGAAATATCCGGCAATGGAAACAGGTATCTGACCTGCTGCGCGACTAGGAATAGTCTTAGACCCAAAACCGGGCTTCATATCCGTACTTATCATGAGCTACCACGTCATCTACTTGCTGGTTGCTGCTAGTAGTACAATTTGCACCGGAACAAGACGATCTATTGTCGATATATAGACACATTCGCAGATATTGTTCAGCATGGAGAGGACTAGGAGGCCATCGATGGCTTATCCTAATAGATCACAACCATATTTCACCTTTGGAATCGGGATCGGAATGCCCTTACTGATAGTAGTGCTCAAATGCCGACAATCTGATCTTAGAGGCCCTTCAACCTTGTTTCCCATTTGAAACAATGCGCTTCTACCCAATTCGGGGATCCACCCTGGTCACCAAAGCAATTGAGATCGAAGAGGCTCGGATATAGCCCTTTCAACCAAGATCCGAATGACAAAGAAGTATTTACAACGATTGCAATATGTGAGCGTCTGCCACCAAGACCCCGTTACGTATAGTCTCTGAATCGCTAGGAAGAAACCGGCAACCTTGTCAACCGAGTTATCCGGACTCACCCTGGTCGAGGAGCGGGTCTTGCTCAAAATGGATTGACCCGGGACGGCGGTCATCTAGCACTGAATAGCTTGGCCCGATGGGCGTACCTGGTTCCTGGACGGCAGAAGAGGTTTGAATGTGCGAAGACTATCACCGCCTTGAGACCCCACTGATTCACCCTCTAGCGCCAAGAAATCTCTGAAGCGGAGATGGAATATACGAAGGCGCTTCATTCAAAAGTCTGTGCATGGAGCGCCCTATGTATGGGAAGTACTCTGGTTCTAATGTCGGACTGGGATATGACAATAAACACCTGGGCACATTCTCTATAAGATCCACCTCCGCATCTCCGAGTCATGATCATCATTGCTAAAAGTGCCCAAGACTGTCACAAGGCCAGACGAAAAGCCCCTATACAAATCCAGGCAATTGAACGAGCCAAGATCCGCACGAGCGGGACCGAACCGGACCCGTCTCCGTCGACCCGACGATCTTCGCGCTGTATTGATTGGGCACGATTGAATCGGCATCCGCGGGACATCCGCGGGCTTCCGGTATTGCTCCTCTGCACACGCACCGTACACGCACAACTAGGCCTTTTGGGTCTCAGTTTTCTCTCTCTTTTATTTCCATATTTTGACCTATTTCATTCATTCTCTGAAACGGAATACATAATCCGGCAACTTTTGCTGATCTCATTGAAACTGTCATATGATACAATCTTTCGCGCGACTTAACTATCCCACCCACTGCTAAGTAGTCCAGTAGACGAGTCAAAGAAAGCCTCCTTGTCATCCTACCCCGGACTATAGAGACTACTGGGTTGTGACACGATCGTACGGTGTGACAATGACTCAAGCATCGGTGCCTTTCCAGCACCTTGATTTGGATGTTTGTGTCCTTTTGTTGCACTCGTAATGCCCAACGCATGTGATTGATGTGCGCACTGCATATCAACAAAATACCATGTCTAACTGTTTACTAGTAGTAAACTCCAGAGGCTCTCACCCGCTCTTCAACCCCAAAAGTCAAATACATACCCAGAACCTACCAATACATACTAGTAGTGAAGCCTGCACTACGGTATTCTTTAAAGGCCTCATTAAATTACACCGCGATGAGGCGTCTGCATCTGCGTCCCCCGCTCGATGCATATTGCCAATTTGAGCAAGACAGCCCTGCCGAAATGGTCGGGTGCCCGGCACCGCGCTATCCGTTCCCAGGCACCGCCCAATTTAATAGGGGGTCCATGCCTCTCGTGCGATCCACATGGCTGTTCTCCAAGTGGTATTTGGACTGAGTGTCACACAGAGAGATAGTGTACATAAATTGTGCCAGCTCATATTTTCTGCGCTGCTATGGTTGATGTTGGATTGGTTTTTGGCGTTGATCATCTGTTCACCCACTTGGAACCAAATCGACTAGTTGGAGAGGCAAAGACTGGTTCATCATCGAAAGCTTGCATTGGGAATATCTGATATCCGATGCCACAATTCAAAATCTCAAGGAGTAGAAGGCGATAATAAGCCCATTAGTTACTCGAGGCGCTATCTGTCGGGTCTCTCAAGATCAGCAGTTTCATGCAAGCCAACTCGAAAGAATACAGAAAGGAACATTACTTGACTATCGTACAACGGCGGAGCTGAAGATAAAGCGACACTCGCCCTCTAGGTTCTTCTAGGTTCGTTTTCGGATTCTCATTTTACTCCCTAAACTGATGGTTCTGGTTGGGGAAACCGGCCTGCGCTTAAAGTCTCGGCAGTGGCGTCTGGCTAGAGAGTGTGTGGCAGCTTTGAGTTCCCCAACTTGGGGGACTCAAGGGAAACTACAAGGTAAACGCTACCGAGGGAATTATAGGAGTCTCCTAACCTTTCTTCAATGTGTTCCATGCATTCTCCTAGAAGATCATCACTGTCCTCAGTAGTCAAACTATGAACATTTCCAATTGTTGACGATGACCAGCGATCATTGTCTGTTATCTCACATGGCAAATGAATCAAATCAAGTCTATGCTTACGAATCTTGACTACCTTCAGTTTCCAGATCCTTTGTATGTATAGATATTAAAATTGAAATAGAAAAATGAAAGCCAAGTCGGATCCCGCAGCCTGTGTGCATGTAGATTATTCACGATGGGCAACTTTGGCGAATTACTATCATAACTGCAACTAGATTCTCCTCTCGTTCTATTTAAGATTCTTTCCCCTAAATTAACAGTTCGTACCCTCCGATACCCACTTGAACTAAATGAATTGAATTGTTCTAAATCTAAATTCCATAGATCTGAAATGACTAATCAAACGTGACCCCAGCCCTTAGTACCAGCCTCAGGCACCAAAATTACCCAAAGTGGCTAGTCTAGCTCAAGCGAGTTGGACCGTGCGTGATCACCAATTGGGGCAGCACACAACGATTTTCAACCCTAACCTTCGACTTCGACTTCGCCCTCTTCAACCGCCGCCTAACGCCCCTCGTTCACGTCAACAACCCCCCGGTCAACTCACCCCCTACGACATCTCAAGATGACTCACGAGTCCGTTTGGTTCAGCCGGCCCCGCAAGTAAGTCGAACGACAAGCGCTGCACGAATTGCGAATTGCCGAAATGCACACATCGAATAAATAACTGACTGGCCTTCTCTACACAGGTACGGCAAGGGTGCCCGTTCTTGGTGTGTACCCCCCCTAAAACAATATTCCTCTCCGACTCTCTCTCTCTCTCTCGCCCGACAAGACATCAGAAGAATCCGAAATATCCTCGAATATGGGTGGTGGACGATACAGAATGATCTTGAAATATGGAGGAGTCATTGTGGTCTTGGACGACTTGCTAATTTGGATCGAACTTCAGCCGTGTCTGCGCTCACCGCGCCGGTCTGATCCGCAAGTACGGTGTATGTGAAACCTCTCTTTGAGATATCGAGCGCACACAGGAACCGTGCTTGGGGACCAATTGGCTAATCCAGCTCCGTCTTACAGATGAACATCTGCCGTCAGTGCTTCCGTGAGAAGTCCGCCGACATCGGTTTCAACAAGGTTCGTTCCGTCTACACCCTCACCCGCGCCGACCTCGACCGAATTCTGGAATCGGGAAATACCTTCCCCTTCACGAGGAACTTGTCGGCCACCCCCATCAATAACAGAATCTAACCTCGATACCCTACAGTACCGTTAAACAAAATACGAAACCAATGTCCACCTTTAACGCCCTCTCGGTCCATCCGCGTTCCACAATCCGTTCAACGTACCCTGGCACTCGACTGAGGTGCGGGGTGGGAGAAATGTTTCGAAGCGCCGGGGAAACGCCTGCGCCCGCGCTCCGTTTTTTCGCATGACGGCTCCCAAAAAAATCTTTCTCTTTACTATTTTTTGTTGCTTGGTGTCTCGATTGTGAAATCTGATGGTCGAGACGGGGAATGGGGTTGTTGAGTGAAGAGTTTTTGAACGAGGATGGATGGAACCTGCATCCTTTTTTTCTCCTTTATCCAATATCAATGACGGATTTATCTGGTTCCCTAATGCTTTGCACGCGTACGAATTCGGGGGGGATCTCTTTACCTGTCGGAAATACTCCGAGCTTGGCATATTCGCCTGGATTCATGCCGGTTTCTTCGTAGCTGGTCGGGATTGAGAGAGCGTCTGAACGATACTTTCTCTCCGACCTTGAAATGGTCGTAGATTTGATGTGGTGTTTTCTCATGAATCGAGGAGCCTTGTCTTTATTGGCCATTTGTCATGCAACGATCAACCTTATCTGGATTCAGGTACCATCTAAGTCTAGCCTCGGCCGCCCTGGCCATTACGATTAAAGGTTATTACGGTCCCGAGGCCCTTCACCCCTAGGCCCTCCCATATCTACAATTTTTGGTTCGAGTCTTGTAGAATCAGCTGTTCTTAGTGCTTTCCTCGCTATGTGCATTAACAATAAAACACCTGTCAATCTCTAATTCAATCTTTAGGGGCAATGCCCTGTCTCTATTTGGAGTTATTATTCTCCGTGCCAATAGAACGAATGCTATAGAACAGCAGGTAAGCATTCTGTCGCAGGACATCCGCGACACTAGCAACTGTGACTTTGTTGTCATCCATCAGAGCCCACTACAACACAGTCAGCATGGTACTTAAAGCGATTGGGAGAATGATTATGAATGCATACCTTGTCAGCCCCCAAGCGGGTATAGGCATAGTAATGGCCAGTATCCATCGTTCCTTGGTGAACGATGACAGTGGAGAGGTCGTAAATGTACTTCGAGGTGTCTACGCGCTCTTTGTCTTTTTTGACGGTATATGGGAGCATGTTGAGGGTTATAGGGAAGTCGATATGTCCTTCCATCTTCTCGGAAGAGGACGAGGTATGCTCGTAGCGCTGGCCAGCATATTAGTACAATTCAAAATGGCAAATATGAGCGAAGGTATCTGGCCCACAAACCTTTAGTTGCATGCAAAGTATTACAGGCAGTTTGCGAATCTGGAGTCGCTTGGATGCGCGCTGGGGCGTATTTCCGCATTTTTCACAATGGTATGCGGCATCTGCGTGGAGGTCCTCGACAGCCGTATAGCTGTCAAGACAGCCAGTCAAGGTTGCAGTGGAGGAGGAGGAGGCAGTTGATCGGCCCAGCTTACGCTTCTTGTTTTGAAGTTGCACGTCGAGACTCAGGTCGGCCATTGGGTCGTAGGTGTGTGTGGTTTTGCCGCATTTGTGGCACATGACGCTGCTGCGAAGTTCACCATAAAAGGTCTGGTGGAAGAAGCACTCGCACTTGGTTCCATAGCTCTCTGAGTGCCCTGGAGTACAAGAGTGAAGAGAATTGACCAGAAACTGAAAGTATTCGTGGGCATCCTGTTGTCGGTAGCCTGCCATTTCCTGTATGACAAGTTAGGCGCATGCAGTAGGTGGTAAACGGGAATCTACACATACCCTTGACGCGTCCCATCCATGATAGAGGAGAGTTGCAGCTGAGACGGCGTCGGTTTTTTCACCGCTGTTGAAATCCATAAACACCTCGGCGGCGGCACAAGCCATACAGAAGCTCCTTTTGCAAGTATGTACGTCATGACCACCCGCTAGGAAGTAGGCGTTCAAGGTTGGATCATGAAGTAGGGCCTGGAGAATGACTGATTGGTAGCATGTTTGCCCCATGTTCCACACGCCCCGAGCACCACGGCGGGAGCATGGGTTTTTAATCGCATTATTCTTGACGTATTGCTCTGATGCAGAATCGTCCCCCCCACTTGCCTTTTTCATCTAGATTATGTTAGGATTTGCAGATAGGTCATTGAAAAGCCTTCAAACAAGGCACAATTTTACTCACCTGCGGTTTCAGGCTTGATAACAGGGCCACAAAGCTTTTCCAGGCCATGGTCGTAGACGAAATCCACGCAAGTCTCGCAGAATATGAAGCGATTGCGAGATTCCATGTCTAGATTAATTAGCACAAGCACTAACTAGCCAATACCTGCCACGATGGGGATCGTACAAAATACATGTCCGGTCTTTTTGGTGTGTGCTTTCCGCTCGGAGTTCAAACATGTCTCCGAGCAAGACAAACAGTGGTACTTCGGCTTCAAGGTCGCCACGGTCCGGAGACCTGAAGCTTGAACTGCCACTGCCTCTGGTTTTGTGTACGGGGCCAGGGAGTCATAGCGTTTGCGGAAACCGCTTTTGAACTGGCCAGCAGTCTGTTGGTCCCGGAGGACAGCCGCGAGGTGTTCTAATAAGATCAGCAGGATGAACTGACGACTCGGCCATCCGGGGAGTACTCGGAACAGCTGAGCAGAGCTGGTACATACCACAGCCATAGGCCGCCTCAGAAAGAATCTGGAAAGAGTCAAGGTTTGCTGCTGCCATGATGAGATCCGTGATTGGATGCACGTCGAGAAGAAAAAAGGGATAGCGAGTGCCCAAGGAGCTTGAGAATCAACCAAGTCGGATATAAATCATATAATGCAGATAATACACGCCGATATAGTAAGGGCCCAGACCTCTATGCAAGGAAAGAAGACGGATGGATTACGCGGGTAGACGGTGAACCCCAGGATCCAATATGATATGGCCCGCGCGCGCAACTCGGCAGATGGTGACCGCGGGGAGCAACGGGATAAAAAAAAGCAGATGAGCCTCACGGACTTGCCCCAGGAAAAGCCAGCATTGCACTAGGGATGAGGAGTCAATAACCGAGCGCGGGGAAGGGGAGATCACATAGATCGGAGATCGGAATATAGGGGAGCGCCCACCGGTGGGAAAGGTGGAGGAGGGTCTAAGAATGTCCAAGAATGACCAAGACAAAGGAGCTATATGGCTCTCTCGCAAGGGTTGCCGCAGCCTTCCACAACACTTTTCACCATAACCGAATACAGAACGAACCGAGATAGGACCAATGGCGCTATGTGATGTTGCGTACTAGCCCTGGAGTACCTTTGATCGGGATGGGCGACTGTTCGGAGGCGGAGAGGTTGGCCCTTTTTTTTCGCCCGATTTACCGCCGGCAGACCGGAGTTGCCACCGACTACTAGTATGGGGATTAAGTACTAGAATTGCTCTAGAATTTAGTATATACATCCCTGGATTTATTACGTCTTAGTATTATTGCTGGTTATTTCTTTTAATTTATTATATTTCTCGTCATGCGTTCAAGTTGCTGTATATTCATGACGTTCATCGCAATATGCCTTGCCCGAGCGCATGCGGCTCCGGCCTCCGAGTCCAGCTCGTACATTTTACTCCGGCAGGACTATGTACTAGTAGTATCTCGCTTCGGGTTCACAGTTTGCAACTGACCAAAGGTACTCGATTGCAACCAGTCCGATACCCTTCAACATCCCTATCATCTCAATATGAACCCGTTCCTGTACCCGTGCCTCGTGTGCCTCGTCCCCGCGGCAGCGCACTACCCTGACCACGAGTAGTAGTAGATGACCCTCGTGTTGCATATCGGCCTGTCGTAGAGCCGCGCGTTGTGCCACGAGCTGCACCCCGGGTGGTGCCTCGCGTTGTGCCTCGTGTTGTGCCTCGCGTGGAGTATTTCGATGTCGGCTTGGAGATGGTGCTAGGTGGGTGGTCGACAAAGGACGTGTCCGTCGTTCTGATAATCGGCTTGTTAATGGGGATCTCTAACCAGTGGCTAATATCGTCACTCACAAGAAAGTCATCTCGCCGTCATCGGCTGGTCGCGCAGCTTCGGATTCCTCTGCTTCTGCGCTTGGAATTAGCGAACAGTCCTCGGAGATTCGATCACCATACAACAACACCCTCATACCTTTTTGTGCCTCCGCCTGTTTAGCTCGCTTGAATGAATCGGAGATCGGGGCCTAGAAAGTTTTTCCCGTCAGCAGTTTATCGGGAGGTCAAGGGTTGCGTGCTCGTTCATCGGGTCTCTGGCCGTACCTCGGGGAAATCCACGCAGAACGCATTCATATTCAATCCGTATAGGAAGCTAGCGAAGCTTTCACTGAACCGAGTCAGACTCTCGTGCATCAGCTGCAGATGCATGAAATTGGCCTCTAGATCAGCCATGGAGTCGGCGAGCTCCGCAAACTGAGGTTCCAAGGCATTGATGGCAGGCTGGTTATATCCCGAGGCGCTGATGCTATGACCATATCCGTGAGCTTCTCGTAGTGACGAGCGCGAGCTAGGACGTAGAGGTGTCGTAGGGCGCGAGGAAGGCCGTGGTCGCGAGGACGATGGTACAGATGCGTCCATTGTTTATGTTGTGGGTGAGGGTCACGATGGAGTGTTGTGTTTGCGAGGAATTTTGAGGCTGTCGAAGGCGGTAGAGTGGAGGGGATTTTGACAGAGGGTATCAGATCAACTGGGCAGCAATTGGGCCAACGAGGAAGAAGGCAATAGGAGTGGATTTTTAGGGGCGATACGGTTCGAGTTGGGTGCAAAGTGGATGAAGATCTTCCCCCGCCGCGTCGCGAAAAAAGGAGCCACTGCGGGATGGGATGACTTCACCAAACGGTCAAAGAGGGAAGGTTTATTTTTAAATACGGTAATATACTGCTAGATCTAGAACAAGCAAAGTCTATATGCCTTCTTTGTTCCATTCTTTGAGTTCTCAATTATATCAGTCCCCACATCAATAAGATCAAGATCCCCAACTTGTATCTGTCCCATAGAGATGTCCGTTGATAGGCGAATCCACTTGCAACGCTCCTCCGTCATCGCATAGCCCTGCTTGTCTCAGTCGTCTTTTCCACCTCCAGACTTCAGATTGGGTGTCAGACTCCCCTCTTATTTTTCCCAGCAAGCCTTCCCCTGACTTGTTATATCTTATCGGTCCCCGCCACATGCGCGCCAGCTTGATCCTGCGCCGGCGCATCCAACCCTCGGCCAAATCCCTCGCCTCCCTCGGACGCGCACAGATCGTTCGCTCATACGGCCATCTTCCCCGATCCCATCTCATTCCCTCCTACCCCGCGCAGCACGAACAGAGAACGGCCTCGTCCTTCTGGATCTCAATCTCCCTACTTGCTGTTGGTGGAGGTGCTTGGGCCCATAATTACTTCACGTCTAACGACTCACCATCATCCGCACATACCCGGTCCCCGCCGCAAGAACCCTTCCTCGGTGTCATCGATACCCTCAAAGCCATGCCTATCGAGCCAGCTCCAGGCACCGTCGGGACCCTGACCCCAGAACAGGAGGCCAAACTACAAGAATTCTGGGTCCTGACGTTGAAGGTCTTCGGTGTCGACATCCAGGCCCTTGAAGCCGAGGCCAAGGACAAGGAGAGCGCCGACGCCGCTTCAGCCAGTGCTTCGAAGAAAGACAAGTCCTCAAAACGCCGATGGGGGCTCTGGAGTCGTAGCAACGACGACGGCGACGACGATTCCAAAAGCGTCTCCTCCGCGAGCGGAATCACCGCCAGCCTTGCCTCGATCAACGTCTCCGACACCAGCGATGACAAGTACGGCCAATCCAAGGAATTCCAGCAGGCCCTGGTCGACATGTCCCCCGAGGAGATCCGTTCAGCGTTCTGGAACATGGTCAAGCAGGATCACCCGGACGGACTCCTACTCCGGTTCCTGCGCGCGCGCAAGTGGGACGTCAAGAAGGCATTGGTCATGATGATTTCCACTATGCGCTGGCGCTTACAGGATGTCCACGTGGACGACGACATCATGGCCAATGGCGAAGCAACGGCTGTGAAGATGTCGCAGAGCTCGGACACGGCGGAGAAGAAGAAGGGCGAGGACTTCTTGTTTCAAATGCGCAAGGGTAAGAGCTTCTTGCACGGTGTGGATAAATTTGGACGTCCCATTTGCGTCGTGCGTGTGCGTCTGCACCATGCTTCGGATCAAGAGGTTGAGGCTTTGGAGCGCTTTACCGTGTATACCATTGAGACTGCCCGTCTGCTGTTAGCGCCTCCGGTTGAAACTGCTGTAAGTCATATCACAATCCTCATGGGAAACATAGCTGACGCAACTTAGACCATTATTTTTGATATGACCGACTTCGGAATGGCCAATATGGTGAGCATATTCCTTTGCCGACTGACGGACACCGTGGTCGCTAACACTCCTCTAGGACTATACCCCTGTGAAATTCATGATCAAGTGCTTTGAAGCCAACTACCCCGAATCCCTGGGGGCTGTTCTCATTCACAAGGCTCCTTGGGTTTTCTCCAGTATTTGGAGCATCATCAAGGGCTGGCTCGACCCCGTCGTGGCTGCCAAGATCAACTTTACCAAGAACCGCGAAGACCTAGAAGCCTTCATCCCGCCCAACCAAATTATGAAAGAGCTAGAGGGCGGCGAAGACTGGGAATACAAATATGTCGAACCCGTGGCGGGCGAAAACAGCAAGATGGAAGATACGGAGACTCGCGATAAGCTGATCTCCGAGCGTCAGGAACTCGCCAAGGACATTCAAAAGTCTACGATTGAATGGATCCAGGCTAGCTTCAAGCATGAGAAGGAGGCTGCTACTGCCGCTAAAGAAAAGCGTGATGGCCAGATTGAGCATCTTCGCAAACAGTACTGGGAGCTCGACCCTTATATTCGAACTCGCTCGCTATACGACAGACTTAACATTGTTCAAGGGCACGGCAAGATCGAGTTCTATCCCAATGCGGAGAAGAAGGTCGAGCCCAAGGAAGAAACTCCTGCCAGTGAGGCAACCGCATAGTGAAATATGTCAGCCGGTTGATTTCGGCAATGTTTGGGTTTCGGTGGGCATGTGCTAGACTTTGTCTGACTTAAGAATTGTGCACATTGGATGGATTTGTAGTATATACCTGTACGGGTTCGGGTTCTATGTGAGATATAGATCATATACAAGGCATCGTGGAGGATGATAGAATTAACAGAGCCAATTGAATGGATTTTGATGGGCCAATTGTGTCAATGGTGTCTGCTTTGAATATAGTAGCTTTTGCCTAGGCTCCCCTTGTATCTCTTAGGCCAAATGAATGGCAACCTATTGGTCGAATTTCCTTTTACATCTTAGCCTTGATGTCCTCATACAGGGCCTTCAACTTGTCCATGTCTGTGGCCTGAGTGGGCCAGCCAATGCTCATGCCTTCTTCCTCGTTGGGCTTGGGGATCTGTTACATGTCAGTAGATATCTTCTGGTATGGGATGCCAGGATAGATTAAAGAGAGTTATCGGATATAATCATCCATGCAATTCAAAGTGACGTACCATGTGGAAGTGAACCTGATCGAGGATTGTTAGCATAATGATCGCTCAGTGTCGGTAGACGTTCTACTTACGTGGTCAACGACCTGGTGGGCAATGCGGCCGTTGTTCTGCAGGATGTTGAAATCGGTGGCACCACTAGCCTTGGCAATCTTCTTTGCGACGGGCTATGATAAAGGCCATAAAGTTAGCTAGATCGTCTCACAGTGCTAGTATCTCGGCACAGCAGGTCATGCAGGTCATGCAGGTAGGGACCTTGGAGGTTGGCGACCCAGGTCAAGTCGCTGACGCCCAGAGTTTCAATCTACATCAACTACCCTCCTGTGACACATTCACTGCACTCCCATCCCGTCTATAACGAATTGATTGGATCATTGGCCACTCACCAGAATCTCAAGTAGGTCCTCGTCGGGAATATCGGTCAGCTTCGCGCCGTGGAACTTGGGGATAACGAGCTGTTCATGACATGGTCAGCCTTTCCTTTCTACTAAAATATTCATTGCTTCTATATCATGAGGAGGAGATGAAATGGATGTAGAAAGGTCGTGACATGACAGGAGGACGGTGCAAAGATGCGCAGCATAGAATTGAGATACGCGCCCGTGCGGGGAAGGATACACAAATGACAGACGTACAGCATGGCCACGGCTAAGGGGCTGAATATCGAGGAAGGCAAAGACCTTGTCACTCTCGAAGAGCTTGAAGGAAGGGATTTCACCTGTGGATGGTAGTATCAGCGATCATCTCGGTGACGGAATCGGTCGGGAGGAGGGGTTGAGGGGAAATGGGGGTGCAGCAAATACAGCTATAACATACCCTTGATGATCTTGCAAAAGATGCAGGCGGCGGAAGACATTGTAGAGGTGGGACGGGGAATTCCTTTTTGTTTGGGTGGAGGTGGAAATTAAGATCGAGGCAATTGAAGACAGGTAGGACGAGTTGGGGTAGCTGAGCAACTTCACTGAAGTCATATGCGGGGGGGGAATTTCCCGGAAAAGAAAAACATGAAAGGTGCGGTTGGCGGGAATTGAACGGGCGAGGCCGGGAGTGTGTAGTCAAAGCAGGAAGGAAATGGGTTATATAACACAATAAGGAATCACCCCCGAGGAGTGGGACAAGCTAGTACAGAACCCATTTCTTGCCTTTTACCAGAGATGGCCGTGGTTTGCCCACAATACTCCTCTTCTCAATCTTTGGATATCCACGCTACGACACAGCCGTCGTTTGTATTTTGTTTATTTTTGTCAATTTGAATTTCTCTTATTCAATTGGATTCATATCTCTTTTTTTTAATCAATTTTCCTTCACTCAGTATGATTTTCTGGCTGTCTTGGTTTTGGAGGTCGTGTGCGTACCTTCCGCTGGGGCGTGTACATATGCAGCATAACCCGGGACACGGAGTAAACATATCTCGATCCTACCACTACATTCTGGTTTGTGAATGTCTAGAATCAAGTCATCATCTTCTATTGAATCCTGGGATAAAATTTCCTTTCCAAAGGTTACTAATTTAGTTCGTATACCTCAATGACATATCAGCGTATTTCTTGATGCTGTGTCAAGCAGATTTTCACCGGGCATGGATTACTAGGTATAGTCGATATACTACAAATCCAAGTAATGGAAGCAGTACATTGCAGCTCTCTTTTAGATATACCAATATGACTTATTGAAAAATATTATAGGATCCCAAGCGGGACTTTCCATGTTGACCTTCTACGTCCCGATACCAAGTGATGTAGATAGAGATGACGCTGTTGGGTGCACAGCCAATCACAATCTGCACATTGTCAGACTCTTCGAGGCTGTCGAAAGGGTAGTGCTTCAGTACCATGCCACGCTATTGTATCTACTTGCTACAAATAGTACTGGGACTAGTAATTAAACACTTTAAGTAATTGAATCTATTAATATTCCATTAATCCATCAAGGTAGCTTCTCCATCTTCTCCGTACCAGTGTGGGCTCCCAATGCGGCTAGCGTGATGGTCCCGTGCATCTTCCCGACTTCCTCACGAAACCTCGCTGCCCTCCCCTCACTACTCTCCCCTCACTAATTACGCTGGTCTTGCGATATATCCCGGGTCAGAGACCATGCAGAAGTCTCGGACCATTCAGTCGACCCTCGGGTCACGGGCTTTTGCCCCCATCCCACGCGTGCAGGTTCAGTTCCAGCGCCGCAACATCCAGGACGTTGCCATTTCCCGCACCGGTCGACCTATCCTGAAGGTCCAGGGTGGCCGGTAAGTACTCAATGGCGCTTCTCCTCTGGCGAGAAAATGATTGTTTGCTAATGAGTCGCTCTCTACAGTTCTTCCCTTCGGAGGTACCTAACCCTTGCGCTTCGATCCGACCCTACCTTTCGTCCACAATACTCATTCAATTCCAGGTCACACTGCGACTGTCTTCGGTGCCACTGGCATGCTCGGTCGCTACATCGTCAACCGCCTTGGTACGTCCAGAAACGACAAAATTCGGGGTTCAATGGATCATCAGCTAACATCCCGCAGCTTCCCAGGGATGCAACGTCGTGGTTCCTTACCGAGAGGAGATGGCCAAGCGTCACTTGAAGGTTACTGGTGATCTCGGACGTGTTACCTTCCTTGTATGCGATTTCGCCCGCCAACATTTATACCAAGAAATTGGACCCGTTCTAATTGCATATAGGAATACGACCTGCGCAACACCCAGTCCATCGAGGAGAGTGTCCGTCACTCCGACGTTGTCTACAACCTTGTCGGTCGCCAACACCCCACAAAGTGAGTGCCAATGCGAACCTTGTCGGATGGTGGCAATATATTGACAGAGGATCAGGAACTTCTCCTACACCGACGTTCATGTTGACGGCGCGGAGCGCATCGCTGAGGCTGTCGCCAAATACGATGTTGATCGCTTCATCCACGTTTCTTCCTTCAACGCCCGCCGCGACTCGCCCTCTGAGTACTGGGCCTCCAAGGTTGGTCAATTTGTCTTGTATCCATTGCGCGGTCACTTACAATTTTCTAGGCCTGGGGTGAGGAAGTTGTCCGCAACATCTACCCTGAGACGACCATTGTTCGCCCCGCCCCGATGTTCGGATTCGAGGACAACCTTCTTCACAAGCTCGCTCGCTTCACCCACGTCTTCACTTCCAACAGCATGCAGGAGCGCTTCTGGCCCGTCCACGTAAGTTGTCAAATATGGCTTCTATATGAATGATATTAACCCACCTATTCCAGGCCCCCCCAGGTTGGACACGCCCTTGAGCTGATGCTGCACGACGAGAGCACCGTTGGCCAGACCTTCGAGCTTTACGGCCCCACCAACTACTCCATGGCCGAACTTTCCGAGCTTGTTGAGCGGGAAATTGTCAAGGACCGTACCCCCCCTCAACATCCCCAAGTTCATCGCCAAGCCCGCCGCCCACTACCTGAACAAGGCTCTCTGGTTCCCCACCGTGTCCGCCGATGAGATTGAGCGCGAGTTCCACGACCAGGTCATTGACCCCACGGCCAAGACCTTCAAGGATCTGGGTATTGAAAAGACTCCCGAGGTCACCGATATGATTTTCGAGTACCTGGTAAGTGCCTCCTCGACTTTAGAGCTCGACGGTATTCGTGGAAACTAACAGCCCCATAGAAAGGTTACCGTAAGTCCGCCTACTACGATCTGCCTCCCATGACCGAGAAGGAGCTCCAGGAAGAGAAGAAGTATGTCCACGTGCTGGACAACCAGTAGTTTGTTTCACTATGTACATAAGCCATTCCTAGAAAGTCAATTTCCTTGTGTTTCTTTTTACCCAAATTGAACTGTTCTTGTAATATAAGTAATATCCATCACTCTTGGTTCCATAGTCATTCGGCATAACTTCGAAGCCTGAATGGAGCTCAGCTCCGCCCCGCAATCCCGCGGGACATTTCCACAGCCATTCGAACCCTCCCACTTCAACCTCATTACACATCACAATGCCACCCCCAATCCTCCTCCTGAAGACTAGATCTTCTCCAAACGACGGATATGACGATTACTTCTCTGCAAACAATTACGCCCCAACCTTCGTACCCGTCCTCGAGCACCGATTCCACACCTCCAACCTCGCCGCTGTCCGCGAACTCTTCGCATCCGGCGCATTCAACCCCGAGCCAGAAAATGCCAAACCCACCCAATTAAACACCGCCGAAAACGCAGCGATCCCTTCAAAGCGTTATGGAGGCATGATATTCACCAGCCAGCGCGCAGTCGAGGGATTCGCGCATATGATCGAAGAACACGGCCGTACGTTCCACCACGAAGAATAATAGCTCTCAGCCACGAAATGAAAGCTAACCGCCTCTCTCTCTATTCATAATAGTCCCATCTACCCCCCTCAATCCCCCTCTACACCGTCGGTCCCGCAACAGCCCGAACCCTCACCACCCTGCGCGACAAGTATCTCCCCACCAGCACGATCCACGGCGCCGATACTGGAACAGGCGAGAATCTGGCGTACATGATGCTGGACCACTATAATGATATACAAAAGACGGTACCGAAACCGGGCCTACTCTTCCTAGTCGGCGAACAGCGTCGAGATATCATTCCAAAGACCCTAATGGATCCCACGCTCCCGGATTCGAAGCGCATTGACGTCCATGAAATCGTCGTCTACGAGACTGGTGAAATGGATTCCTTTGAGACAGACTTTAAGACACATGTGCAAGGGTATAATGGCGAAGAAGGGATTTGGGTTGTGGTATTTTCGCCGTCCGGGTGCGAGGCTATGTTAAGGGTACTGCAACTTGGTCCGTTTGCTGCTGCTGCGACGGCTGGGTCGAAGAGGAATTTCTTTGTTGCGACTATCGGGCCTACGACGCGGGATTATTTGAGGAGGGAGTTTAGCTTTGAGCCGGATGTTTGTGCCGAGAAGCCTAGTCCTGAGGGTGTTGCGGAGGGGATTCGGAGGTTTGTGGCGGGGTTGAATAAGTGATGATATGCATACTAAGTAATAGTACTCACCGGCGGTTGTGCCCCCTTCTGCTTCAAGTTTGCAGTGCCTAGGTAGTACTTACTAGTTAGTCACTGCTACTATCATGATATCTTTATGTACCCTATATAGAATGAATCCGAGCGAATACTACGTCGTATCTAGTGAATATTGCTGATCGCTCATGAATTGCTATCCGGGCCTATCTAACTATGGCAATCGCCGACTGAATTTGATTTGATTGGATTGCATGCTTGAAAATGACTCCCATATTGACCCTTGCTTTGTTTACCGCATGATTTCCTCGTAGATAAGCACTAGAAGAAACTCGTTAGTCAGGAGATGATTCTTGAAGGTGAGCGCGCCATAGCATACTTTTCAATTGCTCCTTGCTCAGAGCATCCTTGTTCTTGTCGAAATCGAAGAATCCCTCCGGAATGGGCGGTGCCGTCGGCTCATCCTCAGGGTCGTGGTACGGCTCCAGATATGGGTGGCGCAGGGCGTCCTCGACGGTGATACGCTTGGCAGGGTTGAAGGCCAGCAGCTTCTCAAGCAGATCCAAGGCTAGGTCGTTGCTCTTGGGGAAGAGGGCCCGGAAGGGAATCTTCTTCTTAAAGGGGAGGGAGCGGATGTACTCGCGTGCTCTTCGGGACTTGATGCCGTAGTAATCTTCCATCGTGGGGGTACCGAGGACGTCCAGAATCAGGGTCAGCTGGTGGTGATCTAAATCATGTGTTAGCTAGAATATAAGTGCCTTGGGTTGGTATGCTTCCGTACAGTCCTTTCCGGGGAACAGAGGCTTGCCACTCAGCATCTCGGCCAGGATACAGCCAACACTCCATACATCGATGGCCTTGGTGTACTCCTTGAACGTCAACATAATCTCCGGGGCACGGTACCAACGAGTGGCAACGTATTCCGTCATGAACCCGGAGTTGTCGTCGGTGGACGCGGCGGATCGCGCCAGACCGAAGTCGCAGACTTTCAGATCGCAATTGGCGTTGAGCAGGAGGTTGGATGGCTTCAGATCACGGTGAAGAACGTTGGCTGAGTGCATGGCCTTGAGCGCCCGCAGGGTTTGGTAAATAAAGTATTGGCAGTGGTCGTCCGATAGATCTTGTGTGCGAATGACTCGGTGCATATCAGTCTCCATGAGTTCCTGAGGCCAGGTTAATAAAATCCCTATCAAATCACTCCATGGCTACTCTGCCATTGTACATGCGCACCTGAATCAGATACACTTCATTGAAGCCCTCGTAATTGCGGGGTCGTTGGATATCCAAAATGGAGATAATGTTTTCGTGGTTGAAATAGCGCAGCAGCTTCATCTCACGGAGTGTGCGTAGACAAAACATGGAGTGGTCGAACGGGGTAATCTTCTTGATGGCGACCTTCTGGCCGGACGGCTTGTGGATGGCGGAGCTGAGATGATATGAGCTTAGCTTGGGGGAAGTTTCCTCAACCGGAGAAGATGGCCGAATACTTACCAGACCACACCGTAGGCACCCTCGCCAATGACATCCTGAATTTCATACTGGTCGGACACGTTGAAGGAGATCTTTCGCGATCCTCCCGCCGGGGGGTTTTGCTGACCCATGAATACGACTCTGAGACGCTGTTTGCTATGGTTAGCTTTGGCCACCAATATCGCTAGCCAAGAAAGAATGCGCAAGAAACGGGTGGCCTTGAGTCGATCCATCTGGCGTCATGAAGGATACTGCAGTGCGCTACAGCGATCCTCGAGATGGGCCTGATGGGTCGACCTGGAGCCATTTATCCGAAGAGGCGAGCTTCCGAACGAAAGTCTTTCAGAGACAGCTCCAGCGCCACCAGATGGAATTCAAACGGCGCGGGTTTCCGTCATGAGGGAGGCCTGGAGCAGAGCTTACCTTTTGTTTGCGCGGGTGTGAATGAGTGTAGTTTTAATCCTTGGGCAGTCGCAGACTGTGAAGTTGGATGAAATCGGGCGCCAGGCTCGAAAGTCGTAAAAGAATCGAGCGATGCGAGTCAGGGGTAGGAGTCTGAAAGAGAGGAGAGACCGAGCTCCTCAATATCGGATAGGAGGGGAACGGCGGAGATGGAGGGGTTTCGGGAAGTCTGGGCGGGTTAGTTTAAACAGGTCAACAGAGCCGAGGCGGGAAGCGGGATGATAAACTCACGAGAGACTTGAGTCAAAGGATGAAGGAGAGAGGTGGAAGGTGTCAAGGGAAAGATGAATGCAAGAATCCCGAAGTTCAAGTTCCAGATTCAGGATGAGGTTCACGGCTGGCGAGAAGGTGGGGAGAAGACCAAATGGGACTCAGCCACCGCAGGATGGTGGGGCAGCAAGCTATTTGGTTGCGATCAGGGGCAGGGAGAGTCGGTGGAGCGTGTCGTAAAGATTGACGATCGGGAAGTAGGGTCAGGCCAGTAGGGTCAAGCCAGTGAGTTGTGGTTTCAGGTTGGGAAGTTTGAAGTTTGAAGTTTGGAGTTTGGGAGTTTGGGAGGAGTCTGGGGGGAAGTTGGTTGTTTACAAGGTTGGATCCACTGGGTGAGCCGTGGTATTGTAGTATACATACAGTATACTATGTACAGCATGCAGCAACTACAGTAGTTAATAGACATACAGTACTTACATACTCCTAGGGTACTGTAGTACTGTACGATCGACAGAAGCCACCAGCGCCAAAGGCTCGAAACACGACGCTACTGTCGGAGCTGGTCACTATCACAGTGACTCGCCGGCTCCACTGAGCGCTCCGTCGTAAACTTCTGATTGGCACCCACTGACCATCCGGTTTCACCACTCATCACTGGCGCGCTATTGGCATGCTATCTTTGGGCTATTGGCTTGCTGTCTCTGCCCTGTGGTTTTAGGGCCCATCCTACTGGGTCAACCCATGTCAAATCATGTCAATTCATATACAAAATAAAATAAAAAATATCATTTTCGGGAACAAGCTATTCGTAAATGTTATACTCCCCTCTCCTCTACCACCTTCACATTCCAAATAATATGCTCCCTTCCCTCGAGGTCCAAGCTCTATTTGGTACAAGGGAGATCGAGATCAAGCGAAATACACCCCACAAACATGACCATGATAGGATGAGATCGTTTAGAATCACTGCACGACCTGTACGGTGTCAGATACAGACTCACTTCAACTCCAGGAAAGAGATCGAGAATGAAAACAGCTCATACCTTCTCCCGCAGTGTCGTCATCCACTGCTCTAAGCTGACACTTTGGTCGGCGCGGTCCTCCACCAACATCGTCTGGGCCCAGAGACGCAGTCCCGGTTCACCATCCTCACGCACCACGTACAGGTGGGGGACGATTATGCTTCCGGCGCCCTTGGCCTTGTGGTCTCTCGACTTTTCAATCACGGCCCGGATCCGTTGATTGTATTCATTCTCCACCTCGGGCAGAGTGGATTTGCCCACCCGCAGTTGGCTCTTGTCCGGCACGCCAAAGACGTCCTCGATGAGTTGCGGGACTGCTTGATGACCAACCCACAAGAACTGAGTTTGTCCGTCGTCAATCAAGTAGAGACCATACGGAACCAGACGACCAGAGGATAGGTTGGTTGCCGGTGGCAAGACAATCTCGCCAGTTTGGGGGTCTGGGTAACCGGCGTTGTCAGGCATATCGTGCAGTGAGTAAAGCTTCGGGTGAATGTATTGGATGAGCAATGGGAGGGGTAGCGTAGACAGAAGGCACAAAGCGGCGGACCGCATATCCGTGGGGATTTGGGCGGACTTGCGAAGACCCAGCTTAAAAAACAATTAGCATCCGAGTGAAGCAGATCAAGGGGGGCGGAGATAGGAAGAGGATGAGGAAACCTACATTTTTAATCAAAGCCAGAAACAGGACAGGCAAGCCACGCAGGTTGGCAGGGAATTGGAGACCACCACCGCTGACGCTACCGCCAGCAAGCTCCTTGCGATAGGTTGTCAAGAGCTCGATCATCTTCGCTTGCAAGGCCTCACGAGCTGGCTCGAGACCGCTACTCAGAACACGCTCAACGGCCTTGTGGCTGAAGAACGTAGCGACGGCCTGCTGGTCAGCAGAAGCATATATGTCGGCGAGGTTGTTGGTGCTTGGCAGAGCGAGAGTAAGAACTCTGATCCTGCGCTCGCCATTGCAAGTAGTATGGAGGACGGCAGCTTGCAGACAGACCACAGGCTTGGTCACGGTCTCGTCGATGGCCACCTCGACGACGTATGCTTGGTCGCGAGGGAAAGCAGGGAAGGCGCATAGATCGGAACTACGGTTGAAGAAGTTTCCGTAGAAAGTGTTCATCCGCAGACCTGTCGTAGCACGCACACGGAGAACAGCCTCCAGACCGATTTCTGATGAAAGGTAGTCGGAAAACTGGCGCGCGAATTTCATTGCATCCTCCGGGCGAGTCGCTGACCACCCAGGCTCGAAGTAGGTTTGACCTCCTGTGTACCTTGGCAAACAACTGAGTGAGGCTACATCTTGGTATTGAGATGCGAAGAGGAACATGTCTACCGACACCTGGGCCTTGGAGCACTCCACGGCGAAGCTCTTGTAGAATGCGCTGGCGGTCTGCAAGAGGCTCGATTCCTTGCTTGTACCCAGAACCTTCTTATCCTCGCGCATAGTCAGAGCACCCGTTCCAAGGTTGGGTAGTGTCGCACTGAGGACGGTCATCTTTCCACCAACGGGAGAAATCAACTTATAACCAGCCTGGAGGGCCGATCCCATGGCGCAGCCACTGTTCTGGGTATCCTGGAACATATCTTGCAATTTGTCAAGGAAGATCTCAATGTTCTCCCGGCTTTCGCTCAAGGTCACCAGGAGGTCGTTGGGAGTAGGCAAGAAAGGCTCATCGAGGTCGCTAATCACAAGCATCCTGGGCTCAGAGCTTCCGGAGTTATCACGGGGAATGCTGAAGAAGTGCAGGCTGGAGTCCACCGCAATAAAGCCCAACCTAGTCCGTCTGTCCGCATTGGGAATGCGATCAAGGCTTTCCTTGATGGTACGGGCAGTGGTAGCCAAGAGACCGCTAGTAACGGATGCATAACTGACATCGATCAAGAAGGTGTAGACGAGGGGCTGCGGCGGGCGAACCATGTACTCCTGGGGAGCAATAAATTCCACCATGCTGTGGTTCAGGTCCGAGCGCAATGACCGATCAGCCGGCTTTTGCAGAGTCGAATCCCAATCGAATGCCTGGGGCACATCGTTGGTCAAATTGCACATGTTGCAACGCCAGCGGTGGCCGTGGTCGAGGAATGTAACGAAAGGGTTGATATAAGACCGACAACGGCGACATCGGGAAATAACTTGGTCGCTTATCACGGGAATAGGGTCCTCGGCGTCGTGCAAAGAAGCATAAGGCTGAATGACGAGAGCGAATGGAAGTTTTGATTTCTTCAATAGAGAGTTGGTGGTTGGGACCGCATTCAAGGTGGAGCGCATGTATTTAGTCGGGCAATTGGCTTCGGGGGAGGGGAAAACACTTGTCTGTTGGGAAGGACCATTAGTATTTTGTTTTCCTCTGTGCGACGCAGATCAAGGGTCATCAACGTACACCCGGGGGTAATAGAATAGGAGGAGGAGGGTAGTCCAGCTCGGCGACATTGAATGGCTGCGAAATGAGATCTGTCGGGTAGAGTGCGTTCAGTTGAACTGGGCGCTGAGCCGCAGCGGCGGGCTGTTGCTGCTGAGGAGGAAGGACATGGTGCGGCTCCGACATTCCCATTGCGCCGAATTGCTGGGTCATCCCCGAAATGCTACCAGAGGCCTGGTGGCCATATGCTGGTGCTGGCGGGGCCTGCTGCATCTGGCTGGGGTCAGCTCCTCCGTATGCGGGTGCTGGTTGCTGATATCCGACAGGCTGCGCCTGTTGAGGGTATGCGCCATAGGCACCGCCAGCGGTTGGCTGTCCCCCGAGAGCAGCATTGGCACCAGATCCGAACTCGAATGCCTCACCAGCGTACGCTCTCTTCTTCTTGCCAGCCTGAGCTGGGGGCGCTCCTTGCGGGGGAACGGGTGACTGTGCGGGATCCGGAGAGCCATAACCCGGCTGGGCGTACCCTTCCTGGGGAGGGTAGTCCCCTTGTGGAGCGGACATGGAGGTGTACTGTGGTCGAAGGTCACCGGAATGGAGTTCCTTGGGAGGGATAATATGGCGAGTGGTGAGAGTTGATAATGGAGATTGGGGAGGGGGGGGGTACAGGCGCGGGTTAACAGCTTCGCTAGAACCCCACAATCAGCATAAGCAATGGCCAGGGGAAAGTAGAAGCGGGCAGATGAAATCCGCGATGAGTAACAGATTCCAATGAAATCGCTTCTAGGAAAAAGTGAGAGTCGCGTACCTCAAGAACACCGTGACCACGAGGGGGAAGCACAGAGAGGCGGTGATGGAAGGTGGCCACAACCTCACACTAAGCCGATCAGCCAATCACGGGGCCGCATGTGAGAGTGAGCAACCTTAGCACCTAGGTGCCTAGGTAGTTTGTCTATAACTAAATATTAAATATTTGGGCTCACTTGATAATTAAATGAAAGGGTTATTGCATTTATTCGGAGTGAATCTTTCAAAACTCCAGGGTTATTTACTAGTACTACTACTACCTACCTAGATAGGTATACTACTAATATTCAGGTTCAAGTTGTGGTGGTAGGTAATTAATAATACTCCATGAACCCAGATTCAGAAATATATCAACACAACCCCGGGGTCACCTGGGCAGCCTTCAAGGAGCTCAATATATGCAAAATCTGGGAATGTGAGTAAGATACTAGTATGAAATTAAATACTAGCGAGGTATAATTTCAATTCCACGTGGAAATTGAACTGCTACTATTACTCTGCAACAAACGGTGTGACCGATTGAAGAATACCAACGGTTGTCGTGCCAACCCTCTCCGACTCGCCCGTGGCCCATCCACAAACGCTGCGAACTGCAGCAAACACCTCCACTCCACATCACGACCCCTCGACATTCACCCATAGGTACCTAGGTAGGTAGTTTCTTTTTGTTGGAGGACTGTTTGGGTTTCTCTGCTCTTTTTTTTTTTCTTTCTTCGCCTCGTGTCCTTGCATTTCGACGCCTTCTTTTCCTTCGCGATACCCAGTTTCAAGAAACGTGAATGTTCGAGCAGCCATCATGAGCGTCCGAGTCGTTGCGCGTGTCCGACCTCTTCTCAAGTCCGAGCGAGAACTCGATGTCATTGTTCGCACCGGTACATCTGCCATCACCACCGAGGCCAAACTCCGAGAGACCGAAAATGGCGACCAAAAGCTGGCCGCGTTGAGAGACCGGGATAACGTCGTGCGGATCCCCAACCCCAAGAACGAGGGCGAGGAATATACCTTCAACTTCAATGCCGTCTACGATTCCGACGTGGTGCAGCAGGAGCTTTTTGACGCGGAAGGTAGGCGCCTGATAGACCTTCGCTTGGAAACTCGCGATCAACATCGAGGGAAAGGATACTAATCGTTTGCCACAGTCGCGCCCACCATAAAACACCTCTTCAATGGATTCGATGTCACTCTCTTCGCATACGGGGTTACTGGAACTGGGAAAACACATACCATGCGCGGCGGTAAAAGCCTTGCGGACAGAGGTGTAATCCCGCGTCTCCTGAGCGGTATCTACAGACGCAGTCGGAAAATCGAAAAGGATACCAACGGCGAAACGACGGTTAAGGTGTTATTGAGCTACTACGAGATCTACAATGACAAGGTTTACGATCTGTTTGAACCGCCAGAGAAGCGCACACTGGCCGGCCTGCCACTACGGGATAACGGCGGCAAGACAGTGGTTTGCGGGCTGACCGAGAAGCCATGCACAAATCTGAAGGAGTTTGAAGGGCTTTACGACCAAGCGAACAACAACCGGTCAACCTCTGCCACCAAGGTTTGTTTTCTCCAAACCCAAGAACACAGGTGCAATGGCTAAATCCACGTTTTCATAGTTGAACGCCCACTCCTCTCGTTCGCATGCAATTCTTGGCGTAAAGATCGCCATCACCTCGTCCGACAAGACCATCGTCAGCAAAGCCTCTGCCATTGATCTAGCAGGCTCGGAAGATAATCGCCGGACGGAGAATGACAAGGAGCGTATGGTGGAGTCGGCCAGTATCAACAAGAGTCTCTTCGTTCTTGCACAGTGTGTCGAGGCAATCACCAAAAAGCAGCACCGTATTCCGTACCGCGAGTCAAAGATGACCCGAATTCTGTCCCTGGGTCAGAACAATGGCCTCACCGTGATGATACTCAACCTGGCTCCCGTGCGATCGTACCATTTGGACACAATCAGTTCCCTGAGTGTCGCCAACCGTACCAGGAAGATTGAAGTGCGCGAAATTGAGAATGATCCGATCTTCAAAGGACCTGCCAGGCCATCCATGCGACCTTCATTGGCAGCCTCTCGTCAGCCGTTGCGCCCTCTTACTGCAACCGTCAACGTGAACATGCCTGCCCCTGCCCCAAAGGATTCGGCCAAGAAGGATGAGGAAAAGCCGCTGAAGGCTTTCAGCGTGTTCTCTGACCGGCCAACACATAAACCCCTCACGCAGATCCGTAAACCTGAGCCATCCAAGAGATTGTCTTTCTACGCCGATGGGCCCACCATGCGCTCCATCAAGCCGCCGCGCCAGACGCTGGCCCCCATCTCCGAACCTAGCCTTGGTGATCTTTCTGCGGCTAAAATCGAGGAGATGGTCGAGAAGAAAGTTGAAGAGATGCTTGCGATCCGAGCTGTGAGCGAACAGTCGCGCCATAATCAGGCACAGGAACTGAACGACCAACTTCAACGCCGTCTGGCCCAGTTAGAACAGCGCATCGAAGGAACCGAGGATGCGCGCGCAGAGGGACTTTCTTATCTTCTCATGGCTAAGCAGCACCAGGCCCGTGGCGAGAACAGCTCCGCTCTCAAAATGTATCAACTCGCGTTACCTCATTTCCCTCATAACGAGAAGCTGGTCTCCAAGATTGCTGATCTGAAAGAGCGTATGCAAGGGAAGCCTTCAGCTCGGCCTTCCGTCACACCTGCATCCCCTCCTCCCAAGGGTAGATTCGGAAGCATGCTCTCCCTGAAGAAGGAGCCTACCCTCACTCTTGGAAAGCGCCAGGCAGAAGACGAGTCCTTCATGGACCACACTGTGGATGTCATCTCGGATGAGGAAAGTAGCTTCATGGATGGGCCTCGCCCCAAGAAGAGGCGTAACACAGAGTCTCTTCATCAGAATGATGTCGATCTCGATGCTCTTGACGATTTTGACCCCACTGTCTCGCCTAAGACGATCCACCTACTGTCGATTATCAACTCGCGCGAGGTGAGCCAGATTCAGTTGTTGAAGGGCGTCGGTATGAAGAAGGCTGAGGCTATCGTTGACTGTCTCTGCGAGATGGACCAGTCATCGGTGAGCACCGATGATATGGAAGTGGTTTCCGATCAGCCTCAGTTCCAACTGAGCAGCCTGGCGGAATTGAGCACATTGAAGGGGGTGGGTGTTCGTACCGTTGAGAGCATGCGCAGTGGGGTGTTGGTCTGATTGCTATTTACGTTTGCATGTTTCGGCTTTGGGCATTTAAACTCGGGTCTCTGGTGACTCTTTTTTTGATATATGCATCTTCCTTCAGCGACGGTGCTGGGGCGTTTTTACATAGCCATCTGCATGGCAGGCTTGGAGTTATCTAGGAGAATGAAATGAAATACAAGTTCCCAAATACTTTTCCAGTTCTGAAATTAAAATCTTCTGTAAAGGGCGTTTTTGCTATAACTGACGAAGTCCAATGTTCGCCTTTGTCAAGTAAGGCGTTTTCAATAGATCGGGCTTATTCTTTCCCATGATTCGACAATTTGACAACCTTGGAAGATACCCATCAAACTTTCTTGAGATTAACACCCCCAACAACGATTCTCGCAGCAATAAACAGCGTTGCACCGGCTATCATAACAACACCGCAGAAGATCTGCAGTTTCTCATATGAACCATGCAGCATGTCCGGGACCAAAGCCCCACCGATCGGGGAACCAGTCAGTGCGGCTATCGAAATAATCGAGAAGCAAGTTCCGTTGCGAATGCCAACTTCACGGAGGTCGGAGATTTGGGCAATTAGCGCGGGTGCAAGAGAGACGAACGCTCCAGAGCCGAAGCCATAGAGCGCGCTGAATACTATTATGGGGGCATTGCCGCGAGACGGAAGCCACAGGGCCAGCACGAGGATTCCGGAGAGGTAACTGAAGATTATCATTACGTTGTACCGGCCTACGCGATCTGCCAGGTATCCCGGAAGAGTACGGCCAAAAATGCTGGTGGTTGTTAGAGACTGATCATGCGAGTTGAATTTAAGGTTGGAGATGGGGAGGTTGTCTTACCTCGCCGCGTTCAGAATCGGAATGAGATATTGAGACATGTTTTGTGACATGCCATACCGTTCTCCGGAGGTAATCACAAACGTAAAGGGCAAGAACATGCCCCAGAAGAAGCAAAAAGCCGCAGCAACAGTCAAGACGAATTTGATGTCGTGGAGTGGGCGGATAAAGTTCATCAGGTCGAATCCTTTCTTCTGCGGCTTCAATCTTGATTGAATGGTGAAATTGGCAATCACCAACATGAAGAGGACTAGAAAAGCGCAGATACGCATTGCCCAGCCGAAACCGACTTGTGGGATCAATTTCGACACCATGATTGGAAATATCACGCCTCCCAAACTAGATCCCGAGGCCGTGACGCCGAGCGCGAAGGCCCGGCGCTTCGCGAACCAGCCGCTGACAGAGTTGATGGAGGCATTAAATATAGCACTAGCACCGATAGGGCTGCAGATACCTTGAGCGAGAATGAATTGATAGTATTCTGTTGAAAGGGAGGCCATCATGAGACCGAAAACATGGAGGAATGTCCCCGCGAGCAAGATCCATCGTGGTCCATAGTTGTCAAAAAGAGTGCCAAAGAGTGGACCAGCAAAGAACATGACAAAGGTCTCGAGAGATGGGATCCAGGCCACTGCGCTAGGAGATAGATGACTCAATTGGTTTCTTTCATAGTATGCTTGGAAAACACCGATACCTGTCGAAATGTAAGTGGGTCTTTCTTTTTCGTCCACATCCCGATGATTGTTTACACTGATAATGTACTTACAGTTGATCCACCCGAAGCTGACGAATAAACCACAAAAAGCCCCCAGTACTGTCATCCATGCCTGAAAACCTCCATCTGGCGGGGGTCCTGGAGGTGGAGGTCCTGGTGAGCCCGAGGCGTGATCGGCTTTCTCTGAGGATCTGGGGATGGTATCGGGAGATTCTGAGGAGACGAGCTCTGTTCCCCTCTTCTGGTCTGACTGGCGTGTCCCCTTCTCTAAGTCATCGTCAAGCTTCACGCTCATGGCGGGGGTGGAATGTTCCGAAGATATGGCATTGGTGGTCGCACTGGCGATGGAGGGGAGGTCCTGATCACGATTTGAGGCCATACCCACCGCCGTCTCTTGATCTCGGACACGGCTCTCAATCTGATTGAAATATTTTATATTGCTTGGCCTGAAATCACAAGACGGCAATGCCTGGGAACTTGTGCGACAAGCAGGTAGTGTGGTGGTGTTGGGTGGCGGAGGTATACTAAGCGGGCGTGAATGTTGAGATACCCCGGGGAAGGGAGATAGGTGTATCGAATTTCAGCAAAAGACGAAAATGGGAGGAGGAGGCGGGGTATGAGAACAAAAAACCGAGAATCAAATCAGAACCCAGGGATGTCTTCGAATACACAGAGTAGGAGAGATGGAGAAAGACTTTGGGAATGTTTCACGGCAACAGAAATCGACGGGAACTCTAAAGATTAATAGCCGGGAAAATAGCAAACTTTTAAGTCGAAAGTAGATACTTGAAGATACTAGGGGAAACGCTAGTCGTATAGTCAGGGTGAAGGTAGTTGGATGTACAAGATCATCGCGGGCTCTCGGCCTCGCGTCAAGCTAACGCCGAGAACGACCCTCGGTTTGGATCTAACTCGAAAAAGAAGGGGTTGGCGAATAGCAGCACGCAAAATTGGGCTAATGTCTGGGATTCGTACCTTGAAATATCATGGTCTCCGACGTTCAACCCGGACTGTTTGTATCAGACAGTAGATAATTGAACAGGGTTCCCCTGACCTTTCTAATGTTGCTGTGAACATGTGAAATCATGCACGATTTCCCGGGGTGAAAAGAAAAAAGGTGACTATCCAAACTTACATTTATCCAATTGGATAGCTCGAAGCTCATGATTTTTCCTTTTCTTTTTTTAATCTCAAAAAAGGGGATCTGATAACCTTGGAACCTTAACGCCCCACGGAACTGATTCTGATTAGATGTGTTTTGCTTTTTAGGTAGAGAGTTCGGAGACTCGAAGCGACGCTACATTGGGACTCGAATATTCCGATCTTCAATCGACTGTATCAATTGTGAGCACCTGGAAGACCCTGTAACTAAAGTGGGAAGCGTGGTATCCATTGCGAAAAATGTCGGGACGGGCCGCGATGCGAACCCCTGAACCCCCCTGACCGCGACGATCACGAAGATCCACCACCGCGACTGTTGAGACCGAAACGCACTACCAGACCACCAAGCAACTATGCGCAAGAGCAGGAGAAATGTACTGAGCAGAGAGAGACGCGCTCTCAGCAGAGCAAGAGAACCCAAGACAAACCAGTAGCCCAACATGACGCGGTAGCTTCGGACGACTCGACAGAGAGCGAGGACCTGAACACCGCCAAACTTGTGAAGGAGCTTGTCAAACTCAGGAGAGAGATCAGACAGCGAGATGATTTGCATAGAGAAGAGATCCAGAAAGTTCAAGAAGAATTTCAGAAAGAATTTCAGAAAGTCAAGGAAGAATTTGGTGCCGCACTCGCAGAAGTTCGACACGAGTTACGGATCCTGACTGACAGACCCCCGACACCGCAATCGCACTGCGAATCATGCTCACAGAACAGCCACGATGAGATCCTCCGCGAAATTCATTCCCTGCGCGATGCCATCAGCACTGCCGTTCCCACTGGCTCCCCGTCCTATGCGGATGCTGCCCGTACCCCGCCAACCAGTCAACCGAGCAACATACGAACTCTCTCATCGTCGAACACGACACCGACCACCCTCACTGACACGTTATATTGCACGATAGATACCTCGAAGATGGCAGACAATGAAAACGAGAGAATGTCCGCAGGCCGAGTCAGGGTGGCGGTTGAGACAGAGATCCGGGCGCTGGAAGGCCACATGCACTGGCGCTGTCGCGCTGTCACTGTGGACCCGAAAAACACTAACCGGATCAGGGTAGCTTGCCGAGACGAAGCTGAGCATCAGCTAGTCAAAAAGGCGGCGGAAGCAAAGATCGGCACAGGAGCCCGGGTGCTTCGTGACGAACTGTACCCGATCAAAGTTGACAGTGTCAACAAGGCCGCAGTCCTAGATGACAAAGATGAGATCCGAGCCGGTGTCGCGGCAGCCTTTAGCGAGGAGAACGAAGCTACCGTGGCCAAGATCGCATGGCTCAGCAGGAAAGAAAGTGCAAAGGCGTATGGGTCAATGGTTGTGTACCTAACCAAAGGCTCTGACGTACGGAGGCTCCTGGCCGAAGGGTTCTTCCACGCTGGGGGAGAATCTGGCGTGACCAGCGCCTTTGAATATCGACCACGTCCGATGCAATGCTACAACTGCCAGGAGATTGGCCATAAGGCCTTCCAGTGCAGGAACGTCCAGAGGTGTGTAAAATGCGCTATGGAGGGCCACCGCCATAGTAACTGCGCCCAAACGGTTCCAAAGTGCGTTCTATGCGGAGGCCCACATGAATCATATAGCAAAAATTGCCAGAAGCTCTATCCGTCACGTCATGAATAAAACACTCCGAATAATCCAACTGAATGTGAGGAAACAGGGAGCAGTGTATGATAGTTTAATGAACGACGAAGAAACTCAGGGGGCAGTGGCACTGGCGATTCAGGAACCCCAAGCGAGAAGAATTCAAGGCCGGCTGTTGACAACCCCGATGGGACATCACAAATGGACCAAGATGGTTCCCTCTACCTGGAGGGAGGGCCGATGGGCGATCCGAAGTATGCTTTGGATCAATAAGGAAGTGGAAGCGGAGCAAGTGCCGATCGAGTCGCCGGATCTGACGGCGGCGGTCATCCGCCTCCCCGAGCGACTGATTTTTATGGCATCGGTTTACGTAGAGGGAGGGGATGCCTTGGCGTTGGACGACGCATGCGATCACCTTAGAAAAGCAATCACAAAGGTACAGCGAGATTCAGGGACTGTGGTGGAGGTCATGGTTGTAGGGGACTTCAACCGCCATGATCAACTCTGGGGAGGAGACGACGTGTCTTTGACAAGACAAGGAGAGGCGGATCCAATCATCGACATCATGAACGAATTTTCTCTGAGTAGCCTACTCAAACGAGGCACGAAGACATGGCACGGCGGAGGGCAGACTGGGGACTGTGAGTCCACGATCGACCTCGTTCTGGCCTCGGAAAACTTGACGGACTCGATGGTCAAGTGTGCAATACACGTAACAGAGCATGGCTCGGACCACTGCGCCATTGAGACTGTTTTCGATGCGCCGTGGCCGACCCCACAGCATACGGAACGACTTCTGCTGAAGAACGCACCATGGAAGGAAATCAATACCAGGATCGCGACTACCCTAGCCAGCAATCCGTCGGAAGGGACGGTACAGCGAAAGACCGACCGACTCATGTCAGCGGTATTGGAAGCGGTGTATACTTTAACACCGAGGGCCAAACCGTCGCCACACGCAAAGCGATGGTGGACGGCAGACCTAACACAGCTCCGTCAGATATACACATATTGGAGAAACCACGCCCGCTCGGAGCGACGAGCAGGGCGAAAGGTACCACACCTGGAAAGTATGGCCGCGAGTGCGGCGAAACAATACCACGATGCTATTCGCAAACAAAAGAAGAAACACTGGAATGAGTTTCTGGCGGACAACAATAATATATGGAAAGCCGCGAAATACCTGAAGTCGGGAGACGACGCAGCATTCGGGAAGCTCCCGCAGCTCCTCAGGGCAGATGGAACCACTACCACTGACCACAAGGAGCAAGCAGAAGAACTACTGACCAAATTTTTCCCGCCCCTGCCAGACAGAATTGATGATGAAGGAGCCAGGCCGCAGAGAGCGCCGGTAGAGATGCCGGCCATCACCATGGAAGAGGTCGAACGGCAGTTGTTGGCCGCAAAATCTTGGAAAGCGCCGGGCGAGGACGGTCTACCGGTGATAGTGTGGAAGATGACGTGGCCTGCGGTCAAAAACCGGGTCCTAGAACTATTCCAGGCATCGCTGGACGAAGGCACGTTACCGAGGCAATGGAGACATGCGAAGATCATACCGCTAAAGAAACCGAACAAAGAGGACTATACTATTGCGAAGGCTTGGAGGCCGATCTCACTCCTGGCGACACTGGGGAAGGTACTGGAATCAATCATCGCAGAAAGGATCTCACACGCGGTGGAGACATATGGCCTGCTTCCGACTAGTCACTTTGGGGCCCGAAAGCAGCGATCCGCGGAGCAAGCACTTTTACTCTTACAAGAGCAAATCTACGCGGCGTGGCGTGGCCGACGGGTCCTAAGTTTGATCAGCTTCGACGTCAAGGGGGCCTACAATGGGGTTTGCAAAGAACGACTGCTCCAGAGGATGAAAGCGCGAGGGATACCGGAGGTCCTGCTCCGGTGGGTCGAAGTGTTCTGCTCGGAGCGAACGGCGACCATCCAGATCAATGGCCAAGCATCTGAGGCGCGAAGCCTCCCACAGGCTGGTCTGCCTCAGGGTTCTCCACTGTCCCCGATCCTCTTCCTCTTTTTCAACGCAGATCTCGTACAGCGACAGATCGATGGCCAAGGAGGAGCGATTGCCTTCGTGGATGACTTCACCGCGTGGGTGACTGGACCGACTGCGCAGAGCAACCGGAATGGTATTGAAGCGATCGTCAATGAAGCACTCGACTGGGAAAAGAGAAGTGGAGCGACCTTTGAAGCAGAGAAAACTGCCATTATACACTTCGCCTCCAAGGCCCGTAAGTCAGACTCGGAGCCATTCACCATTAAGGGGGAGACCGTTGAACCTAAAGACTATGTTAAGATTCTTGGCGTGATAATGGATACAAGACTCAAATACAAGGAACATATCGCGAGAGCGGCGTCCAAAGGCCTGGAAGCAGCGATGGAGCTGCGACGGCTTCGTGGCCTATCCCCAGCAACAGCGCGGCAATTATTTACGTCGACTGTGGCCCCGGTGGTGGACTATGCCTCCAATGTCTGGATGCACGCTTTCAAGAACAAGAATATTGGGCCGATCAACCGGATTCAACGAGTCGGAGCGCAAGCGATTGTTGGGACATTCCTCACAGTCGCGATCAGCGTAGCGGAAGCGGAGGCTCACATCGCCACAGTGCAACACCGGGTCTGGAAACGAGCTGTGAAGATGTGGACAGACATGCATACCCTACCAGCAACCAATCCGCTCCGCAGGAGTATAGCTCAGATCAAAAAATTCAGAAGATACCACCGTTCACCATTATATCATGTTGCAGACGCGCTGAAAAGAACCGAGATGGAATCACTGGAAACCATCAATCCATTCACCTTGGCACCATGGGAGGAGCGTGTGCAGAGCGATAGTCATGAAACCCCAGAGACACAGACCGAAGCAGGTGGAGTCATGCGGATCGCGGTCAGTAGTTCAGCACGGAACGATCTGGTTGGATTTGGAGTGGCGATCGAGAAGCGGCCACCTCGTTATCGAAAACCGAGGCTGAAGACCTTCTCTGTCACACTGGGCGCAAGAGCAGAGCAAAACCCATACTCCGGCGAATTGGCAGCAATGGCATACGCACTGGGCACGCTACAGGGACTGAAACGGTGCAGGGTCATGCTACTCACGAGCAACAAAGCGGCGACTCTCACGCTGAGGAATCCTCGACAACAGTCGGGCCAGGAACACATCTACCAAGCATACAAGCTGATCAAGAGACTACGGAAGTATGAGAACCACATCAACATCTGTTGGGTCCCGACCAGCGAAGATAATCATCTGCTAGGCCTAGCAAAAGAGCAGGCTCGGACCGCAACCCAAGAGGATTCTACCCCGCAGGCACAGGTCCCCCGGATGAAGTCGACAACACTGAACATCTCACGATCCCAAGCAGTCCCCAAAAATTGTCTACCAGAGAATATAGGGAAACACTCCAAGCGAGTGGATGCAGCACTTCCAGGGAAACACGCCCGACAGCTATATGATCGATTGTCTTGGAAAGAAGCAAGCGTGCTAGCCCAGCTCCGGACTAGTATGGCGAGACTTAATGGATACCTCTATCGCATCAACGTTGCAGAGACGGACCAATGCGCATGTGGACAAGCTAGAGAGACTGTGGAGCACTTCCTCTTCCGATGTCAGCGGTGGACCACGCACCGGACGGAAATGCTGCAATGTACCCATACTCACCGAGGCAACATATCCTTTTTCCTAGGCGGGAAATCGCCTTTGGATGACCAGAACTGGAAGCCGAATTTGGAAGCAGTGCGAGCCACAATACGGTTTGCAATCACCACGGGCCGACTTGACGCCACTTAAGCATATCGACCAACACAGATTAACCCTACCCCGACCCAACCCCAATCTAACCCCCACTATATACCTTGTGCCAGAGACGGTAGACGCGCTTCAACTGCCGAGGATAGGATGTTGAACACTTGGAGAAGCGCCTTCAAGCAAGTCTACTCACTAAAAACTAACCCACAAGGACTCGCTAAGATATTGATATCTGAGATGACATACAGTGAAAGGAATCTTGTATGGGCTCCAAGGAGGCACAGCATTAGCTAAGGCATGTAAATTTAGATCAGCGATAGTTGCCCTTTCGGTTCAGCCGCCGGGCGTTAATAAATTGTGTGTGTGTGTTTTGCTTTTTACCCTCGTGGCTACCTAGGTGTCTTTGGCTGCGATCGAGATGACGCATTTGCTTTCTCCATTATATTATACCCTATTATCCAGTTCCATTACATGTTTCACTCTATCAGTATTACATACGGAGGTCCATTTCAAAAGTCTTGCGCCCCGCACGGACCACCTGGTCCTAAAATACTGTATTGCCATGTATTAACTATCCCCTGGCTATCGCTCTCTGCCCTCTTAATATTCATTACCACCTTCCAATCGAATAATCTCCTGAATATGCCTAGGGATACGTTCAATCTACTGTTGTATACGCTCCTGTGGTAAATCTTGCCAAGCTCTCTGCCAAGCAATATATGCCTCCTGCCTAGCCTTCAGAGCACCCTTTTGAGTAATTTTTCGCTTCATCTACAACCAGGTAGGTTCAATTGCATTCAAATTAGGCGAATTAGGACACTATATTAGATGTTACACCTTCGCAAGGTCAAAAATACGCTGTTGGATATAGTGGTTATGTGCTGGCGCTTTATCTAATTAGACTTGTATTTTTGGCCGTAAGATTGCACACTCTTTAGCAAAAGGTATCAACTTTGGCAAAAGAATAATCTTTTGATAGCGATACCAGTCAGTTCCTTTAGATTGACCCCGTGAGAGCGTGAGAGCTTACTAGTCTTTAAATTCTACCTCCATCCAGGTTCTTTACTAGGATTTTAACGCTGAATATTTAGGCGACGTATTGAAGTTTGAAGCTCCTACTACTCTTTTAAAATAGGCTCAATTTCAGAATTTAGTTGCTCCACTTCAAGAGTCGTATTTTGTCTTTCTTATACGGTTTCTGGACTCTAACAGTAACATAGGCCTTTTTTATCATAAGAAAAATAGCCCTAGAATATAAACTCAGAAGCGCCTTTCCATCGTTTATGAATATAGCTTCGGATAAAAGCTTTATCTTTCGTACGTCAGATCCTATATCCTCTACGTCGGTGTAATAGAATTACCAATATTTCATCTAACTATATTATATCTTTAAAATTATCAAGCATCCAGTGTTTATAACAATAACACTACTCTAGACACCACGATCTTATCTTCTTTATTAATCTAGGTTTCCGAGTTAGCTTTATTTTATAATATCCAGCACTCTTTAAGATTCGCTATATTGTTGTAGCAGAAATATCAAGGCCATTAAGACTAAGGTCACCAGTAATATTAGCATACGATTTCTCTCATCCAAAACGATCATGTTGAACCTTAGATATAATAGTATCTTTAGCTAAATCTTGCTTCCTAGGTCGGCCAGAACGTGGTTTATCCTTCACAAGATCATCAATAATTTTAGGACTTGAGTTATAGTCAAACCCCCGTTCAATTACGCGTGCGTATATACGGTCAACGGTAGCCTTAGATAGACCGGTATCATGGGCAATTTGTTCAGAGGTTTTGGTAGTATATATTTTCATAGCTAATACCTGCCCAGGTGCGCGCGTGTGGCGATGTCTGTCATAGTGGTGGTGGTGGTGGTGGTGGTGGTGGTAGGAGTAGGAGTAGTAGTAGTAGTAGTAGTAGTAGTAGTAGTAGTAGTAGTAGTAGTAGTAGTAGTAGTAGTAGTGGTGGTGGTGATGGTGAGAGCGGGGTAGGAAGATTTGAATAGGGGATATGTTACACAGTATTGATAGTACCACTAGTAATTAAGGTAATATTGGAGGCGCAAGACTTTTGAAATGGACCTCCGTAGTAGCTGCTGAACGCTCAGGTAGAAAAAGGTTCTCTCCAATATGGAAGGATTCTTTCCCCACTCGAGTTCCAAGCTTATATCCAGAAGATGCAGTAGTTGAATATTTGAAAGTAAAAGACTATCGGTACTCATTAGGAAAATAAATCCCCAGAAACAGCGGCATTGAATATACAACTTGGATTCGCGGGGAAGCCTTAATGACGAATTGGTCGGGAATGACTTTATCCCGCCATGTCAACCCCCTCCAGCAGACCGAGGAACATCCAACATTCCCCTCAATCTCCAATCTCGAATACTCTTCCCACAATGGCTCGCCAATTACCAGAAGGAGGCCAAACTCTGGTCTACTCCACTGTCGATGATCATGAGATTAAGCTTGATTATTACCTTCCTCGTGTCAATGGGGCTTTACCTGCGGTGATCTACTATCACGGTGGCGGCATGACAGCAGGTTCACGTCGCGGAGGTCTCCCTAGGTGGCTATATGGTGGGTAATTAAATAATCAGAATACTAGAGATAGTATAATATTCAGGTCGCTAACCAATTTTCAACCACTGCAAAAAGCCCACTGCCAGGAGAAAGGCTACATCTTCATCTCAGCAGATTACCGTCTCTGCCACCCCACCACGGCTCTCGATCAAATCGAGGACGCAAAGAATTTATTCCAATTCATTACCAGCGCGCAATTTGACAGTATTCTACCAGAGTCTATCACTCTAGACTCCACCCGTATTGCCGTCAGCGGCTTCTCAGCAGGCGCATATTCTGCCCGCGCAGCATGCATCTACGCCAACCCTAAACCCGCCGCACTTATCTCCGTCTATGGACTCGGCGGCAATGTCCTTTTAGATCACTGGACACGCGCTCGCCCACCGACATCAATTGCGAAGTTCGTCGACCTGAACGCTGTCCCAGAGCTTCTGGCAGACAAGACTGTTGTCAGCGACGATGTGTCTGTGGGAGGCCCTTTATCGCGACGCTTTGCCCTTACTGTGCACTGGGAACTTTCCGGAACGATGTTGGATGGCATCTTCGGGCGAGATGGTCTCGGTAGAGCTCTGGACAGAGTGGACTATGAGCAGCGGGCCGCGGCGTTTCCTTCGGACCTGAAGTCTGGTCTTCTGCAGTCGTTCGTGGATGACTCGTATCCACCTTCTATTTTTGTTCATGGGACTGCGGATGAGGTTGTTCCTCCCCAGGAAAGTATTGATCATCATGAGCAGTTGAAAGGCTTAGGAATTAAGTCGGAACTCTTGTTTGTTGAGGATGGACCACATGGGTTGGAAGCGTTCTCGACTGATCCCACCTCGGTGGTCTTCAGTCGCTCGAATGAGGCGTATAGTAAGGCGTTGAGCTTCATTGACGATGTTTTCAGTGGATTGCAGAATTCGACTCTGTAGATGCAGTGTATCTAGATATAGAGACCACCAGAGAAATTTCAATGTATTGACTTACCTCGTCGACGAACTGTAGTGGCAGACCAAAGAACCGTGCTTGCGAATCATGGGTGCTGTCTCTTCACAGCTACATATACAACTAAAGCTGATATCAGAGCTCAATCTCATCAACGAAGGAAACATAATGATTGATCTAACGACACATGGCCGAGATTCGAAGATTTTCACAATACTGTACAGGATGTCGCAAACAATTCAAAGAAAAACCGCCTCTAGCCCATGAGAAAAGTCCAATGCAAAGAAATAGCTTGTGGAGAGGGCCTTTAGATGGCCTTGGTGTGGCTGACCTCTTCGGCCTCAACCTTGCCGTCCTTGCGGATCTTGGCGATGCTTTGGCTGATTCCCGCAATCTCCTGGTTCAGGTTCTCGACTGACTGAGCGATCTCTGGGACACCGTTGACGGCTGCCTCCGCCTCTTTCCTTGATTCAACCTGCTGAGGAGAGCGAGTCAGTCCTCGAGGAGAGTCGGCGATTTCGTTGACTTCGCGGCTGGACAGAATATCATTCACGCGAGGTCCGCGGGACTGAACGAGAACAGTCGCGGGTCCATCGAATTGAAGGAAGAGCTGAGGGAGGGTATAAACGTCAGTGTGGGTCAGTCATAATTGTGTCAGAAAGAAACTCACCCTATCTCCCCAGATGGTCATTCGAGACCATGTTCGAAGCTTGTGAAGGAAGCCCATGGTGTTCTTCCATGCCTTCGAGTCAGACACATCGCGAATGAATTTGTTACCCTGCAGAAGTCTAGGCAGGGTCTTCAGGCCTGGAACTTGGAAGTTCAGGGTTGTGGACCTGAAACGGTAAGGCCGAGGTGGGTTCGAGGACATGGTGTAGGCAACGACATTGCTGCGAAGGATATTAGCGTTAACACAGAGTTACCATGACGGCCGTGAAAATTACCTAGGATGGGCAATATACTGCTCGCCATCTTTTAAATCGACGGAGTATATCTGGCCGTTTCCAACAAGCGCCATCAATCCTCGCCCGGTGATTTCGGAACTACCCCAGTGAGACAAGCTCTGCACAAGTTAGTTCAATTCGATACCAGATCCATGGCATATGGGCGTAGCATACCAGGCTAGTGTTAATTGTTGGCTTAATGAACAAAGACCGGCCCGTCCATGCCAGCAATGCACGCCGCTGGGCGACCATCCAATCCACAGATCCATTAAGATTCACCACAGCGAAGGAGGTATTTGGAGACCGAACGGAAATGAGGGCTGTGACTGGGCTCGCCGAAGAGACCTAAATATCGTAAATCGACGGTCCGCGGTAATGAGTGAGGGAATATCATGCGACGCACCTTCTGATACAGGAATGGGGTGCCGACAACAGCCCTGCGGAAGGGTTCTAGAACGCTCAACGTTGAAACCACCTGTGGTGAGTAGTTAGCACACCACAACCTTCCAATGTATAAACTTTCCCAGTTCATTCGTTGCGTACATTGTCTGCCTTTCCACTCAATCCGACCAGAGTTCCACGGCGCGTGTATAGGTTTTGCGAGGGCGAGAGGGAGACCGAAAGGAGCGAATATGGTGCACCGACGACATCAAACCGGGCATCTAGTTTGGTTCGTTAGTATATGATCAAACAGGCTGTACCGAAAACAACAACACAACAGCCTACCTCGAGATTCCGCCGAGCTGGGCGTGTTGGCGAGGGGTAAGTGGTCCCCGTTGACCGTCGGCTCTTCAGAGGGAGTCGCGCGAATCTGGATACATCTCGCGTGTCGGGAGGCACGAGGGACAACTCGAGTCCAAGACAGAGTCCGAACACCTCGCTGGAGGACTGGACGCATGGTTCCAGACACAATGAGCGGATTGGTGGCAGGGAATGGACTTTACGTCAGAGTTGGCGCTGATGCAAAGCAAGCCGATTGCATCGGGAAATCGTGGCGCCGAAGGTCCTCCGCAGCCCCAAACTACTCAAGTACACCACGCCCGCCGCCGATTGCGACAGCGACTACTGAAGCTCCCACCGGGGATTTTGCTTTTCTTCGCTGCCGGATCCTGATTTTGACTCCTGGTTTCTATTTTCTCACTCCCTCGACCATTCCCCAAACCTGCGGTGAAAACGTAACCACCCGACCTTATCGTTTCCTCCGAAGCCGGCAGCTCTCCAGCTTGCCCCCCCGCAAACCATCAGGAGGGAGCTGTACACACCATTCGCCTTGTATGAGCTACATTATGCTCCCTTGAGTACAATCAGACCATACCAGCCATACTCAGCGGCAAAAATACCCCTCAAAGCATATCAATGCTGCTCAAAGCAGCTCGGGCACCTTGTTGGCGCCCGGCAGCGCGGTTCGCTCATCCGAGCTTCGCCGGTCCGTCACCATGGACAAGGTACAATAAGACACAACTACGTGCATTCGCTTGCGCCAGCAAATTGCGCAACAAGGTCTCCGATAACAAGGACCTTACCGCAGCAAAGAACAATCCCATCCCGACCCCCGCCCCCCAGCCTCGCAATTGATCGATGTCAAAGCGATTGAGAAGCCGGATGGCACAGTGAAGGCCGTGGCCAAGAAAGACCTGCTGAGCGAGTCGACAAAGGCCACCAAGGAACAACGAAAGGCGGACTGGGCGATCTTGCGTGAAATGACCAAGTACCTCTGGCCGAAGGTATGGCTCTTGATGGCACGTGCCTGTTTGAAAATGGAAGTGTTGACCCGATATAGGATGATTGGGGCACGAAACTTCGTGTGGGAACAGCATTATCACTGCTCATAGGAGCCAAGGTATGATTGGTTGATTGCGATTGTGTCGTCTTTGTCCTTGTATATGCTGATAGATCTAGGTTCTCAACGTGGAAGTTCCTTTCTATTTCAAGAGTATCGTGGATTCCATGAATGTGGACTTTGCTGCCGTTGGTGGAACTGCCTACACTGTTGCAGGCTCTATGATCATTGCTTGTATGGGCTTACTGTCAAGTGAGAAAGGATGTTCCTCGTAACTGACTTGTCTAGATGGCGTAACTCGAATTAGTGCAACTATCTTTCAGGAACTTCGCAACGCAGTCTTTGCGAGCGTTGCCCAAAAAGCCATTCGAAAGGTCGCCGGGAATGTCTTCGATCACTTATTGCGATTGGACCTTGGCTTTCACCTCTCGCGTCAGACTGGTGGTTTGACTCGGGCGATTGATCGCGGAACCAAGGGTATTAGCTTCTTGCTGACCTCAATGGTCTTCCATGTCGTCCCCACAGCGCTTGAAATATCGCTCGTGTGTGGTATTCTGGTATGGCATTCCATTCCGTATCTCACTATTAGACAGAGCTAATCCCCTCACGCCTTCTTTTAGACGTACCAATATGGTGCCAAGTTTGCGGCTATCACGGTCACAACTATGCTTGCATACACGGCCTTCACAATCACCACAACTGCCTGGCGAACCAAATTCCGACGTCAGGCTAACGCAGCTGACAACCGTGGAGCAACCGTTGCCGTTGACTCGCTCATCAACTATGAAGCTGTGAAGTACTTCAATAATGAGAGATTCGAAGTTGCTCGATACGACAAGGCCTTGAAAAACTACGAAGATGCATCGATCAAGGTGACAACCTCTCTGGCCTTCCTCAACTCAGGTCAAAACATGATCTTCTCCAGTGCGCTGGCCGGTATGATGTACCTTGCCGCTGATGGAGTCGCGACTGGTGCTCTGACGGTCGGTGATCTGGTTATGGTCAACCAGCTCGTCTTCCAGTTGTCTGTGCCCCTTAACTTCCTAGGATCTGTCTACCGTGAACTGCGCCAGTCTCTGCTGGACATGGAGACGCTGTTCAACCTACAAAAGGTCAATGTGACAATCCAGGAGAAGCCCGACGCAAAGCCCCTGACATTGAAGCGCGGCGGCGAGATCCGCTTCGAGAACGTCACTTTCGGCTACCACCCCGATCGCCCGATTCTCAAAAATGCCAGTTTTACGATTCCAGCTGGAGCAAAGTTCGCGATTGTTGGGCCCAGTGGCTGTGGCAAGTCGACAATCCTGCGACTGTTATTCCGTTTTTATGACACTCAATCGGGGCGAATCCTGATTGACGGACAGGATATTCGCGATGTGTCGCTTGACAGCCTCCGGAAGGCGATCGGTGTGGTGCCCCAAGATACCCCGTTGTTTAATGACACCATTGCGCACAATATTCGATATGGACGGATCGATGCTTCGGACGCGGAGGTCCGGCAGGCGGCGGAGCGTGCGCGCATCCACCAGTTGATTGAGCGATTGCCGGACGGGTATCAGACCGCGGTAGGAGAACGCGGGATGATGATCTCGGGCGGAGAGAAACAACGATTAGCGATTTCACGATTGCTGCTCAAGGATCCCCAACTACTATTCTTCGATGAAGCGGTAAGTTTCGTGTGATAAGAGCCGAGGGGGATGCGTAATTCGTGGAAGTGTGGCTGACCAGCCACCGTAATGGTGGGAATTTCTAGACTTCGGCCCTGGACACTTATACCGAGCAGGCTCTGCTGCAGAATATCAACAGTATTCTGCGCGAGAAGAAACGGACGAGCGTGTTTGTTGCGCACCGGCTACGCACGATCTATGACAGTGACCAGATTCTGGTGCTTAAGGACGGAGAAGTGGTGGAGGTGGGATCGCACCGCGAGCTTCTCGAGCTCGATGGCGTGTATTCGGAACTGTGGAACGGTACGCTCAGACCCTCTCTTTATTAATACCCTAAGCCCAAACTTGTTTAGGGCGACGCTGACGCACATATAGCGCAGGAACTGTTAGCGCAAGAGGAGTAGGATGAAACGTTGGCGGGGGGGGCCTAGAACATATCAACAAATTACCGGGACAAGATGTACTCCCCTTCACGGATGAGGTGGACCGTGAGATATGGAAATAGAAGCAGAGAAATAGATTGGACAATACTTGGGTCATAGATGGTCTGAGTGTAGGAATCAGGTAGAAGTAAACCTTGGAACTTGAAGTATGGAGTGAAGTACTCTTGTACTGTAAACTCCACGCCAAGGTGCACCTCCCCACTTCCCCTTTCTCCCCTGCGATTCTCGACCTTCCATCTTCCTTCCACCTTTTTCCTTTCGACACACGTTCTTTTTTTCGGGTCTAACCCAATTCCATTCTTTTTCTCTTTCATTGAACTTAAACCTGGGGAACAAATTACCATTACGGAGTACAATTACTGTCATCCCGTGCCTCTCCTTACCTCCCAACCTCCTTGTGGCACCCGCAGAAAAGTCCCGCTTCCCTCGTGTCTCCCCTCCCCCCCCTCCTTTCAAGCATTGAACTGGTATGAAATGACCCGACCCATTGATTCGATTCTCCTCCCATGCCTGGAATGTCACTAACCCATGGTTAGTCTAGTGACGTGGTGTTGAACTTCCGTCCGTTGCCGGCGACCACAGCTCTATTCCCTGCCCTGCATATGGGAACGATCGTCCACCTTGCATATATAGGAGCAACAAAGAGAACAACGCATATCGCCACCAATTCCCGGCGATTCCAGCGACTCACGAACGATCCGGAGAATAAGATCTGTCTTTCTTCAATTAAATCACAAAAACCTTCGTCATTATGGGTCTGATCGATAAGCTTCAAGCAAGTACGTGCACGCGACACCCGGAGGAAAGAAACATGGGAAATATGCAGTCAATGCACACTGGAACAATAAGCTAACCCTTCGTCTTCTAGAGCTTGAGCTCTACCGTCTCGAACAGCGCTATGCCCGCCGCAAGCACCGCAGCACTTTCTCCACCGGAGCTCAATACGTTGATGGCGAGTATGTTTACTCCAACGGCACGAATTCACCGACCGGCAGCACCGTCTCCAAACACTCAACAGGGAGCTGGCGACCATCCGGATGGGGTTCAAACGATTCACGCTTGCGGTGAGGGTGAGGAGGAATGAATACATCCTCACCGTCGCTGTTGTTGAATTCTGTCCCGCTTCACTTCGCTTTGCCCCGGCGCCGTTGGAACTTTGACTACTCTTCTTTCTGCATTAGCCAATTTCTTCTTTCACCTGTTCGATCTGTTTCGCTTTGCTACGCTCCATTCTGTTCTGTTCTGTTCGGCTTCGGCCCTCTTCTCGACTTCGCGTGATGTTCCTGCGAAGATGAGCACGACGACCTCGATCCTCCCCTTTTTCTGCACTTTGGCGCCATTTTTCTTTCCACCGCCTGTGCATATGATGTTGGCGATTTCGATTCCTAGAGTTGGGATTTCGTTTGACCTGGACCTTTTCTTTTGGGTTGTGGGATGGCTTTCTCTATGTATTAGGATGCCTCTTGCTTCCGAGCACTTTTCTCTCTTCGCTTCTACTGTCTATGCTCTTACTTGCATTTGATCTATTCACTGTCCATAAAGCCCTTTCAAAATTCATCTTGACTATCGAATCGAATAAAATCGAATCAAAAAATACTTGAATGCTATTTCAGAATTGCTCCTAATATTCGGTGGTATAGATATCTTATCCCCAGGTTTTACATATGCACTCGACCGATTCATGACAATTCGTATATAGTGTGAACGGAGGAAAGAAAGAAAACAAGAGAAGATTTTCTGCTGAGCTGCTAGCCAGCGAAGATGATGAAGGGTATTTGCTAAAACCACCGCTATGCGCAATATGTAAAGTAAACAATTGATCCCGTCGTCTCACTTCTTTGATTTACGACTTCCGATCCCTAAACGGCCCAAATTCGGAAGACTCGACTTATGCTTATGTCCTGATCCGAGCAAAGACGACGAATTGCTGACTTTCGGTTCAAGCGCACGGCCTCCTCCACCACCACCACCTCCCCCCACCACACCTAGCCCTGCGACTCCCACGCTGGGACCCATGGCTCCAGATCCTCCGACCATGCCTCGAGGTATGTCTGGAAGACCGCTCCGATCTCTGCTCCGATCTACCGTCGCGGCCGAGAGAGCAGCTGTAAGGGAAGGGTTATGCAGAGAATCGGTTGCATCGAGGGACTGGTGTTGCGAAGCTTGGGCTCGGCGTGTTCGTTCTTGGACAAATTTGAATTTATCGAGAAGGTCGACCCAGCGGACACCGTTCTCGTCGCGGGTTTTCAGACGGCTGCCAGCCGGGCGGTCGTACGATGATGATGGTCCTGCTTGCGCGGTGCTAGAGGGTAGTGTGAGCTTTGTAATTCAAGACAGACACGAGGGGCGAGATGCTATACCTGCGGGGTGCAGCGTGAAGAAATCCTATATTGCTGACGCTATTTAGGCGGTTCTTCAATGCGGCGAATGCTGAGCTTTGGGGGAGGAGCATGAGGACGCCGTAAAGACATTTGTATAGGTAGGGGTATTTTTCTGGCTCAAGAAGCTGGAGACGGAGATCTGGTAGAATAATTTGTTAGTCTTGGTTATGGTTTCGGATGAAAGATACGAAGCGTACATGTGAAGACTGGTGACTCGAGGAGTTGCACCAGTTTGTCGATCTGAATTAACATATTGACAGTCATTTCTAACTCAGCACTGAGGGTCAGTTAGCATAGGAATACCAGGATTTTGGCGTGAGAGAGTGATGTACAAGATCTGGAGAAGATTATAGGCCTGCTCGTAGGCTTGCGCGAGAAGGCAGAGTGAAAATGTTGAGACCGCATTATGGCACCAGGATCTGAAAAGAGCCACAAAGAACATCTGTCCCTCCTGTATTTGTGTTAGCTGCGATCAAAAGCGCGAGTTGTCCAAGGCTTGGCCTACTTTCGAGTCAAGATTTCGTAATCTTTTTCGCATGTCTGATAGTTCTGGGGCTGTGATGAGATTGTTGTTCAGATTTTGCACCATGATACTGGCAAACTCAATATCCTAATAACCGTGAGTACATATTCCTTGTGCTTTGATCATGTAAATTTACCTCTTCTTTTTCAAGACAATCAGCGAGTGTCCGATAAATTCGTTCGGGGCTTAGATTAAGACACAGTTGTCGGATGATCAGGTTCCCACGGACCTCTAACAGGTGTCGGTCAGTGGAGAAGAGCTGCAATAGGTTGACCATGAAAGAGGCAAAGTAGCTGTCCTCGCTATTTCTCGAGATCTGCGATAGAAGCTGCAAATCTTTGGTTACAACCGCTTCTGCAGGATCGGAAAGAGTCTTCAAAAGAGCTGGGAATGTTCCATCATTAAACGCAACCACCTTTCGCGGGGCCTTGCGATGTAACATAATGAGCCATGAGAGCGCAGCTACTCGGGTGGCTTCATTCTCGTTCAGGAATTGTAATGTAAGTGAGCTGACAGCTGCAGCATAGTCGAGATCAACAGGTGGCACGGGAGTAGAGACGATACTGCTACGAGGGGTGGCAGCTCTAGAAGTCTCTGTTGTCGATCTTCTGGCATCGATGCTCGCGATTTCCGAAGGCTTTCGTTCCACGCTTTCCTTGCTAGGCGCGGTTGAAGGTACTTTATATGGAGGCTGTACTTCATCCGCTGCATCATCGGAGAGTGAATAGATGTATTCGAGAAGGGATTTGTTGACACGATTGGCAGCCTGCCGCACTTGATCTGAGCCGCTTGACATAGCCGGGAGGACCTGGGTTAAAAGTCGTGGCACAAAGGGTAGAATGTCTTCAGGGCTAATCTCGAAAAAGGCGTCGATCCACCTGAGTGCAGTGAGTTGCATTTCTTCGTCTATAAATTTGTGGTTGGTTAGCTTCAGGCTATTCTACAAGAATGAGGGAGAAACAATGTATACCGTATGATGTGTCGACAAAGCTGACGAGGATGTCCAAAATTTTAGGGTGGTCAATCTGTACGTCCTGCCCCGGAATCCAGTCCCCGTCGGCCTGTATTAATTCGTCATCAAAGAGAGATCCGGACTCGGAGTCATCGACCGCGATATCGTTCTTATCGGCGGCATCGGTCTCAGTCTTGGTGCTAAAGCTCATCGAGTCACTCGTTGCGGACCGTCTGCGGCTTTCCTGATCTTTGCGACTCTCCTCAATACCTTTCTTCAACCTTGTGATTCTCTTGATCTCCAATAGGAATCGGTCAAGGAGCCCTTGCGTAGCGACATTGACGTCTTTGTTCGGGCCTCCAAGGAACTTAACCAACCCTTCCAGAAATTCAGGAAGATATGTAACCAACTCCAGATCGGGGATCGTATCCAACAGAGTGAGCCAAGAAACCAAGAAATTGCGAGTGTATGGCCCGATCACGTGGATTCGCTCTTTGAGCAGAGGAATGAACTTGGCAAGAGAGAATGCCGTAGGGAGTTCGGCTTCATCGAGATCGGTCGGGTCTTCCTTCTCAGATATCTGCAGCACCGAAACATATGAAGCTGCAGATTCGGCCACGATGTCCTTCACTAGGCGGTCGAGTAGTTCCGCGCCATTCTTGACCGAGAGCTCCGAATCTGAGGCAAGCTGGTATGAATATCAGCAGCAGTAGTGGGATAACAACATAAACGTATCGGGTGTTATCTCACCTTCGCTAGAGCATCGAATATATCGTTGAAGAAGAGAAGTATCTCTCCCTTGGCCACCTTGGCAATGTTGTACATGCTCTCGCAAGCATAATACCTAACCCGCGCATCTTGGTCGGAGAAGCAAGCGAGGACGGGAGGTACGATTTCTCTCAAATAGGGTGCCACTCCTTCCTGAAACCACATATCAGCCTCGCCCATCCGATTTCCTTCTGGCTGTATTAACTCACTGATCCCAAGGCGATGGAGGCAGCAGCCAACCCGATCAGACCGCCATTTCGGGCATGGGGTTGGTGTACGGCATAAGCGTAGTCGTGACAGAGTTGTTCAACGATTCTGGCAATTTTCTCGTGCTCTCCTCGGAAGACAGCATCGCGGACGATTTTCTCTAGCCTGTCAAAGAAACTGCGTGTTAGCGGTGTGGCTGCCAGGAGCGAGCATTTTGAGGTCCCGTCAAAGCTCCCAATAACGTACTCAAGGGCTCCTTGTTTTCGTTTATCGTATAGCTTATCATTAAGCAGGCGCTGGATTGATTGATCCATTATTTCGGCGGACGGAGAGTGCTGTCCCGAGCTCCGATTAGGCAATGATCATGGCGGAGAGGTTCGCGTTCGGGGATAGGGGGCGAGCTCGTTGACGGGTCGATCTGCGGAAAGGCTTGCAAGGAGATTCGCTTTAAGGAGCTCCGGCACGGTAGAAGCTTGACAAGACAGGAAAGCTCCAAGTGGGGGAAGTGGAAGATGCGTTGTCAACGCGGAGTCGGGGAGGAGTCCAAGCGTGCTGCTGACCATACGTCACACACTCACCGGTCTGGGCGCGGCCCGATACTCTGCTACCGGAACAGTGCTTCTACATTTTACCTTAGTCTTTTCAATACAGCAGGGAAATTATAAGCTGCCAGAGAAACATTTAGAGATCAAATGATTTTTAACCAAAAAATTTTTAACTTTTTCCTAGCTAGTGGGTTTGTACTATGGATGTTGGACTGCTTTGAAGTAGCCGGCAGCTGGGAATATCCTACTAGTACAAGATACTATTAGTTGACATCAAAAAATAGTGAATTCACCTAGTCAAGTTGAAGAAAGAGACCACATAATCACGAAACTCCGATAGAATATTTCTCTCCATTTCTTTCAGGTCCAACTGCAGGTACTAGGTCAGTGGATTTCTGCCATACACCACCCCAAATAAGTACAGATCTTTTCAGATAAAGAAGGCATCAACAACATAGACGCGCAAGCTGCTTGGCATTTTCCAAATACTGAGTTACAGGCAAGTACGTTTATAGGTGCAGTTGCGGCTGCACCCAGGGTGGCCCCCCCACGTAGCTCCTGCAGCCGAGTAACAGGCCATCACGATACCTGCACATCCTGCCTGGCAGGTCCCGTACCCCGTTTTACCTGACAAAACAGGAATAAAGGTCAGTAGAGCTGCGAAATGACTCAGCAATATATTCATATTTGAATTTGATGATAGTTGAACGATGTCCACTCTCGATAAATGTTGAAATTCGTCTGAGATGATTGCTAGGCCAATTTGTAAGATGGAGAGATGAAGATCGAGAAAGCTACCTAGGTAACTCTGATCAGGAACAAGTTATTATAGTCAAAGCCCTGGGAAATCCCTTCTCTGGCAAACATACAGGCCGGAGCTTTGAAATGGATCATTACTTGCCAGGAACCTTAGAGTTCAAAGATTTTGACTGCACTTCATAGGCTAGATACAAATTTATTAAGAGAACTATCAAACACAGATTTCAGTAGCTTCTGAGACTGTAAAAGTAAGTACACGCCCAGAACCACACCCGATTCCGATTCTCTCTGGCAAGATAGCCGAGCACTCAACATTATACCCCGGAGGTAGCCTGAGCTGTCTTTTCCCATTGGAGGTTATCCATGCATCCTCTGAGTTGATTCCATATTTCATCGGGTTCGTTGAAGAAAGCGCAGTATCAAGATCGAGAGTCTCAGGCTCGGCAACAACATCTGACCACGTCAGAGGACAAGTTGAAGCGTCCTCTTGTGAGGCCGCTTCCACGCATTCCTCGCTAGAGAGATCCCAGAACTTTATATGGTAATCTTTCGATACAGACGCAAGCTTAGTCCCATCCTCTGACCAAACGACGGAGCTGATATCATTACTCGCATCCGTGGGTGTTTGCACACAGTCTCCAGTGACAATGTTCCAGATCACAATGACATTGTGACCAGCCACAAACGCAATCCTGGTGCCATCCTTTGACCAAGCCACTGAATGGACATTGCTGATACGGTTCTGCACATTATCTCCGGTGCGAATATCCCAAACAATGACAGTGCTATCCTCAGAAACAGATACAAGCTTGGTTTTGTCCGCTGACCAGGCAATTTTCTTGACCCTTTGGCTATGACCGGAAAGAGGCTGTTCCTTTTGGTCTCCTGCAACGTCCCATATCTTGATTGTTTTGTCGCGGGAAGCCGATGCAAGCCTAGTTCCATTCTCTGACCAGGCTACTGACCACACCTGATGCCTATGACCCTCGAGTCTAGACAGACATTCTCCAGTTATATGATCCCATATTTTGATAGTTTCGCCATCGGCACCTGCGAGTCTGCCATCTGGCGACCAGGAAAGAGACCGGATCAAATTGTTCTGGCCTTGAATCCATGAGGTGCAGCGACCACTCTTGGTCTCCCAGATTTTGATGACGTTTTCTTTGGAAGCCGATGCCAGTCGCTGGCAATCGTGCGACCAAGCAAGGGCATAGACCCATTCGCTATGACCTCCAGGCTCCAGCTTGCATGTACGATCGGCCGTATCCCAGATCTTCAATGTTCCATCCCTTGCGCCTGACGCAATTCTACCATCATGAGACCAAGCCAGTGCAAACACTCCTCGATGGGTACCTCTGAGTGGGATGGACGGCTGGCGTTGAGTAACAGAAATGGCAGGGCGAATCCAGATTGATCCATCTTCGACAGCAAAGGCAAGCGTCCCTTGGGGAGACCAAGACGCTACTTTAAATAACTCAATGGTATCTTTGAAGCTCGAAATTGGTTCCCTTACTGGCTGGTCGCCGTCTTTAGGCGGTGGAAGGTTGGAGTCTTCGGTCGTGCCCCATGTCTCGATTCTTCCGTCGCTCAAGACCAAGCCAAGCTTAGTGTCTCGCAGCCATCCCAAAGATGAGACAGGTGATTCATCACCGCTGAATGTTGAAAGACAGTGGCTTGTGGATGTGTCCCACATTTTCACAGTGCCATCGAATGAAGCCGATGCAAGCCTATTATCCGATGCCCATGATACCGCTTGAACGGACTGATTGTGGCCCTCAAGGGTAAGGAGGCATGAATTCCAGTCATCCTCCATAATTGGTTTCGTTTTGATCCAGTTGGGCTCTTCTTTGATGAACTGATTGCGCGTTATGCTTTGAGTTGGGCTGAAAACTAGCGCAGAGGCATAAATTTGTAACGGGCTTTCCTCTATCGTAGGCTTGTGGTGCTGTATAAATTGGCATGCGTCTCGTGTACGATCGATCACTGAAGGTGGTGCTCCCCACTCCTAATAATTGTAAGCTTGACTCTCTCCGATATCGTATGTTTCACTAACCGTAACCAGTTTCTCGAGCTTTAACATGCAGGATACTCCGACCGACATGCTTCTGAGAAGACTTAGAGCCTCAATCCAATGGAGAAGGTCTCTTTGTAAAAACATGTCGAGTATGCCGTCCTCTTCGAAATCTGGTTCTCTGGGATCTGCGCAAAGGTGGTCTACCCAATACACACTTGCATATCGCACTGGGCCCAGGGGATCATCATCCTTAGCCTCGACATTTTTGATCAAATAACCCGGCTCTTTGAGATCATAGATGTCGCGCCTCAGTCTCACGGCTATTGCTTGGAGAGACCTCAGGAATAGAGCATGATCTTGGCTTTTCAGTCCGTCTGGGAAGATCTCAGTTAGCCCCTCCTCCTGCAAATAATCTTTGGCCGATTGATGCACAAAATGAACTATGCTTCCCTCTCCGATGGTTAGAAAGGAGCTAGATTCATGTATCAGTCTTGTCGTCTCCTTCTTCTTGGGCGAAGGTAAGTCTGCAAGCTCGGCCAATTCCTCCAGGTTGACAGGTCGGCGCACGACCGAGACAACCGATAAAATCCGCTTGCAGAGTTCATAGTCCGTTGGTGTTAAACTGTCCAATCGTTCCATTTGACGCCCGCAAACGGATATGGGGTCAGATGGAAACGTTGTCGAAGGCTTATCAATCCCGCATAGGCTAACTTGATCGACATCTTCAGCTTGACTCTCATCCCCAATATTGACACTTTCCAGTGCAATCTCTTCCTGTGAATCGGCTGCACCCAGATCACTTATTGGCGGTTGCGGTTCAGTTTCTATCACGGTTGTACTAGATGAGATCTCAGAGCCGGTTCGAGCGGGCGTATTTTCTAGTGAGAGTTAATGTTGATTCCGAATTTATTGAGAATCGGGGAAGATGCTCAAGATCTCCTCGAGCACCTGTACATCTTCGCAGTTGGTCACGTACGGCTGGCATCATCGAGAGAAGATGATAGATCTTGGAATTCATGGCCTTCCACTTTCTTGAAATTGCCCGAAATCGTTCTTTGGAACCTGTCTTTCCAACGGCGCCGAAGGGAGCCATCGGAACGACTGGGGCTCATAACCGTAGGCACGGACTGTTCCTTGCGCCAATGCATCGCATGTACCGTGGAAACAGGAGAAGCCAAATTTCCACCGAGAAGCTGGTGTGGAGATCTAAACCGGCGCGTTCCGTCCCAGATTATCGCTGCTAGTATCAAGCTTCGCACGTTAGGTTTCAAGAACGCGACAAAGACCATGAGACGGTGACTGGAGAAATACAATTACACCCCCTCAGCTTTTCTCACGAACTCCTCGGGGCATTTTCCGGTTGTTTGCTGCGGGTCGCTGAGTTGGTCAATGATCTAGACCCACAGGCTAGTCCAACGAACCGTGTCGCCCAGCCGATGATATGGGGTGGTCGCCAATGCATCGGGTAGCGAACAAATTGTACATAAATCACAAAAGTACGAAAGCTTCTCAAACACCGAAGTGCCCATCAAATAATTACCTCGAGAGACCAAAGCATGAGCATCGAATGTCGAATCATTATGAAATGAGAATCGGCACATTAAACCATGTTCTTGACCGACAGGTGCATGTACATATGTACATGCGGTCAGGAGAAATCTCCATGTGGTAAGTGATCAGCTTTTGCATCGGACCCACTATTCAGCTGGGGCATCAAGCACAGAGGACTCTCAAAGCCTTGGAAGATGACTGCATGGAGCTCCCATCTGTATATCTTGGCGCCCATGTATTATTCTCGGCTATCTCAGATTTTTCCCCAGCCCCAGTGGTCAATATGTATACATAGATATTAAAGGAGAAAGAAATAGAAAATTTCTTCAAGTAAATCCTGCTTCATCACTTCCAAAAAGGCCTCCCCATGCCTCGGGCTGCATAAGGTATTCCCAATCGGGTTGGTCTGAACTGAGCCAGCTTGATCCAATCATTGGATCGAAATTTTCCCCTGTTGAATTTTCTGGCATGTTGAATGTGCTTTTGACTCCAGATGATGACCCAATACATGTCTGCGACTCGCTGGCAGTGGAGCCGGAGAATTCCATATTGCCAGTATCCACGCTTCTATTCGCAGCTCCGGGGTTCTTGCCCTTTGGCCTAGAAGCCAGCCTTTGACGCAGCACATTTACCAATTTCGGGGGCTCGCTTGCTCTACCCAGTTGAAGCTCAGCTTGTTCACGGGATATCCACGCTTTAAGAAGCGCATGGCCAAAGGCCATATGCATCGGACTATCCAGATTATGATAAAGTCCTCGATGCTCATGATTGTTGCAGATTGCTTGCCATGCACGCTCACAAAGCTCGCCGCTCGTTCGGTGGACTAACTCGCTAGCTAGGAAAATATATCCTGGAAACGGAATTTGGAGCTGGGTGTACCAGTGAAAGCCTCGGAGGTTGTCACTGGTATGAATTGTATCGTCATATTCCAGCATTTCAATGGCCTTCAAAAAAGTATTTTCGCGCTCTTCTTCGCTCAGGCTAGATGCGGGCACTCCTCGGCACATAACCTCGACAACGTGAAGCTTGCAGAGCGCGACTTTGGTTGCCAGCATAGTAAACCGCTGAATGGGAATTTCAGGGTTGCAGTGTTTTATATAGGTGGAATCGAAGTAGGAGCCATAATTCTCTACATCACGAGATGGCATGTGATGGGAACCTGGCGAGTCTGTATGTGATGACTTTGCAGGGGACGCTTGCATGGCATGCGAGACCTGGCTGTTGAGTGGTTTAGGACGAATACTGTCTGGGGCAGATGCTAAGGTAATTTCGATTCGGGTCAGACCAAAAGTCATCTCTGTAAACCCAGTAGCCTGCCGTGGGGGGTCTTTCGAGTCCGGGTGCAAATCACTATCGTTAACATTCGAAGGGAGCCGACACTCCGACCCACAAGACGACAGAGCTGTGATGGGGGAGCCTGTCATCTCTGCGATCCGTTTATCAAGGGCAACTAATTGCCACCAGGTTCGCCTCCGCTGCTCTGCTTCAAATGGGGAAAGGCCAAATTTGGCACCGTCCCCATGCAGACCAAGTCTTGTAGCTATGCGTACAGCAATCCCAATCAAGCAGAAAAGCGAGCGCGGATCAACATTGCGTCCTACACCGAGCTAGGGTGAATGATAAATTAGCATGGCAGCTATGGGTTCATATTGGCAATTCGTTATACTCACAAGACACAATATGAAGGCCTGCAACACCATTAAATCATTTGATCTCATGAACTCAGCATTAACCAATGCTTGTTGAGATGCTCGATAATATCGATCGAGAATAGTAGACTTTGGCTCTCCGAGAGTACTTTGAACCTTCTCTTCTGTCATTGACTTCACAGCAATCAGATATATGCTGAACATTAGAGCTTCGAGGGGTCTTCCTAATTTAGCCAGGTCCGCCCCTGCTCCCACGATCTGGACTTGCAGGGTAGGGGCGTGGAATATCTTCAATAGGGGATTGACATTATGTAGATACACCTGCCATAGCTGGAACATCTGAATTGTAGAAGGGTGAAGATGAGTTATTGGGGTTGCTGCCCCACCGACCATGAAGGGGAAAGTATCAAAGTCACTGAATATCGTATCAAAAGCGTGATGGATAGTTGGTTGGTCTTGCTCGTCGTCGGTCGACACCCCTAGCAAATCATCGGTTGATCGATATTCGTCATAATATGCGAACCACTTCAGATTCCTGCTTTATTGTGAGAATGAGCTTTGATTTAGTGCTGGGACACGAAAATATAATAGACCGACCTTCGTCCATTCCCTTGATATCTGGGTATTTGGCTGGGGATACTGTTCCCATGTGAAGACTTTATGCTGCTAGAGCCCTGTCGCCCAATAGTCTCATCTTGATCGTCAAAGGCAGAATCAAAGGCAACACCATTCTGAGTCATGAGTGTCTCATATTTCTTGAGTCGTTCTAGCAAATCCCGCTCATGCAACTTCTTCCTCCTCCTTCTCGCTGGCTGTGGGGGCGCAACCTTACACTCAACCTGGGTTCGGACACAGTTTGCGCATGGCTTTTGCTGGTCACAGCGGACTTTGCGTTGCTGGCAGACATTACACGAGTGTCCTCGGGTTAAGCTCATTGTAGCCACTGTTTTTCTTGTAAGCTGGACCAGATATCAGTGGCGGAGAGTAGAGAGCAGTAAATACGGAGGATGTGAAGTGGCTCGGCCCCGAGTTGTCCTTCGGTCCCGAAGGACCCACCGATCCCGTGCCGAACAAATCAAGTAAGCCATCATAGGATCAATGAATGACATAGTGAGGAGATCCAAAGTACCGAAAGTAGTGGGCACGCTGAGGTGGCATACAGGGCACATCCAAAGGCCATAAAATATTGAAAGAGAACATAGAATTGAGATTGATATGCATCACCAGGATCATCCAGGGTAAGCCGGGATTTATGACTTGAAAAAAGCGCTCGCTGGTTCATAACGAATCAACCAACCAGAGTTCAAATTGTATGCTCGAAAGATAAGGCACAGAATCAATGCTCGCTGAGAATGAGTCTATCCAATAATTGCCATCCTAGGCCGCTAGCAAAATATCCCAATAAGCGCCTTGCGTGGAAGCCATAATGCGCCAAAATCACCCTTCAAATAATTATCAGTGACTAATGTACTGGAAGACGGCGGAGACGTCTCTCTCGCCAACCTCTTGCCGTATCAATAGATCTTGGATCTGGTTTAGCGGCCCTTTTTCACCATCGTTGACGAAGTGATTCCACGAGCTCGTATCTCCATAGAGCATGGCCGGCGCTTTAATATACTGGGTACCGTCTGGTCGGCACCGCTTGCATTTGAATGTGTCGTGCGTATCACTGCGTGTCTCGGGCTTGAATTGGAACAGCTCTCGTAAGGATTCAAGGGAAAAGTGGCGTTCCACGTCTTCCGCTGCATCCACAACACAAGATGATAGGGACTGTTTGTGGGACTGGCGTTGGAAAATCTTCTCTTCGATAGACCCAGTCGCAATGAAGCGATAGACGAAACAGTCTTTCTTTTGCCCATCACGCCACACACGAGCCAAGGCCTGCTGATCAGCAGCTGGATTCCAATCCGGGTCAAAGAGAACCAGTCGGTTGGCTCCAATCAAGTTGAGACCACATCCACCAGCCTTGCTGCTCAGGAGAAAAACAAACTCGGGCCCTTCCGGATCATTAAACTTATCAACCAGCTTTGATCGCTTCTTGATGTTCATAGTACCATCCAATCGTAAGCAGCCATAGGCGCGTGAGCGACACAACTTCTCAAAGAGGTCCAGGGTTTGAGTGTAGTTACTGATGAGAACAATCTTGTCGTTTGTGTCTTGTCTGATTCGAGCGAGCATACGGTCAAGGACCATCATTTTGCCCGAGTACCAACTCTTGACCTCTCTATCGCGACCCCTAGCGTCGGGTGGGGTGAAGTCTTCCGGATATGCGCCTTCGCATCCAGGAAGGTCGTTTGCCAAGTCAAGAAGATCGGGGTGATTGCAGAGCTTTTTCAAAAGGCCGATTGCTTTCAAAGGCTGGCTACCTTTTCCTCGTAGCAAACTTCGAATTTCTGGACTCTGGATAAAGTGATTGTAGAGATCCAGCTGGAACGGGGCCATATTGCAGAAAACAACATGTTCGTATTTGACAGGCAAGTATTTTGACAGAATGTCGTTGCTTCGTCGAATGATGAACTTATTAACAACGGTGGAGAGTTCAAGTAGGCGCTCATCGCCTAGCTTTTTATCCGCGTCGGTACCCGCAGCATCGCGACCTCGGAGAATTGGCAGTTCAAAACGTTTGCGGAATTCATTTTGCGAACCTAGTAAGTTAGGGTTGGCGAAATGGAGCAGGGCAAAGTATTCAGAAAGATCGTTCTGAATTGGTGTTCCTGAAAGGATAACGCGACGACTGACGCTGAGACTGTTCAAAGCCACCCATGTCAAACTTTCCTTGTTCTTGAGTCGATGTCCCTCGTCGCAAAGAAGCAGACCGATCGGATGGTCCTTTAAGCAATCCACGTACATGCGGAGAGTCTCATAGGATACGATCAGAACAGGACGAACAATTCCACGGCCCGATGCTATTGCCCATTGCTTGACCTGGAGAGTGAGCTCTGCTTTGGAAGCCTTGCCGTCTATAGCGAAGGGAGTAGTGGCATCTTTCCCCAGCCATTTCCCTAGTTCGTTGGCCCAGTTTCCGACTAAACTAGAAGGGCAAGCAATGACACATTTTTGGATAGTTGTTTTGCCAGCCTCGGGGTCTTGCTTAAGCAATGTCCACATTAAAGAAATGCATTGGAGCTGAAAAGTTAGCGAAAATTACCACCATCAAAATCCATGATACGTACTGTCTTTCCCAGCCCCATACCATCAGCCATAATACATCCATTGGCGTTCTTATCGATCAGTCCAGTTGTACATCTATATAGAAACTGCCCAGTCCAGCCACGTTAGTTTCGGAATGACATGAAGCAGGCAGTGATTGACATTACCTTCACACCCTCGATCTGATGTGGTCGCAAAACCTTTGCAAGTCGCGGGTCAATCACGACGGGCACTTTTGGTCTATCTTCAACCTTTTTCTTCAGACCAAGAATATCTGCCAAACTTTTATGTACCAGGGGCTCATCCAATTCCGGTGCCGCGTCTGCTTCTTTTGGCCCTTCCAGCTCTTTTGGCTTAGGCTCCTCGGGGATGTCATCAATGGTAGGATCATAGAGAACAATGGCAAATTCACCGCTCGGGTCGTGCAGTGGCTTGGCCACAAAAATCGCACCTGTCCGTAGACCCAATGTCGGCGCTGGCCGGTCGGGGTTGTAGCCTTCGGTATTTTGGTCTATTAATGGGATTCGGAATCGTGTCCTGAAAGCCACATCCTTATCCTTGGGCTTGAAGGCCGGGAATCGATTCACCTCCCGTGTCGCCAGGGCGAGTCGGTCATCGTTTGTGTATGGCTTCTCCGCTCCGTCGTCGACGCTGCCGTCGGCATTGGCATAGTTGACCTTTCGTCTCTTCCTTGATGGTTTCTCTGAAGCTCTTGTCGGTGTCGCTGATCCGGGGCACTTGAATGGTTTGGCTAGGCGATCAACGGCATTCACGGATTTGGGCTGCAACGGTGTCTTTACGCCGCCATCGGCACCAGGTGGACGTGGGCGATACCTTGGGGTTTGTTAGCAAGGGCTCCATGCGACTCGATGCGTCAGAACAAAGATCGTACATAATTTCAAACCTCCAAGTTAAAGCTCCTAGGTCGGTTGTCAACCCTCTGTAAACCCCCCTTCTATTGTTGTTGTTAAAATCTGAAGTTGTTGCCACCCTCACGCGCCTGTCTCGCGTCTGCCTGCCACACCAAACTGCCGCGTTGTCACGTGATATTATATCACCCCGCCATTGGCAACGAGATTCACATGGGTGCCCGCAAGCGATGGAGTTTCACACTTCTCGATCAGTGAAGGATGTCGGATTTTTGGGCAGGATACCTGAGTGGTGCCCTTGGAATTGTCATCGGAAATCCTCTCGACGTAATCAAGGTGCGGCTGCAGGCCGGCAATCGCACGGATGCATCTACTACGTCACATCTGAGCCGATTCGAGAAGGCCAGCTCCCTCGTTCGAGGTTTGTGCTGCCATTGAATTGCCTTATTGAATGACCCGTGAACTAACATATTCTATAAAGGTGCGGCCGCTCCGATTCTGGGATATGGAGCACTCAACGCTATCCTTTTTGTGGCTTATAATCGTACATTGAAGTCGATTGATAGCTCCATCATTGACACCACTAAACCAGATGGCGTTTCATTGTCCAAAATCTGGATCGCTGGTGCTGTTGGCGGCATGGCCAGCTGGACTGTGTCTTCGCCAACGGAGTTCATTAAGTGCCGTGCGCAATTGGACCCCCGGCCGGAGGTATCGTCCTGGACTGTTGTCAAGGACATATATCGCCACCGTGGGTGGAGAGGTCTGTATTATGGCGGATCCATCACTGGTGCAAGAGATGCAATTGGTTACGGATTCTAGTAAGTCATGCGCTACTTGATGATCCTCCCCGCATCCCATGACTCTATATCTATATTTACATGTATATCACTGTAAATGATTGTGGATATATAAACTGACCAACTGGAACAGTTTTTGGTCTTACGAATTATGCAAACGATTGATTACAACCGAGAATGAAAGTTCTAACCAAGCTGCACTCAAGGTGCTTCTCTGTGGTGGCATTGCAGGCATTGTCACTTGGGGCTCGGTCTTCCCGCTGGACATGGTGAAGACGAGACTGCAGGCGCAAACTATGCATGACAATGTGGGGGAGGCTGCGGAGGGACGTGCTTTACTTGCCAGTGGACGCCCTCGGCAGACCTTGAACTCATTTCAGATTGCACGGGAAGTTTACCGAGCCGAGGGAGTGCACGCTTTCTATCGGGGGCTCGGGATCTGCAGTATCAGAGCATTTATTGTGAATGCGGTACAAGTATGTTTTCTCCTGATCCTGTCCATTCCAGACCGAGACAATTAACCATTAATAATCGGGTAGTGGGCGGCCTACGAGTGGTTAATGAAGGCTCTGAGCGGTCCGGGGATGGCCCATGGGGTGCCAGCCGAGGGCGGGATCTAGGGCATTGTCTAAAGAGTCTGAGAGTGTGGCTACTGTGTACATAGAGTGGGATTGGCCAAGACAAGAAGATATACCGAAACACCCTTTCTGGTTAGAGCTCCTATTTGGTATTGAGGGATTTCTATTGGAATTACTCCGGGGTACTGGTGGTAAGGGGTAAATTTCGCCCTGATGCCGCATTGCCCGGTTTGAAATCTGCCGATGACCGGCAGTTTTGTGCGATGCCGCAAACCGGCAGAACGGACATCCGGCGACTTTCGGCTATAAAAAAAATTGTTTCACGTGAGCTCCACCGCCTTGCAGCTGTAGGTTCGTGAATATCCAAGTGTCAAAAGTCATGGTCGTCGTTAATGCGCTTTTTTGGTGGAAGGAAAGGCGATCTAATTGAGGAGAGCGCGATGCTGGAAATCGCGACATCTATGCTTGTCGTAGTTCAAGACCCGAATCAAGCAGTCATCTCCATCTTGTCGGCTGTCTTGTCGGCCGCATTGTCCGCCCGCTTGATGTGACCCCTCCAATTCTCGACGACACCCAGACCAACGGCGGCCTCGGCGAGTTCCTGGCTATGAGGTTCTTCTTGAAGGAGGCGCACTCTAGAAGATTGGATGGTTAGCAGTGCAAATTGCCACGGGGTAAAGTGACTTGCGACTCACCTGCGCTTGTGGTTCTTGCCCTTGGTGTGCGCCTTCAAGTTGTAGTCGCTCTCGAACCACTTGGAGCACTCGACACAGAAGTGTCGACCGAGTCCAGGCAGATCCTCTGGATCCTTGCTCGCCTTGTACTGGGCGAGATGGCGCGGCGAGTCGACGTCGGCGATGACCTGGTCATAGTCTCTGTTGGGAGTCAATATGCAGATCTCAAATTTTTTAAAAATTCAGTTTTGAATTTTTCCCGTCCACTCTCCTCTTCCACGTGAACCAATGGTGAATACCACGTACCTGGTGCGACGCTTAGTCTTGATTTTGCGGAGAGCTCCCATCTTGATGTCCGATCACTGAACTAGTGGTATCAAAACGATAGAAGACAGAGAAAAAAAGATATCACCGATTTCCGGAGTGATATGGGGCGGAGTGGAGAGCGGACAACCTTGGCCTGGAAGAGTAAATTGCGCTGACCAGCGTGGGTCAGTGGGTTGCTTGAAACAGGCGGGTGGTGATTGGTCGGTAACCCAGCGGCAAGCCCGTTCGGCACGCCTCGGCTGCTCGTCACCGGTTTACCTCTTTACCTTTCACCCCGTATTTTATGACGTTTGCATGTTGTCGGTCCGGAAATGTACACCAAAACAGAACATAGTTTCGTGTCTAGTTATACTTTCACCCGGAAAGAATGAACGGATCCAGCATCGGTTATTTGTTCAGGGAGGTGTTAATTGATAAATACAAAACAATTCTTACTCACCTATGATGTGTTAAATAAATCTAAACCAGTGGGAATCCCTCAATGATGGGTATCTTATATGGGCCTGATGGGGCAGAACCACATGTCCCCCAATCCATGTGCATCCGAACGGGTGAACGGGGTTCAGGCCGAGTTCAGTGTTCCGCATGTAAATGAAACTCTGCCCGTGCACAGCGCTTTTGCCCTTGGCCCGAGACTCCCTTGGTCCAACCTTGGAGGACTCCCTGTAATCGTAAATCCTGTGATTGGTGAGGATTTCTGCCGCCGTCACATGCCGCGTATTGCCATTACCGCCCTCCTTCCAGGTGTCGTTCTCGATCGAGAGGAGTATGGCAAGGGGTCAAGCACCTTGGTATAAGGTGAATAGATAGGCCTTAAGCTGTAAAGCATTATGAACTAGACATGCCGAGTTTCCATTCGAAAATTCACTCGCAAGGCCAGTCCGAGCATCGCAGAGCTACCGGCATAGGCCCAATCTTCCTAAAGCCTTAGCTTGCCGCATCCGAACGGGCCAAACGGAAGTTTCAATACGGTATGGTATCGCCATGGTAACGGCGGTTACGGCTCTTCGGTCCCAGTCTCTCATCGCCCACTCAAAACCACCAAGCTTTCCCTTCTCGATTTTCATTTTTCCCTTCTTCCTCTCCCACTCTCCACTCTCTTTTGCTACCACTGGTGAAAGTGGTTGTACCTAGAGCTATTCATCATGATCTCCACCCGCCTTGCGCGTGCCGGTGCGCTGGTACGTAACTCACCCTGCATACTTCCTCCAATTTTCCACTGCCGAGGCTGGGCGATGCGCTTGCTTCGTTCATGTCAATCGGGACGTCTCAAAGAGAGACCGTCGAGGGGGATATTCGAACTGAATTCCAGTGAACGAAAAGCTAACATGATGATTCTCTAGGCCTCCAAGTCCCGTGTTGTAAGCACTATCTCTCCAGGCGCAGCAATCGTTCGCATCGCAATCCGGCCTTGGTCGGCACGATGACGATGATGACGATAATACAACTTTGCTTTGCAGCGACTAACCTTCACCCTTTTCTAGCTTTTCGGGGCTCGGGGTTACGCTACCGTTGACCCTCTCGACAAGAAGGTCGAGATGACCAACTCTGAGACTGTGAGTGGCCCAAGCCTTCCATAGGATAGCTCCAAGAAAGTCGGAAAAACCAGCCACTAACGACGATTCGAACTACAGGGTAACTACATCAACTACAAGTACGAATTCCGCTCGCTCAACACAATTTTTTGAACAAAAGTTGAAAAATTGAAAATTTCGTCATGGAATTGACAGCTAACCTGTTTGCGCCCGTTTTAGGAAGATGTCCGAGAACCTCAAGGTCGTCCGCGATCGTCTCCAGCACCCTCTGACCTACTCCGAGAAGGTCATCTACTCTCATCTTGACGACCCCCACAACCAGGAAATCGAGCGTGGTGTTTCTTACCTCAAGCTCCGTCCCGACCGTGTTGCTTGCCAGGATGCCACCGCCCAGATGGCCATTCTTCAGTTCATGTCCGCTGGCATGCCCTCCGTCCAGACCCCCACCACCGTCCACTGTGACCACTTGATTGAGGCCCAGGTCGGTGGCGAGAAGGATCTTGCTCGTGCCAACGACATCAACAAGGAGGTCTACGACTTCCTGTCTTCCTCCACCGCCAAGTACAACATCGGTTTCTGGAAGCCCGGTTCCGGTATCATTCACCAGATCGTTCTGGAGAACTACGCTTTCCCCGGTGGTCTGATGATCGGTACTGACTCTCACACTCCCAACGCTGGTGGTCTCGGTATGGCCGCTATCGGTGTCGGTGGTGCTGATGCCGTCGACGTCATGGCTGGTCTCCCCTGGGAGCTGAAGGCCCCTAAGGTCATTGGTGTCCGTCTCACTGGCAAGATGTCTGGCTGGACTACCCCCAAGGATATCATCCTGAAGGTTGCTGGTCTCCTGACCGTCAAGGGTGGTACTGGTGCCATCATCGAGTACCACGGTCCCGGTGTTGACTCCCTGTCCTGCACTGGTATGGGTACGATCTGTAACATGGGTGCTGAGATTGGTGCTACCACCTCCATCTTCCCCTTCAACGACCGTATGTACGACTACCTGAAGGCCACCAAGCGTCAGCACATTGGTGACTTCGCCCGCGAGTACGCCAAGGACCTCCGTGAGGATGACGGTGCCCGCTACGATCAGCTCATCGAGCTTGACCTTAACACCCTCGAGCCCTACATCAACGGTCCCTTCACCCCCGATCTGGCCACCCCTCTGTCCAAGTTCAAGGAGGCCGTTAAGGAGAACAAGTGGCCCGAGGAGCTCAAGGTTGGTCTGATTGGTTCTTGCACCAACTCCTCCTACGAGGATATGTCCCACGCTGCCTCCATTGCCCGTGATGCTCTGGACCACGGCCTGAAGTCCAAGTCCATCTTCACCATCACCCCTGGTTCCGAGCAAATTCGCGCTACCATTGCCCGTGATGGTCAGCTCCAGACTATGGAGGAGTACGGTGGTGTCATCCTTGCCAACGCCTGTGGTCCTTGCATCGGTCAGTGGGACCGTAAGGACATCAAGAAGGGTGAGGCCAACTCCATCATCTCTTCCTACAACCGTAACTTCACTGGCCGTAACGATGCCAACCCCGCCACCCACGCTTTCGTCGCTTCCCCTGACATTGTCGTCGCCATGACCGTTGCTGGTACCCTGAACTTCAACCCCATGACCGACAAGCTCAAGGACAAGGATGGCAACGAGTTCATGCTCAAGGAGCCCACTGGTGAGGGTCTCCCCAGCCGCGGCTACGACCCCGGTATGGACACCTACCAGGCCCCTCCTGCCAACCGCGAGTCCATCAACGTCGCTGTTTCCCCCTCCAGTGACCGTCTGCAGATCCTGTCTGGCTTCCCCGCCTGGGACGGCAAGGATGCTGAGGATATCCCCATCCTGATCAAGTGCCAGGGCAAGACCACCACTGATCACATCTCCATGGCCGGCCCCTGGTTGAAGTACCGTGGTCACCTGGACAACATCTCCAACAACATGCTGATCGGTGCCGTGAACGAGGAGAACGGTGAGGCCAACAAGGTCAAGAACGCCTTCACTGGCGCCTACGACGCTGTTCCTGCCACTGCCCGTGACTACAAGGCTCGCGGCGTCAAGTGGGTCGTCATTGGTGACTGGAACTACGGTGAGGGTTCTTCCCGTGAGCACGCCGCTCTGGAGCCCCGTCACCTCGGTGGTCTCGCCATCATCGTCCGCTCCTTCGCTCGTATCCACGAGACCAACCTGAAGAAGCAGGGTATGCTGCCCCTGACCTTCTCCGACCCCGCCGACTACGACAAGATCAAGCCCGCCGACAAGGTTGATCTGCTCTGCACCCAGCTTGCGGTCGGCAAGCCCATGACTCTCCGCGTCCACCCTGCTGCCGGTGGCCCTGCTTTCGACGTCTCTCTCAGCCACACCTTCAACGAGCCCCAAATCGAGTGGTTCGTCGATGGTTCCGCCCTGAACACCATGGCCCGCAAGTCCGCCAAATAAATAGACTCATCCTCCTTTTTGATGTCTACTTCGCCCCCATTATTTCGGGAGCCCCGCGGGGATCCTGTGTAAACTATGTTCTCTTGTGACTGTTAGCGAGCCAGAGAGCAGAGTGACATAGCCCTGGGGATAATAAACCGGGCTTGTCGCTGTGTGTGTTTGTCCCTTTTTTGAGCCAGGTATGAGGAGTTGTTGCCCTGGGAAAAATTTTATGATCTTGTTTCTTAGGCCGATTGGTCTCGCGTTGGATTCCCTCTTGGGTCGGCACAATGGATATATTTTTTGATTTACCCTCCATTGTTTAGTATGTCAAAATAGCATGCATGCATTTCCTTCTGTTCGGATTGTTTTCCTATACAAGATGTTGAAGACGTAGTGGTACTAGTAGTACTAGTAGTAGCAGTAGACCTCGAGATGATTCGAGCCCTCGAAGCGGATTTCTGCAAGACCTCCAGGCTGCAATAGTACTTATCCTGTAGTTACTAGCAAATACTAGTTAGTAGTAGTTAACTAGTCGGTCCTTCATTAAGTCATGGTCTCATGACCCTTCAAGTTACTACCTAGACACTACTATCATGATGTTAGCTTCACTGAACACCAAGTACTGCTCGGGCTTAAAATGACATGCATACATCACTGGTATAATGGTAATCGCTGCTAAATCACGTTACACTCACGAGTATTGGCTCAACTTGCGTACTTCCGGTCACAGTGATAAAAGCAAGAAGCAAGGCTCAATCAGCGTATAAATTTTGCTTTAGGCATAAACCTGTATAGGCATGTAGTACTAGTAATGGAAAACTCGTAAAACCTCTCGGAAAATGCGTAACCTCGGGGCTGAGCTAAGCTGCCGAGGCCCAGTTGCCCCGCAGAAAGAACGGCTCCACGATTGCGATGCGCCATCGGAAGCAGTGATGATGCAGCAAGAGACCTGACTACTTAGATCTCGCCTCCCCCATCCCCCACATTTCGTGAAGGTGTATTGTGATTAATAATTGCAGGTAGTGGGTTCGCCCAAGGACGTCGATCGGCTCGAGAGGTACAACCTCACTCAATCTTCTCCCCTCACAGTCACCTCGACATGGCAACGCAGCTTGTTTCTCTGCCAGAGGTCGAGCGTCTCAGCGCCTCGGTCATCCGGATTTTGGCGGGGAACCCGGGGAAGGTGGGAATTCCTATGGGAAATAGAAATGAACGGAGAACAATGGGCTGACAATGTCTCGATATCCTAGTTTACCTTGCAAGGTACTGTTCAATATGCCCAGCTCCACATATTCCAACTGGTTAGGTTTGCACCGAGATGAAAGCTAATTGTACACCTAGGCACAAACACCTACCTCATTGGCCGCGGCCACCAGCGCATTCTCATCGACACCGGTCAGGGTGAGCCCGCATGGGTAAATAACCTGACTTCCGTTCTCTCCTCGGAAAAGGCCACAGTCCACCAGGCCTTACTCACACACTGGCATGGTGACCATGTAGGCGGAGTGAAAGATCTCCTACGTCTTTGTCCCCAGGCTAGCGTGTACAAGTGCGAGCCCGACGAAGATGATGGTCAAGTGGGCATTGTCGATGGGCAAGTATTCAGCGTCGAAGGCGCGACACTGAAAGCTGTGTTTTCGCCAGGTCATACGGAAGATCATATGGCTTTTGTACTAGAAGAGGAGGATGCCATCTTCACCGGGGACAGTGAGTCTTTCCAACGATCTTGAATTCTTTAATTTCTCCGGCTAGGAATGAATGACGGGAATCGGGCTAACCAGGGCATGACGATAGATGTCCTCGGGCACGGCACTGCTGTCTTCGAAAACCTGAAAACTTACGTCTCTAGCTTACACCGTATGCGCGACCGGGTTCAGGGCCGTGGGTATCCTGGACATGGCGCTGTGATGGAGAATGTTAATATCCGGATATCGGAGTATATCAAACATCGGAAGCAGCGGGAGGACGAAGTAGCGCGTGTTTTACGATGGGGAAAGCTGGATGTGAGTCCTGGAGAGCGATCACCAGAGCCGAAGCGCTCATGGACACCGCTACAGTTGGTGAAGGTGATCTATAAGGATGTGCCGGAGAATCTGCATCTGCCGGCATCGCATGGGATTGGGCTGGTTTTACACAAGTTGGAGGATGAGGGGCGGGTGGTACATGATTCTGAGTCTGGGGAGTGGAGGCTCAGTGAGAAGTCTGCATTATGAACCTGGGTATAGAATGGATTGCTCCCTCTAGAGGAATGTTGAGAATGACTTGGAATGGCATGATTATGATTATCACCCTTGTGCGACCGCAGGGGAAGTTGGTACTGTCGGGTCTAGATCCGGGCTTGTATTCCCCTGATCTCAGGTGCCTGAGCGTATTCTATAAAGTACTGGATAGTACTACTAGTATTCTTGGTATGTGTATATAGATACTTGGCCGGCGACGTCAGTGCGGTGTCATGTCGGGCATCGAGAGAAGACCCATGCAGCATCCAATCACAACGCTGCGAGCCCCCCCTGCTTCAAGCAGGACAGGGTTATCGCAGGAAGCAGTCAGAAAAGAATCTGCGTGCACTTAAAAAGAACTCTGCCCATCATCATCCCCCATCACCCCCCCCCTGTTGGTTGCCCATGCCAATGTGAGTGCTATTGAGGAGCTCCACTGTAGCAATTCCAAGTTTCGGGGCGTGACCTCACTCTCCTCATCTCTCCTCATTCTCTCCCCACCCTTGTTCCGCTGTCCGCCTTTTCCATTTCTTTTCTCTTTGGGAGTTGCTTCAAGCCTGGGTCTTGGTGTCTTTCAAAGGTATTTATTCTGTATTCCGCATTCTTTAAATCCCTTTCCGATAAAGGTCCGGGCTTTGGCTAATTGTGCTCCGCAAAATGCAGGCGTTGCCTCTCTTCAACGGACGCCGGTCTCGTACCCCACCATCTTTTCCTCTGGTTACCAGCATCCATTCGTGGTTTAAACCACCCGAAGCACCTGGTCGACACTCTCCGAGTTCCCCGCGACCATGCCTCGTCTCGATGAGCCCAAGAACGAAGCTCGACTTCTCCTCGTCTCCAACCGTCTGCCGATCACCATCAAGCGCTCCGAAGATGGGAAATACGACTTCTCCATGTCCTCTGGAGGGTTGGTTAGTGGTTTAAGTGGTCTATCCAAATCCACGACCTTCCAATGGTATGGCTGGCCGGGTCTGGAGGTACCAGAACCCGAAATTCCCGTCGTCAAGCAGCGTTTGAAGGAGGAGTACGGTGCCGTACCCGTCTTTATTGATGATGAGCTCGCAGATCGTCACTATAATGGTTTCTCTAGTGTGTACCCTTCCATTCCTATAAAAATCCCCTACAGAGGCCACCTGCCCTGCGGAAGGGTGAGAGCTCCCCGCGTTTCATACTGACAGTCTCACCACTCTACAGACTCTATCCTCTGGCCGCTGTTTCATTATCACCCAGGTGAGATTACATTTGACGAGTCCGCCTGGGAAGCATACAAGGAGGCCAATCGCCTCTTCGCCAAGGCCATTGCCAAGGAAGTCCAGGATGGCGATTTGATCTGGGTGCATGACTATCACCTCATGTTGCTGCCGGAGATGCTGCGCGAGGAGATCGGTGACAGCAAGCAGAATGTCAAGATTGGCTTCTTCTTGCACACTCCTTTCCCTAGCAGTGAAATCTACCGTATCCTACCTGTTCGCAATGAGCTTCTCCTGGGCGTGTTACATTGCGATTTGATTGGTTTCCACACCTACGACTACACTCGCCATTTCCTGAGCAGTTGCTCCCGCTTACTGTAAGTTGGTTCTCGGAGAGACATTCCTTTGGTTCCAGTTACTAACTAGTCTAGTGGTTTGGCGACCACACCAAATGGCATTGAGTTCCAGGGTAAGATCATCACCTGCGGCGCCTTTCCGATCGGTATCGACCCCGAGAAATTCAAGGAGGGTCTGAAGAAAGAGAAAGTCCAAAAGCGCATTGCGATGCTGGAGCAGAAATTCCAGGGCGTGAAGCTGATGGTCGGCGTGGACCGCCTCGACTACATCAAGGGTGTGCCCCAAAAGTTACATGCGCTGGAGGTGTTTCTTAGTGACCACCCAGAGTGGGTGGGTAAGGTTGTTCTTGTTCAAGTGGCTGTTCCAAGCCGACAGGATGTCGAGGAGTATCAAAACCTACGCGCTGTGGTGAACGAGTTGGTCGGCCGTATCAACGGAAAATTTGGTTCGTAACCTGCGTCGATGGTCCGTTCTAGTCCGTGCTAACCCTTTCGCAGGCACCGTCGAATTCATGCCTATACACTTCCTGCATAAGTCTGTCAACTTTGATGAGCTCATCGCACTTTACGCTGTATCGGACGCCTGCATCGTTTCGTCTACACGAGATGGTATGAACCTGGTCGCCTACGAGTACATTGCCACGCAACAGAAGCGTCATGGTGTCCTCGTGCTCTCCGAATTCGCCGGAGCTGCTCAAAGTCTAAACGGAAGCATCATCGTCAATCCCTGGAACACGGAAGAGCTGGCGGGTGCATACCAAGAAGCTGTCACAATGAGTGATGAACAGCGGGCACTCAACTTTGCTAAGCTGGACAAATACGTGTCCAAATACACCAGCGCATTCTGGGGCCAATCCTTTGTCACCGAATTGACCCGCATATCAGCCCACTCGGCAGATAAATTTCAAGCCACGAAGTTGGCTCTTGCTGATAATTCGACGGATGGCGAAGTCTCAGCCACGCCATCCGAGAAGGCCACGTAAGTAGTGCGGCTTTCTGTGCAGGCAATGGACCTTCAACGAACCTAGATGCTCTCATGAAATGGATGTGGCGAAATGTATTTGATCTTTCTTCTGCTTGGGTTGCGTGGGATTTGTGTTCTCTTTGACAGACGGCGAGTTTCGGTATCATCTTCTGCTAGACGCTTAAACACTCAGGTGTGGCTCGACTCTCTACTCTACATAATAAACTAGCAATAGTAAATTGTTCTAGAATAACTAGCCGTGATTTATCGATTTAGATTATCGGCTAGCGAAAGCCAAAGCCACCATCAGCATCCGCCCAGGTTTCAATAGTTTGCCAGGAACCCCCGGGGGTCTTTGTGATTTGTTCGGTCATCACATCGCCCTGGGATATGCCATGACAAATGGCATGCTAAAACAAATGCTGTCTTGTAAGGGGATTGTTCTTGTACCCGCGAAACCTGTTTACCGGTATAGTCCAAATCTCAATACTTGCCATGAACACTCGTTCGAACTTAAACTTGAAGTGTTTAGGATAGTCTTTGGCCTGGATTTTATCCACATTTGCCATTTTCAAGTTGCTCTGTATGTTGAGCATAAAGCTGATATGATAGAGTAATCCAGGAAGTTTACTTTGAGAACTACTAGTATTGCACATTCATCGTTTACCTTGGATAAATGCTTCCTTTTAAATCGGGCCCTTGCCAAGGAATCGGAATAATTTCTGATCATCTGAGATATTATTTGCCGTGCTTTAGTTTCTGGAGTCAAATCTTTTGGCTATAATTTTAACAAGATAAACAAGACCTAAAAGGACAGGAACCTCTATCAGCGGGCTGGCAGTCGCAGCAAGTGCTTGATTACTGTTGGCCCCGAAAGTCGAGACAGAAACAGCAACGGCAAGCTCAAAGTTATTGCTGGCTGCCGTGAGACTCTGAGTTGTGGCCAACTTATAGCCAAAACCGAACTTATAGGCCACATGAAGCGTAGCGGGGAAGACGATGATGAAGTAAACAACCAGCGGAGCAGCGACCCGAATCACTGATACAATCTGGTGGACGACTTGGTGTCCCTGAGACGTCAGCCAAACAAGAATTGTAAAGGGTAGTCCGATAAGTGACCAAGGCCCCATCCACTTCAGGAACACTTGATCATACCAGCGAGGGCTCGCGATATTTCGAAGAAAGATACGGGTGATGATTGCCGCGCCCAATGGTATGCCCAGAAACACAGCCACACTTTTCGCAACAACAGAAGAGGAGAGTGAAATATGTGTTCCCGAGTGGCTGGTAATTTTAATAAAAAAGACAGCATATGGTGCAAATAATACCATCTGCAATAGCGAGTTAAGAGCAACAAGTATAGCACATCATTCATCATCACCGCCAGCAAGGCTAGTCCAGATAAGAACCATTGCTATACATCTTGCCAATCCAACGAGAATGAGCCCTTTTTGAAGCTCAGGCTCGTCTGGGAGAAAGGCCCAAGCTAGAGCCAGCTGAATGAAAGCAGTTACCAAGGAAATCCATGATAACTCACAGAGCCGAGTACATACCATTAAGGGCGGGGAAATTATCCAGTTAATGACGATACTGAATAGAAGTTGAATCCAGACCCCCCCCGGTCTCGGAAATCATGGCGCAGGGATTCAAATCGTACTTTGCAAAGTATAGGATACATCATCACCAAAAGACCGATTGCTACCCAGCATAAGTTCCGCCTCGTAACCACTTTCGACATGAGTATTGAGAGAACATACCAATTGGAATGGAAACTCCAACAATATTTCCTTTCTGAAGGGCAGGGCCTGTATTCTCCACGAAATTTCCCAGAATAATTCACATAGCCATGGCAAGGAGGATCCATATGGCAAGAAACCGGTCCAACCAGCCAAGAGATTTGAAGGCTGATTGCTTGCTGGTACTTGTAGACTTGTTTGTTTCATCCACTTTTTGGTCTTCAACATTTTTCATTACCCAGCCTGGAGGGTGAATGCTCAGCTCTGATTTATGGGTCTTCCGTCGTTCATAATGCGGCTGCAACCAACTGAGGCCCGCCGGCGGGTGCTATGATGGCCATCTCAAGCGTTGTTAAGTCGGTGAGTAGCAGTGTATAGAGAGACCTCGAAAGGCAGGATTTTATTTCTAGGCATTTTGTATGAAACAAAAGTCCGGGTCGGCCTTATGAAATATATTTTTTAAATATTAGCTCTGGCTACTGTAGATAGTTGGGGAATTGACCAATCAAATTAAACCAGTGACATGCTGTACTAGTGGTACTAAGAAAATTATCTCTCAACAATTTCAATAGACTAACTTGCTAAACAATTCAATGAATTGGGATTTGGAGGAATGCTAACTCCTCTTGTGAAATTTGGCTATAACTTCACTACAAAATATTCCTGGTTTCGAGCGGGCCCCTCAGAAGGCCCAAGAACGAGTCGTTGGATTTCCATCAAGGAAATAACGTTCAAGGAGCATTGAACAAGAAACATTCAATGAAAATGTAAAGGGAGAAAAGCTAGAAACAAAACAAGACTCGGACTGCGTAAATATCTAAAGCTCAAGCATAAACTTTCAAGGTTTCCAATCTTACAACCCAGTACTGGCGCTCGAGGTTCAGAAAAGAAAGAGAAATTTCAAGACCCGAATCGGTTTAGTACAAGGAGTGGGCCTGTCAGTATATTATAACAACAAGCTCAACAATTAGAGCAATTCAATGATATCTACCTAGGTACATCGTGATTTGACTAATGTTGATATCAAGTTGAACTGTAGTTCAGGTTCTCCGTTTCAATCCCGCAGTGACTCCTTCCCGAGTCTGCCTTGACCCACGCCTTCGTATTCTTCACTCTTCACTCCTCACTCCGCCACACTCCATCATAAGTGAGTCATGCAGCCTGACCTATATCTACTCCTCTTCTCAATGATTTATCTACCGTAACATTAAAAAGGAAAAAAAAACCAATCGACAACAAGATGTCGAACTTCTCCAGACGACCAAACAAGGAGCAGCGCACGGCTCTAGCTCAGCAGACGCTTGCGCTCACAACGCGGATCATCAACACTACCAATGCCACCAGAGAAGCGGATCTATACTCCACACTTCTACCCCGAATTACCCCAGATCCAAATGGAACAAGACCAAGAGTTACAGTTCAAAACAGTGACAGCTTCACAGCTGCCCGTCTCATTCTGGAAACCAACCCGACCGCAAAAATTGGCGTTTTGAATATGGCTAGCGAGCGGCATCCCGGAGGTGGATGGCTTCGTGGAGCACTCGCGCAAGAAGAGGCTCTGTGTTTTCGCAGCACACTGGCTGCAACTCTGCATAGGCAATACTATCCGTTACCGGTTTTCGGAACTATTTGGTCGCCAAACGTCACTATATTCAAGGATGAGGTGGATACCTGGTTTCGGGTTTACCAACCGGCTGAGATGTTTACTGTTGGAGTTGTCAGTCTGGCAGCTCTGAGAAGGCCCCTTCTTACACGCGATAAGAAAAATTACGGTATGGGATGTTCATTACCCCTTGAATCATTTGGATAAGATACTAATATCTCTAAAGCCCGTCCACAAGATCTTCGAACCGTCAAGGATAAAATCAGACAGGTGTTCCGCGTTCTCGCAGTCAATGGGACCACGTACTGTGTGATGGGGGCTATGGGATGTGGTGCATTCCAAAATCCTCCAGTCGTGGTCGCTCAGTGTTTTAAAGATGTGCTCGCGGAAGGAGAGTTTAATGGCGCATTTGAAGAAATCATATTCGCAGTTTTGGATAGCAGAGCGGAAGGAAACTTCGAGATATTCCGCGATGTCTTAGAGACAGCCTGAGAGTGAAAATTCATTTCGATTGATACGAAGGCGTTTGAATTTCGTGGAAAATACAGGACCTGCCCCTGGCCGTGATCGTCTGCCATAAACAATTTATCTCGTATGCTACTCTGCCATTTAGAAAAAAGTCTCATACTATGTGATGCATGAAAGCTTTTCTGTTCTTGTCAATAATAGAATCTTCTAATCAAACATCTTCCACCGCGAGAACTTGCTGGGTTGAGCAATGGATAACACCCCCAGCCAACGGAAGCCCAGTAACACGAACAGGTCGAACCACCCGATCGGGGCATAACTTCTGCAATATCTCAACAGCTTCTCGGTCCTTTTGCTGATCTCCAAATTGAGGAAGAATGAGACCGCCATTCACGAAGTAGAAGTTGACATAGTTCGTGGCTGGTTCTTCGTACGCAAGATCGCCGAAAACATTGGGGCTTGGTTCATCCACGGTATGAACCTTGAAGGGTCGACCTTTTGCGTCAACAGAGTTGCTCAAAATTTCTTTGATCTCCTCGTATATCTCTAGCCATGCCGACGGAACTGTTGGGTCCGGCTTTGAGAGCACAACAATCCCCGGCCGAATGAAGGCAACTTCGGCATCGGCGTGTACATCCGTGACATCCAGGTCTTTCCTGCCGGGAAACCAAATTATCTTCTCGACTCCCAGCACGCGCTTCAACTCTGCCTCAATCTCCTCCCGTGAAAGCCCTGGATTCCGGTTCTCGTTGAGAATGCTACTCTCTGTGGCAAGGAGAGTTCCATCACCATCAACAACAAGTGCCCCGCCCTCGACGCAAATATTTGACTCTACTATTGTGACAGGGGAAGGAGAGGAGTCGGATTTCATGACCCTTTCGGCAAATGTGTTGTTTTCTTCGAGTTGTTTTGGGGCCATGACAGGCCAGTCAAGACCATCAGACGCACGGTCGTGATCACCAATGTCGTCTTTCTTGCCCCATTCGCTGAACCGGAAATTAATCGCAAAACGCTTCTGCTGAGAAATTTCATCAAGCCTCTGAACATAGACAGGGCCAGTGTCGCGGACCCAGAGATGATTTGTTTGGAAGGGGATGAAGGATATGTTTGTTATGTCGCTGGGATACGTCTCGCTGGTAAGCTTGATCATTGATTTTGCCTTTTCCACATCTTCTGAACGAGCATATAGTCTCACTGGCTCAAAAGCCGATATAGCGGATGCCAGACTAGCAATATCGATGCACGCATGTTCATAATATGCCGGGGCGAGGGCGTATCTGGACGGAAAGCCGAGGATGGTTGCAGCGTGCCGGGACGTCTCCGCTGGGTAGAGATATCTCCCAACACCCTTTGCAATGACAGATGTCATTTTAGAAGTCGTAATACTACCGCAGCACCGGTAGCCTTTGTTGAGAATGCCCTTTTCTCGGAAGGAAAGTTATTGAGCTTCTGTCGGTCAGATATCTGGGACTGGCGACATGTGGACACTACCTAGGTACTTTGATGCACAACCCAATGGGTATAGGAAATTTGGAGGAGGATTGCCGGTATTTGTATCGAGGTTGTCTTGGGGTGGGCGGACTCGTGTCCGCCAGACAGAGTTTACGTAGTTACCTGGGGTCATCTTGGCGAAATCGTAAGTAGTCTGACTAATGTACCTCAATGTAACATGCTAGGCCCTGGACAAATCTCCCTTATTCCATGGGTTTTGAAGAGATTTAATATTCCTATTAGAAAGCCTATGTGCCATCTCTTTTCAAAATATAATTACCTCCGAGTCCTAGGAGCGAATGCAGATGTGGTAAATGGACCGCTTCCGTATTCATGGGTTTCTATGCGGTCATTTATCCGGCCATGACCTGTGATTTTCTAGTAAACAAACAGATAGACCCGACAAAGCTGCCAGTGAGAACGTCCTTCGGTCTTGTACCTAAGCAGCCAGCACGCTCGTATGACGTCCACAAAGATTCAAGTTGCCAAGGCTGAGTTCTCCTTGATACTACATGACCCATTTTTGCATTCTTTGCAATGAGCTTTCTCGTCCATATAGATGAGTAATCTTTTATCGTTCTGGAAAGACCTCCAATGTAATTTGGATGCTCGATTTTCTATACTATTTGAATAATGCTCCGTCACGGTGCTGTACATGCGTAGATAAGGCTTTAGATTTATAGCTCTTCGTGGTCACTCAGCTGTTGAAGATCCATTATTTTTTGGATTTCTTCTTCCGTTTTTTTCCATTTTGCAGTTGCTTCAAGATGGAAGAAAGCAAAGCGAGCACCAGCTAGAGCTTCGAGTAGAATATCCGTGCCCCTCGTGCCTCCAATGAATCTAACATGGTCGCCAATATTTTCTCTAACGGCCTGTGATATGATTGGCCTATCATGAGAATTACCCAGGATGATAACTTTGTCGAATGTTGAATATGTTTGGTTAGACTCTTGCCCTTCCCGGGGTTTGAGCTCTGTAAAAGATTTATTTAGTTGACCCAAAAAACGGCATGCACCAAGCAATTTCAAGAATAACAGGATTTCTTTTCTTACCCTTGAGGCAATTGTGGAGGTCATCCAATGTTTCTGCCAGCTCGCTGACGTACTCAGCCTCAACCGACCTCATATCGTCCCAGTAGATGAAAGACTCCTTCTTCTGCCCAATCCACCAATCATCTAGATCAAGAGGCCATTTTTCGGGCACTTCTTTTTTAGACGCTTCCTCATCCGACAGATCCACACCAATATCCATCTTCATCAGCCAGCGTGATTGATGAACTGCCTTAACCAGAGTATCAAATGACGCCCCTTGGGCGAGCTGTTGCTGGATGTCCATGTTGGTTGATTTTAGTCTGTTGGCAAGTTTGAAGATAATCTTCGCAGAGCCCATTGAGTCAATTGGGTAGTTCAGTTTGCACCGGCTACCATATGTACGAACATCGAAGTGCCATATGCCATAATCGATGATTAGGAGCTTTTGCGGTCGAGCAGCCTTTTCGATGGTGGGATTTGGTTCCAGTATATTCTCGAATCTGCTTAATAACCAATCGGGGCTCTCTTGAAACAAGGGCATAATACCGACTTCCCTTGCGGCCTCGACAACAAGATTTTGAACCTCACGACTGAAAAAGCGTGGGAACAAGATGACCGCCGATGTGATATTTGTACCATGATCCTCCAAGGCGACTTCTTTCACTCGTTGGAATGCCTCCAAAAAGCCGAGCCTGGTCTGATTTGTCGAAGGTTCTCCGGTTTCTTCTATATTTGGTGGGGTTGGGGTTTTGAAGCCAAATAAAGCAGCTCGTAGATGATACAGCTTGCCCCAAAGGGCAGAAAAACGCCGAGGCTTGGCATGACGTTCTCTATAATACTTTGCGCGAAGCGTTCTCATCGATGTAGCGTATTTTCGAAGAGGTGATTCAATAGATCGAGAATCCTCAGCTGCTAGGGTGACAGCCTGGTCAAGGGAAGGGATACAGAGAGCAGTCCTGAAATATCATGAAATTAGTTGTTCATCACCGACATTGCAACCGGGAAAAGTCTCACACTGCATCAAGAGACAAGTTGATTCCAATGGCTTGTCCATCCTGCATATCGCTACATGGTGGTAAATTTGAGGCAAAGATCAGTCCCAAGCAAGAGAGGAGAAGAATCGCTCTGAGCCAAGATGATACCCTAAGGATTACCATGTCTTGATCGTCTACCCCGTCAGCCCTCGCTGAGCTTTTTGGCGCCCCTGATCTCCCAAAGTATAGATGTAAGAGCAGCAGATATCCAATGAGTGACAACCTTAGAGCGACCAGATTATGCAATGGAATTTGTCGAGGCTGAAGATGTGCAAAATCACACTAGACGAAAGGTAGACATCACGTGGGTGATTCCGTTTGGACTAGCTCCTGGTGGGCGTAGACGTATCTAAGAGGATGACCTCGGGCCCAGCCATCTGGAGGTAAAAATAGTAAGTTGTAACTATGGTATTCTTCAGTGTCGCCCATCACTTATGTTGAATCTGGACAGTTCTATAAGCAAAACCAAAAATCAGGCATCATTAATGCCTGAGGCATAAATAGCACACAAGTGCAAACAGCACAAACCAATCCCGAGAATTTCTCAGGCTTCACTTCCACCTCCGCAACTTGTCCGCTGCCTTCCCCAATTCGCCCAGCTCCATTGCCGGATTACCTTCCCGTTATTTGTCTCCTTATCCTCTGAGAGGCAATCTAGGGCACCGCAATCGGCAACTGTTTCAACATGGGACCCAGTCGAATCTTCCGGGCTGCGCTGCCCATCCGGTCTATCGGATCGCCATTGACCCTGGCACGACCAACTCTCCTCCAATCCACATACTCACTTTTCCAACCCCTCCGACATGCCTCAACAGAATATGCTAGTCCCGAGCAGCACATCTCCCCAGAGGAGCCAACCATCACATCACCCTCCCCCTCGAACACAGCAAAGCCTAGACTCCAAAAACTGCAACCACCTGCCGAGCTACGCAAATACGCCTACGCCGTCAAGGCCGGCACTGTCGTGTCAGTCGGTCGCATGCAAGGTACCGTTACCGTCTTGCACCGCCACAATGCCTGGGACAAGCGCATTCGCAAGTTTTACCCCCAGGAAACACGTTTCCTTGTCGCCGACCCCCAGAACTCTCTCCGCGAGGGCGACGTGATCGAGTTCTCATCCGGTGCTCCCAAGAGCCGCCACGTCAGCCACATCGTCGAGCGCATCGTTACACCTTTTGCCACACCCATCCAGGACCGTCCGGCTGTTCTGTCGCGTGAGGAACGTCAAGCACAGCGTGAGCAGGGCTGGGCTGCCAAGTACCTGCGCCGGGAGTCGCGGCGACTTGGAGAGGAGATTGATATCAAGCAATACACCAGCAACCTTGTGAAGCAGGGCAAGCAGTATTCGGATGCCGAATTGATCCGCTTATATCACGCCAACGGGGACGGTCCTCGCGTTGGAAGAATCAAGGGCCTGGTTCAACAGCGAACTGCGGCGATGAAGGAGGCCCAGAGACCTGAGAAAGAGCGTGCTCGTCAAGACTGGCTCCAACGGAAGGAGACCTGGGAGCTCCACGAAGCTGCCCGTCAGCAAGCGAAGCAGCTGGAGGATGCCCGCCAGGAATAAGCTTTGTTTCGAGTGACGCGTGAGAATTATGTGCCTTGAGAATATCAGCGTCATTTCTTGAGCTCAACTCTTGATACTGGAGCATTTTTCATTCTGATATCCATGCTTATTTCTGTTGCTGTCAGGTCTTTGTACTATATATACTACTACTACCATCTATACATTTTCTTGTTATAACCACCCCTTCAAGTTTCAATTATCCAAGCTACACTGTTCCAGTCCCAACTATACCCGACCTCAGGAGACACTGACCTTAATTGTCTGGGAAGGGGACATTGGGGGGTCTATTTATGACAAATCTTTGAGAGCTATTCCAAGAGAGATTTTACGTAACGACGTGTTCCAAGAGGCGCAGCATTCAGTACTGGTACAGGTTGGCCTATTTAAAGTTGACATTGGCAAAAGCATACGCTAACCATCGTAAAATCCATTATTGTATGTACGAGAGAGCCACAAAAGGGGGCAGATCCCAAAATCAAACTTGTGTGTACATGATGAAAAGAATTGAGGGAACTGTTCCTCTCGACCAAGTCGGGAACTCGATCCCTTAAATCACTTGCAAATGGAAAGTAGGTTACTGGTATCACGGAAGAGAAACCAACTCCTTGCCCAGAAATGACGAACGAAAATCCTTCTAGCCTTGATCTCTCCAATGAACCGGGGAGAGATCCTGAGTACCGTTACTTCGTAGATGAATTGATATGGCAGCTGAGTTGAGCTGAAATGAGCTGAGCTTAGCTTACCAAATCTTTGGCTTTTTCTTTTTCTTTTTTCTGTCTCACGAGGCGAACACCTTGACCTTCTTATCAACACTGCCAGTGGCGAGCACGCATCGGATGGACATCTTGTATGCAGCATTTGGATCATCCTTGGTCCCATTCGCTGTATTCGTGCCATTTGCCCCATCATCGCCGCCGACCCCGGTATCTTTGATCAAGGGTGGAGCCCAGCGTATTGAGGTAACGAAGCGATCATGAGCTTCGACTGTACGAACGCACTTGCATTCTTGGGTGAGATCCCAGCATCGTATTGTTTTATCATCTGACACCGAGATCAGGTATTTGCCGCCGGGATGGAACGTTATACTCCGCACCCAATTGTCATGACCAACCAGGGTCTTGAGTAGGTTACCCCTGGCATCCCAGAGGCGTATGATTTTGTCACGACCGGCTGTCGCAACAAACTCAGCAGATGATGATGCAGGTGGCGGCTTCTTGTAGCCTGCAAGAGGCGCGAGGTGTGGGTAAGTCGTGAACGGGGCGAGGGCAACACACTCAATGTTGTGCTCATGGCCCAAGAACGTTGCCTTGGTTTCTCCTGAAGAAACATCCCAAAGACGGGCAACTCGATCATCTCCAGCAGAAAAGAGGTACCTGCCGTCTGGCGACGGCACAACATCACGCACCCATGCGGCATGCCCTGATAGCGTCTTAACACAGTATCCAGTAGTGACGTCCCAAATCTTCAATGTCATATCACGAGAAGCCGACACCAACAAATTACCAGACATTGGTGAGCCGGCGGCTCCTGATGGGATAAATCGTACGGCGGAAACGCTGTGGTCATGACCGGGCAAGGTGCGGATGTTTTTATAATCATCGGCGGGGTCCCACAACTTGATATTCAGATCGGAGGAACATGATGCAAGGAGAGTACCCCTCTCGCGGACCACCATAATCTACATCAAGCACTGCCCTCGTGTGGCCTTTGATTGTACGCTCGAGTTCTCCTAGCTCCCAATCCCAGATTTTGATTGTAGTATCCTCCGACCCAGAGGCAAGGGATGAGTAGACGGGGTGAAAAGCAACGCAAGTGACAGGTTCTCGGTGCGACTCGAGATCATGGCGAGCCGGAATTTTGGGCAACCAGGACGCCGGGTCCTGGTTTCGTCGTGAGAGAGATGTGGGAGTGGCGGTGTCTATTTCAGTTTGTAGGGAGGCGCATCGCGATTCCAAGTCCATAATCTACCAGCCCCATGGCCAATCAGCCCCATGAACTCTCTCGTGGTGCAGTATTTAGGAATGTAGCCCACCTTTTTTTGGAGTCGAACGATACTAGTCCATTTCTTCTCCAGTAGCCCCTCATATTTCTTGAGGGTTGTGTCGTCAACTGTGATGGAGTCGCCAAGCTCCTCTCGAAGTGCAGCGGAGCTCTGGGTGAGGTTTGCGGAGGCCAGATAGGCTATGATTGACTTGTGTCTGTAAACAAAGAGGCGATTATTAAAATGAAACAGTCAAAAGGGCTTCTTCTAGAAACCTACAGCTCCTCCGCCTGTCGCGCCGTGAGTAGCTGGCTCATGGTGCCGGCGGCTTTTTGTGTGTCCCCTCAATGCACCTCCGCCTGCGCCGGAGGCCGTCAATCACAAAGGATGGAGAAACCGGGGGAGGGTTCGCGGGAATTCGAAATATGCAGATATCGAGTGCGATCGAGGAATAGAGTAGAATAGATCACCCCAAGTCCAAGTACAAAGTTCCAGGGAGAGACAAGTTCGGGATCACAGAGATCCACCGCGGGGTTACAAACAAAACAATCCTCGACACCGCCAAGACCGCTTGTTTACTTTCCTTTCTTTTCCGCAACGACCTCCTCAAAACAATTACATTTTCATTCCCTCCTGACCCGCCAGTTCGATTCGACCTGATCATTGCATATTTTGAGGTCTCCCAAAGTAGCGCCTACTTTTGAATTTCGCATGCTACCATATCATTTCCTTTTCCGACTACCGCCTGAGAGCGTCTCAAATCTCTCCCCATCCGTTGCTTGGGCACCAAACCAGACGGTAACAGATCTCCCCCAAAGCCCCCCCACTGCGTCATCCCGGAATACTATCGCCTCGTTCTTCTTCTTGATTTCTTTCTTCTTCTCTCTACTTCGATCTCTACCTGCTGTGCGCATACCGTCTTTGGTCCAGTTTACTGATACTCGTGGTCCTTCAGTGATTCGTCAAACCCAATTCATCCATAACCAGCCCAGCCCGCCATCATGGCCGAGGCCGAGCAAGACTTCTCTTCCCTACCGCTAGCTGACCGGTTCGCTCACAAGGTGCGCTTTGGTCCCTACGTCTTTAGAGAAACAATGGGAGGTGACGATGAGGGACAACGCTAATACTACAGTTTCAACCAACAGAACTGGAAAGTACGGAAGGAAGGATACGAGGACGCCAAAGCACAATTCGAAAAGACCCCCGACGAATCAGACCCAGCATTCACTCCGTTTCTGCAAGATCCCAGTCTATGGAAAGGGGCGGTCGCCGATTCCAACGTGGCTGCGCAGATCGAGGGACTCGGAGCGTACTGTGCATTCTTGAAGTTCGGAGGCGCAGCGGCATGTACAAGGTGGGTTTAAAGTTTCGCGAGTCATCCGTGTCAAGTGAAGAAAGGAATTGCTAATGTTGGGGTCAGGACTCGGAATTTCACGGTCGGCCCGATTGCGGAGAAGGGCCTCCCCTGCACCAGACCGGCCGGTAAGGCCAGCGCGCAAGAAGCTCTCCTATTATGTGTCGAAATCGACAAAGCGGATCCAGTTCTCGAAGACCTCCTACCTACACTATCCCACAAAGTGCCAAAAGTTATCGCCGGTGCCCTAGCGGCCTTGACTGTGATCTACCATAATTTCGGATGCAAGATTGTGGATCCGAAGCCCACTCTCAAAGCGTTGCCCAAGGCTTTCAGTCACGCAGACAAAAATGTCCGAGCAGAGGCACAAAATGTGACGGTTGAGTTATATCGATGGCTCCGTGAGGCTATCAAGCCTCTTTTCTGGGCCGAATTAAAGCCTGTCCAGCAGCAAGATCTGGAGAAGCTCTTTGAGAAAGTGAAGGAAGAGCCGACACCCAAACAAGAGCGATTCACTCGCGCCCAACAAGATGCGATGGCTACGGCTAGTGCCACTCCTGGTGGAGCTGACGGTGTCGATGAGGAGGGAGGCGAGGAGTTTGTCGAGGAAGAGGCAGAAGAAGTCGATGCTTTCGATCTTGCGGAGCCCGTCGACGTCATGCCTAAAGTTCCAAAGGATCTTCACGACCAACTCGGATCATCGAAATGGAAAGACCGGAAGGAAGCTTTGGATGCTCTTTACAACGCCATCAACGTGCCCCGTATTAAGGACGGTCCTTATGACGATATTGTGCGGGCTCTGGCTAAGTGCATGAAGGATGCCAATATTGCAGTTGCCACAGTGGCAGGCAACTGTGTTGATGTCCTGGCCAAGGGTCTACGTGAGGGATTTGCGAAGTACCGATCTACCATCATGGTTCCCATGCTGGAGCGTCTGAAAGAAAAGAAAGTGACTGTAGCAGAATCTATTGGTCAGGCCTTGGACTCCGTTTTCTCATCAACTGATCTCTCTGAGTGCCTAGAAGACATTCTGGAATATCTCAAGCACAAAAACCCGCAGATCAAACAAGAAACCGTCAAGTTCCTTATCCGCTGCCTTCGCACAACCAGAACTGTTCCAGCCAAGCCAGAACAAAAGTTAATTGCCGACGCGGGTACCAAGCTACTCACAGAGTCGACAGAGGCTATCCGGTCAGGGGGTGCTGAGGTCTTGGGAACGATGATGAAGATTCTCGGTGAACGCGCTATGAACCCATACCTGGAAGGTCTTGACGAAATCCGGAAAACCAAAGTAAAGGAGTTCTTCGAGACTGCCGAGGTGAAGGCTAAGGAACGCCCTAAGGCCATCGTTGCTCCTCCCAAGCCTGCAGCCCCTGCGGGGAAGAAGGTTTTGCCGGGAAAGAAGCCCGCAGTAGGCCAGAAGAAGCCCGTTGCTGCGGCTGCTGCACCTGCCCAAGATCCTCCTGCTGCTAGACCCGCGGCTAAGGCGATTCCCTCGAAGCTCGGCGGTCTTTCCAAGCCGGGCCTGGCTGCACCTGGATCAAAGCTCCGAAGTAAGCTTGGTGGGCCAGGTGGTGTGGCTTCTCCACAAAGGAGAGTCGCTGAGCCGCCTGCTGAAGAGGCAGCCCCAGCTCCAGCTCAGCCCAAGTTTGGTCTTGGTCGTGGTCTTGCAGGCCGCCCGATTGCGAAGCCGGCGGCCCCTGTCGAGACTGCCCCGCCTCCACCTCCAGCTCCGGCTGGAATGACCGCAGCCGAGAAAGCGGAGATGGAGGAACTTCGCTCAGAGCGGGAACGGCTCGCCCATACGATTGAGGACATGAAATCGGAGCGATCAAGCCTCAATTCCCAAATTACTGAGCTTCAAAACCAGAACGCACAGTTGATTGAGGATCATACAAGAGATGTATTAAGCATCAAGGCGAAGGAGACCCAATTAGTCCGTGCTCGTAGTGACGCTGAGGCTGCTGAGCAAAACGTCCAGAAGCAGCAGAGAGAGATTGAACGGTTAAAGCGTGAGCTAGCACGAGCCCTCCGTGCGTCTGCATTCAGCCCAACCCACGGTGGATCGGATGCCGACAGCATGGGTATGCCAGAGGCCAATTCTCTCTACCAAGATACTGCCAGCAATGGACATATAGCCGCAGCCCGGTCTGGGCTTCACCTGGGATCTCGCTTCGAAACCGCACGACCCCGAAGTTATGCATCCAGCAACCCAAGCGAAGAGAAGGAAAACACTGGCCTTGAATCCCCAGGATATGGCACTCGAGATAATGGATTGGGCCGACGCAAGCTCAGCCCGACATATGGATACTCGGGTATCGGCAGTCCAACACGATCATCTACGCGGAACTCCACCAATCAAACCGAGGAGGAGGGACAGCCGCGGGCTGCTCAGCCAGCCGAGAACTGGAAACGAGCTGCCGAAGTAACCAGCCAGCTCAAAGCCAGAATTGAACAGATGAAGGTGAGCATAAAGCCATATCCCACGCATAGGGGCTTGGAAGAGACATAGCTGACAATCAGAATAGGCTAAACAAGGACTTTCACGACCCTCCGCCCAACGCTAATGACCAAATGACTGCGCTCATACTTATGCCTCCTTACTCTGTTCCTCTTTCCACCATTCACTTTTTCTATCCCTCTTTTTTTCATTTTCTCTTTGTGTCTTAAGACTGGGTTTTACTCCATGATGCTATCACGACTTTTGCCTTGTGGTGGGCATCTCTGGTCTTCTGGGGGCGCTGGGAGATTTTGGCTTGTGCTTTTTCGTCTTCTCTTTCTTTCTTTCTCCTCCTTTTCTGGTTGCCATGGATCGATTGCTTTGAGCTTGATCTATCTTCCTGTAATTTCACCATACCACTTCTTATTGGCCCTTTCAGCTCTACTTTTTTGCTTTTTGCTCTGGCTGGCTGGCTGGCTCTTTTCCCGGGGGGGTTTTCTCGTTAATACGATTTCTATCTGGGGTTCACTTGTGACATACTGTTCTTGGGGCTCATCACCGCGCCCTTGATTGAATGATAATGTATAGCTACTTTGCCTTGCAACGTGGTGTTTATCAGACCGGAGAGTAGACGTTGATTAAGTAGGCGTAGAGATCATGCTTTATGTACATGACATGAATTGGAAAAAAAAGAGCAAGGTACCAACCTGGTTCTTGATCGAAAGAGATCTCAAGCATCATGCCAGACCATACAATTCAGCAAAAGGATCGAAGTCCGGATCCTCATGACGAGTATACTCATTGCCCTCCGCGATCGCCTTAGCCTTATCTTTCCCAAAGACTTCCTCAATCCAAGCCAAGATAACATCAATCCCGGCGCTGACACCGGACGAGGTCCAGATATTCCCATCAGTAACCCACCTCGCCCGCGCAACCCACTTCACCTCCGGACCTAGTACAATGATGTCCTTCCACGCCTTCTTATTCGTCGTCGCGCGTTTTCCATCCAGGACACCCGCTCGAGCAGCCAGTCCCGCACCGGTACATACTGTGATCAGATATTTGAGACTGGGGTACGAGTCTCGGATAAATGCGATTGTCTCTAGGACGACGGGCGACGAGCCTCGTGAGCCCTGGCCTCCGGGGACGAGGAGGACATCTAGTGCTGGTGCAGTGGCGAAGGTGTGGGTTGGAACGACGCTTTGGCCGATTCCGGCGGGGTAGGCGGGTGTCTTTGTGCTGACTGGGTCTAGGGTTGAGGCCAGTACGGAGAGAGTGATTGATTCGGTGCGTGAGAGGTCGTTCAGACAATTCAGGGGCCCGAAGGCGTCTAGGGCTTCGAACCCGGGGTATAGAGCGATTCCAATGCGGAGAGCCTCGGGTTTGGAGCCGAGGCTAGTTTCTATAGATTGATTAGCTTTTTGATATTTTATCTTAGCTAGTCATGGATGGTGCTTCTTCTGTACCTGTCATGGTTGAATCGAGTTGACTTTATCGTTTACGATGGATACGTGAATGTAATGTATTGCCTGGGTGGTTTGGAGGGGTTCAAGTTGAAATTGGAGGTTGAGGGATGATACTAGTATTCATTAATGCGTTGATCAGGAGCAGATTCGAGCAGATTACTGTATTTCCCTTGCTTGCGGGGCAAGGCTAGTAGGAATCCTGCGCATATTGCGGCTGACATTTAGTTTCTTTCAAGTTAATTTGTCATCCATGCTGATGTCTCTGTCTTCCCACTGGAGTCATGAGTCATGTAGCTTTCAAGTTGTCTCCAAGGCTTCCCCTCTGACTATTGTGAAACTGGTTACTTTTTTCACAAGGCAACCCGTCACAGTACTTTTCTGTTGCCATGTATAGAGGCAGTAGAATTTGAATCATTATGGGACTAACTGTAACATTGGGGTGCGCAAATGACATCTTGAAAGTATGGAAGCTTCTTCAATTTTATAGAATGACTGCCATACAAAATTAAGTCGCAGCCTCAGGCATTCAGGCCGCGATGCCCTCCTTCTGCAAATAACTTCACCCCCCCCCCCCCTCCTCCCCTCATACCACCACTTTCATGTCTTTGCTCCTTTCAGCCCATTCATCACCTCCTATTAATTGAATTACTTTGTAAATGAGGCGAGATGGCTTGAAACATCCAACTCGACTTTTCTTCGTTTGTGCCATGCGTGAGCATAATGTGGGAAGGCGGAGCAAAAAGGAGAAGCAACATGCAATCTAACTAGAAATCATGAAGAAGGAAGAAAAAGACTAAACAACTAGCAAAATTAAAAATTGGTAATCACACGGTCATCAACTATAAGGCTTCTACTACCATATTTTATCACACCAATACCGAGAGTGACAGGATGATAGTATCGATACCCGTGAGAGGTGCTCGAGGCTATAGCGTTTGCAACTAATGTCGCTAGTATGGTATCGATGGTATATGGCATGGATACTACCAAGACAACATGAAAGATGAGGGTTGGGAAGACTGACAGTGAAGATATGTACTAGTACCTGAGCACCCTGGAGGCCAACGCTGCAACCCGTGAAAAAGGAGTTCTAGATTTAGCCATCAACCCCAGGCGGCTAAATGCAGCCTTCGAAGACTCCCGAGTGGCTAAATTTGAGCGTTGCTGCTCATATTATCCGTAATAATCCAAGCGATCTTGTTGATGACTGAAAGGGTAATCTCACGCTAAGTGGCGTCGAACTTCTCCTCATATCGGGGAGTGTCGGTCATGCTCATGTGATAGATGCAACAACTCTCAACATTAGATCTTCTGGACATATTTCAAGGTCTTAAATTCCGCCTACATATTCCAAACACCAAGTCTCAACAAAAACTCGGCTGATCTTTCCATACTCAAGATGAAAGGCTTTCTCCGTGTGCAAGGCACAAAAATTGTCTCAGAGGATGGAAACCCAGTTGTGCTTCGTGGGGCTGCCACTGGAGGTCACCTCAACATGGAAAATTTCATTACAGGTTATCCTGGGCATGAGACCCAGCACAAGGAAGCCATGCTGAAGGTTATGGGCCAGGAGAAGTATGACTTTTTCTGGGACAGGTTCTATGACTATTTCTGGACCGACAAGGATTCGGAGTTCTTTGCGGCCTGCAATCTCAACTGTCTCCGCATTCCTTTTAACCATCGTCTCTTCCTCGATGGCAACGACTTGACGAAAATCAATCCCAATGGGTTTAAGCTTCTCGACCGCGTCGTGGAAAGCTGTGCTCGGTTCGGCATCTATACCGTTCTGGATCTCCACACTGTGCCCGGTGGACAGAACCAGGACTGGCATTCCGACAACCCAACCCATATCGCTCAGTTCTGGGACTATGGCCACTTCCAAGATACCATTATCAATGTATGGAAACACATCGCAGCACACTACAAAGAAAATTCCTGGGTAGCTGGGTACAACCCTCTAAATGAGCCTGCGGATCCGAAGCTCACCCGACTCATCGACTTCTACGCACGGATTGAAAAGGGGATCCGGTCCGTTGATGACAAGCATATTCTCTTCCTTGACGGAAACACATATGCCGCTGATTTCAACCACTTCCCTCAGAAGCCTTTCCCAAACTCCGTTTACTCGATTCATGATTATTCGAAGTTCGGGTTCCCCAAGTGCAAAGAGAAATACACCAGCACCGACGCGCAGAAAGCCAGGCTTCATGCCTCGTACGAACGCAAAATTTTGCACATGAAGCAGGTCGGAGTGCCTGTATGGAATGGCGAATGGGGCCCAGTTTATTCGTCTGCCATGCGCAACGACACCGATATTGAGGCGACTAATGCATCTCGCTACCTTGTTCTCCGGGATCAGTTGGAAATATACAAGAGGGGAGATCCTTCAGGGGACAATGCTCCAATTTCATGGTCAATTTGGCTCTATAAGGACATTGGCTACCAGGGATTGACTTTTGTCTCCCCAGACTCTAAGTGGTATCGTCACCTGCAGCCCTGGCTTGCCAAAAAGAAATCACTCGGCCTGGATCGATGGGGACGCAACGCCGATCCTGAAGTCGAAAAAATCTTTACTGCAGTGAAGGACCACTTTGAAGCGGCAATTTCCCCAGAACACAAAAAGGTGCTATACCCGCCTACATGGGGGACAAGTGATTGGGTCGATCGTGTTCTTCGTGATATTTTATTGTCTGAATACCTTGCATCTGAATTTGCGGAGTATTTCCGCGACCTATCGTTCGAGGAATTGGATGAGCTTGCAGGTTCATTCAAGTTTGAGAACGTGGAGCATCGTGATGAGCTGATCAACCATCTCAAGAATTGGATTTAGAGTAGACTTCTGTTGCTAATGGCGGATGGCAGATGGTCAGCCACCACTGGCACCTACTTTGGTGTTGTCTCAGTTCTCTCGCTCGTAGCTTCTTTCTCAAATCCATTTACCAAGATTGATCCCGTTCATTATCACCTTTACTCATATTGCCTGCTTTCACATTTACTCTCGGGTACTTATAAACCGGGCTTTCACAATGCAATAATGTCCTGGATTCCACAGGAACGATAGAGCTGTGTTGTAAGCCCATTTTGGGTGAAATCAGCTGAAAATCATAACTTGAAGACTCGGAGCTCTTGAAGTGAAACGGCTAAGCTGAAAGCCTCCTCTAAACCATAGATAACTACTATTAAACGAAATTGCTAACCCTCCTTTAAGGCAAACTGACTCCTAAATCACCAAGAGTACTAGATGCTTCTGAGATGCTAGAAAAAATTGAGATCATAAAGCCTCGCCATGTCAAAAGCTGAGGCATCTCAACCGCCCAAAACGCAACAATTCAGTGGTATCCGTGACGCTTTCCTGCCATTCAGGTGGCATTGGTGAGCCCATGAGAGCAGCAGCTAGAAGCACAAGCGCACTTCGGGTGCAAGACATTATCAAAAGGAATGTACCATGGTGTCGATGACTGAATCCTGGGTAGTTGACCTTGATCCGCCGGATCTCTATTTCAAGACATTTGGCTGCAAAATTGCTGATAACTACTGCGAGTGACTCCTGGACTACAGGCGAAGAATGTTGAAATAGGCCGATGCCATCAACTTGGGTTTCCTCGGTTGCACCCGAAGAAACATCAGACGCAGTAGCTCCTTGTTTAGCAGGGGTCAGGATCGGTTTTGATAAGAACGATTGAGATGAGTTGTTTGATGGGATAGAAGGGCAGCAATTCAGTAGAGTTGCTAGAAAAGGCCAATAAATGGCTTCGCAGTAATCGATGTAATGTCCCCGAAGAATAAAGCGACATACCTAGGTATATCGTCGCTTTCAGTAGGCGCTTCTAGCGATAGCTCTGGAAGTAATCCTGCAGCCAATTGGCAGCCCTGTTGTTCATATTCAGCAACGAGAGTAGCGAGTGAAGTCAGGAAAGTGGTATCATCTCGCTTAGCATGGCACAGAGATAAAATCTCATCGCACATGCCGCTTCGGAGTCGCCATAGGGAAATCTCAGCCAGGTAGTACAGCCATGATGCGCGCTCCCGTCCTTCATCGTTCAAATTATTTCAAAGAATCACTAAAGAATCACAGGCGGGGTTGGAAAGAGTGGTGAGTAGATATGAGAGTTGTCCCTAGTTGCGGGGAAATCTGGTAAACATAAGCACCTGCGCAGTTCTTGCTCCGATTTCCACGTAGTCCAGTAAACAGCTTGCTCTTGTTAATCTTTCTCTATCACTTCTTTTCGGCTCGTTGTGTCGTGGTTTAGCTGGCTCTCTTCAGCATTGTACATGTCTCGCAAGAAGTCAAAATGTTGGCAAGTCGCCAGGGCCTGGACGAAAAACCTCCAAGCCACGAAGGGGCGAAGCACGCACATCATATAGAAGCCTGGATCATTCTAAGTGCGGGATTGAAGGTGCGGGGAGCGGGGGAGAGATGGCCGGGGAGTGTCGGACTTTATGGGTTTGGAAGTGAGAAAGGTAAACCAGACACCGTCACACGAGACAAGATAGTACGAGCTGTACAGGACTTCGCCGAGGCGTTACAGAGGGTTTGCTCCTTCTTTATATCTTTTATTTCTTAGATAATATCCACGAGGGTTCATACCCTCGGCCAGAACGGGCTCGCAGACAGAGAAGGATGCGCGGGGAAATGGCGGGGATTTCTCAAAAGGCTTCTACTCGGCGCCTCGGGTATCAGGCCTAGAGAGGATGAAGTACAAATTGATGGCATGGACGATGGTTGAATCAATTGAGTACTAATTCAAGAACGCGTTTTGGGTGAGTGTTTAGCTCGCTTGTGTGTCTAACCTGCTTGTGAATCACGTTGTCTCAGTCCTCTTTGGCTAGAGCTTTCTCTCCTCCACCACCACCACCATTCATTGATTTTTCTGTTTTCAACTCTCCCCTCCGTAACACCATCAGAATTATCACCATCTTATTAGGCCGTCGACTTCCCCTTTACCTGAATTGCTTTCTGCGGCTCAACAAAATCGATCGGACCCATGGTTTCCAAATACCAGACGTCGCTTGCGTTGTAAGCACCTCTGGGGGTGGCATCATGGCCCTTCAAGAGAGTACCACTCAGGAATGTGTGAGGGAATCCAGGATCGAAACGGTACGCTGATTCAATCTCCTCAACTTCTTTATCTTCAAGGACAACTGAAAGTCCAGCAATGTTGCCCTTGATGTGTTCCACGGTTCTTCCCCCCCACGATGGGAAAGACATAAGGAGCCTTCTGCATCACATAAGCGAGCGCCACCTGAGTAATTTTAGTGTCTGCATCTTTCCTTGCAGAGATGTCTTGAAGAGCTTTGGCGACAGATTTGTCGTGGTCCGACACCGCTGTGTATTTTCGTCCAGGATTGTTACTTTCTCGTTCCTGATAGACCTCTTCGGTTTGGAAACGTCCTTGGTTTAACACACCATACGGACAGATTCCCATCCCTTCGGCGCGACACATAGGAATAATGTCCCTTTCGAAGTCCCGCAGCGCGGCGTTCCACATGCCCTGGTATACCGAAAACTGTCGCAAGCCGCTCATACGGGCATATTGGTTTGCTTTCGCGACAACCCATGCCGGGGTATCAGATATGCCGAGGTAGAGACATTTTCCCGATGTGACGAGGTCGTTGAGACTATGCATCAATTCCTCGATCGAGGTAGCATAGTCCCACCAATGCACGTAGAAAACATCAATATAGCTTGTTTGGAGTCTGCGTAGAGATTCCTCAATAGAGAGACGCATAGACTTGCTTCCATTCCCTCCGAAGTTGGATCTCAGATGAATGTTCTCTGGTGGATGTCTGCTGACACCGGAATATTTGGTTGCAAGTACGATCTGGTCACGATTCTGTCGGGTGGCCATCCATTCACCAAGCCACATTTCCGATTGCCCAGCCTGATAACCGTTTGATGTATCGATGAAGTTTCCACCTTGGCTGAAGAAGTGATCCAGTATCTCAAAGGCGCTGTCCTTGGTACATTCACCCAGTCTGTCCTTGAATGCATCTCCAAAGTTCATGGCTCCAAGGCATATGGGAGAGACCCGAATGGCAGCGGATGGTGCTAGCTGGCGATGGCGAGCGAGAAGCGATTCGCGAGGAGACGTGGACATGGTGATCAATAGTTGAGATCAAATTTATTGGCTGTTTTGATGGCACTGAGCTTTGACGGATCGAGTATTGACAGCTTCTATGTCGGCTTTAAATATCCAAAGCCGAATGAGAAGTGGAACATGATCCTGCGTGGCCGTGCGGAGTTAAGCGGTACTAATGCATGTCAGCATCCTGGGGGATCGCATCGGTTGACGACTGACCACCGAGAAGAGGCCGATCATCCAAAATAATTTGATCTTTATTTAGCAAAAGAGACAAAGCTAATCTTTAGCCCATATTCAGGCCAATGGCGCGAGAGCAACTTCATAGCTTTCTCGGCGATAACCAGCTGTGATGACCATAAACAAAGCTAAGCCTTTTGCCAAGACTTTCACAATGTCAGCCGCCATACGGACAGCTAATCAAGAAAGCCCTTTGGTGGCTACTAGTAGTGTTACTGGTTGTTACGTGCTCCGGTTCTTTCAAAGCCAGTATTTTTTTTGTTTTTTTTTTCTACCCCACTCCACATACTTGGGGGACGAGCTAATCCTTATTAATGAGTTTTAGCGTTCAGCCTGCCAAGCTTCAAGTTTACCGATAAATAAGATCGAGCTCCAGTGTCTCATGGTGAATCTAATAGTTGGAAATGAACATCATGTAATGTCCGAGTCATGCATTCAGCTCGCACTTGTATCGTGACGCCCTTTCAGATTTAACTGGACTTTGCCAAACAGGTAGGCAGTGGGGTTATTTATGTCAGAGTTATACGCAGATTGATGTAGATCATCGATTACTTGGTGCGAATCTAGGTAGGAAGGCTATGGGGGTGAAGAAGCCGATTGCGCCCATGCAATACTTTTCTATGTTTCGTTTCAATTCTGACAAATGCTAAATGTATCGTAATTGGGGACTCTCATCACGACTCATACGCCAGGAATTAGTAGAGTTCATAGTCTCTAGGCAGCCCCTAACGGTCCACTGCCACTTCTTGAAGAAAGCCTCGGTCAACTCCCAATTTCGAACATCCCATGGGTCCCCCCCCCCAGATTGCAATTTCTGGTGAAGGGTTCGAGCTGCGGGTCCAGAACCCCATGATATCCTGGCAAAGCGCGTCCTCATCCCACTTGTCCCCAGCTGGAATCAAATTATCCCGCATCTGGGGCAATGGAAAGAAATCTAGCCAGGGATGGTGTGGAGTAGTGATTTGTATTTTGGTGGGACGGAGGCGGGGAGGTAAGTAGTGATATTCATTTCACGCTTCAAGTCCACATCGACCGATTTCTATTTTCTGTCTGAATAAAGTTTGGTTCCCGGAAATCATGTTGGATCCAGGTATACCAAGAACACGATCCGTCAAGGCTCCAGAACCCTGATCACTGGAACTAATGGATTTATTGGTTCCCATGTGGTCGATCAACTATTGAGCTTAGGCTACTTGGTCCGCGGTACTGTTCGAGAGTCTAAACCCTGGTTGAATGAACTCTTCGACCAACAAAGGCAAGTTCGAAACGCGCATTGTCTCGGACCTGACTAGTGAGATGGAATGGAAAGGGGCAATCAATTCAATTGCAGGGGTTATCCACGTTGTGCGTATGATTTCTACCAGTGAGGTTTCTACCCATGACATCTGGACCTGATATCTCATATGCAGCTGATTTATCGATTAACCCTGACCCGAGCGTCTCTATTCCGAATTCTGTTAAGGCAATATTGAACCTTTGAGAAGCCGCTTCGAAACAGCCTCCAATCAAAGGGCTTGTGCTGATCTCGTCCTCAACCGCTGCGTACATTCCAATCCCCAATAAAGAAAGGATTGTTATTACCACAGGTATTCTCTACTTATGACCCTTCTGGACTCTACTACTATTTCTAACTAAGTTTTAGAGATATGGAATGATGCTGCCATACATGCAGCTTGGGATGAAGATATTGCTGCCCATAACAAGAGATACATCGTATACGGGGCTTCTAGAACCGAGGCCGAGCGTGGGGCATTCAAATAGGTTCAGGAGAATGTCCGTTTATGCTGAACACTGTCTTGCCGGGCATTATTGTGAGTCGCATTTCCATATAAAGTCTAGAAAAATACTGATGAGAATTGATAGTTCGGCAAGATCCTTGCTCCTGAACGTGGTTCGACACAATCACTAATCAATAATATCCTCAAAGGAGATAGGTCAGCTCTGGGGTTCCTTCCTCCACGTAAGTTTAGAGTGAGCTGGGGCAGCTATGAGAATTTCTACTAAGCCTTCGAACTTAATAGAGTGGTATGTTGATGTCACAGATGCTGCAAGGCTACACGTCCCCGTCCTTCACTCTCCTTCGGTAAAACTCGAACGAATCTTTGCCTTTGCTGCCTCTCAGAACTGGAACGATATCATCAGAGTCCTACGAAATCTCCGTCCGGGTAATCCTCTGATTCCTCCCATTCCTCAAGATGAGATACAGGATTTGAGTGATGTCTTGTCTTCTAAACGGGCGTAGGAGCTTCTTCGGAATTTCTTCAATCAGCCAGGCTGGGTCAGTTTGGAGCAAGCCATTAGCGAGGGCATTTCCGGTTTAGAGTGATTCCAAGGTTTTAGCCATTCGATGCAGTAGAATACTAGTATCAGTTTTATGCTCAGGTAGAAGAGGTTTTCAGGCATCAATTATGAGCTACCTAGATACTATCCAAGGGAACGTTCAAGTGAGTCCGTTCACAGAACACTTGTCCGTGCCCCCAGCATCACCATGTTTGATGAAATCACCACTTATTCCTGGAAATACTTTGCTGGCTCTATTCTTGCACCTCATATGTTGGTTAAAAGAAGTAGACCTCTCCTGTAAGGCCAAACTCTTCCTCTTGCATGCCAGGGGCGATACCCGCAGCTCTTAGTTTAGACTTAAGTCTTTCGGTGACTGCCTTTGGATATTCAGCCGAAGAATGCTGGTGGCCCTTCCCCTCGCGTGCCAGTTGATCCGTGAGTTCATTATTCGTTCTGAAGAAAGGCACAGGTAAGTTGGCTGCTGACCCACAGGCTTTCAAACAGGCTTGGTAGAGCAGCTGAAATCTCTCTTCGTCATAACCTCCCCCGGTAATGACAGCACGAACAGGAATTGTAAAGTCATTAGAGCCGACCTGGGTGTGGAGAGACAAAGTCGGAGGAGGGCATCCCGAAAGAAACAAGGGAACTTCACGTGCCGATGCCCGTATATCGTGACCGGCGTATACAACTGGAAGCAGGTCGTTCATAACTTAGCAAGGCCCAACTGATAACAAATAAAATTCAAGTCACAAAACAAGCCGTCGTATTCTGGCAGCAAATTGGCCCTCACTGTCGCCGCAACTTGCTTCATGGCACCGTATAGGATGACAGGGACAGGTACAGCCATGAATTTCAACGGCCGTGACACAATAAGCAGTGTATTTCAGGTTCTTGGGCTTGGATATCCTGTGGCTTTGGTTTCGGCTTCAGAAAACTTGAACAAAAGTCTTTTCTTTTTGGGGAAATCAAACGACCACAATTATTACACCCAGGATTGCGCTTATGTGGGCAACCTCCATAGAACTCGGGTTAGGAAAGAGTTTCAACCTTGACCTGGTTCTAAGCCCGGGTCGGGGTTGAAATAAGACCGAGCTTACAAATGATGTCGAACGCTGAGTGGTAACGCATATCGACTAATTCTATACCACTGAAGTCTTGAGACCATTTAGTAATGAGTGGTCGCTATCTTAATTGAGATCGGATCTATTCTCATGCGCTCAGCTGCAATGTGACGCTCATATTGGCAGTAAACAGCCATTCCATATCACTGGCCTTTGATTCAATAAAGAAGAATCCAACAGTCCAGATAGCAAGCTAAATCGTCCTTCAATTGTAAATAGCCCTATCCAACCCCCGAGTCTTTGTCTGTATCCCAAAATTCAATTCCGGCGAAATTCCCGGTTGTTAGGAGGCCCGAGAAAAGGGTTATCTGAAACAATCCTGAATACAAAGCAGCATATCGAAATGCCAGCTCCTTTTCTGTATACCGGGATGAAAACAAGTAAAAAACCACTGGAAGAAAAACGATGCTTCGAATACTCCAAAGGAAAAGCGAATAGGGACTAACCCAGCGAAGCCTTTTGATGCAGACCATGCCCTGGTGTTGCGGCGTAAAGGCATGACCAAATACAGACTGCCACTGCTATTTTAGTGTTGGTGGGTCCCAAGCACCAGAGATTTCTCGCCCACTGCAGAGTTCGGAGTAATTAACCCTCCTTCGAGAGTCGATCTGCGATTTTTCGAGTTTTTACTTGCTACAAAAGTCTACAATTGGATACAAGCAGAGTAGAGTACATGAATTGCCATTCTCATCGACAGTTACAACAGAAGATATTTTGAACGGTGTGAGAAATGAATTCATGGGTATCTGCAGGAAGAAAAGTGGTACATAAGGGCCGTTTGTGGAGTTCGTAAGAGAAAATTATTTTCTTTTTTTGTTAGAATGGGATCCCAAGGGCCACTGGGCATCTTTTCCCACCCATCTAAAGCTAAAAAAGAATTTGGCCGTCAATAAGTCATCCGGAGCCTTGAACACCCTTGAAATTCGCCCATTAGAACTTTTGTTCCAGGAGTACGCTTTGGTAGGCGCGATCCCGTCAATCAACAATCCAAGTTTTTACACTAATGGAAAAACTTAGACCTTGATGGCGGACTCGACAGCCTTGCGCTTCTTCTCCTGGCGGGCGTTGGCCTTGGCGCCCATGATACCACCACCCCAGTGGCGGCGGGACTCCTCGTACTTGTCGGTGTAACCCTCCTTGATGGCAGACAGGAGCTTGGAGAACTCGGCCTTGTCCTCAGCGCGGGTCTCGGTGAGAGCGAGAACAGCGGAGGTCTTCTTGTGGACGACCGTACCGAGACGGGCCTTGCCCTTCACGATAGCGTAGGGGACACCCATCTTGCGGCAGAGAGCGGGCAGGAAAACAACCAGCTCAATGGGGTCAACATCGTGGGCGATGAGGACGAGGGAAGCCTTCTTGTTCTCGACCAGGCCGACGACGTGGTTGAGACCGTACTTGACGTGGTAGGGCTTCTTGGAGACATCCTCCTTCTTCTTGCCCTCGGAAACGGCGGTAGCCTCCTGGACGAGACGCTCCTTCTTCTCGGCCTTGGTCTCAGGGCGGTACTTGGAGAGGAGCTTGAAGGTCTGGGCAGCGGTGTTGCGGTCCAGGGTGTTCTGGAACTGGGCGAGCGAAGGAGGAACCTTCAGGCGCATGTTCAGAATCTTCTTCTGGCGCTGAAGACGGACATACTCGGGCCACTTGACGAAGCGGGACAGGTTGCGCTTGGGCTGGATGTCCTGGCCGATGCCGAAGTTGCGGGAACGCTTCTCGATGAGAGGGTTCTGAGGGGCGGCGAAGCGGTTAGCAAAATCATCTTCGTTTTCTCGGATGCCTCCAGTGGGAAAGAAAGAAACGAACCTTAGCGGCCTTCTTGGACGAGCCAGCCTTGCCCTGGGGGTAGGGCATGGCGGCGGTCTTCTTTCCGGACTTGGGAGGCTATCATTGAGAAAAGAAGATCAGCGAATGTCCACGACGGGCTGCATCTTCTTTGAACTCTAAGGAGAGCGACGAGTCAAGCCGTTTTACGGACTCAACTCGTGCTTCCAGCCAAAATCATCGTCAATGCCACACATCTCTTTCGAGTCTGTGGGCAATAGACGGAATTGCTTCAATCTTTCGATCAGAAGTCAAGGCGAATTGTTCTACGGCATCGCTGCAGCTGGCGAGCCTTTTCGAAAAGGCAATCAAATGCTTACCACCATGTTGTCGACTGGGATTGCTGGTTGACGGTTGACGGGATGAAGAAGAGAATGAAATGTTGGCGGCTAGCCTTAATGAATTTCTTGTGGGTCGCGCTAGCGTGGGCATGTGACTAGGGCTAGGGCAAGCGCGTTAGGGCAGACCCATGAATAATATCACGTGGACACATGTGACCCTCTATGTGGGTCATTCCGGCAAACCTGCCCATCTGGTTGAGTAGAGTTAACGCATGAAATTCAAGCCAAAATCTCACAACTGTCTTTTATTTCAACTTTTTTGTGGTAGTACATGGATTTCAGTCAATAGAAAAAGGTACACTTTTTGGGATGGTTTTTGTCTAACTCTCTACTTCAAATTATAGTGTTAGCCTTCCAAGGTTGGAAACTTCAAACTTGAATGATTGAAGATTCCTTCAGGGCTAGTACCACTATATTTTCCAAGGTTCAACTTAATGAAGCTAGCAATATTACAAGTTAACTTCAAACTTGAAAATTTCAAGAAATCGATGGATTAAATCGTAGATGTCATAACTTGAAGCATGCTGCTGCATCCGTTAGAGTCGCTAGTAGTAGTAGTAGTAGTAGTAGTAGTAGTAGTAGTAGTAGTAGTAGTAGTAGTAGTAGTAGTAGTAGTAGTAGTAGTAGTAGTAGTAGTAGTAGTAGTAGTAGTAGTAGTAGTAGTAGTAGTAGTAGTAGTAGTAGTAGTAGTAGTAGTAATAGTAGTAAGACCCGAGTCTTCTAGAAATATTGAGAGTAATACTAGTACTAGCCCTGGAGTACTAGGACTGTTGACTTTCAAGAATTTTATTCCAAGGTTAATAAACCTAGGTACCTACTACTAGCCCTTACTACCTAGGTACTAGGTAGTAGGAATAGGCTGTTGAGATATTGGCAGCCCTAGAAGTTGTATAATCTGTTCCCTTCAACTTGAGCTTGAAGCTGTCCGGCCGGCTCGAAACCCAAGTGATCGGCCTCGATGTACTAGATAATGATGGCCCGGATTGAAGAGAGCTCAAGGATTTCTTCTCATAACTATTAGAATCAACTTGAACGTACCTAGGTATTGAATGTTTCTTTTGCTTCACCAGGTGTCTAGGTGGTTCAAGTTTATATTGACCATCTCAAAAAATATACCTAGGAACCTTAAACATGGTAACCCAACTTGAACCGAAAGGTAGTACTATACATTTACCCACGGAGACCGGCAATATGAGCAAAGCACAGTACTGAAAATCTATGTAAAATGAACGCTAACAAACCTCACGCAATCGATCATCCCTAAATTGAAGATCACCGCCAAGCACCCAATCCCGGCAGCGCTCCACGCCCAAGACTCGTGCTCGCAGCCTGGACAGCCCTCCTCTTGCCTGTAGTTCCCTCCTGACTACGCACACCAGCAATGATCTTCTCGGTATTCGTCTCGACAACGACGCCGCCGACAATCATCTCGCTCAGCACCGCGTGCATGGTCTCATAGCCGAAAATCAGGTCTAACTCGCAGACGTTCTCGAACATGCGGTCCAGAGATTCGACGAAGACTTGGATTAGGTCGATGAGGGCGAGCGGGGACTCGGTGGAGGTGGAGATCATAATGAATGAGAGCGTGGCGTAGGTGCGGTAGGTGATTTGGGTGGGGGCGTCGGAGGGTCCGGCGGAGGAGGAGCTGGATGAGCCTTGTTGGGAGAGGAGAGGGGGCA